CGGAATTGGATGTCTGACGCGGGCGCGCGCTTTTAATGTCCTGCGAAATTGGATCGTTTGCCCTGGGCGGCTCCTTGGCCCCGAGGCACCGGAAGCAAAGCAGTGCTCTCTGACGCAACGCGGTCGACTCGCCGATTTTCGCGAGAAGTCTCTCCGCGCTCTGGCCGCCCGGTTCACTCTCGCCGGGCGCTTTTATATAACTTATAAGCGACCGTCGAACGAAGCTCGCGCGAGTCGTACAGTACCGTATTTTTGGATCTGCCCGACACGATTGGGAGTTGAACTGAGCTTAGCGTGTGGGATTCTCTCTCCTCCGCGAGATTCTGATCTCGATGGCGACTTTATGCTCGCGCACGCGATTATTTATTTTTTTGTTTTTTTTTTGCAGAACATATCGCGTCCGATTAATCAAGATGCTTTGTCGAAGGCAGCTAATTCAGTTGGAGACGGTCTTTACAGGGTGGAGTATCTCAAACATCCCAGTCTTGATGAGATTTGGTCAATGTTATCCGAGACAAAACCAGTCATTTTCACCGTGCAAGTTATCGAATAAAAGCTCTTCGTTTCTATTACATCAACGAGGCAGAATGCATTTCCGCCGGAATTTTTAAGAATTGCTGCAGGCTGACGTTGTTTTATGGTATCTCTCGGTGTACTGTCGTTAATTTAAAAAGAGCGAACTTTTTATGTCGTTTCTAAATATTTTCCTATGAAATGAAAAAAAAGAAAAAAGGAAATTCACTGGCACGCGCGATTTAATTTACATTGCAGCAGAACGACGCGCTCTTGCTCTTTCTGCCGCGGATGTGGGTTTTTCTCGTGTCTTTCGTCGCCTCACCGATGCGCCCAGACGTTTCCCACGCGACAACAGATTTACGCGAAGCATCCTCGTCCATTTTCCGGCGAAAATAAAAAAGAGAACAAAAAACAGAAGAAAAAAAAAAGAAAAAAAAAAAAAAAACACGAGCACACAGCGTACAAGAAGTACGGCGCACGCGCGCCCGAGTAAATACCAAAGCGTAAAATCGAATCGCGAAGGTGCGCCAGTGTATTTCTGGCTTACGCATTACAAGGCGTCGGGCATGGACGACAGCCCCAACATCTCGTCCGACTTTCGACAAAGAGAAAATAAATAGATACGCGCGGCCGGTTGACGTGTAGCTGACGCGATCGTCAGTTTCGCTTCTTTATTACATCGCTTATATATTTCCGTCGCGCCCGTGCCATTTTGCGAATCTAAGTGAACTTTATAAATAAACAATTCTCGGCGTTGTGCGCGCGAGCGCATGAGCTCGCGTTGGTCGATTGCGCGAGAAACGTTTCCGCGGGAGACGGCGAGATCGTCGTCGAGTACAACGAAGAGGCGGGCAACTTCAGCGACTTGACGAATTGGATTTGCGCGCGAAATAAACAGCCGCGGCAGTGTACCTTGACACTATCATGCCTCGATTCACTTTTGTTTACTGGCAGATGACCTCAAGATGATTTTGGTTTATTTTCTTATTCGTTTCTGGCGAATGAATTACGCGCTTTCCAAATTTGAGAGCGAACGGAAAAACAATTGGATAATCGAGCTTGCATCAGCTAACGATATTGCTTTCGCTCGTAAAAGCACTTCTGTTTCAAATGTGCGCGAGCCTCCGATGATTGAGACAGAGAATACAAGACAAACAAGGTTCGTTCGATGGAATGCCATCGCTGCAGTAAACCATTCTACAGGTAGAAAGTTGACGTTTGTTTGTATAAATCAATCCGAACGACGTGTATGTATTCGATACATATATAACCAATCTACTCTTCAATTTTCAGATTCATTTGCGTCAACGAGTTTTCCGCTCGTATAAATATAGCCCATTAATAAATTTCACTGCTGGCTCTGGCTTATCCTTGCCGATCTCTTTTCTAGCGTTTAGCGTAAATTGAACGATCGCGCGCATTGTGGTCCGGTAAATTACAAATACCAAAGCGCGTTTGCCAAATATTTTCCACGGTTTGAATATACGAACAACGACGAGATCGGCTTTGGCAGGGACGCTTGATTCGCGAGGTGACAGGCGAGGTTGAAGAAAGTTGGAACTCGATCGCGGGCGAATCGACGGTACCGCGCTCCACGCGACCACCCGCACCTCCTCCTCCGACTTATTTATTTATTTGTTTTTTCGCTTTATTTGGCTCCGATGCGCGCGAAGAACCACGTCGGGGGGGCGCGTTCGGCTCTGCGAAGCGTTCCTCGGAGAAGAGTTCGCGCGCGCGCGCGCTCTGACGAGCCAAAAGTTTCGCAAGTCAGAGCGACTTGACCCCTAAGACACCTACGAGCCCGCGACGCGCGACTATGCACACACGCGCGCGCGCGGCGACGACCTCTGGAGCTTTTTGAGGCCAATGCTAAAGGGGTATCTGCTTTTTGATTTATTTCACTCTTTCCTTGGTAGAGCGTCTCATTGCCGCTTCGGCGCGTTTTCACATTGTTCGCCGCGCTTGAGTACTCGAAGCATCGAGTTTGCGCACCTGTGTACTCGTGTGACGACGTGACGAATGTCGACGTCACTTTCCTCGTTGATGCATTCGCACTTGGATATCGCGTGGGTATAATGCCGCGGCGGTCGTTTCTTTCGGTAGAATAAAGCACAAAATTATCACAGCAGCGCCTTGCCAAATATTTGCGCGCAGATTCTGCAATGCCAAAAAATTATTCATCGGAACTGATGAAATCTTGAACGTTGATCCGGAGTTTATTCAAAGACTTCAGCGAGATCAACGCGACGGATCATCATCTTCCGCAATCACAAAGGAAGCATCAAACTATAAAGTTAGGCATCAGCCGATTGGATAGGTAGAATTCAGCGAAGCGGAGCGCAGCCACGAGTCGTCTATTTCGAACAGATGTTCGGAAGCAACGAGAATCGGCCCGTCGAGAATTAATGTGGCAAGTGGCGAAGACGACGACGACGACGACGAGGACGCTTTCCTTATTTTAAACCCGCTGACTGTACCAACCTGCCGTCTCTCGCTATTATTTCAAATTAAACTTTTGTCGTCCGCGCGCGGGCGGCGAATTTTTCCGGGTAAGCTTATTTAGAAAAAGTTGCCTGCGGCACGGGCAGAGACAGAGATTCTTTCAGCGGGGCACTTGGCCTTTCTGCGGCTCGCATAACAGTACGCCGAACTGCTGTATCGCGAGTTTATTGCCGTTTGTCGAATCAGCTCGGCCCGAGGCAGGACCTTAAAATAAAACTCTTCCGAAAAGTTTCCAGCCGATTCGACCACGCGGCTCTCCTTTTTCTCCCCTACCGCTGTAGCAAAGTGTGGGCGAACCTAAAACTCGTTAGATCTCGAATAACCGAAAGTTCGGTGCAACGAAGGGAGCCGCAGACGTGCACGTGCGAGAGCGTTGTCTCCGCGCTGTTCCGCCGATTATTCGCCGGTCCAGCAAAACCACACGGCCGCAGCTTATACTCCGACCTCGATACTATTTTCAAAGCTGATGGTTTGATCGACATTGCGATTTTCTTCTGATCCCACTTGCGTAACGGGCCGATCGCTTATATTTATCAAGGGAATTTCAGTGGAAAAAGAAAAGGAAAAACGTCGACGACGCAGCCGCTATTGCCGTGATGTTCTTTTTCTCCCCCCGATTCGTATGAAAACAATGCGACCGAACGGGATTTCGCGCGACAAGTGTTGTAATCACGGGCAGGATAATTGGGAGGGGAAACCGAAGCTCGTTAATTACCATGCACTTATCACGGGGGCAGTCGGCTAATTAAAGTGCGGGCCTCGCGTGCAAAATTGCACGTGTCAAGAGCTCGTCGTCGTCGTCGTTGCGGCTCTCCAACGATCGCTAAAATTCTAAAATCGTCGGTGACAGTGACGTAAATTCGCGCCGCTGCCGCCGCCTCCGCGGCCACTGCGCGTCAAAGATAGAAAGAGACAGACTGACGTCTCTTATTTTCGCTTTGATTTATCGAAGGCACATGGAGAGAGAAAGAGAGAGAGAGAGCAGGCCCTTTCGAGTGATAAAATGGCAGCCGCGGATTTTCGGAGAACTCGATGTCCGGACTATATTCTGCAGATATGCTCTTTTGCTGTGTATTCGTTTGCGATTTTTTCATTTCTTTTTCAGGGATTTCGACCGAATATTTAACGATACATTAATTTGTCGATATTACGCTCGAAGAAAGAAAAACAACGATATGAGTTTTCAATAAGCCATTTGTCAATTTTGAATCATCGACAATTTTAACGCTCTCTTTATCTTAATTTTGTCTCACTCCTTTCTCTCTCTCTCTCTCGCTCTTTCAAAAAAGAAAAAGACGTCGGCAAAAATCTATTTCCGCGGCGACCGTTTGTTTATAGATTGGCAAACATTATACGAAAGAGCTTGAAAGCCGCTTTTTCATCCAACTAAAGAGAAGAAGATCGAAGCTGGAGCTGAATCTCAGATGGCCTGCATCGGATCGGCTTCAATCGCGTGTAAACTTGTGTGACGCGGCTCCGCGCGCAGGAGAAAGGACAACGTTTCTCCGATGGGATGAAAAGTGTATCGGTTTTATGGATCAGATCTGGCTGGGTATAAATAGAGCAACCAAAAAATGTTGAGGTGTGCGTGATGTCGAGCGTATCTCGAAAAAGAATCCATTTGGAAGCGCCGCCGAGTTTGGCTCGCGGGAGGGGAGAGCTTGTCTGCGTGTGCGTGGCCGAGTGTGCTGTGCGCACGTGTTTTTTTCCTCCGAGAGCTTTCCCGGAGCATCCGGTCGACAGCTGAAATCCGTTTCACACTCGGGGGCAAAGAGAGAAACAGCGTTCTTCGCCGAGACTCGCGTCGATAACAAAACTGAAAGATAATAGTCATTGTTCTCGTGCACGACGTCGCTTGCCAAGAGCAACAGCAGTCGCGAGACAATTCAAAATCATATGTAAGTCGTTCGCGCTGTATATGTGCGCGAGAGCGATAGACAGCACAATGGATCACGTCACAAAACTGAAACTGCACAAATCACCTCTTGGATCCGATACTTGGTCCTGGTGACTTTCCGCCTTGTGGTGGTCATGGTGATATCGTCATCGGTCTCGGTAAAGACAGGTTCATCGTAAGTGACCTCCACAGTTGGCTCGTCATAGATCAACTGCACGTCATTTCGCTCCTCGTCGTCAATGTCATTTTTCTGTGGCACCACCGCGTCGTCCGTCACATCCATCGCGAACGTGCAAGTCACGCTAGTGTCGATAAAAAATAAAAACTACGAACAATCACAAAGACCGAGGGAACGTGAAAGAGAGATCAGTTGCGCTCCGAACGCCGCGGCTGACTGAGGGAAAGCCCCGCCGGGCGCTTTTACAAAAATAGAAAATATGTCTGAGCAGAAAGAGAGAGAGAGAGAGAGAGAGAGAGAGAGAGAGAGAGAGAGAGAGAAAGAGAATCTACGCGAGCGCCTCAGAAAACGACGATTTCTACTTTGTCAGATAATAATGCACGTGCGGTAACATCGATCGTCTTGCGGATTATTTTGTGTTTTTATTTTAATTCGAACGATTGACTGATCTGTAGTGAATCATACCATGTGACATTAAACGCTTCTTTTCGTAAATATAATGATCCCACAGTTTACCTAATGTAGGTATTCGGTACTTAGGATAGCCTTTAAAAGGTGGATAATATGTTGACTTGTATTCATTCTCAAAAATGCTCACTATTTCATCAGTAAGATTATCAAATCTTTCATTTGAAATGCTGAAAAAATTAAGGAAAGATTAAATACTGTCAACTAGTTTTTACATAAACATATTGAAAAACTGACTGAAAAAAATAAAATGCTCATTGGGAGGAACATTTCTAAACTTCCACTCTTTTTCACGTTGAATAACTAGTATTACAAGCAGACTATGTGTATTTTTAGAAAGATAATTGCTGTTATTGTTACACCTTTTCAAAACTTCTTTATCTTTTGTGATTGATTGACTGTAAATAGTTTTCCAACCTCTAAAATGTAATTCAACTCACTTCTTCAGATACAGTTATATAAATAAAAATAAATAATATAATTTCAAATATATTATAAAATATTTACAGCATCAATCACAGGTTGATCTACCACCACATCTGCTTGCACAGCACTATCTTCATCATTAGTTGTACTTAAGATCGGTGAAATTAACAAACCATTAAAATACAATAGATTTTCTTTAACTTAGCATATATATTAATAAAAAAACATGAATACAATGTTTAACCTGTTGTGTTTCTAAGCGAAATTGATTTCTGCTAATGCTCCGTAAAAAATATATCAAATAAAAATGCACCTTACAAAGGAAATTCAAAATAAGCTTTTGCAGGTTATGTCACAGTAAGAAAAATAACGATTGCTTGATGGAATGAATGAAAAATTAAGAGGAAAAAGTGAAAATGTTATCTGAAGGTGGGAAAAAACAAAGGTTATAACGGTAGGAAACTTAGTTTATAACGGCAAGCTAATGTACTTTCATTTACGATGAAATGACGGTTATGATTTCATTTTAACTATGCCGGTAGGTCATCGCGCATGCTCGCGACATTACTACCAGAAGATGTTATTAAATTTTACTATATTGCCCGGTAAAACTAGACAAATACTATAGCAATTATGACAAAAAGTAAATTTTTACCACACTAAAAGTTAATTTTTACCATACAAAAAAAAATTGTTACTGTATTATAATTAATAAATTTCTTTTTACAATACTTTTTAGAGATATAAAGTATTTTTTTGAAACGTTGAGTAAAAATTATTTAAATGTTTGTATATTTTGATATGCTGTTAGTAAAAAGTCAAAACAAGTATAACCATCAATTAGATAGATGTCCCTAACCAAATTACTTTACTGTTTGATAAAAATTTATGAAATATTTGTAAAATTTCATAGACCATTTCTCTCAGTGTAGTAATCTCTTACCAATTTTTTAATTGAATAATTTTCTTTAACGAAACTTTTGTCTGCTTCAAGATCTTTATATGGACTATAATTTTACCTGCATGCTTAGAAATTTTTCCATATTTATTAGAACCTAAATAATAAGTATTCGCAAATTGTGTTTTGCATCAATTGTTCAATATACAATTTGTTTTTTAACCTTCGAAAAAATATAACTGTAACAAATTTACTGCATTGTTCACGGACACTTATTTGTTTATAACCTACATGTATTGTACTTTATACACCAGTTTGCTTCAGGCAGACCAATAACAAAAATGAACTTGATAAATATACTTTTTCTGAGTTAAAAATTTTAATTACAAAAAATGATGAAGAACATACCTTGAAGCTAACAGATTCCCTTCAAAAACTGGTAGAATGACTTTTTTTTTAATTAAAGTCCTTGCAATTCTGACTTTTGCACCTTACTATTGATATCTAGAAAAATATTTAGTGTCTCTTCATAAAGAACATTTTAGTACATTTATACATAAAAAACCCGCTTAATATCAATAACATTAGGAGTATTAAATTCAATTATCCATACATCCATAGCAATAAGTACATGTGTAGCCATACTAGTGACGTCAGATACGCTTATCACATTGATTAACATATTTAACATAAATTACTTTTTTCAAAGGTGGATTTTTAAATTTTTTTACAAAACATTTATCAGAAAGGAAAAATGTGCATTAATATGATACAGTTCCGCGTATTCCAAAATAATCTAAATCTTGGTTTCCCAAATTTATAATTCATAACGAAAACAGCTATAAATAACCTTTTATAGTTCTTTTCAACTATATGGGTCAAATTACCATTAAACGTTTATCTTACTCTTTGACTAAATATTGCAATATCACAATTTTTATTTCAATTGTACACATTTAACTATCAGATTATTGATTAGTAATCTAAAATAATCACAATAACTTCAAATCACAATCCCTTGTTTTTACGAAACGATTTACTCGCTGTTGTAGTTTCTTAAAATGAGCGTTAAAACAATAACACTTATCGTATTTTTTTACTTTCATATCTCTAGGATGATCTATAACAATTACGATAAATTGAATGTTTACTAATAATAAAATCTATAAATTTGAAACCATAAATATATGCTTATTTACTGTTACATAACAGTATACTACGAGAACGTATCTCAGCCAAACAGATCATTAATAAAATGCATCCATTAGTTTTTTACAAGGGGACATATATAACGTATGTCATTAAGCAAATACACATATCATTTCTTCGTTAACACAGATTATTATAGAGACGGCTTATATCATTTGAGTTATTTTTATTATTTCCATTGACACGTGAAATATTTATCCGACACTAACGTGATGCATATATATAAACATTATGCGATTGTTCAAAAAGGAAGGCAAGGTTTTATACTGGAACATTGGGTTTGCTCAAACATCCCGATACACCCAACATCATAATCTCTTTGATGAAATTTTTATACGAGGATAAGTTCATATGCACGTTCGACTTGTACGTACGTACAACTTCCTTGCAAAGCTTTCTATCGTATTGATTTGGTATCACACCTTTATTAATGCCTATAATAGCATAATTACGGTTTAATAGAGGACCACCGCTGTCACCCTGAAATCATTTTCTATCACGAGATCCATCCAAAAAAATTGCATCAATAAAATCTATCCTTACGTCGGTGAGGAGGATCCAAGAAGGCTCTCCCATACTGCAAATGAATTGCCGGGTGACAACAGCCGAAGCACCTATTTTTTTCAATCTTTCCTCACATTCGGTATCTGATATCAGTTTTAAAGCAGTTATTTTCAGTAAGACAGTTGGATAAACTGATTGAGTACTGCCCCAGCCAACGGTAAAAACAAACGAATCGTTTGCCATAAGCAGTTGGTCTTTTTCTTTGAATGACAAAATTGCTGGCTTAAAATGCAGGTTATTTGGTAAATTTTCCACGGCTTTAATTAGCTTAAAAGATAAATAATAAATTCAAGTTAATCTTGAGAAAAATAATAAAAAAGCTTTTAACATCCGAAATAATAAAAAAGTACCTGTATAATTGCTATATCATTTGCTTTACTATCGCAATCTTGATAATTTTTCAGAATGTACCACTCGCAGTAAATGATCCATGACTCAATCTCATATGCTCGGGTGTTTCTCAAATTGTTAGATCCGACAAAAACTTGTAAATCGGTTAGTTCTTTATTATCCAAGCAGTGTGCAACGGTGAGAACAAGCTTGTCAGATATCAGCGAACCACTACATTCGTGCAAATACTCCTCATCGAAATCTTTGGCCGTGTTCGCGATGGAAACGACAAAAGGAATCTGAATTTTGAATAGAGCAAATGTTACGTTGGAGATTGCTCTATTCTCTTTATCAATCAGTGCCTTGACATATGACGGCTTTCCTATACCTAAGAGTTCAACAAAATTGCTAATCAAATGGAATTGAAAAATCTGTTGCATTCATTGGTGTTTCATTTCACAGTAAAAAGAATGTTATTATCCATTATATAATCTGCTCTTTTCTTCATGATATACATTGAAATCGAAAATATGTAGTAAATAGAACTCACAAAACTTGGGAAGCTCATCTAAGCGGTGCAGATCGATCAATCGCTAATAAAGAAGTTATAAAACACAACTATGATTCTATATTTTTCAAAATCAATTTCGTAAAGGCAAAGTCCAATATAAGGAAAGACATGTCATATACAGTGTGAAAACACCTGAACGAGTTAAGTATACGATGATTATAATATCTCTGCCAACTTACCGAGCAATATGAGCCAAGTAAAATGTTTAAGCATCGTAGACTGCATTACATAGCAACAAATTTGTTTAAAATTATTTGAAATAAATTTTTTTTTTCTTTATATCTTCCTGGAAAATGAAACCTAATATACGATGCATTATCGAAAGTATGGTAAAATTTTTTTTGAATAGTCAATTTTAATGTCACATTTAAATATACAATCACGAACTTTATTCTAACTATCTTTACTATAAAATTTTACGTTGCTCGTAGCTCGCATCAAATGAAAGTCACGCTCGCGCTCACTTTTTCGAGAATACGAAATATGTGCGATTTAGAAAAATATATGTTATACGTACGGATCATACGGACAGTACTATAAATAACGAGTATTTTCGATATAATTTAGTATTATCAAGCAAAACAGGTGCATCTATCTCGAGTACGGAGCACATTTTTACATGTGAATTTAGCGGCGTCGAATTAAAGTGAATTTATATACTCTAGTTCAATAATTGTACCAATTTCAATTGAACGTCCAAATAAGTAGTTAATTGAGTTAGCACATGGTGTTAAACTATAGTTGTAATTATGTATGGATATCAAAAGCAAAGTGATGTATTCTAAAAATAAAAAGTCTGTCCGCGACGTCCATTCGTATACTTCTACGTATAAGCAGCCTTGTGCAGTTTCATTGGGCTGCTCCGCCCCAACGGGACTCCCAATAGGCCTTTCTCCTCTTGGGTTGGATTGCTGACTGCGTAGTGGTCGCGCCAATGCAGTTTGCGCTGTGACCGTCGTACCGCCCAGCGCGCACAGTTGCGTTTACTCCGTACGCATATAGATACGACGCAATTATGTTCGATGCACGTAATTCCGATGATACTACGATATTGACCAATTGGATAATGAACTTTTATTATATTGAATCAACTCGTGAAATTCAGTTGATTCTTTGTCGACGAGCTTCACTGCTAGAGTGTACGGAAATCATTTTGAGAGGATCGTTGTCTTTGTAAGGACCAGTTTAGCCGATATTCAAAGTAGATTATTTTTTCATGTTTTTTTATCGGTTTTTTCGAATTTCACGAAGAAAAAACAATTCATAATTTTGGAAAAACTGATATGACTAAATCTGTGAGTGATCGTAAGGAGAGAAGAAACACCGCTGAGTATGCGTCGCAAGAAAGGTCGCACAGCCGACGGCACATGTCATGCAAATATGATAACGACGAGCTGGGTCGCTCCTAGTATTGTACTCTCCTTCGTTATATACATGTTCTATTGTTAGTATTGCTAATTTGTTAATATTCGTAGAATAACTGACTGATCAGCATTTGTGAACATTTATATGATTGTCCTTATGCAATGGTATTATACACACACGCACGTAGCACGTATGTACGCACACACTAGAGGAGCTTCACTCCTTGTGCCCTTTGCACCTCGACTACTCTCACATTTATCAATAATAACATATTGTGTAAGAATAATATTTTCAATTTATTTTTAACAAAGCACAATTGTGTATACTTTTATTTAAAATTGCAATTATTATAACGAGTACCACTCGGAATGTTTTCAACGATATCAGGAAAGATAGACCACACTTAAAACTTCCCTATAAACATATAACGACCGTATGAATGGGAAAATTTTTGTCGTGAATTTCCTCCAATATCATCGGCTGCTTAAATTTAATTTGGTGCATGCTTGAAACCGTAAATATAAACATAAATGACAGCTGGAAATCAGCGTTGGTCTTCGAATATTTTTGTAGTAAACATACTGCACAGAACGCTCCGAAAGTGATAAATCGTTATCTATGGATATAAAAATATTCAATGTTAGTAAATTTTCTCAGGTCCCGCTATCTACAATCTATTTATAAATCGAGACGCTGATATCGAAAATAAAGACTCAGGCGAGAATCAAAACCAAAATTTATAAGAACGCACGTGTTTATTTATCTTTAACGATCGAGGTTATTTTATGTATCACCGTCTTTAGACGTAAATTAAATTCACTACATTTTTATAAATGCACAATAAAAAACACTGCCAACTCATTTGTAGTTAGCTTCCACGTCAACAAATTCAATTTCTAATATTTTTCCATAAATATTTGTTTTCCCCTACATTGACCCAAAGGACCTGTACAAATAACTCGGTTCATTATTTAATATAATCAATATTTGTGCCAAATTTCAAATCGATTCGAATCAATTTACTCCTGTTATCGTAAGAACAACAAAGGTCTATTTTTAGACACGAACATCTTTTTGCGGAAACTAATTCATACAAAGACTTGAGACTTGTAAGATATTTCACTAATGATGTGAGAGATCTTCGGTAAAATTTTTAAAAAGTTTCATACACTTTTTGTCAACATAAGATTTTTTAAACGTTTTGCAATGTAACTTTGAAACGGGAATAGCTAGAGAAACGTTTTTTTTTCAAAAAGAATTAAAATTACGACAATACTCTAAAATAAAATTTAATGAATCTCCTCTACGAGAAAGCAATATCCATACGTAGTTAACAAATTTTAGAAAAATGATGTATTAATTTCAGTCTCGGGTGTCGCACCCGTGACAATTCTTTCAAATAAAAAAAGTCATCGTGATCGCGTTTGTTTCCCAACCTATCTCCAAAGGTTGTGCAAGTCACCGGACACCTTCGAATCATATTTGCTCATATCGAGAATGAGTTTCCGTCGCAAATAAACGCTGATACTTTAAGCCAAATTTAAAATCAGTGATCAACTTACTGAACCCATCGGTCTATTAGTCATTTTTGAGATCTATAAGATTATTTATGATGTCGCCCCGTCTCGTACCTGACTTTTCTGGCGCGCTCATTGACTCCAGAAAGTAGAAAAGAACTTTAAAAGACGTAAAATCCGACCATAGGTTCGTCACTGTACTCGTGACGAAATTTGGCCTATGGTTCTTAGTACATCACGAAAACTGTCGAAAAACCGACGTGACCAATAGATTTGCTTGCACTTTTCTTGGATGTAAAACACGATAGCGAACGGCAGTGTACTGTCACTAAATTCGGCAGCAATGATACTAGCAATGATATTCCCACGACGTTTCGTAAAATTCGACGTACAACTATATGTAACGAAATATAAACATATAATTAGATGCTAAGAATATTTGATTCTTCTACAGAAAATCACGCAGCTTTATCTTGAGCTCGTGTCATTAAAGACTGAGCATAATCCTGTATTTAATCGTGAAGTGTTGGCTTTGAAAAACGAAAGATCATCCGCGCACTCAGCGTGATTTTGCAAATTAGTCTCACTTATTTACTAACGTCTATTGCACATTCGACCGTAACAATCTAAATCAGCTGTCTGAAAGTATAAAGAACTCAGCGCATGCGTGACTAATCAAAATTCTGTGTCGACAATTCAATCAGTTTACTAAGAAGATCTTCGTAATTATTATTCAGTTAACTTATGATCATATTAAAAAAAAATTACGTGTCATAGTGTGTTGAACATTATTATTATTGAAATTTTAAATTGCTTTGACACTCCCACGTCTCAATTCGTATCTCACATCTATAAACATCGAAAATAAATATTCCTTTTCCTAAATTGCATCAATAAAAACTGAAACGTTGAAAAATCCGAAAACGTAAATTTGATTTACATAGGAACACACGAGTCTCGCGTTTATGGATCAAAGACTTTTATTTTTTTTTCTTGTGTGCTGTTTTTTATGCACAACAATGTTTTTAAAATAAAGTTAAATTATTTATGTATTCGTTTACAAAAACTATCATTGTACATAAGCCGATGATGGGATCTTTAATCTTGCGGTGATAAAAAAATACATGGGCATGTAGCCTTGAAAATAATTATATTCATTCGTTGAAAAACGTAGATGTTATCGATGAGAAACGATCTTCAGATTGTTTAATTTCATGACTAATGATTTTTGTTATTATAGTTCAAGAAACGCAGAAAACTCGTCTATTCCGAATTTTAATGTGCAGGTAGTTTAATTGATTGTCCCTCTAAGATTACGATTAATAGGATGGTTTTAATTCAAACTGATTTTTATAACTCATGCTCTGAATGGGTGCACTATTTGAAGATTTTTGTTGCTTAATAATTATGTTTTATAAATATCTACAATATTAATTTTTAAAAGAACGTTACAGCAACGTATCTAATGACTGTTTTGTCAAGGTTCAAACGTGATTTTAAAGATTAAATATCAACAAATGATGAATGAGGTGGTCTCGTTTGATTATTGATTAATTTGAAGCATAACTTTGTTTGATGTCGGCCTTTAAAAAAATAAATCTTGCATATATGCCAAAATGATGCAGAGTGAATAAAACAATATAGCTATACTTGTACACCAAATAATCTATGCTTAGAGCAGCATTAGTAAGTATAGCATAATTAACGACTGATAGTAAGACAATGCTGAAGAAGAACTCAGTATTTCATTACGAAGTATATGTATTTACCTTTCGTTTGCAAATAAAAGAAATAAAACATTTTTATAGGGAGAAAACTTTATAAAAAATAAAAAAAAGATCAAAGTGTGGTCACAAAAATGCAACGGTAAAGAAATGACACATTATGGAATAATACATAGTAATATTCGATAATTAGTTAAACTAAAGAAAAATACAGAACTGACAAAGACTAACTATCACTTTCTGACGTTTTGTTTATCTTTGTTCGAATTATACTATTTTTTCGCATTCACGATCTAATTCTACTATACCATTTTTGGAAAATAAATCTTCAAGTTTAATTCCATCCAATTGGTGATAAAGCATTTTGTTCATTTCTTCTTTGTTGGGTATCACTGATTCGACAATTTTCAAGTATTTCTTAATAGGACTCTTTGCAAGTATCGATTTTCAATTTTATAAGCTTTCTATTTCATTCCTACGACAATATCTAAGCCATTAAACCATTTCAATCAATGGTTATCAGGAATATTTCTCTGAATAAATCAATACTCACTTTCGCGTAAATGTTGTTTTTGGAACTGCGAAATTTTTCAACTAATAAACCACTTCCAAAAACTAGATACCTGAATTGTAGAATATTATGAGCCCTAATGAATGCTGCAACAACGCCGTAATGGGCAAAGTATAAATAAATTTTTCGTGGATTGAATGAAGTTTGTTTCATATTCATATTGCCAACAAATAAATGTCTTGGTTATTGGACCAGCGCCAAGTTTTTTTTACTTCGACAGTGAAACTGTAGCTGTCACATACAGTTTCCAAAACTTTTATAAAATTTGCTTTCACTACTGATGGAAACCATTCTGGAAGTGGTAAACCCATATTCTCTTGTAATGACATAAATATATTGTTCGTCAAAATTGTTTCACAGTCTTACCTATAATAATAATTTCCGAGGAAATATTCGTGAGAAGCTAAAACTTCGTACATATTTTGAGTATTTTTTATTTTTTTATCGAAAATTAATCCAATTTTTTTTCGTGACAAAATTGAGGAAATTTGCATGTTTAATAACCTGCTCTTTATACTTGTCAGATCGATGTACTCCGTCAATCAGCTTTTAGAATCTGCTGTACTTAAAATGAAGGCATTATAGATATTATTATTTAATAATAATTATATGAAATCTGCACGTCGCATACTTAGAACTCTCACATATCTGAACAGAATATCCAGCTGATGAGGAGAAAAAAAGTATGGCACCAGTGACCAATTTAACTTTGAATTCTATACTTTTTGTTCTACTGGAGGATAAAGTCCTGCTATAGTACTAGTTTTAACGATATTTTTATACGATCGGAATCATAATCATTTGAATATGCGTAAACGCTTTTTGGTTTATAATCACTTTCTAAACCTTTGTATTTGTTTCGAAGAAAAGATCCAAATTTGTATTCTTGCTCCTTTCCCTCCCTGTAATAATTAGGTCGTAAGAAGGGGTTACTCAATTTTACCACATTGAATGATAAAGAGGAAAATAGTAAACGACAAAAAATAAACTGGTAAACCCTACTATGATATTGTTGAAGATAATGAAAAAGTGTAGTAAGACAAACTCTTCTTGTAGTTTTTAAAATAGAGTAAATTATACTACATTTTATATTTTCGGTAACATTTGTCACTGTCTTACGCGAATACTATATTAATTTGATTATATCAGAATAGTTAAAATTTATAATAATTTCTACCTTATTTTGGGTATCAAAATCAACAATTTCCTATAGCTAGAATCATTTTCATATATAGTAACTGTAATTATATTTTTTCTCAATGCATTAAGTTTAATATTGTGGCAACTTAGTTCTATACTTACATTCGTTAATTCTTCGAGACCTCGCGGTTCATATACAGAGTTATTCAAATAACTATAAGTATTTAATTCTTCTTGAGTTGGTGTTCGAGCACCGTGGCAAAAAAGCTTGTACGAAAAGCGTTATAATGAAATATAATTAGACTTATCCTACATTGCATTTTATCAATGTTTTTTTACGAATGAACTGATTTTAGCATCATAATATATTCACTGCTTGAATAAGCTCCAACTTTGAGTCATCGTTCCTGGAGACATTCTAACTTTGAATTATCTTCGCTCTTAAAATTAAGCTTGTACATAGGAAATAAAAGATGGCAATTTTAACACTCATAGTCTTCGGCAAAAATTGTAATTACCAAGAGATCTTTCAAAACTAGAGAAAATGGAATTTATTTCATTGTTACAACATAAATAATTACAGCAATATATTAAATATCAACAAAAATACTAGGAAAAGTTATTGACAAATAAGTGATTGCGTGCGAACAACTACTCAGAAAGTGTAGGAAGAATCAATTACTTGAAAACTGATAAGATAATTCATATTTGAATAGTGAGATTAAGAATGAATTTAATGCTATCTGAAGAGGACATTAACACGATTACAAAACAAATTCACTGTATAATACACAATAAAAAAATGTTATATTTGTGACTGTCCTTAAAGCAAATTTTATTAAAGTTAATTAATTAATTGAAAATATTGTAACGTCAAAGTATTCATTAGAATAATTCGTAAAAAGAAAAGCCTAGGGTTAGAAGGTGTATCCGATAAAAAAATCAAAATGTGATGAATTTTGGAAATGTATGAAATTTGAAAATATATTTATTCGTTAAAAAAAACATGTATTTTTGTTTATCTATTGAAAATGTTCATCAAGTATTTAATATTATAGATGGATATTATTTGATTGTATCATGTGATTTCGGTGACCATATGGGTTAAATAATCCAATTTTAAATAGAAAGAAAATCATAATACTATCTATAATATTATCAATTGACAAGTTTAACAGCATCATCTTTAAAAAACAGATCTTTAAGCTGTTTCATGTCAACTTCAGCCAGCAATTGGTCGATCTCTTGATCTGTTGGCACCAGTGATTCTACTAGCTTCAGGTAATCCTTAATAGGGCAAAACTCTTTATGAGAACCCAACTTTAATGGTGTAAGTTTTTTCTTTTCCGACGTCCACGCTAGCAGCTAGGTGTTTTGTAATAAAATAATGTAATGTTATTTGGAAAAAATACGTGACACTTTTTATGTTGTATTGATTTCATGTACTCACTCTTACGTAAACTTTGTCTCGGGAATCTCGGAATTTCTCAAAAACCAAGCCATCGCCAAAACGCGTGTATCTGAACTCTTGAATGTTGTGAGCTCTGATGAATGCGGCAACATTTCCGTCGTGACCACTGTATAAATATATCTTTCTTGGATTCGAAAAAGTTTTATTTAAATTCATATTTTCAATCATTGTTTTGATTAGAGGTCCGGAATGCAATTTTTTCATCTCTTGAGTAAAGCTGTAACTGTCGAATACAACTTCCAATGTTTTTATAAACTTCTGTTTCATTTCAGGCGTGTACCATTCCGGCAATGTCAAATTCAAATTTTCCTGCAATTGATTGCATTTTTAATATGATTTCACACTTGAATTAATATGTAGATAAATATGACAAACCAAAATTCATGACTAGCGAAGAAAGTTTATTAAAATTATTTAGGCGATCTTTCGCTAGTTGATTTACTAGCATCATCAACATAGTAAAGGAACTAACAAATTTTAATAAATTTTTTTGACTAATTACGTATAATACTATTTTATTTGTCATAATATTTTGAAAAGAACATGTGATGATGCGTCATCACACACAAATATATTACCGGCACTACGACAGAACAGCCACGACCGCATACACCCGCCCACGCACTCCCGGATTTCGCGAACTATGACCTCTAGAAACCTCCCTGACCGATTCGCACGACCCTTACGCTCGCGTACAACCCCTCGCGCACTCACGACCCGATCCGACCCTCCCCCGGGGAGCTAGAAGCCCCTAAAGTTTTCAGTCGCGATCAGCTGATCGCAAGCCCCCGTTAGTTAAGGCAGGCCTAGCTAGACTAAAGGTAGGAGCGACCGAGCGCGTGAGAGCGAGCGAGACCGCCGATGCTAGACCGATCGGAAGCGAGCGAGGGGAATCGGTAAGACCAACGAGCGGTGGATAGAAAAGGATAGGCAAGCGACGCTATCTGACCGGCCAATCGTTATCGGCTTAGGGGTGGCTGGACTTATGAGAGAAAACCGACGCTATCTTCGCGACCAGTAGGCAAATTAGGCGCGAAGGACCGACCAATAAATAAATTGCGCGGGTAAAAAACATCAAAATAGACGGCGCTGAGACCTGGCTTAGCAACAAGCTAGCCAATCAACAACAACGAAGGGGAAGTAAACTAGGAGAAGCGGCGCGTCGCCGAAAAACGGCGCGCGAGTAGTAACCGTTAAGCCTCGACGGACGGACGTCCGCCGAGCCTCGCTGTTGCGCGGTACGAAGAAGTGAGTGGAAATAACAAATAGAAATAGAGAAAAAGATAGTGAAAATAATAAGCAGATATAGAGGAAGAATAGTGATAGTGAAAATAAAGGAAATAGTGAAAGCGATAAGCCTAGCAGAGAAGACAGTGAACATAACGAGTAGAAATAGAGGAAAGAATAGTGAGTGAAAATAACGAGTAGAAATAGAGAAAAGGATAGTGAAAATAATAAGCAGATATAGAAAGAATAGATAACGGAAAAATAACAGAAATAACGATAACGAAAATAACTGAAATAACGATAACGGAACAACGTTAACAACAAGAGTAAGTACCCTTCCCTTACTATCAACTTTCTATGCATGATCAATAATCGCGAGTTTGCCGCGCATTGTCGACCGTCGCGTTTTTCGGGAGTGCCGTACGACCTTCGCGCGTCCGACAGTAGTATTCGACCGCTTATTCCTTTGTCGAACCGACGCTTAATCATTGCCCGCAATTTGAAGTTGTCGAACGCTCGCGTCTCCGGGGGTGCCGCATGACCTTCGCGCGCATTATACCTTGACCGAAAACGTTGCCGTTATCCCCAAGTTTCTTATTACGTTGTTTCTTTGTTCCGCGCCTGAAATAATCGCATGACCGCCGAATGTTCGCGCACGGAATCCCGCACGACCTTCGCGCGCCCGTTGCCATTGCTGTATATGTTTTCGCCACCGACCTTTCGGGAATAGTTTTGAGTCACCGTGTTGCTATCATCCGTGGAGCAAGTTTCCTTAGCGCGTCTTTGAATTCCTTCTGAGTCGATCTAAACATCGCACCAGTCGCGTTAGACCTTCATTCGGCCGGTAGAATTCGGACAGTCGCTTTTATATTATTCGCGATCGTCGCTATAGGTATCGTCAACACCGCGAGCCGTAGTTAGCCTTCGCGTGGCCGACCGAATTCCGGAGCGCAATTGTTTTGAGCAAGCTGGAATTTTCCGCGAATAGATAAACCGACATCACGTATCCGAATAGTATCTGAAGCCCGAAGCGTTCGACCGAGTTATTATTCGCCTAAGCCGACCTTTGCGCTGTAGTACGCCACTCGCGTCCCCAATAACCTAAATCAGGCTGACCATAGCAACGGGTAGACCGCTGGGCTGACCTGGGAATATTTTCGATTAATAAATTTGAGTTACCCTTAAGCCGGCCTTATTATTGACTACACCCACTTGATCGCCCCATCCCCCGTAGCTTTCGCGACCGGTTTGAGATCGGTAAACGCGTGCGCGAATTCCCGACTGCCCTGATCACCGCTCAACCGATAGCCACCGTCGCAGCCACTACGCCACCAGTCCAGGGAAGGAGCCATCATCCCCTGAACCACTAGCCGTCAACTGGGGCGCCCCTGCGACGCCCCCCCCCCCCCCCTCGATGTACCCGCTTCTGGGTTAAGAGCCGCCATGCCCCGAATCTTCTAGCTAGCCGAACGAGCCGCAGCCGTGGGTGGCCCTTGAGAACCACCCGTTGCCCCCTTCTTCCCCCTTCGCTCGATACGATTTAGATTCGACCGAATCGTCGCCTAGGACTTCGCGCCCCCGCTTCATCCTTCACAGGTGACAGCCGGCCACGCGCGCGCAAGAACACCGACGGCGACGAGGAGGGAGGCAACGGGGAACCACCCGACCTCACAGCGACCAGCAGGACCACCGAGCCGAGAACCAGCCGACGTTGCAGCGCTACCACGTTCTCCTAACGCGAGAGCACGGTAGCTGGCGCCCAACTCAATAAAATAAAGCTGCACACGTCGTCTCGGCTGACTGCGCGCCGCTGGCGACAGCGCGAGATCAGGAGAAATACCGTCTTTTATTTTTCCCCTCCCTCTCCCCCGTCGCAAACAAAAACACTTACGTTTGAAACTAATACTCCATACATATCTTGGATATTCTTGATTTTTTTGTCGAATTGAATTCCAGTTTTATTAGTTAAAAAATTAAGAAACTCCGCGTGCTTGGAAATCTGGGTTTTGAATTCATCAGAGCGTTGCGTTTTCTTGATAAGATGCAAAAAGCTATTCGTAATATTAACAAAAAAATTATCAATCTATCTTGATCATATTCGTAGAATATTTTCTAAGATCACTCACCGAGGACCTTCGTAGTACTTCAGAAGAACGTCCATAGCTTCAGGTACGTAACGGTAAGGTATTGGGGACCATTTCAGTTGCGGGTTCCACACGCCAGCATCGGTTGGCGGATAAAGTCCCGCGAGTATTAATTCGAGCGACATTTTCGTACGGTCATTGTGAGTCGTGTAAGCGTAAACCTCCTCTGACAAATAATTAGCTCTCAGGTAACCGTCGTACCGCTTCCTCAGAAACGTGCCGAACTCATATTCCTGTTGCTTTCCTTTCTGAAACGTCAAATATTCAGAAGTACAGATGTATGAATGATATTGTAATAAAATTGATTTTGCAAATCATGTAGTTACGGGTGTCAATATTCCTAAACCCACATCGTCGTAAACGGAACTGTTTAAATAGTTGAAAACTTCTAATTCTTCGCTAAGAGGAGTTCGGGCTCCATGTCTGAATAGCTTGAAAAGTAAAATTAATCGTCAAATATATTATGTGCAATAAAACACTCTGAATAGCTAATTACCAATTGCACAAGTTCCAATTTCAAATCCCGATCATTTGGCACAATCTTTGCGAGTAATGTACGTTGTGTTAGAGTAAAGTAGAGGCAATAGAGAAAAATATATTTATGGATCATTTTAAGTTGTATTGAGAGTAACGAACTTAGTACTACGAGAAACGCACCATGAGGACGGAAGACTGTAACTGAATAGTATCTCTTTAAAACTAACAGCTTTGGCCGATAAGATAGTGCAATCTTTAACCTCTTGAAAACATGGCATTGAATTCCCACAGAAATATATTGTACAAATCCTTGTAATGATTGTGAAAATCTTGAGTCTATTCGTGCAAGTTCAGTAGGGGAATGACGTGGAACGAAAAAAGCACCGCATTGACCAAGATAATGACTTTTGAATGTTAGATGGTCTGTGCACAAGACATTGCTAAGAGGAATTTTTTCGTTCAAAATCAGCGTTCATCGAGTACAAAAGAGTTCTCATTATTTTGGCTACGCATTCAAAGACAAATAAGATTTTATTATTGAAAAAAATTTAATAACCGATTATGAAAACTGAACACAAGGACATGCTTATCAAAAATGCTTCATTAAAAATCGATTCTATCTTTTTCTGCAAGTCATCTGATCGCACTTAAAAAAATAAAAAATCGTTAATAGTCGATAAGTGGAATGCTATTTAATATTCATGACTTTTCATCAAATTCCTAATAGATTGGAAAAAGTAACTAACAAAACATCGTATTTCACCAAAGGAAAATTAGAAAACATCGCGTGTTTGGATTAATCAGAACGCCATGCTTTATTAACGAGTTGTCCCTTGTTTCGTGACGTTATTGTAATACATTAAGGACATAAAAAAATATGTCAGTTTGTTTTCTCAAAAGCATTGTTTTTGTAAACTTTTTCTCGGCGTGACTTTCTATTATCCGATGATAAGAAGTTGAAAAATGTCACTTTTTTTGCTTGGTACGGGTATATTTCTTTGCATTTAAGGTCTCTGATGTACTTGACGTAATATTAATGTTTGTCTTCGACGAATCAAAAAACATTGCAACTGAGACGAAAAACAATGCAATCGTGAAAGGATACCGTAGAAAAACATATTTTGCAACATAAATTACTGTTATTGATTTATTTTGTTTAGTTTAATGTTGGCGTTCGGTGGAGTCTATACTCGAATATTAAATATTCATCTTGCGACACGCCACTCGGGCATGACATACGCGGTCTTCTTCTCATTCCTTTTGCCTCGATAAAACTAACTTCAACCCGTTCCTCGCGTGTTCTCTCATTTCAAATACCCAACCGAACTGTCAACCACAACTAAAAAAAATTTTATTTTTAACAATTAAACGACAATATAATTCGTAATTTTTTTACTTTGATATTTTTACTCTTAAACATTCCCTTAAAGCAGTTGGCAATATTTCATGTTTATTTTTTAATAATAAAATGTATATTCCGTGTCACCAATCTTCGAGTTATTCAAGCGACCATGAATTTTGCTATTCACAAATACGAGAAGGCAACACATAACTGATATAATCAAAACTGACACACATTTAATTTTTTGCGGTCATTAAAATCAATAAAGGTTAAGTAATGCATGGAAAAATAAATTTATTGATAAGTCATAGTCCTCGTGTTTGATTTTAGTAGATAATCTTATCTATATCCTACTGTAATGTTTTATAAAAGTGTCATATGCGATATACTGGAGTAAAAATGTCGATCAGGACAGTATTTTGCTTATTCTAAGAAGAGAAACTAACCGAATGAAAGACTTCAAATCGAATACTAAGCAGAAAACAATTTTTCAAGCTCAATTTTCTCTTGACATTTTCGATGGACGACATGGAAAATAGTAATTGTCATTTTTTATGGATAAACAGGTCCACAGTCATGGATTCAAAGTGTCGGTCTGTTGAGAAGATATACGAATATAAGAATACGCTATTTATAGCAGTTGATCAGGAGTAAATGTACTAATTGTGAGTATTCAATTAATAATATGCGTATTGATAAGAAAAAAAAAACAACGACACGACTTCTGTGCTCTCGCATTTTAAATTTAGAGTGCGAACAATTTGAATAATCAATATGCGTATCAAACTTTACTGATTTCACTGATAATTCGTACGTAAATTATATTATGATTTTGTAAAGATGTTACTCTTTATGGTGATTGTATTCATATGTTGAAAATTGAAAGATGACTAAAAAATCAATATACAATATAAGAAAAAAGTCAAATAGCTTGAAAATATTGTTAGGCAATGCAGCTCTTAGGCCATCGAATGAATTTTCAAAATTAGGATCGCAATCGCTTTTTCATTTTTTTTAGCTGGAAAAAGTTTATAGATTGTCTCCGCGAATTAACGTTGAAAATAATAAATGACAGAGTAATTCTGACTTCAAATTTTATTTGTCACAATATACGAATAGATTGCAATCCTCAAATTCCATCATTCATTGTTAAGTGTACCACATATTGTTCACGAAGTGTATTATATTATATAATGGTATGTCACGTTTGGTCAAGCAAAATGACAATCAATCAAATTATTTATTAAATGTCAATAAATATTATTAGAAAAATAAACCTTTTTTTTCAGTGTTGGGAAAGCAGCTACGATAACGAATAATAAGTTACGTTTGCCTAATATGCCCTACCTAGGTACGAACAGCCATAACTTTTGACCGGAAGTGAATTTTTTCACGTAGGAGAATTGATTTGAAAGCTACTCTCCTATCTTTTTAAACGATCCGTCGAATGATAAAGTCGATGACACGTGGCTTGAGTTATAGCTTCTTGCAGCAAACTACTTTTTTTTACATGCACGAATAAGTGTGCCCAATATGGCCCCTTTTAGCAAACGAGTTTTGGAAGGTAAAAATCATGCGAGACACTTGAAAATAAGCTTTAATAGCAAAATTTATTGCGATTAATGTTACATCTGTTTTTTTTGATACTGTTTAGTAAAAGTATAAACTACGTCAATTTTGGAAACTACTTTCAGTTACGTCTGAGGTAAACGTAATCTTATGCTGCTTTGTTTTGGCTTGCCTGACACGCTTAAGCCGGGGTGAGTAATATTGTTGCGCAAAAATAAACTATAATGACGCAGAGAAAGTAATAACTAAATGTGATTACGAACACACCAAACTCTTGCTGAATGGATTTCCGATAACTTCGCGAATTTCTAATGGGAAAGAAATGAAGAGAGAAAATCGTAAATTTTTACTTACTTTTATTTGTATTTTTAGAATTACAGCGCACTTTGTCATTTTTGTTTCCAAATTTTTAATTTATAACTTCTTGGCTTCTTTTTTGGACTTCTCTGGACTCCTTTTGAACAGGCCCCCGAGACCTCGCGTTTTTATATCGAGAGGGTGGTTGGGAGGAAATTCCCTCTTCGGGCCCTCCAAAGCGGAAACGACGCAAATTTTCGTACTGTTGTAGTTTCTAAAGTATACTTCTTAAAAATAATTGAAAAATATCTTTGAATATATATTTCAAAATATCGTGTAAAATAATTCAAACGTATTTTAAACATAATATAAAGTTTTTGTTATATCTATACATAGTTATGGCAAATCACATCCTTGATTCTACGGCCCTTATTGCGCATGCCAATTTTTTCTGTGTCTATTTTGCTGTGTTCGCGTTCCTAAATTAAAACTAAAACCATAGAGATAAAGTTGTAATTTTTATGAATTATCGAACATTGTTGTCGCAAGCGGTCATATTGAGACGAAATAAGTCAAAATAATAATCGAAGCAGCATTTGGCTAGTTCATACATTTTACAGCAATTTTAAAAAGCGCTTTTAAAAGGGTAAAAAACATGCTTGGCCGGAGCACAAAAGATCATCGGCAATTGAAATCAACGTTTCGCAACCTTAAAAATGTTGACACGTTTATCAGTTAACCATACTAAATTTTTACCACCAGGTAGCATAGTGTTAGCGCACTTCAAATCGAAATAGCAGCCAAGGAGCATATTAGGCAAATGTACCTTAAAAATACTATTAGGTAAACTGGGAAGGCAAAACTGTCAATTAAAAACCAGTCTACTACTACATAAAGCTGTACGAAAACAAGTTTAAATTTATGGCGTTTAACTATCGAGTGTTGCTTCAAATTCGTATGTTGAAATCCTATAGCACATTGATGATTTACATATGATCTTAATTGCTTGGTAGTAATGGATTTAGAACTTTTTTATTTAATGGATTCGTAGATAGAAAAAAGTATTAGCTTTGAAGGCGGACCGATAACTACTGCTAATTACAAATAACTACTACAAAAAAAATACATAAGAGGTAAATAATGAAGATAGGACCTCATGCAAGTAGGCTATATAGACTATTTTTAAATATTCTAGCAGAAAGTAAATATGTATAGGTAGATATAACTATTTAGGTTGAGATTGCCAAGCGCTAATTTTACCTGTATTTCCGGTCCTATAAATAATAACAAATTACTAAACTATGTATAAGTATTTGCTTGTTGCTGGAAAATTTTTTTATTTGACAACAGTATTTAGATATCTATAGTGTATGTGTACATTTTCCCTTTTTTAAAAGGTATATGGTTGGGGGCACCAGTCCGTAAACCTACGCATATATTGGGGATCTACTCATTACTGTTCGCTTAATTAAATTTTACCAATTGCGTGTAAAGTAAATGCAAAGAAAAATCCCCGCTACACAAGGAAACGTATGACGAAAGTCGTGCGTATCTTTTGTTTGCTCATTTGTACTTTTACACATGAATATGTATGAAGTGCAAGCGGTGACGTAAAAAAAAATCGGAATATCTCAATCCAATGAGATCGACGGTTTTATATAAAAAGAATTGATTCTTTTTTGTGGTCATCATACCAGTTTGAACTCTCCGTTCCTCTGCACATAAGGTCAGTTCTAATTTAAACTTACAATCAATTTCGTATAAATACGGAAAATAAAACTATCAATATGACAAGAACATATGTTTAAATTTAAAATATTCTAAAAATTTACAGAAATAAAAAACTGAAATTTATTTTGAAGTTTTTTCTGTATTTTATAATACCATTTTATAAATAATAAATATGTAAACCAAAGCTTCATTATAATCAACAGAGAAAAAACAACCATGAAATTTGTGATTGCTGTCCTTCTTTTGGTGGCCTTGGCCATGGTATCCGTCGATGCTTATGAGTCACCGGTACAAAAACCGAATCCAAAAGGGCCAAAATTCCCGACTTTCCCCGGTCAAGGTTCATTCAATCCTCGTCCAGGAGTAAGTTGCACGTTTGAATCAAATTGTTTTATTAAAGAAATATTTGATCCAGATCGTATGAATATTTTTAAAGTACTTGAAAAATATTTAAAAAGTCTTAAGAAATTGGGTCGATCAAGAAATTTGAAGAACACAATGCTAAATTATTGAATATTAAATTTGACAATTTACAGCGTTACCCAAGATCACCAAAAGAAAAGAACGGCCAGATAAAGGTGGACGCTAAGAAAGAAGGTGGTAAAACTTCATGGAATGTGGACGCTCAACAAAAAATTTGGGGTAACAAACACGGTAGCATTAACGTGAATGCTGGTGCTAACAAGCAGCCCGGTGGCAAACCCCAAGGACAAGTTGGTATTAGTGGCTCCTTCCAGTGGGGCTGATTTGATAGTATTATTAAGAATTGGAACCAGCGTATTTGTCTTAAATACATCAAATTTAATCAAACATGTACAATATGTACAAGATGTGCAGTAAATAAACTATAAGATTATTAAACTATCTTCTATTATTATAAAATAAATTTTACTATATAGAGTAACATTTGTGTATATTTAAGATGTATCGTATATGAACATGCTATATATATGTCAATGATTTAAATTTATAACACCATAACAATGACTTTTATTGGAATAACTAAGAATTTTTGAGTCGCTTTAGAAACCGCTACTCGATAAAGTGTTTATTACATTAGATGTTGGCAAACTGAGTACTGATTGATGTCGCTGGAAGCGTGAAAATCAATACCGTAAGTTATTTATACTCTAAATTTCGCGTCAGTATAACTGCAACTGAAATTATTATTATTTTGAAATTATCTATATGATAAGGAAATAGAGTACTGATTTGGTTTAACTCGTGTATATATGCAACTGATATGAAAATAAGGAAAAGAAAGCTTGACAGCTGAAAAAAATCAATATAGAAAATTTGCTTATTATTTTTACTACAGAAAAATTTGTACACTTAATTGCAAAAGAAATCAATATCATATTAAAATATACTTACTTGTGTTATTTGGACGCACTATATGCCCTCAGACCAAATCATAGGACGTACAGGTACCAAAATATTAATTTTTTATGCGTGTTTGATTCATTGCGGAGCTCAATAACAAGACCTCCAATAAAGAATATCAATATGATAACCACTATTGCCGCAAGTGTCACTGTTCTTAAAGAAGAATAAAGTTTAATTAGTTGGTTCATACTATTTACAAAAATACTAGCCTGTCTAATTCCACTCTTGTATCATGAGTTTTATCAATTTCACCTCGTTTAACTGCACCGTAATTTTCGAAGCTGCATATCGAAAAATTTCGTGTAATTTATTTGGATAGTTGCGTAATTGAAATCTAAATTTATTCGATAGTAATCTGTGTTTAAACACCATAAATCTGTCGTACACGTGATAATATTTAGAAAATTTAATCATACCGCACACTTTCATATAAAGCTATTATGTATTTTTATTATAACCTTTTTCTATATATCTTACATTTTATTTTCAATAGGTATGCATATATAGCAGCTCCTTCAAATATTGTACTGCGTAACGTGTGCCAGGATCACGTACACATCATCTTTCAAAAGATGACATCATCAACATAAATATGAGTTTTCTTTGTGCAGTATGAATGGATCAAATATTAAATTGAAAGATTTATGTTACGCGAAACTTGTAAAAAATACTTTTATTGACGTAAAAAAGTTTTTCTAACTCTCAATCAACTCCGTAAAATCTTAAATTTTCTTTGTACTATTAATGATTTATAGACTCACTTTTTAGGATTGTCACATATTCTTCAATCCCAATTTTCTTATTGGTTCCGGTTTGCTGCTCGAGGATTCTAAATGTACAACACGTTCAACATCGACATTCGATATTATCTTTCCTTGTCTATACAGAAATTAAAGCGTTATTACCTTTGTTTTTCCAAGGTAATGTTCAACAAGTTTCATTAATGACCATAGCAATGAATCAGAAAGAAAAACTAGAACAGATACGTTGCCATCACGATCAAAAGTTACGCGTAATAATAACTATACCCTCTGTCTTTACCCACATCTGCGTCTGGGTGTCTCTATAAGTTTTTATCCACACGTCATTTATAAAAGTTTACATTTACAAAAGTCAACATTTATAAAAGTCAATGGTACATTGGTCTTTACGCGCGAAGATTGTCAGTATGATATTCACACATTCATCGACTTTTCCAATTCAAACAATATCTTTCTATTTAATTTAATATGTATTTCGCAAACGAGTGTTTTCTTTACAATAGTTTCACTACTTTGACAAGAGAATAACACACTTTTGGTATTTTGCTTCAAATAGATTATTGTCTGTTGGTTCAAAAAGACAATAATCTGTTTGAATCCAGTATACCTCATAAATAATGTTCGTACATCTGGCCAATAGTCGAAGATAAAATGTCCTTATGTTGCCTGCAGTTTGGTCGCGCGCAACAACCAAAGATTCGTTTCCGGCATTCTATATAATTGTTGAATGACATTACCTAACAGTCGACAGTTGATTATTTATGAGCTTGTACAGGTGATGGATAAACTTTGATGTCACACTGTATTCCAGCGAAATAGAACGGAAAATTGAATAATTGAAAAGTATGCAATATAAAAGTGAGAAGCACTTTGTTAATGCAGTTAACAGTATCTTGTAGAACAGTATAAATGTTATAAATTAATATAGGTTTTAATAAAGCCATGAATTTATTTTTCAATCAAGAAAATTAACAGAAATTCAAAGAACAATTGTTAACGTGCTGGCTAAGCTTCTGATCGATAAAACTCCAGTCACAAAGTCCATTGTAACAGTTTTCTATCCGTTCCAGATTTTCAGCTACATAAAATGATACCGTGTATGGAGTCATTGATCCCGCACAACTATAAATATAAATCAAGTATAATTTACTTTTTTACGTTGAGTGTACTTTTACTCACTTGTAAAGTACAGCGATAATGTTAGTTGCAAAAGGTCCCAACAATGAAGTGCGATACTTGCGATCCTGGGAAGATGAGTAATTGGCAGCAAGAAGCGGCTTCGAAGATCCTCCGTCAAACCCTAACGCAGCCATCACCGTTTCTATTGTGACCGTGTGTGCAAAATAAAACACTCCTTTGGCATGATTTTTCGAATTACCGTCGATTATTTCTCTGCGAAAAGTAAGCGTTATTTTCAGAAACTTTTAACGCAAATTTTTTTTTAAACCTACTTGAAATGAGCGTGCATGTCTTTCAAAGGCTGACAACCAAGATCAGCATTCCATTGACGTCCAGGTCCGCAATAATAATAATGATCAAGATCCTCTTGATACTCAAAAATTTTCAGTTCGTCATTAGTGAACAAATAGCACCAGGACGATAAGTTTTGTGGTTGCCAGGCAGTTTCAAAACGACAAATGTTGTATAACGTTCTCGCCACATCTGCAATACCAAAAAAAGATTTTTAATACGATAATTCACATTTGTTCGATGAATCATTTTTAATAGTGTATAAACATGTATGCAGAGACTAAATATGGGAGGTTCGTCTATTGACATAAGGGGGAGATAAGCACGCGTACATTCACCGAAGGCGGGGTGACTGTTTTGGATCTTGTCAGTGAGCTCGCAAAATAGTCATCCCTCCTCAGAGCCGTACGCAAGCTTATATGTCCCTTCATCTCAATAGATGCGCCCCCAATATCGATTTAGTTAGTATGTCTATCGACGTTTATTTACTACTATTACCGTAATCGAGGGTTTGATTGTAGCCAAGACGACGAGTGACTTGTCGGAGTAATTTTTCGACTTCAGGACCCACGGCGAATTGGTTGCTTTCTCGATCGTAATGATCTTCCCAGTAATGTTTCTCCCATGCTGGGCAATTCTTATAGGCCTTAAGCCAACGTATTGAATGAGTTTGCAAAACTTTTGCTATAGATTTCGTTATTATAATATATTAAAATGAAAGACTTACTAAAAGAAGCGTATCATTGGTTGGTGGTTTCTCTGGTGGTACAATTTCCTCGGAAGTACCAAAGATACCTTCAGTAAAAGCTGCTAAGCTTGACTGAGTTCTCTCGGTATTTGTCGCCCTGAACTGTAAAATTCAATAATCGTGACAAGATGATGTTGAGTTATATTTGAAAATGCATTACGTACCACGAAATCTCCATGTTTAACTTTTTTTGGGTCAACTTGTAAAAGTTCAGGAAAAATATTCCGAAGACGTCGAGCCAATTGATACATGTCTTGTTTTCCTTGAGAAGTCAATTTGTAGGCTGATTCAATTGTCATATCTGGATTAAGACGCCAGTCCGACAATTGTTTTAAGATGGTTGAGCTCAAATTTCCAGCTGTAGTGAAATAAATTCTTATTTTCAAATATTCAATAAGCACTTGATCATTTAAATCAATAATAGATTATTTATCTACGCATATGGTTACCTCCATTTTTATGATTCTTAATAATATCATCTCTTATGTCGGCTAATTTGAAAAATTTCTGTATTTCTGATTGAGAAGGATAACGAGTTCCATGCCTTATCAACATCCATAACTGCACTGGTTTGCAAGCTATTTGCAAATGATGGAATTTAACTTTGATTTTTCAAAATTAGTTGAAATTATTTTATTCAAATAAAATCTTCATTTTCAAAAATCAGAACTTATAAATTTTATCTACAATTAAAAAAAATGTCACTTATTCTATTTTATAAGGTAATGCACACGACATGTATATCGCAGTGAAAACTATGACGGATAACAATTACACCTCTGGTTAGTTTTTCGACTTTGATTTAAAGTAAAATTATTGTTTGTTTACGCTCATTCCAACAAATCTTTTCTAATATAAATCTATGGACTATAATTTGCGAAATTCTAGAGTTTGGATATTTCTTTGACTTACTGGATTCGGGTCGCACGATGTCTTTTCGCACAATATCGTATATAGTTCGCGTACTAAAATACTTATAAATTCCCTTGTCTCTTTCCGTCGTTACAATAGAAGCATTTCCGCAGATCAATTGCATATAACTCAACAATAATAGTGAAATAAAGAGTGTCATGTTGTTTGCGACAATTGTGTATTAAAGAAGTGAAAATTTTTATTATTGTAATATAACTAAAGTACCAGAAATGGCTATTAGCACTGATATATGAATACGATATGACTAGTACGACTACAGGATGAAACGAAATTTATCATTGGATTTTTTCTTTTCTTATCGGTATTAGCATTTGTTTCGATATAGTTATCACAGCTGTGACTATTCGTACTTACATTTGTTTAATTTATGGATGCTTTTCGTATGATTTTAGATAATATAACCGAGAAAATTAATCTTATAAAATTTGTTATAGTTATGATTAAGATATAGTTACTGTAAGATATTATCCAAAGGGATACGCTTATCTTCTATGTATTTTGATATAATCATATCCATTATAATTATTACTACTATCTTTACTTTTATCATAAAAATTACTACTATGGTTAACAAAATTTGGACACCAATAAGATAATTTAATATTTATTAAATGTATGTTAATGGTTGCTATAAAGTCAGTAAAAACTGATACAGTTAAAGTAATAATTGATATAAATTATAGCAAATGGTATGGTTTTCAATTAATTGCAATTAAAGCTTGAATATCAAGTTTATTGAAACAAATTGCTAATTCTCCATCCTTAAAATTTCTTTTGTTATAATGAAATTAAATTACAGAACTCAAAAACATATGTTTAAGTATAATGGTGTTACTCACTCAAAATCAATAAGAGACTGATGCGACCAATATGTACAATTCATTTCATTATTATTATACGTCTTGCATAAAACGCGTAATATTTATGTATTATTTATCAGAGAATGCGATACAGGAACCACGATGACATCTGTTTAGAAAGGTAAAACTTTGTATATGTATAAAAAACCATTATATTTTACCATATTTTGAGGAATTTCCATGTCACAGACGAACGTCAGATTATCGATTTGTACGTATAATTCCAGCGTAATTTCAAAATATATTCTCTTATTTTCTTGAAACAATGTAATATCAGCATATTTCGATTTTTGCAGATTATTATTATCCATATGAATTATACATATATTAAATTTACTGTTGAAACATCAATCTTCTACTTCTAGAATACAAATGTTTCAAAGTGCAAATCGCACTTTGTATATCATAGCGATCTTTTTATGCATTAAAGCAATCACAACGCTGGATGTCTGCGACTCATAATTTTTTTAAATAGGAATCATTTGAGATGCTCGTTAAAATTTGAGTTTCGCAATGCTACTATTACAAGTGCAAGACGGCATAGAGTAAAAACACACAAAGCGGTAGTTAAATATTATGTTTTTCATTAATTTTCTTTCAGTTTACAAGAATATACTTAAAAACTTAGGTTTTTGGAAAATTGGATAGTTAAACGTTTTTTTTTCACTACTTTATTTACATTTTCTAAAATTTCATTGATTAACAACTAATACAAAAAGATATGCATCGACGTTCATATTCTGCCAAAGTGAATATTGTAACTCACCTTTTTCGAAAATTGAATTCACAGCTTTTCCCAAATATTTTGCCACATAGTTGCGCTTCCCTAAATTCGTTTAAAATACGCTTATCATATCCAAGTTTCAATAAACGCTCAATGATGTATTCAATATTAGTAAATTCATTACAAGGCATAAATATATTTGTAGGCACTACTAATCATAGCAATCCATCGATAGGATAAACAAGATTGTCAGTAGGCATCCTAACAGACTTAACTGTCACTTGAAACTTAAGTATATCATCGGTCCGGTGTAATACATTAAAATATAAGCTTTCTAAGTCCTATTATAAGCCGGAAACATACGTCTGACGGTCAAGCTGCTAATCGTTTTGCCAAATCTGCCTCATTCTCGTTCCGTCTGCAAGAAACAGATGTATCAACGCTAGCCACGACAGGTTCTTCCAGTTTGAAAGCACCCAGAACGGTTTGTGAAGTTCGTGAATACCGTCGTCCTACCAACGTCACGTTAGTAATCTCAAATAACTATTCTATTCAGAATTCAAATCAGAACCTTAAAATTTATCCGATGTAATATTTCGTTCTGTTGGCGCAGAAAGAGCATTATGACCAATTTCAGTTGTTACGAGTGCGTCGAAAATCAGTGCGATGTGTCAGACAGAAATATATCACTTTGCGAGACGGCAATTAGCGTGAGTAGACTAATCCGTCTCCCGATCGTTTATGTGTCGAATTTTCAAACGTGCAACAAACTTTTCGGAATTTCAGTGCTGGAAATCTTCGTTTCGAGTAAGTCAGAGCATCGTTCGATATTCTCGCGGATGCATCTCTTCACCGGACGATTACGAGAGCATTTGTAATAATAATATCACGCAGGCGAGTATCGCCAAAGATATTTTTACTTGCTGTCCAACTGAATTATGCAACGACGGTGGTTTTGCTGTATTAACTCAGACTCGTAAGCATCGATTTTGTCATTTGATAAATGTGCACTCACTATGCGATAACTGATAATAATTGAATAACTTCTATTTGATCAACGATAGATACACATTATTATCCATCGAAGCCAATTCCTTTGGTATATCCGCTTATAACAGTAATGGTCCTATTTGTTACGTTATCAATCGTAGGATTTTATGTATGGTATACGGATGAGAGACGCTTCCGTGCTAATATGTTGAAAAGACAAGAAGAACGGATGAGGATGGAGGCAAATGCAGCGGAACAGCAACAATAAACCCATCCCGTAGATCGCTCCTGTCAACGATAGAATAGTTCAGTTAATTACATTAATCAAGTCCTCTATTCGCGGTAAATATCTCATTCTTCATTCGCCAGTGTTAGTGATTCGACGAACCAGTTACATGCTTTCCGAAAAGTACCCACATCTACAGCTTCAGCCTCATATTCCGGCTGATATTTCGTACACGCGTAGACGTCGGTTCATGGTGTGGTTTTGTTTTTCGGAGTGCCTATGGCGAACGAGAGCCGATAGGAGATGCGCGAATTGATTGCCGATAATCGAACGTTTGAAATTTAACGATCATTGACCGTTTTAACAAATTTTTAACTTGGATAATATTTGACTTTCCAGATGATGAATTCGTTGGGAACTCCGATTGAAGACTGCCGGATAACGAATTTTTCGGCGCGTTGGCCCATTTGACAAGTTAATTAACAAGACGCTTTCTTTTGATTTGAGATGATTTTTCGAAGACATTACATTCCTTTTATTATTTTCAACGCGCCCTTATGGTACCCTACAACATTTAAATAGCAAAGGATATTTTGTAGTGATCTGGGTAAAAAACTAGTTTTTATTGTTAAATTTAATAATGTAATTCATGGGTTCCTTTGTTAATAACTGAAAACTAATTGATTATACATTGTGACTTACATATCTTTGCCTTGAGCGATCTATTTTATAACAGATTTGTAACCAAATAAATAATTAATTCCATCGACTTTTATGTGTTGGCCTTTTCCTAATTCAGATGGATATTATAAATCCAAAATAAGTCCAAACATCAATGATTTTTTAACAGGTTTGTCAGTGTATTATTTGTACAACTGTTATTACGATCGGTGAAAAAATACCTGTGCCTTCAAAGAAATTAATATTACACAACATTAATAATCTGTAGGTAATAGATGTGAGTTTTCATTGGTACGCTATTTCTGTACATTCTATCTCTTGATTTATATTTTTATGTATTTTTTCACACGATGTGAAAATACCCTACTTATTTCGAACGCCTTCTACGTCTCATTAATTTCAAACGTCAAATGGTCATATATATTGATTCTGCATAACATATGACTAATTTGTACAACGATATCGAATCAAGATGTATTATATTTAGTTAAGCAATCAATAAATCCAAGCCTATCGGCGAAGTCGATAGATTCGAGTTTATTGAAACTTTTTCACACGTGCAGAAAACAACGTTTAACAACAATATGATTAGTTAAGATAGGATTAAGCTTGTTTATTTTCCTCGGACAACCATGAGATCATTTTAAATATTTCGTATTTACTAATTCATTACATTTATGATTTGACAATATTTCTGTAGTCACAGACTGTATAAAATATTTGATTGGCATTAAACAGCTACATCGTTCTTTTTCATGATACAGAAAAACTGATCAAGGTATCTACAAAGTGAATGCTCAAGCGCTTAAGTCAAGGCTGCTCTTACTGCGAAAGTCGTGGTGAAAAGCATCGGGTAGAGCTTGCCGGGTTTTTCCCGTTCTAGTCAAAACTTCAATAAGGAAAACAGTCATTTACACGCCTATCGATGTTGCCGTTTGAATTGTCAGTGTCTGTATTTTTATCGATATTGTCTTGTCATTTGAGATAATACGTCTGAAAAATATGATTTTTTGAAAATAGAATTTTTAAACAATCGTGCCGAATGAAAACACGTGTGCTGAAATAATGATAAAAGTAACACTCGTGTTTGTAACACTTGCCGGAATCACTTTATGCTCTTTGGATTAAATGCTTGAAAGCGACTATTACTTTTTTCCCAGTAATCGACGTTTTACTAATTAGAAGAAAATGAACATTAACGCATGCTACGGGATCTCTCGTTATTAAACTTGGATTTAATTAACATTTATAATCAGAATTCTTATCATAGAAAAAGAACTATAACCCAAACATCAAATAAGCAGATTCTGAGGAGTAAGTCTCAGGGATTTTCTGATCAACTTTTATAGTATTGCAAGACATTCGATTAAATGATTTCGCGAATTGACCAATTCCTGCAAAATGATTAAATGATAACATTGTTCAGATGTAAGAGATTAATAATTAACGAGTGATAAAATAATAAAAAAATAAAATTTCCAATTTATTAAGGTATTAGAATTTAATGAAAATGTTAATTACTATCATATATCTTGCGTCTACTAAATATTATTTACGACTATTATTTATATAATGTTTTCAAATACGTTCTTATTGCATTTTTAGTCTGATTAATATATTTCTTATTTTTTCATATGTAAAACGAATATATACAGAGTTTAAATATTAGAACCCTACCAATTTTGGAAAGCTAAATCATAAGTTTTTAGATGAAAAGATTTTCAAGAATTCGAGGTATGAAAATTAGGTAAATATATACGAGGTTTGGTTATAAACTAATAAAAAAATACAGACATTGCAGTGTGGTAAATAAAAGTTCTTTTAATAAAAAATGTAAAATTATATTAAAACGAAACTTGTCCAAATTGATCATAAATACTCAACTATTTTGCTTATTAAATTAACAATTAAACAGTCGTAATTTTAAAACTTTCCGTAGAACTAGTTTTCTTTATAGGATTTGCTTTTGCCAACCAAGGTACCTGAAACAAAAAAATATGTAATAAATATTATATGTATAAAAAATATTGATTTTAAAAATAGTAGTACTATGCAGCAATATCTTATATTTATGATCAATGTACTTACAAAAGTTTGCGCAACAATCAATGGAAAGACTAGAGATGCTTCAGCATAAATCTGAAATAAAAAATGTTTCAAGTTCATTATTACTTTATTTAACATCAAATATAAAATGTAATTTCGTTTTGCATTGTGGCTTACCTTCACAGCTTTGGAGTCTTTTTTAAGTTTGCCCCAAGAAACCGCTTCGTCGGGTCTAGCTCCACTATCACTGCCATCATATTCAGATGCTGTATTGATGAAAACTCCAAAATCGGCACCATTTCTCTAAAATAATTGAAATTAATTAGGTCGCTTAAGCTTATTTACATTTTCATCTACTGATAGCACACTCACCATTAAATTAGCATTACATATGTGATGTTTAACAACGCCACCCCCAATGATGATTACTCCACTTTTTACTGCTTTCATTGCTATGGTGTTAAGTCGCTTTAAATCTAGTTAAATTGTACACATTACAAATCTTGATGTATAAAATGGATATAAAATAGAAAAAACAATATAACCATGTTTATTAAATTAATACAAATTTACCAGAAATAATGTCAATTACAAGACCAGGATTTTTAAAAGAATGAAAGTACATCATGTCTCCAAGACTACCATCAGTTAGAGCTGGACTGAAAACTGGAATTTTATTTTTAGCTGCCCAGTAGTAAATTGATTCTTTATTGTTTATTTTTTCACCCAATCTTGTGATAACTTTTGATGGAGTCCATAACGTTCCCTGAAAATTGTATAAATTAAATTAAATTGAAAACTTTTAATTTAATTACTCTTTATTTCACCTTTTTCTGTTCTTCCAACATTTGATCCAAAATTGGTGTAACCCAGTCTTCAAAAAGGCAGTAATTGTCATTTGGTACTAATAAATTTCCGATTCGGTTAATGCCTCTATCTCTTAATGATTTACCATCTAAATAAAAATCTCCTACATATGTTGGAGCTAAGCATTTGATAAAATCTTCCTCCACTCCACCTGCTGTAGTGACTATACAGTCAACCTTTTAAATTAAATATCAATTTTAGAAAACTCATTATGAGTGAGTTCTCTTTACTAAGAAATGATTACCAATTTGTGTTCGACTAGATATCTAATATTTTCTCTCACACCAGAAGAAACCATATTCGACGTATATCCTAGAAATATTGTACAGCCATGTTTTCTTTTAATGAATTCATCCTCCTCAAAAGCATCATCTTGTTCTTTTTCTAGGGGTATACTGCGATCTTCAAGCATTTTTTTAATTTCTTCAATAGCTAGACCAAAATTTGTTGCTTGAAATCCAGAATACTTATAGGTTTCAAATAATTTTTGATAGTCAAGACCATCATTAAAATCGTAACCTGGAAAGTCCAAATTATTCAATTGATTTATAACTCATGTGCGAGATAAATTTGTACAAGTAAAGTTATCTACAATAGAATATAGTTCAATATGCGAATTGGTTGAAATGTGTATCGAGACAATTAATAAAATTAAAAATAATTTACATTTGTTCATTTCCTGTTACAACTTCTGTAGTGAAGTTTGCTGTATTTTATACTCTACTAGAACGTGTGTGTCAAGAGGACTGTAACCTCCAATCATTACCGTTCCGGCAATTGTAAAATATATTTATAAAGATTTAAATATCGAATAAACTTATAAACAATGAAACCATAAAGAACCTTGAACAGTCGGTGTGGCTGAAGGAAGCGGAACACTGTGTTTCAAAACACTGTCTATCAAAGATTCAGGCACTTTGACGTCAATCTTCGAACTTGATGATGCACATGGCTTATCTTCCGCGTTATTTTTAACTACTTTTCTCTGGTTACCCTGCGATTTGCTGCTACTTTGCGCTGCGACTTCCATTGTTATTAAAACAATCAACAAACTTTCCACATGCCTGCTACTACAATTACAATATAAGATGCAAGATCAGCTGACAGTCCATACCGTCTGCTGCTTGCGCGGCTTTTTTCGTTCCATGTGCTCATTACGATTTCATTTATCAACTTGTTTACGGCGCATGCGCACAGTAAAAAGTACTATTTTTAAATACTCTGTCATTTTACCAATTTACCCATATCTGATTCATAGTTATTGATAAGCGAGATACTGAACAAATAAATCTTATTCGGTAAAATTCAAAATTTTCAATAAATTATCAAAGAGCTGAAGGATATAAAGAGGAGCAAAGAAAATATAAAAAACGAATTGAAAAAGTACATACTAGTACAATAAAAAAAATTATGGAAGCAAAAATTAACTGCAAAGATTTGAAACGAACACTGGAAACGTGGTGTGGAAATCGGTATCCTACATCGGAAGTCCATGAGGATACAGATATCCAAATGTAAGATGTAAGAACTGGTATTTGTGCACAAGGAAAAGACAATGTGAATTACAAAAAATCACATTCTAGAATAACAATATATAATTACAAAAATATTCAATCAAAAACGAAAAAAGAATTCGAAACCATAGTGAATTTGGCAATGACTTTATAAAATCAAGAATAAATGAAACAGAACCACTACAGCAAGTATACAAACACACACGCAACAAATAGACAAGAGTCTCAAGCATATGTACGAGCCTCACATGTTGAAATAGATATACAGCACCTGCATCTAATAGTCCGACATACAAACCTATTGAAACAGTATTTGACAGAATATACAAAATAGCCGAAAAAAATAACATCAAGGCTCTGTAAACACGATAGCAAAACCAACGTCAGGTATGCTGATTACATAAATTAATCATATCACAATGACGTATGGGGATATAAATTACATTGGCAATAACCAGGCAATACTGTATTTTGATAGAAGTATCAAAGGGAAACAAATTTATACCAATTCTGTATATTCACTAAAATTATAACTTAAATATAAAGACATCGTAATTGTAGATGAAATTGTTTTTACAGCTTCCTGCAAATGCGATTCGATCTTTCAGCATCGAGATATGTTCCCACATTATAGAGTAACATGTGCAGTTAGATTAATCTGTCCTGCAAGATTAAACCAAATTGAAAGATTCGTATTTACAAGAAATATGAAAGCACCTACAGGAAACTTTTGTACTGCCAAACAAATGCTCATCAGATTCTTAATCAATATGCCCAATCATAAGACTGTAAGTTTGCTTATAACAGTAGAGCACAATACCGCTGAATATAAGTAAGTGAGATAATACCTGGTTAGTAAATAAGAATATAATAAAACTGTTAAAAATTGAAATATATGTATTCTATATATAATTCTAATATAATTTGTTTTCCGTAGTATGTAAGTTTTGTTTATGTATCCAACCTATGTACAGGTAACTTGTTTACTTCTTTAGGCAATTATAAATGTACGCGGAATAAGCTATGAACTTTGTATTTTTGAGTCAATCAAAAATAAATAAAACATAAAAATAAAAAATACTTACATATTTTCATTGTATGAACTTATAAATATAAAGTATTTATCATTAATTAAAAAAATAGTATTAATTACATTAATGAATTTAATCCACTATGTATAAATGGTTGTTGAGGGCAAAGCATAAAATATAATTGTTAGCGCAACAGTAACAAATAAAATGAAAAATTATGCAAATAGTACAAAATATAATAAAAAACTAAAATATTGTGAAATAACGCGAGTTTACATAAAATTATTATTGAACTTATATATTAAGGTGACGCATATTTTTAATCTTGTAAACTCGCTTCCAAATATCAAATTGATATGCTATATTACTAAAAACTGAGAATAAGTTAATCTTGGGCCGTTTGAAAACCAAATTTAAAATGAAGATTCGACCTGAATTGTATTTGGTAGTTAGCACTGGGTAGGTAATATTCTACTAACATTTTATCATAATTTCTTAATTCCAAGTTACTTACTCGAATATTTAAGAAACTCATCAAGTAACTAATCAAATTTCATCAACTGACTACTATGCATTGTTGAATAAGGTAAAGTATTCTCTAAAAAATGTTACAAAAAGTTATAATTGGAAAATTAAGTACATTTTTATTTATTGTTGAAGTTTACATGATAAAATGAAAGTAAAATGTATCGTTGAAATGATAAAAATATTTATTATACAAATTATAATCTAAGCGTGAAAAATCCATAATGCATCCTCAAACCGATAACCGTTTAAAAATGCTGTCAAAATCTGCTTTGCGCTCTCAAGGTACACAACATTTCGTTCCTCTGGAGTACAGCTCACTATAAGCATTAATGTAGCTGGATCAAAGTGGATGTGCATCCGTATGTTCTGCATTTCTTCGGTGATGTTCGTCCAATTTCTTTCCAGAGCTTCAAGTCTTTCTTCTGGTACTCTGAACTAAATTAAAATAGAAAATATTATTGATTTTTTAAATTCATATAATAATAATGTATTGTTAAAGTATTTAAACGAAGAATCAATTTTTTCAATACTATTGGTATATTATTTATCTATGTTTTGTTCACTTATCTTTAATAAAGCAACGTGTTAATATAAAATACATCTCGTCAATTTATTTATTCGCTCTGATAATTAATATGTAAAACAATAAATTATTTTGATTTGTTCTCCCATATGAAATACAAGTAATTTTTGCAAAAAAGACCGTCTTCAATTTTTTTTGGAAATAATTCAAAAAGTTATTCATTAATCGAGTCAATAATAAAATGGAACCAACTCGCTAGCATTGTACCTTTTTAAATGAGCCCATCAAAGCACTTGAAATGTTCCAGAGATATGCGCAACCATGAATACGAGAAAAACATAATATCGAATACAGAACCTCCATTTTTTAATTCAGAAAAAATAACACCGATACTACTGTGGTAAATTACCTTGACTTGATATCCGTTCTCACCAGGATTCGCCATAGCTGCATTTTCCACCAAGTGATTCATCATTGTATCTACTGCTATCTCACTATCAACTATTTACTATTGTGAATATACAGGAAAGTATGGTGTTGACGCGTTCCAGCAGAGCTGAACAGTGGCTGCGGAACTTGTCATAGCCAGTGATATTTATAGAGTCGAGCAAATAACATTGGTTTAAACGAAACTGTGCTCAAGTAGGAAAACAATGCCTTTAGAAAGAGAGGGAGTCAACTGGGGCGGTGTCATCCCTTCTTCAACTCGAGGGAAAGCTAAATCAATGAGCGAAGAGTAAGTCATTAAGGACAGTGAGTCGGCGACTGCGCCTCAGCTAATGCTCGGCGCCGTCAGGGAGCGAATTCGTAGAGCGAGCATTGTGCGAGAAGCCGTCAGGGATGATAGTCTGAGTCAATCGTCATTACTTTGCCCACACCCTTAACACCTATCTTCTCTACCTAATACATTTATTATCTTACGAATTTTCAAACGATTTTTTGACCCTTGTTTCGTACAAATCATATCCGACTTGCGAAAGTTTTTTACGTTTAAGATATTAAATTATACTTTCAGATTTTTAAAATCTATCTTTTGATCTTTTCATTCTATTTCAATTGTCACGTGGTCTTTATTACTACAGTAAATAAAACTAGTTTTGAGCATCATATGCAGTGTTTATTGATATAACGTATGTATACATCATCCAAATGTAAAGCTGACGTTGTTCGCAGTAAAATTAAAAATGCAAGATAGTTAAACATTTCAATTGAAAATAATATCTCGGCCACAATACTTTTACTTGTAAATTATTTATTGATAATGTATTATCAAAAGTAGTAATAAAGACTACGTGACAATTGAAATAGAAACGAAAGAACAAAAGATAGATTTTAAAAAGTTGAAACTGTAATTTAATATCTTAAATGTAAAAAACTTCCACAATTTTTTACAAGTCGGATGTAATTTATACGGAACGAGGGTGAAAAAATTGTTTAAGAACTCGTAAGACAGTAAACGCATTAAGTAGAGAAGATAGATGTTAAAGGTGTAGGCAAAGTAATGACGATCAGCTTAGACTATCATCCTTGATGGCTTCTCAAAACGAAAGCCGAGGCGCAGTCGCCGGTTCACTGTCCTTTACTACCAGAGCAAAGTGCGACTTTTCCGCACGCTCGGGAAATGTGCGTTGAAAATCACACTTCCCACACATCGTAGCGAAAAATACGGTACGACACGTGTTCGGGAAAGAGTTTCTCGCTTCGCTCGGGCGTAAACGCTACACGAGACAAGAATCTACTTTCCCGCACTTGTATCATAATGTACTATTTCCACTTGATCGTAGTATCGATAAAATCAATGTTATTTGCTCGACTCTGTATAAACATCGCTTGTTGTTCAGCTCTGCTAGAACGCGTCAACATCACAGTCTCCACTATATTTGCAATAGTGAATAGTTGACAGTGAGATAGCAGTAGATACAATTATGAATCGCTTGTCGGAAAATGCAGCTATGACGAGTCCTGCTGTAAACAAAAATCAGATCAAGGTAATTTGCCACAGTTGTATCAGTTGCTATTTTTTCTGAATTAAAAAATGAAGGTTCTGTATTCGATATTATGTTTTTCTATGACTTATGTTTGAGCATACCTCTGGAACAATTCAATCGCTTTGATAAGCTCATTGAAAAGGGTATAATGCTAGCGAGTTGGTTCCATTTTATTATTGATTCGATTAATGTATAACTTTTTGAATTATTTCAAAAATAAAATTGAAGTCGGTCTTTTTTGCAAAAATGACTTGCATCGCATATGAAAGGAAAAATCAAAATAATTTATTGTTATACATATTAATTATCAGAGCGAATAGATGAATCGACGAGATGCATTTTATGTTAACACGTTGCTTAAACAAAACATAGATAAATAATATGCCAATAGTATTGAAAGAATTAATTCTTCGTTTGAATACTTTAATAATACATTATTATTACATGCACTAAAAAATCAATGTTTTCTGTTTTAATTTAGCTCTCAGTACCAGAAGGAAGACTTAAAGCTCTGGAAGAAAGTTGGACTAACATCACCGAACAAATTAAGGGCATGCAGCTGCAGGTCCACTTTAATCCAGTTACAAAAATGCTTGTATTAAGCACCACTCCAGAAACGCGATATACCGAGTACCTTGATATCGCAGGGGAGTCTTTAAAAGCATTCATAAATGGCTTCGAATTCGAGGATGCATTATGTGTGTTTCAGGCTTAGATTATGATTTATAGATTAAATATTTTTATTATTTCAACGATATATTTTATTTTTATTATTTTATCATGTAAACTTTAACAATTAATAAAAATGTACTTAGTTTTCCAATAATAACTTTTTATAACATTTTATAAAGAATAGTTTGACCTAAATCAATAATGCATAGTAGTAAGTTGATGAAATTTGATTTGTCACTTTATGAGCTTCTGAAGCCTACAATAATGATTCTCAAATATTCGAGTTAGTAACTTGGGATTGAGAGATGATGATAAAATATTAAATTTGGTTTACGAACAGCCCAAGATTAATTGCTCAGTTTTTAGTAATATAGCATATTAATTTGATATTTGGAAACGAGTTCACAACAAGTTTAAAAATAAGTGTCACTTTAATATATAAACATTAATAATAATTTTACGTTAACTTACGTTATTTCACATTATTTTAATTTTTTATTATATTTTGTACTATTTGCATAATTTTTCATTTTATTTATGTAATTTTTATGGTTGCGCTAACAATGATATGTTATGCTTTGCCCTCATCAACCATTTATACACGGTGGAATAAATTCATTAATGTAATTAATACTATTTTTTTAATCAATAAAACTGACAGTAAAGATTTAGAAAAATAATGACATCCATATGAATAACAATTGTACAACGTTTGAAAAAACAAATCCATCACCCAATGTTTCCAGGCTATTCAAATAGTTAAGGACCACCCGTATATGTCGCAAGCGATAAGCATTTTCAGGCATTAAGCAGAATGGCCGGGCATTAAGCAAAACGATGGCAAATAGCATAACTTACATGCAAGAATCGCATATACACATATTTGTCACGTTCGATTGGTTGTTTTGCTTAATTCCCGGGCATTAAGCAAAAGTGCTTAACCAAGTAGATATTTAGAAGTAGAAATATCTTTTGCCCATTAATTCCGACTCGGATTTTCAAAAGTGGTTTACAATGAGAATATTGAGTTTGGACAAATGCGGATTTCATAATATATATTTTTAGTAAATAAATTTTGAATATTAAATAATCTTTAATTGCAGATAGAAATTTACTTTCGTAAATTTTAGCGTTATTATTTTGAAGCAATCAGATAAATTACACATTACACATAGATGAGATAATAACTACATTACACGTGTATTTTACTTATTACAGCAAGTTAAAGATTCGCGATAGCGTGAACGTCACAGTAGTTTTGCTTCGAAGCATGAGCATCAATTTGTTTTACATGAAATCGCTCGCCACTTAATGCTTGTTCCGATGCCGCCTCCCTTAAGCACAAAAAAAAAATGTCTAATAGACCTATTGGAATTGAGAATGTGATATAATCTTCAACCGGCGATGGCGGTGATGTATCTTTAGAAATATTAACCACATTCTATGCATTAGCTGCTTGTGCCTAATAATCTTCTTGATTTTCAGCGATAATTTGTCCTCGTATACACGAAGCATCGACAGTAACGTCTGCAGTACTTAAGTGTAGATTTGGCATCTTTCAGATCGTATCACTTCACCAAAGCTAATCGCCCTATTACAAATTACTAACGTCTTACTAATATCGTAGAACATACGAAAGTTTGTACACAAAGTTTCAAAGTAGAGTCGGAATCAACTGATAAGAGATACATCTATTTGCCGGAATTATCTTAAGTATTTTGCTTAATATCTGGTGATAATACGAAACAGTTCGTCGAACCAGACAAATAGATGAATGTTCGATTTGAACATGTGCGTACTTAATGCTTGAAAATGCTCATTACCTATGACACATATATTCTCTATTTCATATGTCCAGATAACACTGAAAATGCCAATTAACCAAAAGAAGTTTCAGACACAGCAAATACTTTAATTGTTCATGCCAAGGTCCAAACACGCAAATGAATCCAAATTATTCAGCAGATGTAACAAACAACACGAGTACTGCTATCAATGTATCTAACAAGGAATTAATGAACTAGATTGAAGATGGGACGGCAAGTATTTTCTGGTGAAGTTAATACAGAGCTAGCAGAAAAAATATAGGGACGTAAAACGACCATATTATCAGGAAATGAAACTGTCATATATACCACTGTAAGAATGAGAAACAAGATAAAGACAACATCTATGTTTATTTTTGTGCAAGATCATCTCTTATAAAAAAGAACCTGACAAAGTGAAGTTAGTTTATTCGTGATCTGACTGGCTGATAGATAGTCACGTGATCAGTTGTTATGCGATAGTAGGTATACGTTATGTACACTTATGAAAGATTGCTGCAGATTTTCGTAGACGACTAAATATTCGAAAAGTGTGTCGGTATAGTTGGCATGAACTTAATATGCATTGATCGATTTAATTATATAACGTGAAAATAACGACCAACTGATACCTCGTTAGAGACATTAATTGAACATTGCTCTTTGCAAAAATTTAGCTTTAAATAAACAATTTTTAAAGTAGGCAATGAAAGGATTTTCAAGTGTCATTTTTGCGGTTAACTGAAATGAAAATATAGTAATCAAGTTGGTATTTGGTTTGTTAATACGCACCACAACAACTTTTACAAGTATTTTGAAAAGGGCGTAAAAGTTTTCAACTTATTAAAAGAATAAAAGGCATTAAACAGTCACAAACTCATTAGCTCTCCTTATTATAATATCGCGTAGAAAGAGCTTATAAGACAAGACGAGCGCTAAACGCTAAAATCATCAACGCGCTTAATTCGGAGTGAATCGGAGTTTCGGAGCTTGCGGCATTGATTTCCTCGTAGCAAAAATCCATGGAGCATTTCTCAACTGGCGAAGTGTACTTCCGCTCGAGGAAGTCCCAGTCGCAGAGTCCATTCCGGCAGCCAGCCATTTGCACCAACTTCTCGGCAGTATGAATGGTGACCTTATACGGTTTTTCCGATTCGCTACATCTGGAAATCAATCAACGCGACTTTTATTACGGAGCTGGGCTGACGCTTCGATGAGTGACGAATGAAAATTGATTGCCGAACGGTCCTACTTTGACCGAGGCAGCGTTTTGCAATGCACGGGCGTTTACGCGAACGTTCGCAAACAACGTCGGTCGCAGCGCATTCCTTTTACAAAAATGCAACATCGCTGAAATCCACGCCAATCGGTTTTAGTCATTCGCGTCCGCCATCGGCGGCTCTGCTCGTTGGATTTTTCCGATTTTCATCGTGGGTGGTCCGCCAGAGCGAACCCGCAAGAGAGATGCCGAAAGTGCCACATCCGCGCAAATTTATCCGAGAGGATTCCGCGCACGGCAGCTGAATCGAATGGAAATTGAGTTTCCGAAGGAGGAACAACAAGTTTAAGAAATAACGACGCCGCTCGTGTGGCGTTTCCGCATTCCGGCGACCGCCGACACACGTCGCGTGCGCGCACACACAGCCGGGTCTACGGAAAGTCCCCGAACCGAGAGTGAAAAGAGTGGAATTCAGCGCGCGCGATAGCGTCACACGTGCGCGCGCATAATTCGTCGGAAGCAGTAGGAACGTTTTTTTTTTTCCTCTCTTTTTCAATCGTCGCCGCGGCGACATAAAGCGATTCAGTGTGTCGGCGTGCTCGCGGCAGCTCGGGGTGACACGATATCACGAAGGATGAATCGTCGCGTGGCTTGCCTCTTACTGCTGTCGGTCTGCGTCGCGCAGGTACGTGCGCCGCGTTTGATCGTTTCCGACCATCTCCGCCGGTCCGCACCTCCATGTGTCTAACTGTTTCCAGAGCCTCGGGTGCAGTCCTGCGAGCGAGCGCGATCGGAATGCTTGGCGAGAAGCTCGCGAGAAAAGACACGTGGACAGCGTCGTCGCAATAATCAGCGCCGTCGTAGACAGGATAAAGGTAAGAGGATACTAATTTCCCGTCGACGATCGGCTCACCTGATGGAGCTCGTGATTGCAGAGATACGCGGACGAGGTGGGAAGCTCGGCCGCGCAGAGCTGCTACGACGAATCAAGGCAATTATTATTATTAGACTTGTCGAGTAACGGCGAAGAGGAGGTAAGAAGATGCATAGAAAGTGCCGATACGGAACTCATCGCCGACGAGTGCTGTTACGAACTTCAAAGTCTTATTGGAGAAGAATCAATGAAAGTAGCCCTGGCAGCGACGAGTTGCATCGATAAGGCTAGATTGTCGTATAGATAGCGCGTAAACTTTATCTGCCTGTCTCTCTCGATGTTACACGGATATCTGGCATATTTCAAGAGCAGTTCAAATATTCACGGTGCCTCGCAAAATACTCTCTCATTGTACTCGCGCTTTCTTTGAAAAAGAAAGATTCCTGTGTTCGAACCTGATTACTTTTGCCACAGGCGTGTTCAAACGATGCCCATAAAAGTGCTGTCGATTTTAAAAATAGTAGTTTTGTTTCGACTGACATCGCTTTTCAATTGACGCGAACAATCGTTAGCAGAGCGGCAGAAGATGAACGGAGTGCAAGCTCTTGCAATGAAATTCGCGATTACCTGTAGAAAACGGCAAGGACGTTGGTCGCGAACGGACCAAGGAGCGACGTGCGATAACGGCGGTCCTGCACGTCGGCGTAGTTGCTCGCCAGCAGCGATCGGGAATCCTCGGTCATTTGCAGTGCGGCCATAAAGGTTTGCAGAGTGACGGTGTGCGCGAAGTAGAACACTCCTCTCGGCTGGTTCGTCGAGTTTCCGCCCGCCAAAGCCCTGCGACGATCGCGTTCACTCGTACGACGCGTTGATTTTCAGAGCTCGTCGCAAGCCACTGCGACGTTCCCGAAGCCACTCCAACGTACCTGAAGCGCCCGAGCATGTCGCTGAGCGGCCGGCAGCCAAGCTTAGCGCTCATAGCTCGCCCAGGCCCACAGAAGTAGTAGTAGTCCAGGTCGCCTCGGTATTCCAGTACTTTTAGCTCGTCGCCGCGAAACACCAAGCACCAAGCGGACGCGCGGCCCGGATGCCAGGCAGTCTCGTAGCGGCACGCGTCGTACATGGACTCGACGGTAGCTGAAAGCCCCGGCGAGTCAAGCGTCGATCGCGGTCGAAGCCGCGTCGACCTGGCGGGGCTACTCACGAAAATCCACGTCCTCGGGGAATCCAAGTCTGCGCCCGATCGTCCGGAGCACGGCTCGAACCTCGGGACCGGCGGTGAACCTGTCGCGCTCGGCGGACACGTGCTCGGTCGCGTAGCCAGTCTCCCACGCGGGACAGAACTTTTGCGCCTGCACGACGGCAACAATCGCAGATTCTTTTTCAAGCATGCCTGAGCATTCGTTTCAAGGATTACGATTGCGACGATCGTTTTTTTTTTCTTTTTTTTTTTTTTTTTCGCATCCGCGACTCGGTTCGCTCGCCGTTCGAACGCGCTGATAATCGTCGCGGTCTTTGCTTATTTCTTTGACTCGACGGCGGCCCCGACGACGACGGAATGTACTATTAGTATAAAATGACATCGCTCCAGAAGTGAGTTTCAGATGAAACACGAGGGCGATCCTCCCATATCTTACCAGTAGCAAGGTGTCGTTAACAGGCGGTATTTCCGTCCGTACGAGACTTTCGCCGGCATCGAGAAAGCTGCGACGAAAGGCCCTCATGCTGGCTTGAGTCCGTTGGGTGTCCGTCGCTCGGAACTGCGGACAAATAGAAAGAATACGCGCGCGCGCGAACGTCTTCGACGACGAAACGCGAAACGCGCCGGTCGACTCACGACAAAGTCCTCGGGCTTGGCGCTCCTCGCGTCCAAGAGGTCGCCGAAGGCTCGCTTCAGCCGGCCGGCCAGCTCGCGCATCTGGCTCTCGCCTTGCATCGCGAGCGCGTCCGCGTTTTCCGTGGCGAGGCCGGGATCCAGTTGCCAATCGCGCAGCTCGTCCAGGTCGCGCGCGCAGAGGTGGCCGGCTGCAATGTGACCACGGTGAAACAGCCGCGAAGCGCTCGAAACATCGCGCGAAATAGCTGACCGCCCCGTCGGTGGTTCTCGAGGATCCGGTCCCTGAGCGTCGTCATGTTCAGCATCAGCGACGTGAGCTTTCCGCTGGGATAGCGAGCTCCGTGCCTCGACAGCATCCACAGTTGCGCCGGTGTGCAGCCTGCGCAGCGAGAGAGTATTTTCTCTTGCGCAGCACGATTCCGAATTGACGTCTTTTCGATAAGCCGGAACGCGCGTTAAGGCACGTATACGCGATCACCGACATCGCGCTTATAGCGTCATTGTTGTGAAAATACGTTTCGCAAAAACGCGTGAATGAGACGCCACTTTCGAAGAACGAAAAAGACGTGTACATTTCTCATTTGCCAACTTACTGTTTCCCAGTCGTGTCACGTCTCCGTGAACGTTTTCGTAGGCAGTCTTGGTGCCTAGATAAGGATAGTAATCGCGGGCTCTCTCGTAACATTCTACCGAGGCGTTCGTGGTTATCGTTGCTCCTGCTGCTGCGATCACTTGCAGCAAGTCGGCGATGATGACAAAAGTGGCAAGCATGGCTCGTAAAATCTTCTTTCACAATAATTTCAATCAGTTTTATCACTCAGCGAAGCTAATTTAATTTTTCGTAAACGATCAGCAATTCGTTGTTTTCCATTAGAACCAAGCTCCTCCTTGTCGCTGAGGAGCTAACTGGAAAAACGTGGAAACGTCATATCGGACACAAAGTCGCAAAGTGAATCGTGGCCGATTGCCGAAGTGTCGTGATTTAATAAAACCGTTGTCGACTTTTTCTTACGTAATTCGCAGGAAGTTGTCGAACGATTTCCAATTTCATGAGAAATCCATCTCCTTGCGGCTGGTGTGAAAGTCTTGAACGCAAGAGCCCGAGACACGGCGACATTACTGTTATAGCGAACGATCGGAAAGCCGAACAGTACGGTGCTGCTACGTCCCACGCAAGATTTGCCATATCAATTTTCGCACCAACCGAAAACCATGGGATATCTTATAAAATTACAAACTTTGGCTTACGCAATTAAATTATTACTGTACAATTGAAAATCGCTTCGTACAGCTACATATCAAAAAACTTTGATCGGCCACGGGAAGCCCCTCAACCTCTACCGATCGTCGAGCCGCAGTTCTACATTAAAAAATAGATTTATTTTTTGTTAAAAAGTAATGAAACTTTGTGCTTCGTTTTCAAAATTTCAAAGAGAATTTCGTTATAGACGCGTGTCTACATTCCTTAACTAATCACACTTTCACCTGCCGATACACGAAACGTCCTTGTAATAAAACTGCAATGTCATCACTTTTAGCTGTTCGACTCGCTGCAATTCGAATTAAGCTATTAATTTGACTTTTCCATCAACCTCCGTATCAAATCGTTCAACGTTTCGACTGAACATTTATTAAACAAAGATGAAAATCTCAATGAACCAACACAAGTATTTCTGTAACTACATTCAACATGCGCGTCAACTTTAATTTTACTATAATCTGAAATATCCAAACCTTTCGATGCTGTGTGATGATAGCCCTTGCTCATCAAAAGTGAAAGCTTTCACGATCTGATGAAACAAAAAAGAACGCAGTCGAACGCTCCATCGACGAAGTCAAAGCGACTGAAATCCACAATTCAAACTAACTTCAGTTTCAGAGTTTACCGACAACTTATGAGTGTTATATATGTATATGTGTGTGGGTACACACACACTTATATATAGACTACGTAGGTTCGATCACTGCAAGGCAAGGAGTATTTTCGAAACAACATTTGTGCTTAATTTTTTTTTTACTTTTATTATATTAATAAAGTATAGGAATATAAATTGCTGTTACTTCACATAGAGTTCGTCGTTACATAAAAAAATTATTTAATAATACTTTGATACCTTAGACAATAAATTATTCGATTAAAATTTAAACAATACTCATTATGATAATTAGACCAACGCATTTATCATTCACGTATAGCGATTCATTACACAGAAGCTTGACATAGTTTCTTTCTTCTTCTAATAATCATACAATCAAGATAAATACACTTTTATAACGTGTTCACATCAATTCAACTTTGAATAAAGAAATAAGAGGTATATTATTTGAATCTGTCGACTCGAACGGTAATTCGAATTAGGTACAAAAAACAAACCACAATAATTTATTTGTTAAATACAGTATAATTGAGTATGGACGGAAAATCCATTTTTCGTGAGATTCACATTTCTTATATACAAAGAAATACTGGTACACATTATATAAACGTGCAGTCCAATGACAGAAATTCAAAATTTTCATTGTTTCTTATCTCTGTCGAATAAAAAATGCTCATTGATGATACCAAACAACGAGGATCACAGAACATACGTTTTCAAAAAAGACAAACACAGAAGCAAGAAGCGCGTATCATCATTATCATCATCACGACGTTAAAAAAGGTACACGAGACCTCTATTTACAGGTGTCGTGGTATGTAGTGTAGAAAATCACAGCGAACGAATAAAACCTAGCAGAAAAATTGCCAGGACAATAAGGTTAAGATGAGATTGAAGATTGCTCGACGAATTAGGACTGATGCAGAATTCGGGGCTGCACCCATTCACTATTCCACCAAAGCGTTGCTTCAAATATTCCCAAGGGCAGAGGCCAACTTGGCAACCTTCAATCTGTAATGGCTCCTCGTTCAAGTAAAACATCACCTGGTTTGGCGAGCGTGCGTCACTGCATCTGAAAAACATAAATTAAAATAGACATAAGCTATATTTTTCTTTATTACAGCTTTATACCATAAGTTCACTTCGCACAAATCACAAATTAAGATTGTAATGATACACCGAAATTAGATAGTAGCAGACATATGCAATTGATGACGTCAGGTTTGTCTAAAATAAACTGAACACTAGAAAAGAACATGCAGAAACGCTCAACGGATAATAATTCATCGAGCATAAGAGGTGAGACATAAGATGTATAAGTTGTGTCGAAAACAGACTAATAATAGACGACAACAGTAGCGTGGAACGCCTTTGCTGTAGGTGTGTATGTTTTATAGAAATGCATATGCTTCCAGAAATAATGCGAGTCTCTATGTAGATCGTTCATAGTTTCAATTGACATTAGTCCTAACATATCTGAACAACAACATATTCAAGCTTATTTAGCAAACGCCAAGATAGAATTTTTCTATAAATATCGGATTTTTCCAGTCAAGTGCGATGTTAGTGCACTCTAAAAGCAACGATGCAGGAAATTGACGATTGGCAGCATTATAATGCACCCAATATCGTATATAATTCGGAAAAACGAGTGACCCTATTTATCATGTATAAATTCTTTCTCTTCTCGAAAATTGTAATAAGGACAAAGTTCCGAATTTTGTATTTGAAAGAAGTAGATAAACAGTCAAAAATAATGAAAAACAACGAAATATGAGAAAAATAACGCATTCATTCATACCTGTAGAAAATAACGACTAGATTCGAGGCGAAAGAAGACAGCTTGGAAGTGCGGAAATTTCTATCCTGCTTGCTATGATAATTGTCAGCGCGGATAGGATCTGGATCTCTACCAATGCCCAAAGCAGCCAATAACGTCTGCATCGTTATTGTATGTCCGAAGTAGAAAATACCCTTTGTTTCGTTACCACTACTTCCTTGCTCCAGTTCCCTGAAAAAGTTTTTTTTTATTTGAGCAACTATAGTGCACCTCATGGACACGATAAAGAAAAAGTAGAATATATTTTCATTTTGCTTACTTGAAATGATTGAACATGTCCTGAACCAAGGGACAACCAAGCATTGCATTAATATCACGTCCAGGTCCTGAATAATAGTAATAATCAAGGTCTTCAAGATACTCTAAAACTTTCATTTCCTCTTTGGTGAATACTGAACACCAGGTGGACAGGCGATCGACAGTCCATGTCTTCTCGTAGCGGCACATGTCGTACATTAATTGCACTGAATCTGCAAGGATTATGTTTCAATTAACGTATACCTTCTTCGTTTACGAATTTCGAATGCTTCAGAGAGATATGTTTTTCTTCTCTTTTTAATACGAATTTTTATGATAAATTGAATGTCGAAAATCATACCATTTTTTATTCGGTAATTGAAGCCAAGTCGTATGCTGACATTGGTCAAAAGTTCGTGGTAAGGGGTGTTGTTTATGGTAATAAACCTTTCAGACTCCCAGTCTACATTATCGCGGGCTAAACTGCTCTCCCAAATGGGGCAATTTTTGTAAAGCTGTTTGGAAAAAACGATACCAATTAAACAATTTATCATTGTGGACCTTTGCAATACAATCAGTACAACAATAAACTCACGCGCAGTAGCGTTTCATTGTAAGGTTGTTCATCCATTGGAATTGCGTATTTACTATTGAATAGCCCTTCTTTGAAGCTGTCCATGCTGGACATTGTACGTTCGGATTTCGTTCCTCTAAACTGGAAATTAAAACACGCCAAATTAAAAAAGTCCAAAATTTCGGTAAGCTTCTTTTGTATTATAAATTGACCATTGATAATTTTTGCATAACTGTGTTTTTATTGAATACACGTTAGTTGATTTGCAACAATTTAGACGATCTTGTTACATTTTGTTAAAAAAAAATGATAATTGTCAATTTAAAACTCCAATCAAGCAATTTTTCAAAAGTGATTGTTTAAAAAACACTTCATCATATGTATATACTATATGATTTACCTTGTAAGTCTGCGTGTCGACAGTAGTAGGATCGAGCCTTAGTAATTCGGGAAAGTAACTTTGAAGTCGTTTGGCTAGAAGATGCATATCCTCGTAACCTTGAGGTGTAGTCAGAAAATCAGCTATACTTTCATTGTGGCTACCCATAGGTGCCTGCCAATTACGTAACTTCTCCAAGTCCGGATTGCACAATCGACCATCTTTCAAAAAAAAAAAAAGGATTTTATACATAGACATTCTTTGAAGTGGAATTATCAATTATTTCACGATATACTTTTACAAAATCTATTAGCAGTAAAATGATAAAAACAAAATTCTAAAGGTATTGATAAGGGAGTTTTAAAAATACTACTATTTAAATAGTTTACGCAATTTTTTCAGATACATGCAAAGAAATGTTTCTTCGGAGTCTATACAAAATCAACGGGAATCACATATTTACACGAAAATTAACGAATGAAGAAATACTATTAGGAAGAGCGGAAACATTACACATTACAAAGATGACGCGTTTGATCGCGTCAAACAAGCCATTCGGCATTCCATTTAAATGAATTTAAAAGGTGTACGATGGTTTTGCCACAGGTAACCGTTCGTCTTGGCAAAGGAAACGCCCTAAAAGCATCGCGTCAATGGTACAAACACTAAAGCAGGAAAAATGAAAATATATGTGCAAGTGAGAAAGTGGGTCAACCAATACCATCAATCCCCCCCCCCCTCCACCCAGTCAAACGCTCGTCTTCATTTCGTTGGTCAACGCGCGCGTCTTCCACTCCGCGACAAAGGCTCACGGTCGCGCGTAAAATAATCTCGCATTACTCACTGCCTCTCCTGTCGTGATTGTAAATTATCTGGTCGCGAAGGCGATCGAGCGACTGCATCTGCGACATTGTCTTCCTGCTGGGATAGCGAGTGCCGTGTCTGGCCAGCATCCACATCTGCACTGGGGCGCAATCTGCAAACGATAATTTCGATCATCTCGCGCGCTTGCGGCTTTCGGGTCGAAGCCTTTGCACGGATCCAATCTATCCAAATGGATCGAGAGGTCGTCGGAGGAAAATTAATTGCCCACGGTCATCCCCAAGATGGTGATTTATTACGATTGGGTCGTATGTCAACCGTAGTTGTCGTTTCGATTCACGAAGACAGGAAGAAAGAAAACAGCGCACTGGCAGAGAAAGAGAAATTTAGCACGCGAGCGGCGATCATAGGAGAGAAAAAAAATGAAAGAAAGAAGCAGCCGTCGAGCGCATCGTAAAAAGCTTCCTGACGTAATTTGTCTCGGTTAACGAACGACCGCAGCCTACTTGTAATTTAGCATTTGCAATAGCAGACCTAAACGTGCCCATCAGGCGGCCGTTTCCGAGCTTCTCGTACGTTCGCTCCGATCTAATACGTCGCGCGACTCGACGTCCCCTTCCTGCCTATAGAATCGATATCGCGGAACGCGAAAACGGGAAAATCCCTCTGTCGCCTCGCGTGTGCGATTACGTAATCGGACAGAGAGGGGGACCCCGTAAACGTGACGAGTTTATATGTGTTGCGTGCACATTGTACTCGATGTAGTTTTGCGCGCGAGCAAAAAAAAAAAATACGTACATACATTTATATCAACACCATCCCGGCTCGAAGCGTTTGCCGCTGTTGTCGTTCGTTGTGTGTTTGAGGCTTGGCCCCGAAAGTGAAAACTCGTTTGCTTTTTCAACTTGCGAATGTAAAGAGATTCTATTCCCATCGCGTCGAGTAGCGCCGCAGAGTCTCAATTTATTGTCACACGACCATTATAAATCTTGGGAGTTCTAATTTCTTTTTCTCTGGAATCCGCGATGAGATCACGATTCTTGGGGAGCACGTGCGGGGCAGAGCATGTGACGCACGCATTTCAAATCGCGAGACCGAAATGTACGTTACAGCTCGCGCGACATTTTGCGCAAGCGGGGCGACACTTTTCGCGTCGCTATTGTTCGCGTACTGATGGTTTAAAGCTCGCGCGAATGTAATTGATGGGCTGTTTCGCGAGGAAACAAAAGAGACTCAGCCGTGGTTGTTTCTTCTTGCTAAAATGCTGTTTTTCTCACGCATCTGTCAGCAGTACGTCATTCCCCGGGCGCTTTTTCATCCGAAATGATGTCAAGATTCAAGAATGTACTCACTGGGAATGGACGGCAGACGATCGGTGCCCTTGACAAATTGATAGGCTGTTTTAGTGCCCATGAGAAGATAAGGGTCCGACTCGTAGCTGTAACATTGGTCGTATTCCCGGGGTTCGGCAAGAACCACCAAAGTCATTGTGGCCAGCAGAATTGCGGCAGTCGTCTCCATTGTCGTTTATGTGTCCTGCGAATATCAAACGTATATTTTGCAATTTTTTCCACGGTAATTTTGGAAGCGCAGTTTGAATTTCACCTCTGCGTACAAAAACTTGGCACCTGCGTGGGGAAAAGATGGCATCATAGAATTCTGAGTTCATGCAGATCAGCTTTGTGGGGGTTCACGGAGAGCTCAAGTGAGTATCGCGTTATTTCGACGGGCGGATTTTGGCGTCAATAGGGCAGTGAGCGTCAGTTGTGAGCATAGTGCGGATACATGCTTTTCGCCCCGTGTAACTTCATTTTATTAGGCGTATTTTACCTATTTTACTCGTCATCCGAATCCCACACGTTGTTAAGTAAGGAGTTACGCCGTGAAAATATTTAGCCTATTTCCGTAAGAGGATTTCTCACAGTGACAAAACACTTTTACGCTTGCATTTTTTATCGGCAAAGAATTGTTTCAGTATCGATTTCGAACGAACCGATATCGAAAAACAGTATGAAATAGTTTATTAAGGCACGACATAGATACTTTTTGCAACGAAGTTCTGCGTAACAATAAAAACATTGTCCTTACAATGATTCAATGCACGCCAAATAAAAATACAGAGCGAGAACTAATGGATTTCTAAAATATAAAAAAATTCTTTCGAAATGTGCGCGAGTACATCATCTAGCAGCAAAGATGACCTACCAAAGCGCAACGACACGTAAGCATGACAGGAAACAAATGTATGCGTGATACATCTGATATATATGATATATCTTCGAATCTACACAAAGTTGTCGAAAATTTCACTCGGGCTTTTGTTTTTCTTTCACGTTTCGCCTGATAACTATTTAAAATAGGACAACAGCGGCGACGGAAGTAAAAGCAACTTTATCTTAACTATCAGTGTTTCAAGATAATGTAATGCACTTCATTAACAGGGTTATCATGCTCCATCAGGCCTCGCTTTGACAGTTATTTTCCGCACACGTTGAGTCGCAATGATGTGACTAGCGGGTTTTATTTTAGCGCAGCGCAGGAAAATACCAATTTGTGCATTATACATCTCAGCCTGACACGCGGCGCTGGGGTCTGCGCCTCGCATCGGGATCACCAATTAAAGTGATTACGGAACGCGGTTTATGATGACATCGAGCGGAAATCGCTTATTTTTAAATACCAAGGTCATTAACTCGCTCCCGTCCGCGATGATAATTCATATCGATTCGCATCGCTGATTTTCCCTCCGCGTTCTCTCGGTCATCTTTGCAGATCGTTGAAGCTCGTGAGTCAACCGCGGTGCCATTCGTGAGTCCAGTGGCGCAATCACTGACTCACGTTTCTTCTGTAAGCGCATCGTTCTCGTGGCAAAATCTCCCGAAAGCTGTTCCCGCGAGCTGAATCCACCTGCAACGAGGTCGCAAATCGAAAGCACTAACTTCGCGATTCCGTTCTAATTTTCGCGTCTGACGAGTGGAAGGGCACACCGAGCGCGCACCGCGAGACCTGTGTGTATACATGTATACTTTCACATTTGTACAAGTTGCGCGTGACGGCAAAGTGACTCTCGTCTAGTTTCCGCTGTTTTTTTCTTGTTCTACCGCTCGCCCGACCGACTTCCAGTTCATTTTCACGCGTAACTTCGCTTTTCTTCCTTCGGCCTCTTCCCCTTCGATTCGCTGCTTCGATCGTTCTTGAGCTGCGAAGCTGCATAATCCCACATACGTTTCAATGAAGAATTCGGTCAAGTGCAACCAACACGTATACGCAAACCTTCGTTTCGAAATATCTCGACCAGGAGAATTTGATTTGCACGTGTGTATACAGCGAATCGTCGCTCGCGCATTATGTATACAATGCATCGGCAATTAATTCCAATTAAAAAAAAATCTAACGCAGTACGAGTTTGGCAGGACGGATGTGCTTCGCACGTGACAATAGCAAATGTACCGTTTGCTTCGGGAACGTACTTATCATAACAGCCGCTCAAAACAAATTGATGAAACTGTACGAATGAAAGAAAGGCACGAGTGTCCTTCGTTCAATTTAACGTACTCTCTTGTATTCGCACGGACAGTTTACACGACGAAGCGGCGCGCTTCGATTCCCTCTCGATTAGTTTTAGCAGACGGTCAGCCGCACGAATAACAAAGCGTAGGTTCCGTTATTTTTTAATTAAATCGACCGTTAATGCAAAAATTGCTCTCGTAATAAAACCCATTTGTGGCTATTTATAACATTAATTTTTATAAGCCAGAGACAGTATAAGAAAAAATTCCTGCGCAATGAAAGCCAAAATAATTACCAGTAATTACGTCAACGAAGTCGAGTCCATTGTAACCGATTAAAATTAACTAAAGAGAAATGTGTCAATTTGTTGAAGTAATTTTGAAGTCCCATTGCCTCCTTGCACCCGCTCAATTATAACACACGAGAGTGACGTAATATTTGAAAACGATTCTGTAGTTTTCTTTCCTGTTGTTGCGCTCGTTGCTATGGATTTGTTCCTCGAACCTACTTTAAAAGTAGTAGCTGCCACCGAACGCAGAAATTTTTCGTTGAACTTCATGCCAATCGACCGTCAGGTCGTCGGGGTGGGGGGAATTGCCAGGCGCAAGTTGATTACACGACGTCAACAAGCATCAAAGAAGTCCAAATGAGCCCGACATTATTTCGATTACGACCTAGCGTTGGTCTCCTGCTAGAATACCGTCGGTTATTTTTCCGGGATAAGCTCGAGACTGCCGTAAGCGAGATTTGAATGCCAATTGTTATTTTCATCTATGTTATTTTTCGCGTATCCACAGTAATGCGCCATTTATCGATATGTAAAAATCAAATCTATGCTCGAACGACGAACAAATTTTAATCGTGTACATTGATTAGCTTCGACCAATTTTCATGGAATGTCATTGGAGCAGATTGTTGTATTTCAATATGGATAGTTGAGAATAGTTTCAAGTAAATATTGTCTCTATGAATGTCAGGTATGACAAGGTACAGTAACGGCAAATGCTTGAAAATAAAAGTAATTGACCATATCGCGTATGAAAGCGGAGTATACATAATGTTTGGAATGCGAAATTTAATGCCGTATATAACAGAAATATGTATTTCATCGGTATAATCCAATATTCGAAGGGCTCACTGCAGTTTCATGGAAGAGCACAACGTGCGTGCCGATTGTTACGCCGAAGACAACTCAGTGCTCCGAACGCAAAAACAAACGAAAGTCGCCCGCCACGCGATGGTAACGTCAGTTCAGTCGATCCCAAAAATTGAAATATTTTTAGCTTACAGAGGTATTTTTACGTAAGCGGTGCAAAAAAAAAGAAGGCAAGAAAAGAAAAATGGCCCAGACACTTTCTCCTCCGTATCGTCACTTTCATTTGCGATACACGAACAATAAATGTTATGGTCAACATCGTAATTTCACGCATTACATTTCCGTAGGGTCGGACAAATAAATACTTAATTGCCGCCGAGATCGACGATGTGTTCAGTGAAAAAGAAAACTAAGAGCGATTGTCATGAAGGTTAATGGTTGAAGCCGCGTTTGCTCAGATCGTAAACACACGTGGATGAACATTCCGGGAGTCACTGACCCCCATGTACAGTTCATTTCGAAACCAAAGGCCACTCCTCTGCCGCCTTTTTCGCGCGCTACATTAGTCGAAACAATCGCGGGTCGTCACAGCTATTCGCTAAAATAGAATACTCACACAATTATGCTACGCAGAGTGTACTGTCTCTCGTCACTTTGCTTGCCAAGCAGCGACGCACTACGTATGTAAAAAAGTTCGGAGCTTCGCTTTGTCCGTTCTCACGACGAAATATCGACCAAGCAATGTGCCTGGTATATACCTAAACTGCGTGCGGCTTATGTCCAACAACGCAACTCACGAAGAAGAGTTGAGTCACGCACACGATAACGCGCACGAGACGCGACTGTCTCTGCCTGCTCCTACTCGGCTGCTCAAAACTGACTGCCTCTCTCTCTCTCTCTCGCACTCTCTTTCTCGTGATCGCGATGCCGCGCCGCGCCGCAGCCGATCTCTTGGTCGGCGGCGCGATCAACGCCGTACCTTCGAGCGCATGCGCAGGTACACGCCCGGTTCCAATTCTTTGGAATAGCACGCACTGCTTCGCTTGGACTCCCTCTTCGGAGGTTAATTGAGGGGATGTGCGGAATCAGCGATGTCACTCGGAGAACTATTCCTACTCTCGATCGCTGCAATTGGAACCTTATTTAACGTTTCGTTAACGGTTTCGTCTAGCTCCTTGGAAACTTCACTCCCGAACGCGAATCAGAACGCACTGTTGATTCATTGTTCGATGTGGCTATTCTAAAAAACTTGAAGAATTGGCAGCAGTCAGTGCTACTGATTAGAATACATTCACGAATGCTAGCTCATCCTTGAGTTTATGGTATTCATGGAATACGTCAATGATTGTATATACTGCATTAACGTTCTTCTGGATCTTCTAATGCATAATTAGCTTTTAACGTCAGGTACAGATTCTAAATTTGTCGCACTATCACCCCTCAAACAAAAGATAAAATTCTCAAAATTAATTCCAAAAATATCCGATTTTAAATTACTTTTTAGTTGTCAGTGAAATTATACCCTTTCAAGAACATACGCCTTCAAATAAGTCCATTTATACTGATATCGGTTGAACTGTTCCAGACATGTGCGTAAATATGAATCGACGCATTGCATATTTCCACCCCGCGCATCGACCAAATTAATTTTAGTAAAAGTTTTTTTTTTTTGTTTTTGCTTGTCTTTTGCCGATTTCGACCTCGCTGGGCTGGAAAATAGTATACGCACCACAGTTGAGAAATTGGCAAGTCCACATAGCACGTGAGAATTGACAGCCGAAGCGTCGCCTCAATTCTCACGTGCCACGGACTTACCAATACCTTCTCGCACGCTGCAAAGAAATGACGAAATGCAGTCGTAGAACAAATAAGTCCTTGACTTCCGTTGATATTCGCCTCGTTGGAAAATTGCACCCACTTAAGCGGGTATACGCGCGATATCGATAAATTATATTTTGAAATTTGTATTCGAAACCGCTCGTACAGCTATTTAAATGAACTATGAAAGTGTATCGACATACTTTAACGTAAATATATGACCAACGCTATCATTAAGATGGTCTCATATATAAATGCGGAAAATCGGGGCATACATATACCGTTCAACAAAATGCCGCTCAAATTATGTGTTCGTGATGAACAACGTACGGAATTGTTCAAATAGTGCCTCCGAATAATAACTAAGTAATAACGGCAAAGAAAACTCCGTGGAACTAAATGGGCCGTTATCACTGACATTTAAACGGCACCGGTAAAAATGAAAGAGTCATAATTGTGAAGAATGTTAACTGTTTGATGGACATATAGACAAAGTCTTGAAAATAGAAAACGAAGAGATCCGATAAGAAAATAACTGTATTAAAGAAATTAAAATAAAACGATTGAGCGTCATTCCTTTACTTCACAGAACAATCAAATTAAACTCTGTCGTGCACATAGAAGCTTTCAGGCCACCTAGAAATATGGGGGCTTGCGGCTTTAATGCGACGAACGCCGAGCTCAAAAAACTGCCGCACAGCGGGACCCAAATCAACACACAACGCCAGAAGGATATAATTATTGTTAAATGAACTGGCCGTAAAGTTGATGGCGCATTGTTCGACCTTGTTCGCGATTTCTTTTATTATGATGATAATAATAGTATTATAAAAACTAGTTTCAAATGCTTTTTGTTCACAGTGTTGGCATCAACGCGGAGGAATTTCTGAAAGGTATTTTAAAATACCTCGTAAGCACGTTTTACCGGCAGATCTCACTCGTCGCTTCGTGTAAGCTGGCCAACGTCTCGCATCCGTTCGAGCGCATCGGCATCTACCTGAGGGACCTGGTGGACCCCCGCGGCGTTGGGGAATTGATGACAAGTGAAATGAAAAAAGTTGTAAAAAAATATTTCGCCACTGATAACCGTATCTTTCGAAAGTTATTTAAAGAAAATTTATATAAAAAAACTGGAATATTCCAATAAAATGAATGTGACGTAAATTCATACCTCGTTACTTTCAATATAACCATCGAATATATCGTCCGTTATTCCCTTCTCTCTCTGGTGGAAAAAGCCGGCAACAGTAATAAAACAATAGCAATAATTTCCTGATAAACGTAATTTTTCTATCGTTACTTTTATTTTCCAATGAAACCCAATCGGTCCCGAGAGAAAGTTTTCCAGCGCCAACGCTGCACGCAGGATTTCCTCCCTGCAGTCATCGTCTGAATCAACAGGTAAAGAAAAATCGATGCTGTCTGGGCAGACAATACCTCCTCGATTAAACAGCGTGTACAAATGTGTTCAAGGCACAAACGAAGTTTTATTTGGTTAATGGCTGTGGAAACAAATTTATCGAATGAAATGCCAATGCGGCAATTAATTAATTGAGCTTTATATTATAAGATGTGCGTCTTATTTGATTTTTCCAATTTCCCCGTCTATAGATAAATATCAATTATAAACATTACAAATTAGGATATCGTTAGATATTCTAAATCGTTGCCCTGCTAGTCACGTCTTGATTATGTAAACATGACTGTCGCCAAGTCATTCTTAATAAGTGCGGGGGTTTGCTGGAATGGCCACGAACAAATTACACACGTTCTAGAGACGAAAAATCAAAATTGTAGAAACATATATCTTGAAACAAATATGCTAGTATATTATTTGATTAGAGTGATGTATTTTCTAATTTTCAACCTATTTATTTATATTAATTCTAGATGTTTCGAATATTCTCAAATCAATTTAAATTAATACGTTAGCTTAACTTACTTACGATATATGCTTATATCGATCAATATAAAAGTACTATAAAAAGAACACCGGCGTTGTCGCCGTCACTTAAGCGCGCAATCCAGGTCATTATCAGGGCCTCGCATCCTATTGTCGTGTGATTATGTGCGTCGCTCTCTCCACGTGATGCCCATTATTACATCCTTGACGTCGCGTATTTAACATATAAGTTGCATAACGCGACTGCGAAAGTTTTGCACGCTGTATGTTGCTGATTTACCGTTCACACAATTTGGTGACGGTTTGCTGCCAAAGACAGTATATATATTGTTTTATGAATTTTGGTGATTGAGGTTGAAACTTTCGATCGATGAATATCATTTTCATTGTTTGCTTACATGAACAGTTTGAAAACAATTGATGCTGCTGACCGTACTGTTCTTTATTCAACAGGGCAAATTTTATTGTTCTGCATATTCGCTTTGATTGTTATGTACAAGTTTTTGCAAACAATTATAACGTAGAATATATTTCATTGAATAAAGAAGTTCTGTATAGAATTGTACCGAAATTTAGATTAATAACTGTATTATAAGGTTTTTAATATTATTATAATTATAAGGTTTCACCTATTGAACAAGATAGAAATTTTTTATACGCGAAAAAATGAAGAAAAATAATTCTAATAAATAACAGATTTGATCAAATAAAAAAAGAGTTAAAAGTGAAATTCAGATTTCAACCTAGAAAAAACCGAATGCGAACGTTCAATAATAAATTATTAAACATTTTATGGACAATAAACAATGTTAATAAAATTGAAAAACAAAATTTATTGTGTAAACTGGAATTGTTATTTCGAATTCATCGTCTTATATAAAATTATATTTAGAGCGGATAAATAGAACACAATTCAAATAGATATGAAACGTGCACTAGTTAAAAACTTGTTGGTCAAGCATACGATGTGAAAAGTTCAGTTGGGCAATATTGAAAGTAGTCAATGATTCCAGAAATGACTACTTTTTAACAATATGTTATTTCATACCTGAAAAAAAGAGAACTAGTAGTATTGCTGCATTAAATGAAGAACTTCAATCTATAAATAAAAACACGGACAAAAGTAATTAATTGCTTGATGCAATTGATATATAAGGGGTAAAGTTACAATCTATTTTTCTCCTAAATATTACTTCTGTGGATAACAGAGCTGGAAATTTTCGTATAGATATGAGTACAGCTACCGTACCTCAGGTCGATAATATTTGTTAACTGCATGTGCCTGTAGTCTCAGCTCGTTAATTACTCAGACACATCGGCAAGCGCCAAGTCGAAAATTCAGAGCTTGAATTTACCTCAGTTTTGTCTTGACCGAGCTCGACATTGTTTATTTAATATGCCTCGTGGTTTTACTTGCATTTAACAGTTTATAATTGTTTAAATATTTTTTTTCTTAGACTATAATGACTTGAATGCAGTAGCCTTTAAAAAAATAGCTAAAAAGACGATATTTTTTAAATAAAGCTGCACTCAGTCTAATATCAGACTTGTAAAATCATTGTAGTAAAAAAAGTTTCTTTTTCAATAATGTTTACACAATTTTTAGAATGTTTTTCTTCAATGTTCGTCGTACCAAGCGAAAATTATTATGTCGTCAGCTAATCTTTTCACCATACTGACACCTGTCTTCAATGCACCCCATCTGGCTGTCAAATTGAACGAACATTCCATCGAGACGACCCTGGCAGAAAAGTGATTGATTTAAAAAAGAAATATACCACTAGCTTCGTCTTAATTTATACCAACAAAAAATTGCTTTTTTGGAATTTGTACCACCCCCCCCTCCCCCCCAAATTTTGAAAAAAAGCAAAAAGAACGATATTTCGGAAAACTCATACTCCTGGCAGGAAAATGATTGATATCTTAAAAAAAAAATACCACTAGTTTCATTTTAAATTGTACCATCAAAAAAATGCTTTTCTTGGGATTTGTACCCTCTTTAAAAATAGAGAAAAAAAGATTTTCGTAGGGTAGATTAGCAATTCAAATTAACGTATTACTGCGCATGCGCGGTGGAAAATCTGTGGCTGTCTCATGATTCGACCATCCACATCTAGATGGTATCGGCCAGCCACGAACGGCAAGAAATACGCTCACTGAATATATAAGTCCGCATAGCGATACGATCAGCACTTCGCGCGTATGAGGTAGATGTTATCGGGCGTCGAGCCTCACTGACGACTCCAGCATCGGTAGCATCGGGACGAAACGCTTCCTACCTTACCAATCTCTCTCGAGTGTGAGCCTGGTGGGGCTACCTCACACTACGATTAACTTTTTACACGAGACTCCTCGTTCACACCTGTACATACGCATCGTTCTTTTAATAGCCATGCATAATTTAACAACTACAGATTTTTCGCCGCGCATGCGCAGTAATACGTTAATTTGAATTGCTAATCTACCCTACGAAAATCTTTTTTTTTTCCTATTTTTAGAGAGGGTACAAATTCCAAAAAAGCATTTTTCTGATGGTACAAATTAAAATGAAACTAGCGGTATTTTTTTCTTTTAAGATATCAATAATTTTTCTGCTAGGAGTATGAGTTTTCCGAAATATCGTTTTTTTCCTTTTTTTTTATAATGTTGAGGGGGGGGGGTACAAATTCTAAAAAAGCAATTTTCAGGTGGTACAAATTAAGACGAAACTGATGATATATATATATTTTTTAAATGAATCATTTTTCTACCAGGGTCGTTTCGATAAAGATTCTGGCACTTTCAAAATGACATGAATTATGACACATGACTATATGTGGCGGTTGCTCCACGTTGCGCTGAGCCAACGTCAGGTGACGCCACACTCGGCTCCGAGAGACGGCGAGCACGAAAGCAAATAATTGTGCCGCGAGAAGAATTCAAATAATCTTGCGCTAGCTCTCCGACCTTCAATAAGTAAACATTTTCGATCTGTAGCTCGAGAAAACGCTTTTCCCGCATTCCTGTACGGTACTGTGCCACAGCTCTGGCGTCCCGTGTTATTCGCGCAACTTACTATAATCCTGCGTTTTGTAAAATAAAGATTGCCTTTAATTCGATACAGTTAATCTCGTGAGTGATTTATTTTGCCTTATTCACGCAACTCCGAAACGCACGAGAGCTGGGCCTTGTGCGCGTGGCGACACAATACCCAAGCTCGTCGCATCTTCGAACATCCTAACAACTATAGACAATTACGCAGCCATCCATGCGCAGCTAGTTCTATAGGGATTTATGAGAGATGCATATTTTGAAAGACAGAAAATTCTTTTTCTGAAAATACAGTAATTATTACTAATTCCTATAATAAAATAATGAAAAATCATTTTTTATGTTCTCAAATTCATTTATCATAGAAATACAATAAAAATAATTAATTAATCCTTCCCGTTATAAAAATATAGATGCATGTTGAAGCATTTTATTCGTGATCTGATTGGCTGAGATGTGAACATGCGATATAATGCTATGTGGCGGCAAATAAGCGTGTCTGTATGGTTTTGAGTAGAGATGTTCTCCTTACTAAAATGGAAAATAATACATTAATTACGTTTGGTGTTACAGATCAAGATTGTGGCATGTGGTTGGCTTGCTGATATAACGTAATGATTGGGCGCGAGAATTGGAAATTATTTATATACTTGATAAAAATTAACAAGAGTTTAGCAGGTACAGCGGGCATAGTGATTACTAGTATATTTAGTTAAAAATTGGATAAATATAAATTTTATATTGTATTAGGAGGATGTTGGATATCAAGACGGATCCCTGTTTTACCCTGCCACAGTTTTTCTAACTTTTTTAGAAAGTAAATTTATTTTCCGAATTTTCATGAGTGCTTCTAATCGACAGAATGAAGAGAGGAACACTCACGAAAATTCGGAAATGAATTTTCTTTCTAGAAAAATTAGAAACACTGAGGCAGAGATTCTTGTCGATATCAGACGTTCTCTTAATAATACAACGTAAAATGTATTTATGCAATCAATTTTCGATTGATTGCATATAAAGAAAAAAGTATTGAAACCCTTCAACTACTATTATTCAAAGCTTTAGATAAATGCTCAGTAATTGTAAATATTAATGGAACCCAACAATTCACCCAAAAAATATCACTAAGGAAAAAATACCAATAACCAAATCGAATCGAGATAAAGCTAAATTAAACAAAGCAGCTAAAGATTTAAAGAAAATACTGTATCAGGAAAAAACTCACAAACGAAAATAAAAAAATTAGAGAACTAAGCCGTACAGAAGAAACAGATTAATTGTTATGAAAAGTTACTAAGATACAAAAAATACCAATTACATTTATTCCACCTATCAGAAAACCCTATGATAAATGGATTAGATCAGACGAGAAAAAAATCGACACGTTTGGAACACATACACAGTATTCAAACCTCATCAAACAATCATTACAGAACAAGAAGTTACCCTGTTAGAAGATCTTGATGTACGCGACAGCACACCAATTGAAGCAGTGAAAATAAAGAAAATATTACAATTAATCAAAAATATTAATAACAAAAAGGCAACTGGTTTTGATAATATTACAGAAGTAATGATAACAAAACTACCTAAATAGCAATAAGATACTTAACAATTGTTTTTAATAGATATATTCGTCTATCCCAAATGTTATCAAAACTTGGTGCCTTTTTGTTATTAATATTTTTAGTTAATTGTAATACTTCCTTTATTTTAATTGCTTCAATTGGTGTAATGTCGCGTACATCAAGATTCGTTCTGGTAATTTTGCAATTATAATAAAAAGTCAAGTTAATAAGGTTTTGAAAGACTGTCAACAATCTGAACTTTTAAAAAACAAAGTAATGATTATTATAAAGTAATAGTACATGATGCTCATTGACATGATAATGCATGGCACTTTTACTGAATGAGTATTCAATGCCCAAAATAAAATATTAACCAGTAAAAGTCAAATATATGTGTTACTGTCAAAATTTATCAGAAATTTAGCAATTATATGAAAAGTCTAAAATTTAAAGTTAATCAAAAGAAATAAAGAAATTGATAAAATCTGGATAAAGAATAATACACGTAAATGAATGTATTAAACGCGGCAGATATACTGAATTTGGCATAAATGTAGATATTTTACATTGTTATTACTTAATTTTATCTACTTGTTTTGTTTTGGTTTTTTCTCTTAGATAACTACTTACGTATAGTTACCTGCGTGTACCTCTTGAAGACTTTACTATATAGTTGTAACAAATTGATTAATAAACTCAGTAAACAAAATAAACGAAATAATAAATGCTTGAGCTCATAAATAAATATTACTTTCACATCATTACAGCGTATGTAAAATACTTTTGTAATGATAGCTTAGTCATCTCTAGAAAAAAAATTCCTACCTGAGATGCATAATTTTAAATGTGACTGTTGCTCGTGTTAGCAAGTATTGAAAACAGGCGAGTTCATCGTTCATCAATTTAATTTAACAACGCCCCGACTCAGTGATCGCGGTGCTAAGTATGAAGAGTACAATGGTATTCCTAAGATAGTCTGATGATAATTTAAAGAATTTCTAATATAATGAGAATACCATTTGGCATTCTAATGAGGGCCTCGAAAAATTATTTGCATCGCCGCGCTCGAATAAAATGAATTCACTTGGAAGTACTTCATTAGTAGACTGCATGTGTAAGTCGATTTTGATAAAATTTATAGGATTCCCAAGTTGCATGTACCAGATGGTTGCGGCAATATTTAATTTTATGTTTACTTATTTATCTTTCATGTGAGCAACAAATTATGAGTGTCGATATTTTTATAAATGATTTCTTTCGCAAAATATACGGTTGGGCTGTCGTAACTCATTTCAAAATTGAAATGTACTTTCGCGCTACCCGACATTTGCGATTCTAGCGCTATATTTGCCCAACGCAACTGCCTGGCGCAACACAATCAGCTGTTTTGTATACTTTACCTCCATGGTATGTCTCTTTTACAGTGTGTTTGGCTATTTATGTTATTCATACTATACCGGTTAAAGTGCCGACTATATTATTCAATAAATTAAGTTTATATAGATTTATTTGAATTTGGAATAGAATATATGATCAAAAAATGTGGTAATTATATAAATAAAAAATGTGTTCGGAAATTACGGTAATTATTATATGATCAATTCAGTCAAATTATCACGCCAGATAACAGTGAAACGTTACAACGTTTGGTGTCGTTACTGTATAACAAGCTAAAATCCAGAAATAATATGCGACAATCGTAAAATCATATATTAATACGAAAATGTTGAATTCGAGAGTTGTAGCGGTATTGAATAATAAGTTGAAACGTCAATTTTTAATCATCAGACCGCTTTCTACTGCTAAAGTCAATCATGAATCGCCGCCCGAACAAAAAAAGGATACCTGGTAAAAAAATAATAATCCAAGATTAGAGGTCTTTTCAACTAAAAATCGCCATATACTCTTCTAGCAGAAGCGAGCCTCTGCAACAGCAGCGGCAGCAGCAGCGCGGCAAGGTGGGTGCCTGGGTGGCGGTTGCCCTAACCGCAGGTGCTGTCTCCTACTACTTCTTTAGCTACCGACGTACCAAGGAACGGCTATGCGCGGCTGCTGCACAGATGAGAGCTGATCTTCCGAGTTTTTCACTGAAAGATGTGGTCGAGGGACGCTATTACGTTTACGGCGTGGGTGTTTATGATTTGAATGATTACGCGAGGAATGAGCATCCAGGAGGGGAACAAGGAATTACAGACATGGTTGGGAAAAGTATCGAAGAGATTTGGGCTACCGACGGTATGAAGTTCCATAAGAAAAAGGAGATCTTGGAGCTGTTGGAGGGAATGAGGATTGGTAACTTTGAGGGTACAGTAGATAAACCTAAGAGGTGCACGACGCCGAAAGTAGGTGAGGGACCGTTATGTTCAAGATTCCCGTCTTATACATCTAGGCTTTTTAACGTGAATTCAATTTGGTAGATGCTATTTTTAATATGTTTTCTCGAACGAAAATGAACTTCATCTCACTGACATTAGATATTATGATTAAACTGTCGCTCTTATTTCTTGGTAAAACTTCTGATGAAAAAATATTCTTTTCCACATAAAAAAATTGTACAAATTTTTTCACTGACATTTTTACGATAAGAGTTAACTAATATCATATAGAAGTTTGAAAAAAGCTTACATTTCTATTTCAAAGTTGGAATTTTCGGTCACTGATAGTTTTGCTTCGCTAATAATTTAACGTAACCATCGCAGTGCCGCAAGTCAACGGACAAGAATACAGATTAGAATTGACAACCTACGGTGGAAATAACTTGAAAGCTCTGTCATTGGAAGAACTAAGACGTTATCCAAAGCACTCGATAGTCAGTTCGATACCCTGTAAGAATGATTCGACAAAACCGGAGACTGGATCGATATGGACTGGTGTACAATTGCGAGATATTTTACGTGAATCAAGTACGTTGTATGTTAGCATTATTTCCAAACTTTTGAATGAGATTAATAACAATAACACAATCCATATCCAAGATACTTTATAGTCTAATTATCATTCGACTGTGCATTAATTTTTATTAATGTTTCACTTGATAATAATCCAATTCACAGAAATCAATATAGCTGATTACGATGAAATACGGTTCGAGTGCCTCGACGTTTCCTCCACAACGGAAAAGCCGTACGGCTCGACAGTATCAGTTGATCGAGTTTTTAACGAACCCGATTTTGATGTCTTGCTTGCCTATGAAAAAGACGGCTCTGAAATTCCACCTAAACATGGCTACCCAGTACGTGTAGTAATGCCACAAGTAACTGGTGGGAAAAATGTCAAATGGCTACAGCGAGTCGTACTTGTTAGAAAGACCGACAAAGTAAATTTTTCCTTATCTCTAGCTTCGCGCTTTGATAAATTCGATGACAATGTTTATTCGTTACAGGTTGTGCGATAACAAACTGAAGAATTGTGATAAACAAATCATTTCTCTACATTTATTTTCTAACCGTTTTATAATATTCTTATGAACATAAAACTTCTTACGCAACTCAATTTCTCTCTTGAAAAGTACACTTATTATAAGATCATATACACTCGCAATCTTAGAGCGGTGACACTGGTTGACTGCTCGGTGTATCGACACCTGTAGGTGGAGGTGGCGGAGGTAAAGAAGAACCGGGCAGACGTAAACAGGCGCATAAACAGAATGGCAGCTGGCAAAAGCGACACAAACTCGTTGGTACCCCTGACATCAGGCAACCCGCCAATGCTATATTCCTGCAGATGAGATTCGGTTTGTTAATGGTCATTTGTTCTTTATGTATAATGGAATTATTGGCATTATTTTACACAATTTGAAATATGTCTTGTATGACAATAAAAATAATTATAAATATAACTAATCGATCAAGTGAAGAAGTAAACCTATATGAAGCTGCTATACAATTGTACCGAAAAGTTAACAAACATTAGAAACTAAAGTAGGCTTTATCCTGTAATCTAAATACGTCCAATTGCGTGATAATTTTAAATGAATATAAAACTTGCTCAGCGTTCAAACTTTAGATATTGCACATTGAGTGATGAGTCAGCGATTCAACTGAACTAATTGGCAAAGCTGTGACGACAATTTGAGGGGGAAAAAGTTTGAATTTTCGAGTATTTTCAAATGTGGGTAACTTCGCATAGCTGCCAGTTCGTCAGGAAAGCTTAAAAAGTTGAAAAAAACTTTAGTTTACAGTTCAAAGTTTCTCCGATTTTACTGCGGTGGAATAAAAAATATTAATTAATTAATCTCCGAAAAAAATTTTCTCGTCAATAGCTTGTCAGATTACTTTAGAATTGATGCAAAACATTGAGAAGCTTCTGAACTCTTTAATTTTTTATTACCTAAACGTTTACATTCCAACGTCTTAAAGTTGAACACTACGTTGAAACGAAACCGAATTTACTTTCGACACTCCGTACAGGGGGACTCGACATTACGGACGCTGAAAAATCTCATCCCGCACGAGTCGTATAAAAAAATAAAGTTATAGATACGTTATAGATACAAGCGTCCACACGAGGCTGAAATCACTTTCTTGCACATGTATCTAACTTTATTTTTCGAGTATAGCACGGTAACTTAAATCGCTGCCTGTAGTAAAAACAAAATTGCTTTTTCTAGTTTTTTTTTTTTTTATTAAAAATAGTACTTTTAAAAAACAAGGCATTGCGAACGTAATGCTAAATTTTAGGACTCTGAGGTTCAAACATTTAAGTAATACGTTCGAAAATGTATGAAAAATTAAAAGTCTCAAAAGTCAATGTTTTACGTCAACTTTGAAAGCAATCGGACAAGCCATTGACGAAATAATTTTTTTTTTTCGGAAATTGCTGTTTATAAATAATTTAAACGACTTTTTTTTTATTTCACCGCAGTTGTTTCAGAAAGATTGAATTATGAACTACATATTGTTCTGACGAAGTGGCTGCTGTACGTAGTTGCTCGTGTCTGAAATATCTCGAAAATCCGTATTTTTTCCCCTCCCGATCGCCGCCAAGACTTTGCTGATTAGTCTAGATGAACCGTTGGCGAATCAATCGAAGCGCAATATCTCAAGCTTCAATGCTACGTAAGTTTCATTTTAACGCGTTTGTTTTTCACGAGGACGCAAGCTTTGAAACTAAGTTGCTTGTATTTATTTCTAATCGACAGTAAAGCACATTACCAATATGTAATTCGCTAACAAATAAAACAAATAAACGAAAAGAATGGGTATGCGAGCGTCTCGCGGCTGAGAAGCTGCGGAAAAACAATCTCCGAAACGATATTTCTTCATCATTCCCGCGGCTGGAGAGAGAAAAAATAATCAGCGGTGTAGCGCGTTTAATACAGCGGCAGGGGAGGCAGCGCGGAGTAGCAATCCGTCGACACGCGAACCGCCAATCACGGAACAATCAAGATCCAATGATGCGATCGCGTTCGTTTTAATGGCGTAGCTATTACGCGCAGCGGAAAGAAAAAGAAGTAAGCCGTCGCCGTGCAAGCTCGAAATTCGACGCTCGCGTTCGCCGTCAATCGGACAAATTCGCCTATGCCGGGCGCACGACGACGAAGGGCTCCGCTCGCGACGATATAATGAAACAGAAGCGGCATATGGTGTTCAGAGGCGAGAAGGGGAGAAGGCACGGGGCCAGGACGACGACGACGATGATGATGATGAGCCGCGAGCATTGTGGGCGAGCGTCACGATTGTTGCGCGCTTACAAAGCCGAATTAGCCGCGTATCTATCGCGGCACCCCCCTACAGCCCTCGCCGCCGCGGATTTGCGAGCTTTTGTGCTCAGCTGTGTTATTCTTGCGCGGGGCTGCTGGCTTCTCCGGCCTTCCTTTCGCTCCGACGCGTCTCCTCCAGAATCTGGCTTTCGAGACCTATATGTTTTTCGAGTATCAGCGCGTCGCGCTGTTCTAGCCTGGATCCGAGTCATTCGAATCGGAACCGTTTTCGCAATGGCTGCCAATTGCGTCACACCGCTGTCGCGCCCGCTCGGCTCCCAGGTGGAAATGGGGTGCGCGGAGTCGCGGCAGAAGGGTGGTTTGAATTTGAAGCGGGCAGGCGCGCAACGGGGAGCTGCAAAGAGAAGGGGCGCCCGTCGGAGAGGCGACCGACGCCGTGTACCTGAGCTGCTGATCTTGATGAGCCTTCTCCAGCCTCTTGTCCTTGGCGCGTCGATTCTGGAACCAAATCTTGATCTGCGTCTCGGTGAGGTGAAGGCTCTTGGCGAGCTCGAAGCGCCTCGAGCGCGATATGTACTCGCCGCGTCGGTACTCCGTCTCGAGCCTGAGGGTCTGCTCGCTGCTGAAGGTGGTGCGCTGGCGGCGAGGTCGGCCCTCTTTCCTCTTGCGCCGCTGCCCTGCAAACGGCAAGAAAGGGAAAATGGAGGGTCACGCGGATCGCCCGGGAGCGCGCAGCTCGATACCCGCCCGAGGCTCGCCACAATGAGGCGCGAAAATTAGCGGCGCGCGACTAACGAGATTACGCCCGGGGCTTATAAAATTGCGCAGAAAACTCGGCGCTGGAGCGCGCGCCCAGCGTTTCGCGTCATTGTTTCGTTCGCCGAGCCCGCGGCAACTCTGTTGTTCCTTTGCGCGCGCGCGCGCTTTGATTTTCGCGGGAGTACGTTGTGGCGCGCGCGAAAAAAGAAAGAACCCCAATTTCGTCGCGAGAGGACGATCCCCTTTCGTTGCTCTGCAGAAGCAGCTTTAAGGAAGAATCGTCTTGCGACATGTGAACTTTTCTTTTCTGAACGTTATCGTGTCTTCCTACGTTTATATTAGCAGTCACACCGAAATACGTCAGTTATCGCATTTCAGGGATCGACTGCTCGGAATTGTCCGTCCCTTTCCTTTCCGCTTTCATCGCGAGTACAATATACGTTTTCCGGTAAACAAGTGTCGCTGATGCAAATTCAAATAGTACTCCTCGTCGCTTTGCGCTAATGAAAATTGTCGGCGTTGCGAAAACCAGACAAGATCGATTCGAATTCCGCGATCAAAGCGTCCGCGCGTGCCGTCGTCTATATAAGTCGACGACGAGGGCGGAAAGGAAGAAAAAAAAAAAGAGGAGAACGAGAAAAACCGGAGCCCGAACTGCGCACGCGACATCGTTCAGGCGCGAATCCTTGCCGCGGGTGAGCGTCGGATTTCAAGTCGCTCCCGCGCGCATCGCGCCGTCGAGCAGCTGCGCGAAGCCCGCCCGCTCGCGTTACCGCCACCCACTCGAGTATATGGCGCACATCCTAATTACCGCGGGACCGACCCCGGACGTGATTTTCGGGATTTCCTCCCGCGCTGCGGGCGCGAAACCTTTGCCTTACGCGTTGGCGCGCCGCGAGCAGCTGTCGCGCTGCCATTCCGTTCCGAGAGGACGCCAGTCGCCTCGTGGTCAAGTGACAACTGTCACTACGCGATCCAAACAAATATTATCGGACCGCCAGGTCTTTTGTAAATCGATCGTTCGTTCATAATGGATTTCCCTTTTTCCCGAACAACGCCAACGTAATAGTAACGAAATCATCGGTGCATCAATTGCATGATAAAACTAGTGCGCGAAACAAATCTTCAGAGTTGTACGGTTGTGGTAACAACGCGCCCGAAGAAATCTTAATGAAATCTGTACGTGGCGCTGTGCGCAATGAAAAAATCACGGAGGACCGAAAAAGACAAACGTTTTGTCAACGTAAGATTGCAAAAATCAGCATAGACAGGCGGAACGTAGAGAGACGAGAGAAAGAGAGAGAGAGAGAGAGAGAAAGAGGATTAGACGAGGACGAAGCGTGAAATCCTTTAACGGAGTGATGCGCCGTCGTCACCCCTATATACGCGAAAAAAAAAAGCAGACGATCTCTCGACTCTCGGCGAACAATCAATTACGGCGCGGCATTCAAAAGCAATTGAGCGCGACTAAACTGCCTCGGCAAGTGCCTTCCCCCTCCCCCGAATCTGTGCACTTGTTGTCCCGTGGCGGACAGGCTGCTTGCGGATGGATGTATCGCCGAGATCGCCTTTGTCGCGTGCTCTTTAATACCGCTTATCGGCGGTGCGGAGGCCTCGGATTTTTTTTTTTTTCTTTTTTTTTTTTCAGCGTCCGTATCTTCCCAACGAGCGTGGACTCGGTCCCCGGCTTTCAATGAGACTTTGTTTGCTTTGAACTTGATGGGCGCTCTCTCGTTTGTTCAGCCGCGCAGCGCCGGGAACTCGCGGCTCGGCTCGGCCGCAATGCGAGCGCCAAGGCACGCGACTCGCGCGCGCGAGAGCCCGGCGTCGCGGCGCGCGCAAGGAGACGCGAGAGCCCCGGCCAAAGTGCGTCAGCACCGGGGCGCGTCGCCCGACCGCGTCCCCGTAATCCCGCGGACAATATCGTCGCTATGCGCGCGGCCAGCCCGAGAGAGGAGCTTATCTCTTTTCCGATATACGCGCGCCTGCACAATTTTCTTTATTTATTTATTCCCTTTTTCGCCCATCGCTCCGCCGTGGCCACGGGCGAGTCCAGAGGCGGATTTCCGATGTTTTTGCGCCGCGCCGGCCTTGCCTCGCCTCGCGCGTTATTTGACGCGGCCGTGGCTTCGATCTCTTAATTTCCGCCTCGGGTGGCGGATATTAGTCGCTCGCGCTTCTCACTTTGCTCCGCCGACGCGACACCGCGAGAGCACCTCGGCGACGGCCGCCGTGGAAATCTTCTGCGTCGACGTACCCCGACAGCCGATCGTACGAGGGCACTCGAGCGATATTCTCACATTTGAAAGGCGATTCTTTGGAGCGCGCGCGATCGCGCCAAGTTAAAGACATTGCAAAAGACGCTCTTTTGGAATGAAAAGATTGCCACTTCTGCGCGTCTAATTTCAACGTTCCGTTCGGTCATTCGTGTATTCGTCGTTAGAATTTGAAAATTCTTTTCAACGCGTACACCTCGAGTTCTAATAACACGTCGACACTGAGCCAGTCAAAACGTTTATTGCATAAAAATCATCGCTATTATTCGTGTTCGACGCATTTGTACGCCACACGGACATCCTCGACGTCCAATTATTGTTTGGAAAGCTGTCTGATACATTATTTTATCCGCACAATTATTTGAACATTTTTAGTCTGAATGCGCGCGAGCAAGATCACGTAAATCAAAACGTTACAAGGAAACCGTACATGAATGCTTAATTTCAATCGGCGTAAATTTCTAATTATTTGTCATAAATACGCTGTTGAATAACGTATAGCTTCCATCGTATATTCTAACAGTTAGCTCAAATCGAAAGGCATCGGACTACTGGTTTCTCTCGCTTTTCATTCCAACTCAATAACTTGTGCCTCAATGCCTCGAAAGCATAGTTAAGCGACGAATATTCGAGCTGGTAAATTGAGCGCGGAATTCGATAGTTCGCGTAATGAAACGTCGGCGATGAGTTCACGCGAGTGACGATCGATCCTATATAGAAGCGCGTCAAAAGAAAAGAGACAGATCGTTGGGTCGAACGAGCAACGTAGCAGTCCAGAATCGGCATCGACACTCGTACTTGCCAGACAAGTGTAAGCAAGGAATATGCGACTCACAGTAAGCGGCGAGTCCCTGAAGATGCTCGACCCTGGTCTGTCCCTGAAACTGGGCAAGCTGCAGCGGCGGCCAGTGGTGCAGGCCGACCGGTTGGACCGCCAGTGGCTCCGCGATCATCTGCTTGTTCGGCCGGGTCTCGACCTCGTCGTCCTCGCACATCACGTCCACCTCCTCGTCCTCGTCGTCGTCCTGGGAGGTGGGCTGCGACGACTCCTCCGACGTCTCGTACAGCCGGGCGAAGAAGTCGCGCGGCAGGCACGGCCTCTTGGGCGCCAGCGGGCTCGCGCACGCCTTCGACATCGCTGCCGGCCTCGCGGATTACGCCGAGCCGCGGTCGAGCTCGCCGGGCGTCGTCGCGTCTCGCCGCTTCGCGCGGCACGGCCGAGCTGCGGACGACCGAGAACCGCAGCCGTCGGGCCTCACCATCGGCATGTTCGCACTGCACCTATATCCGGGCGGTCGACTCGCAGCCCGGCGACGCGTCGATCGTCATTACGGTCGCGGAACGCTCGGCAAAGTGGCGATCGAGGGCTTCGGCGCGAGACGACGGAGGCGCGAGGCGCAGCGTGTCGCGTCTGAAGCGCGTGTGAGCGAAAGATGCACGCGCCGGACGCCGCAGAGGCAAGAAGAAAGGAAGGAAGGAAATCCACGGGGGGATGATTGCCGCCCGCCCATCCGCTCCCCCCCCCCCCCTCTCTCGCTCGCTCTCTTCCGCTGGATAATTAATTGCCTCGGCAAGTGGGTATACATCGTCGAGGATGAAACGTGAAATCGAAGAGGCGCGCGCGCCTCCGCGTTCGCTCGCCATCGGCCAAGGTTTCGTTGCGTTGATTGCGCGATGTGCGCTCGCTCGTGAAAACAATCAGGGCTGCGTTCCTCTCCGTTCCCGCTGCTCCGCTCGCCTCCTTTGCCGCCCGCTGGTGTCCGAGGAACGGATTTTCATTTTCGTATTTTCCTTTTCGTTTTGTTCTCGATGATGGGCCGAACAGTTCCCGAGCGGACGACGCCTTGCTCGGCGCTCGATCTTCGCCGATCCGCGATTCTCGCGATAGAAAGATCGACGAAACTGATTGTTTTCGAGATATTATCTATTGGCTGTTGCGGCTGATTGGCGAATCCGAAGAGGAAAATGTTGTTCGAATATATGTTTTAATGATTGAAATTCTCAATGATTGTTCCCTCGTAAATAATGAGTTCGTATGTGCGTGTGTGTCTATGTACATGTAAATGTGTGTATGTACATATATAAATTACTGTTATTTAAGATTTTGTTTCTGTATTTCTTAAAAAAGACGCTTACCATGGAGATTATTGTTCATCAAGCACAATGAACTAAGGAGAAACGTCTTATTACCAGTGAACTTACAATTACTATTTAAATGCAATATCTACTAAATATTGTGATTAGCAACTGCTAAATGACTCTAATGGAATTTCTACTGCGCTGTGATAATGCAATGACGAATATATCAGAGTTTAATATTTTTTCGTATAGATGCATATTGTATTACCGTTGTATTTGGTCGACTACCAAAACAATAGATTAAAACTTTGTTATATAATATACCAAATAAATGTGATTTTGTAAGCTGTTCCATGTGCATTGCTAAATTAATTTATATCAGAACTGAAATCATGCACCAATTGACTACTCTGTTATCTTTGGACGGGTCCTCTTCTGCAATAATAATTATCTTTTCATAGCGGCGACGAATAATTTCTCTCGACTTAAGAGGACTTTTTCGTTCGACGATACACATAGACTGGAACGTCACGAAATTACACGGAATTTCAGTGTCAGCAGATCGACGGCTGCGCGAAAATGTCGCCCGCCACTCGCGCGAGTGCATCTATCGGCTTTGCGGACATCACTTTTCGAGGGTGCGCTTTGCCGATCGACGACGCGCCGAAAGCACAAAGGAAGAGAGACAGAGGCTAATCGCCGGGAAATCGGAGAGGAACCGACGAGAGCGCGAGCGCAGGGATCGCCGCGACGGGCAGCCATGAGCACACGACAGGCACGCCACCCCCGCGCGAGCAGCTCCACCCGTCGGCGAATCAGCGTCGTCTGCTCGTCGCGCGCGCCGGCCAATGGGCGAGGCCGCGCCTGCCCCCCCCCCCTTCCCTGCCCATCCACCGATAATCCCATTGCGGCGGCGGCGGCGCGCTCCGACGATTATTGTTATTGCCGCGGATTACGCGGAAAATGAACGGGCGGGGTTAAGGCCGAAGGAACAGGTGCGCGCCGAAGCGCTAATTCACGCGCGCTCGCCTCTCAATCGGCGCGCGGCCTTTGTCTCGGTGCGCGGCTTCGATCGCCCCGGAATCTCGCGCGTCGACCGCCGCGTGTACAATCGACAATCAGCGCGATTGTACCCGCAGCTCGCCGGGGACGCCTTTTTTTCCTTTTCTTTTCGTTTCCCACGTTCGAGCGATAAGCCGATTCGCTCGAAATGTGAAAATTGGCTCGACCGAGCGGCTCCTCGTCGCCACGCCCAAAGATCTGCGATTTTTATAATTCATGTGCCATCGGAATTATGGAAACTGAAAAGTGTAATATTGAGCATGCGGACCTTTAGCACCTTAGAACCTCCTGTAATCTATCGCTTTCTTCATCTAGGTAATCCGTTATCAAAAGCCTCGCCTTGGTCTACGTGACTGACAAACATGCTGATTCTCCACGTAAAATAAGATTTCTTAGGAAAATGCAGAAAGTTAACATTTCGTTAGTTGAAAACCGTGTTTATGTTATAAATGACTTTCAAAAAATTATTCAAAGGAAAAAATGTCGCGTGTTCTCGTTCTGTAATAAAAATTGGAATATTAAAATTCAACGAGTTGCTGATGGGTACATGTTGAGGGTTCTGTGAATAAATTGCGCGCTATTGTTTCAACTAACTTCAATGCTCGAATTGACCGATCAAAAGAAATAAATAAATAGTAATACAATTTTCCGACTTCTAATTCGATCTCGTATTTGGATAAATAAACATAAAAATGAATAAGCGTCTTTTACAATATCTTGTGACACGGTAAAAAAAAATTCTTTTTCATAAGTATTACGAACACAAATAAAGTTATCACGGTTTTACAAGCACATCCGAAAAATCTTCAGGAACAAAGAAATAAATCACTGCTACTCGTTTTATTCGCTTAGTTTGCGAGGTCCAATAATTTTTAATTTTTAGTTGAGGAATCATCGTGACGGTGATTAAGTATACCAGGGTGTCACGTAATTTATTATACACAGATCATATTATCAACATAACTATCCAATATTAATTAGTTTTATGACAATACGATGTGCACAAGTGTACCACGTGACGCCGAAATACACGTAATCAATGCCACAACAAGTCCCGTGATCGACGTTACACAGCTAAGTATGTATGAGGCCCGCGCTCACACTTCATCCAGGGATGAAATGAGCCCTCTATCGGCAATTTTTTTCATCCGAATACGCAATTTCAAAACCTTATTTTAGAGGGCTCATGTTATTCCTAGTTGAAACGAGTATGGGCCGCTTACATACTTAGCTACTTAACATCGAGCGGTTAGGCGTCTAAGTAGTATCGGATCCGTCACCGAGGAGTCTAATCCAACGGTAAGGACAAATCGCATAATAATTTTTTATATCTCGCAAAACCAAGCGAGCAGGATCAGCACAATTGTTGGGATGAGCTCGTAAAATTGGAATAATTTTTTATTTGTATTGTAAAACGAGCGGTCATATTTTAATTTTTGTCACGAACGTAATTATAAAATTAATTTTTCGTTTTCTTTTTTCACCATAACTTTTTGAGGCAACGCATGTAACGCACGATATATTATTGCCTCAAAATGTCATAGAAACATGCCTGCAACAATTCGAAAAGTGCACCTTAAATTTTATTTTTATGAAAAATCAAGATTTCGTGAATATTCCCATAAGTACCATCGATTATTTAAATAAGCGATAACCTAATTAATTAAATTAATGCATCAATATATTCACTTTGATCAAACATTGGATTGTTTACTCACTGTAAATAAAAAAAATTAATAGAACAATCTACTCAACGAAAAATCGATCAATCAAGTGGTAAGCACCTGCTACACGTATCTGAATGTACAGACAACGCTGCTAGCTTGGAATAGTACTATGTCAGTCACAGAACCAGCAGGTCCCTTTGGCGCAGAGGATAGCGCGTTGGACTTCTAATCCAAAGGTCGTGGGTTCGATCCCCACAAGGGATGGCAACATTTTTTTTCCACTAACTTTTCTTTTTATTTAATTTCACTGTTGCACCATTTTATCATTGATACAAGTATCATGTATTCTTTTTTTTATTGAACTTGATTTGTTTAGTCGATGTTGGGCTATTGTTACATGTTGCTTTAGCATGCTCGTTTTTATAATTGTAAATGCGTTAATTTGCGACAATATTATTTTTCAAAAGACTGTAATTAATTGCAAAGTTTGATTGTTTATTTAAATAATTTGTTATTAATATTATATGGATCAATCGATCATCCACTTTTGTTCGCATATAACTTTTTCTATTGGTGTATATCTAAATAGAAATACCGGATACAAAATTGTTATTGTGTCTTTTTTTTATAATCATTAATAAAAAGTTAAATAATTCTTAGATTTAAATATCACTTATCTAAATATTACTCATATAGATCATTTCTAAATTAATTAGTATAAAAAGATATCACTGATTACCATTAAAAGTATAATGCGTGTTTTAGTACATATGCATGTGAGAGAGTACGTAACAAACGAGAAATAGTATTGTTATGCGCGGAGATTGTGACTAAAGACTAAGAGTTATGACTGCCAATAGACTGTTTACGAGAGAGAAAAAGAAACAGAGGGGGAGAGAGAACTTTTAGCGTTCGCCCTCTGTCAAGTATCCGTTTGACAAGACCGAAGTTACCAAAATGCAATCAAAAGAAGCGAAAGCGACGAAGTTAGGAGTTTGGAAATAGGGTCGAGGGTCAGTGCTACGTGCACTTGCGTCGCGCATGTACTACCACTGAACGTTGAACGACCTAGTCTTTTATTATTAAATAAATAATTATTTATACTTTATGCCACCTATATCATTCACACATATGTTTGCGTATGTGTATATATATATGTGTGTGTGCGTGCGTATGTGTGTGTACACGTAGAAGCAGCGAATGAGTGCGAGTAGAAAGAGATAGAGAAAACTTGTCAGAGTCAGCTGTTCTCGCGTACAGCTTATTCAGCATAAATCCTGCACTCATTTGATATCGGGAGAATGAAAATTTCTTGAGTTTTTTTATCCACTCACAATGAATTGGAGCTCCATTGGTTTCTAAATCAAGTAATTACCTACGAGACACATCGAAATATTATTAACAAGAATCAATCATAAACATGGAGAAACAAAAGTCTAGACAGGTAGGAGGTTATGTTTTGTCAGTTCCATTGTTTTTTTTACGTTTGAGAAATCAAAACACTACTTTCATTTTTATGCATCATAACAATGTACTCATTCTGAACTCTGATTATTGCGTTTGTTACTTTCTTTTTAACACGCCAGTTTTTGTCGTTGTCGGATACGATTCTTTTTAGTTGTGATTTTCTTACGTTATTATGATGTTTTATTTAGTCTAATGATTCTATTACGTTAATATTGATTTAGCAACCTTACGTAAAAACTTCGCATTTACTATCACGAATAACTCCACACATCATTTAACTCATTACGAAATGATGAAATATCTTAGATATTATACATATAAAATTTATTTTTCATTTCTTTACATTTATCTAAATTAATAAATGCTACGATATCGTGCAGAGAAAGAAAAAAGACCGCACAAGATCAGCAGCTTTGGAGCGTAACATTCCAGACGCTCCAACACTGGAAGAATTTGAATGCCTATTAGGTGAATCACCCACAAATTATCCAAGAGGTGAGGGGATTGAGAATATGGAGAGCGAGTTACACTCAGCAGCTATTGATACAGAAGTTTATGAGAAAGTTTGTGAGAAAGTTAGCAAGAAGGAATACACTGAAATTATTGTTGACACAACAGCGAAAGAACTAAGAAGTCCATCTCCAGTGAGTTAACATCAAAATTTCAATTATTACAAGGGCTAATTTAACTACAAAAAAAAAATTATTTGTAAATGAAGGTACTAGAAAGTCATTCAATCGAGGAGGTAGATACTACAGTACCAGTATCTACAGCCACTGCTCCAGCTGAAGAAGATTTGGAACCAGTGTTAGAACAAACAGTTATGTATCCTGCTTTAATGCATCTTGAATCTATGCCAAGTGCTCCAGTTATGGAAGAAATCCCTCACACTATAACTGGTAAATAGTAATAATTACAAAGCAATTGATCTTTATATTTATTAAAATTATTAAAATTATTAAAATTTATTAAAATTATTGTATGTTTTTATATTTATAGTTCCTGTAATGCCATCTCAGTCAATGATGAGACCAGAATTCAAAGAGCGTTTTGTTAAACCAGTAGAATATTCCCCAGAAAAAACCACAAATGTCGCTCAAAAGGCAGTTAAACCATTCACAGAAGCTCAACTAGCTGCACTGTACAACAATCAAGAGTTAAATATGATTGAAGCTTTTGTCAATGAATTTGTTGAATTCCAATTAAGGAATCATGCTGTTAGACAGCAGCACAAACTTTATGAACTACTCATGAATTATTTACGTGTCAGGAATCATTTGATTGTTAATTCTCACGAGCTAGAAAGTTTAAAGAAAGCTTGCAAAGAAACACAGAAACAGTTATGGTGTCTTGGTAAAGCTTCTGTCACAGAGTCAGGTACAATATTTTCATATAATAGTGATAAAATTTCATTAATATCCACATTGTAAAATTCAATATTGAAAAAAAAATGTAATAAAATGTAGAAATTTTGATTTTTTAAATGAGACATTAATAAATATGTTTTCGTAGGTGAATGTCAAGACGGCAATCCAGTGAGTGCAACGCACGAATACTCAATCGCTCATTTTAACCAGCAGACTTTGATTGCCATGACTCGCAATTTATCAGCGATTAAGGAATCTCTGCACAATGTGCAAGCACTCTATTGTTACGAAGCCGAGACTTTGCGGCTACAGATTGATCACTATGTGCAACGCGTCTGCATATCATGCAAAGAATTCGCTAATCTACCCGCCAATGCTCCTGTTATTCTTACAGCACATCAACCTGCTTCGCATGCTATGCCACAATTGGTCGAGCTTAGGATGTGCATTACGATATTGTTCAATTTTCAACGAAGAGTTTTAAAAGATGACAAATTTGTCGGAGATACGAGAGATTGGTTGTCGAAGCTTGTTGCAGTTTTACTGAGGTATTTTTTGGATGGATAATGAGGTATGAGTTGAGTTTATTTCTGTTTTTATTTCTATTAAAAACGTAAGCATTTGTTTGTGTTAGTATAGCAAAGTCGGCTCAAAAATGTATTAGTAGATCACAATACAAGTGCGAGACAAATATCTACAGCGAAAATTGATTAACACCTCAATTCGTATCTTTAGAATATGTTATTTGTTGTTTGTGATTGATACATTTATTGTTATTTTTTAACAATATTTGTCAATTTCAGAGTGGCAACATGGCAGGACCATCTGTTCCTCTTGAGTCACATCCTACGTTGCCCCGGAGGAGTAGCAACTTGGGCACGCGGCTACGTTCAAGTGCCAGTACCTGTTCGAACGAGCATCAAAACAGTCTCGACTTCACCGCTGAACGATCCGCATTTAGACCACATCGTTGCCACCCTGGCTGTGATCCTTATGCCAGTAAAAGAACGCGAAAAGTTCCTTGAACAAGTGCAAATAGCATTGCAAGATACCGGGGCGAACGAGAACGATACGGTGTGGGTGATGCTGGACGAAGAGGGAGAAGAAGACGAAGATATCGCCAACATAGGAGCTAATCTATCCGAGAGTGACTTGATATCGTTGCTACATCAAATCCCGCTGGACAAACTCTTCGAGCAAGTACTCTACATCGAACACGATAATAATGAAGATTACAGACAGGATCGCACTTCTATCACCGAACATCATATGTTAAGGATCTTTGCTTTTTCAACGGTCATTGTAAGATTGCTGAAGAAGGGACTCAAGACCTACGACTCGCCTAGATATCGCCAATTGGCCAAAAGACTCAGTGCGCTTATTAGAGATGTTGTGCAGTATGCCAGTGACTTGTGGGAGTCATTTGATAAAACACAGGTTTGTTTTTTAAAGCCTAGTTGGTATGATAAAATCCAGTTTAATAAACATAAATAAATAAAATAAATATTATTTACAGATACCCGATTCTTCAATGCTGACAAGGCTTCAAACGGAGTACGATTGTTTTTTTTTACGAGCTACTCTGTGCATCTTTTCATCGCGTCGACTTGGCGCTTGGCAATACTTAGCTGCAATACCTTATCGCATTGTTTCGCTTTCTACTCTCTGGCAGATTTTTTATATTCTACACACTGATTCTTCACCGAGTGATTTGATTAATCCTGATACTGTGACGGGTGCGTTATTTATACGCTAATTAACGGGGTAGTAATTTCTGATTCGCAAGATAAAAATAAAAATATAAATCTTATTTAACTTTATTTAAACGTTCTTAAACTTAAAATGACGAATTTAAAGCTTCACAAAAACATGTGTAAGCACAATTAATTGTTCTGGAACGAAAAATAATGAACTAAAAGTAACAAATAAAATCTATAAGATTAGTCCAATTATATGATTCAAATAATTTGTTAACGATATATTTTTTTTAACAGAACAGCGTTAAGTACAGTTAGTAGCTTTGATAGCACTATATGCAAGTAATAATGATCGTTCAAAAATTAGAATTTTCAGAATGGGAAATGGAGTTAAACTCACCCATCCTGCGTAAACAGTTTGAAGAAAAGCTTAGCAATTTGCCTGGTGACGAATCGTATTTTTTGTTGACGACCTTTGCCAATATGTCTATGGCAAGAAATACTCAAGACTACGAGTTTGTTCGAGCAACAACTATTGATTTGTTTCAAGTAATTTATATCAGTGGCGTTTATGATTCTGAAATAAATGAAATTTTAATGTGACATACGTTTTCAGATTGGATTTCTTAGTTCAAAGACTCAAGATACTTGTTCGAAAGATGCAAGATCACTTTTATCGAATATTACAAGTAAATATCCTTCGTTACTCTCAGATATTATTACAAAGCTCAAGGATAATTTTGTGTCTGTTGGAAAGGTATGAGAATTTAGAGTCTGCTTTCTATGTTATTTTTTTAACATGACAAATTCAATTTTGATGCGATTACCGTTTTTAGTTAAGTTTATATCTTTTCACCGAACTAAGCATCAATCGTTGGATCCCAAAAGATGAAGATTTCAAAATTCTCTCAGTCTGGCTGCATCAATTCCCGCTTCCTTCAACTGAAAGTCACTTGGCGCGCCTCATTATATCACATCTAAATTGGGGCTTCGATACGTAAGTTCATTTATAGACATTTAAAATTTTATTGCATACTGCCAATAAAATAATTGCTTTTGTTTGTGCTACAGTTTCGAGAATTTATATCTTCCTCTCGATCTCCATCGTCGTGTTGCGTTGCTCATCGTAGATCTTGCAATGAAGTACGTGCCCGAGAACACTCCAGCACAATCTGCCTCTTTAATTTCGGAAGGAGTGAAGCAAGTATCTTCGATAGTTCGACCACAAAGCAACGAACAAGCTTTCGCAGTTTGGGCTTGGGATACTCTGACTCGTTTGCGACTTCATCAGTTAGAGCAGTCGGAAGCTGCGTGTCAGTACGCGGTTTCAAACCCTAGTCAAGCATTTGCTTGTGTACCAGATCTCGATTCGGATGCTACTCTTGAGATACTGCACAATGGCTTGAGAGATAAACAACCGATTGCTAGTTACGCTGCCGCAAGAATGACATTGTATGGACATTCAGTGCCTTTAGTGTGCTCCAAGGGATTCGAATTACTCCAAGTTAGCCATTTTTAAAACTCAGTTTTTTGAAAAAAAAATCAATAAACTAAAATGTTTGAATTATTTTCAGGTGATGCAATCGTATTACAAATATGAGCATGTTATAATAGCCTTAAGTGATTTGGTTCCCTTGTTTTTGGAATGTCCTGAATCTTTGCTGAAAAATGAAAAATTCATGGGATTGATCGTTGGACTTGTACAAGCTGATAGAACATACATGAAAATGGCCAAAAATTTGATATCACCAGATTTTCCGGGACCAATACTCAAGATTTTCGCTAATATGATTGAGTATCAACTGCAAAATTCTAGAAGGTTTGCATAAAAAATAAAGGGAAGGTAGCGTTCAGGCACATAAGAATTATACACATAATCATTGTACACAAACAAATCCGTATTTTATTTCTTATACAAGGATAAATTGATTGTGCACCATAATTTCAATGAATAATCTATCTCGATAATATTATGCACACAATCGTCAAGGCAAATAATTAAGAGACACAGTCGTGCACTGGACATTGTACACTCCTTAAAAAATAAATAATCAAAGGATACTGATGATTTTGCACAAAGAAATTATGCACTTACGTTGATTGATAGTGCACCAAGTTCTACAAAAAATCGGTAGATATTGTTGGTGCACTATCAATCAACGTAAGTGCATAATTTCTTTGTGCAAAATCATCAGTATCCTTTGATTATTTATTTTTTAAGGAGTGTACAATGTCCAGTGCACGACTGTGTCTCTTAATTATTTGCCTTGACGATTGTGTGCATAATATTATCGAGATAGATTATTCATTGAAATTATGGTGCACAATCAATTTATCCTTGTATAAGAAATAAAATACGGATTTGTTTGTGTACAATGATTATGTGTATAATTCTTATGTGCCTGAACGCTACCTTCCCAAAATAAATAAAATAAATAAATTCATTTTTGCAAGAAAAAGAATTTACTATTTGTTAGTTTAATTAATGAAGATTTATAAATTGAAAATTTGTTTTTTAGATTTTGCCTGCAGTCTCCTGATCCATTGGTAAAACTATGGCTAAATATTTTAGTTCTTATCCCAGGCTGGAATCGAGACCAAAGTATTATGTATTTAATGGATACTTTAATTCGAGCGTCATTTTTTCATTTGGGAGCAAGAGCAGTTACTGAATTCATTTTCCAAAATCTCTTCTCGGTAAGTCTGGAGATATATTTATAAAAATTATTGTGAACTAAAAATTTCATACTTTTAATGATAAGTTATAAAATGGAAAATTACGAATTTTTGATCAGCTTGCTTCGGTGGGAAGTAGCGAGGTAAGACTCTGAAAATTGCAAGACTGATTTTCGTTATTTTATCTGTTTTTCATTTTTTATGCTCTATAATTTTATCTGTATGCCGTCAAGCACTCCGTTTTTTTGATGTTTTACAATTGTTTTTTCTTCTCATTTTTGTATGATAATTTATCAGCATGTTTCGAAAGAAATAATTACATCACATAAATAGATAAATTTATTTCAGAAAAAATGTTTAAAATCTATTCATTTAAATATGATATGTATGAATGAATTTGAGAATATGAAGCTATGAAATAATAAACGTACATTGAAATTTATAGAATATAGCGGCAAATAAAAGCAATAGTTCAGGATTCGGTTCGTTCCTCAGCTGGGCAACTGGAACTTCTCAATCTTCGAGTCTTCTCGGTGGTTCGATCCAGTCTATTTGGGTAGCATATCAGATTTTGCGCACCGAGCAACAAGAGCGCGAAATTAAAACTGGCCTTTGGCGTGAATTATTAAGAGAGCTTGGACAGCAAACGAAAACCTCTCTCGATTCAGCTTTAAAAGTGAGTCAAATTAATAGTTTTTCACGTGGAAGTGAAAATAATTGTTTCTTGTTTCTTTGAAATTTGTAGAAAGCGTGCGCAACGGTGAAAATGCAGCCATTCAGTTCTAATAATTTGGCGATTTATCGTTGGTCACAACAAGCTCTAGATACACCGATGGATCATCCATTGTTGCCGCTACTCTGGCAAAACTTTTTCAATTTATACTTGTCTCGAGTACCCAGTCTGACTGGGTAAGTAACTAAAACATTAATGCGTTTTATTTAAGAAAAATAATTGACAAACTGCTTTTTTTCAGTACGGTAGATAAAGGTGGAGTCGGAGAAAAATTTTTCGAGGGCATGGTAAATTTGAGCTATTTGAAAAAGTTAAAAAAACGATTACTGGATACGACAGAATATTTTCAAACAAAGGCCGAAAAGGACGTTGACGATGGGAAACCGATATCTGACGAGCGACGAGTTTTTTATCTGAACACTGCCAAGTACGTATGAGCAATAGTCAACAAAAAACAGAAGGATTGTATAATTGGTTTGGTGATCGTTTTATAGATATTATAAGACTTTGAGTTTGTGGTTAGAAGAGCCTCGTCTACAAGAGTCTGGAGTCTATCTTCCAGCTTTGCCACCGCAATACATGTCTCAAAAGTTAATTTTAACCATGCAAAATGATACGGTAAAAAAATTATTTTCTGAAGTACATTAGTAATTTTTTCAACTCGTCATATCTTTCAGAATCCATGGTTAGAGTATGTAGATTACTGGTCGGTGCAGCGTAGTCAGTTACAGTCACTGCAAGAATGGCAACGTTGTTGTCACCGTGAGACCAACGATGTTGCTATCAAACCACCAAGTCAGACACCAACAACGCCTTTAGAACCGTCAGATCCACTACAAAGAATCTTTCGTAGGCTAAATACTTATGAACAGCCAGTGTCACCGCCTACATTGACGAGAATTGCGCCTATTGTGTTTCACGTGCCGAAGAATAGTCTTTATGATCCTGATGCGGTTGTCGAGCTTATCAAGCCCCATCTGAAGGTCAGAAAAGATCTCTATCATTGTACGAACATTATAAAAATGCTTTTTAAAATGATTATTCGATTGTGCAGGTGATCCTCGACTACGCGCAAACATTTAACCTGTTAGTCTCTGAACACACTGCCGTCGATTGCAACTTCCTCGAGCTTGTACCAACTCTTTATAAAGATGTAGAAAGTCAAGTAACGCTGCATGCTCTGTGTGATCCTGCGCCATCTGGTCACCGGCGCTCGCGTTCGGGAACACCACCAATTGTACACTGTGCTGGTCCTGCTATTATAAGAATAAAAATTTCGGAGGCACGCGTGAATAATGGGATCGATCAATTGATAAGCCAAAACAGAGCGGAATACGAAAATCTGTTGGTGAAAGCCAGTCAACCACCGCCTAGTAAAGTCACTCAAGGCTGTGTATTTGCCGATCATTTGATTGCGTGAGTTGCAAAAATGATCACGAAAGTTTTAGCCATAGCTAAAAACTTATATGTAATATTTCATCAAATGTAACAGTCTTTTGGAGCATGAACTCAACGTTAATCGTACAACGGAGAACACGGCAGTTCTTCGCAAAGTTCAAGAGTCCGGCGTGAAACTGTTCTACCACATGGTGCAATTCTATACCGATGAGGCTGCTCTCTGTCCGCCCACAAAGCAACTTATCACAACATGCGTTGAAAAACTCGGACAGGTAAGTATATTGCTTTCAAATTACAATAATAGGATCAATCGACTGTAAACATTCCATTTCTTGCAGTTGTTCATAAGCGGCGAGGAAAGCCAAGGTCCTCGCTTACTCAATACAATCATGGACCGGCCTACTCTTGGCGGTCTTCTTGGACCACACTTCACACCTGTAGCAGGAGGTGCTTCAACGTTTTTACAAATGTATCAGACTGTTGTGGACTTATCTACCGGCAATAACGTTGACTTGTGCTTTGTTTTACTCACCAAGGTTACCTAAAATAAATGATCTTTTTGTGTGATTTTTTAAGAATTATGCAATCTCGATTTTACAAAATTATAGTTCGACGTAGGCAGCTGGCTCAACTACCGTCGTCCTCGACTAAGCGAGCGTTCCACCTTCATTGACCTGATAATGCGCGCACTTTGCAATATGGGTCTACAACCAGAAGATGATCGTTTGATTCTTCATGAGCTGTTCCGTAATCACTTGCGTCTAGTATTACTTCATGAGTTTCCCGAGCACTACGGCGAAGTGTTGAGCGCAATATTACGTGGTAGTGAGAGTCAAAGTTTAGCAATGGACGTTTGGCGTGATCTACTCGGTGCCTTGAGCGGTAGACCGAGGAATGCGCCGCCACCGCTACATAATGGAAAAGTTAAAGAGGAAATTAGGCGGTATGCCACAGAACAGAGATTACTATCGAGACAAGAGGTGAGTTGCTCTTGTATTTGTGTGCATTCTTTATTCATTTGAATAACGATGTAAAGTATAAAATTTTTTAGATTCACGACACAGCAGTACTGTTAAGCAAGCACTTTATGAACGAGAGATTACAATATGGTCTTTACGGATTGTATCCTAAGTATAGGATTTATAACGAACCACTTACTATGTTTCTCGGTATGGTTGGACATGCCCTTGTCGTGATGACTCTGCAATCTGACCGAGGTACATTATCCGATCAACGTAAGGATCTTCATTCTTAAAATCCTATAATTATAAGATAGCAAATATCAAATGCATTGTATTTCAGTGTGTGAAAAAATTTGGCCTGTACTGAGTGACATGTTTGCTCCATGGATAACTCCATATTGGACTCGAAATCTTCGTGAGCCTACTGCAGCTTGGATTCAACAACTTACCGATGATCGTTCTGTTCTTTTGCCATGGATCATCACTGATGGCCCATATGCCAATCGAACGGTATGCTAAATATATATCAAAGATAACTCTTTTGGTCATATGACAAATAATAATTACATTTATTTAATGTAGGTGTCGATGTTTGTCGAATGTATTCGTTTTATTCTGGACACGATGCCAGCATCGAGCAAGGTTATGTGTTTCCTCTGGCAATTTTACGTTATGAACTACACTCATGCTTCGATCAAGGATCACGTCTTGAACGTAGTGCACGGCAATTTCTTGTCGTTACCGTGGGACAAATTCACACCGAGTGTTGCTGATGTCGAGTTTATGGTGAAGGTAAGTCGCCGATCATGCTAGAAATAATATAAAAACTTGAAGTTAATAAACAATCATTACGCAATTGATTTCGTTTTCAGGTAATTGACCAATATCTTCCAGACAGTCATCTCTTCCTCGGCACTATATTCATCAGCGTCAACTGGTCGCAATGGATGTCGGAGTTCATGTGTGCACAGCCATTACCAATCATCGGGCGCATTCATATTTGCCTGCTGAATCTACTTGTCAAGCTTTCGAACGAGCCTAACGTTAGACAAAACGAACGGGCATTGAAGCTCATGCAAGACGCCGAAAAATTCGCTTGGCATTTGGTCGACGCAACAGCCTACGATCAAGTGATCAATTGGCACGTAATGAGTTGCGATCCGAGAATCGTGCTGATGCTTAATAACGAGCAGATTCATGCTTTGGATATAGCTGTTAATAAGTAAGTTTCAAAATATACTTTGGAAAGAGCATTAATGTTATTGATTGCGTTGCGTAGTTTATTGAAGGTAGTGGCAGCTTACGATCCTACGGTAACGCACTTTCATCCGACAACTTTAAAGAAGCGTCAGATGTATGTGAGGTCATCCGTGAAATTATTAGTGAACTGCACTACAAGATATAAGTCTCTCGTTTCAACGAATATCAAAGCCTTCACGACTGCACTGTCGAGAATGCTGGACGACATGGAGTCAATAATCACAAACAGTAAGCTTTTACGTTAAAATTTATCATTGCTTCTTGATAATGATTCAACGTTAATTTTTATTTCAGCCGTTTCAGAACCACAACAAGTAGTTGAAGCAGGCCTCCTTGTCACGGAGCTACTACATTCGGTAAACCAGAGTAACGTCCTCGTTGAACAATTGCGCACGAGTTGGGCCAACTGGTTGTTACAACGTTCAGCAACGAGTCCAATACTTTTGGGTATTCTACGAGTAATTGGTATAGCTATTGCCTCGCCTTCGACACTCGGCGAAATTATGGAGGCTGCACTCGATGCCTATTTTAAGCATAACGGTGAGTGCACTTGAAATTCACAGAAAATAAATGAATTTCATCGACGAAGATAATTGTTTAAAAAAAAATTCTTCTAATCCATTATCTGCTTGCAGTGGTGGAAGAAGTGCGACCAACGTGGGCAGCAGTACTGACAGTATTGCAACCGGTAGTCCCACGTCAACCACCTGTCGAAGGTGTCCTCGTCGCCGAGGGACGAATACTCGCTCTCTATGCTATCTTTCTTAAGCGACTACCTTCGTGTCGCGACATCCGCGAGGAAGGAATGCTCCTCACGAATCTCATCGATTGGATCACTGCCATTAAGCCTACGTAAGTTAAAGTTACTGAATTAACTATGTCGTTCTGTATATTGAGTTTATTCTAACATTTCAGAGAAGCAATTGAAGAAAAACTGCCGTTATTATGGGCGAAGGCGCTCGAGCTTATTTACCGCCAGTGCCAGTACAGTGAGAATACAGTGATAGCTGCTAGAGCTTTAAAGGGTTTGGCGCGGGCTTTGATGGCCGTCGCCGATGACGCGGGTCAGGGCTGGAATATCCTCGGTGCTATTGGGCTCAGGAAAGGCTCTCAATTATCTACGAAGTAAAAATTACCGTAGTTTTTAATTAGCTCATTGAGCTAATCTGTTTTCACAACAAATGCAGTCTTACAATTTGAAATATTATAATGTCAATTTTGCAGGTGCAAGTTTTTGAGCCGCGCCCTAGCAGTCTACTGCCTAGCCCAGTTACCTGAACCAAAGCGTTCGTCTGATGACACGGCGCAGCCACAAGTAGTGCGTTTCACTCCACATGCGCCAGGAGTAGCACCACCATTGGAACAGCAGCAGTCGGCCGAAATACGCCCGAATGCCGAGGCAGTACGCGCGATGCAGACTCTCGAAGCATTATTATTGAACAAGCAATACGCCGAATTGAAAGGTGACGTGGAGTTGTCGATCAAAATGATTCGCGATTCGGCCAATTCGTTGCACAACGCCCTCGAGGTCTGCGGGGCTCTCGTCGCCGAGATCTACAGCCAAAGGTACTTGCATGTGATCGCTGAGTGAGATCGGCTGCCGGGCTCGTCCCAACACGATCGCATTAGCTTTAATTTCGAGCACTTTGCTGATAATTCTGCGCTCGTCAAACCGACATCTCTCACGGATTAGCTTTAACGTGTACTTGACGACTCGATTATTGTAGAGATTTCGGTTATAACCTGGTAAAAGGGGCAAGAAGATTTACTACTATTTAAAGTTTTTCTTTCGGAGATTCCATATTATAATTTTGTACTTTGATTTGTACTTCGAAAAATTTATGACTTTATTATTATATCCACGCTGGAATGACGTTATTCAAGGTAAGGCGTTTGCTATCAATATATCAACGCATTGAAATAATAGAAGAGATTATGATTTAGTGTCGATAAAATCAGTCGGCATTACAATGGATTTCGGTAAACCTTCGAATCTAGTCACCAAATTAACCCATCCTTATATCTAGATAGTGTAATAATGTTTAGTATCACTACCAAAGTCGGCAGGTGATTTAAAAACCATTGTTTTTTTGTGTTCGTCAAAATTATTACGAATATGTAATTATTCATGATAAAGTTTTTTATATTTTTTTCATTAGCTGTATGTTTTTAATATAGAAAGATCGCTTACTTCGACTATACGCAGAAATAAGACCGGCGATTAAAGGGCTAGTACGGTTTCTTTACTCGATTTACACGGCGACGAAACAAATTTTAACATATTATAAAAAAAGATAGACTTTAGAAGAATAACATACATAATATTAAAGTTTAAGTCGATTTGCTTCGAGCCTTATTAGATAGACTGACTGCGCTGATTGCTCGATTTGTTCGAAATGTAAAAGGCTGTGTCAGATAGTTTTGTTGTTTATTTTACAAAATAATATAAGCACGCCTATTGCAGATTATAAACGATGTATAAGTACCAGAGTGATTATTACAGAAATGATATCGTTTTCTGTATTTATTACATAAATATTAAACTACATTAAAATTGAAAAATAGTTCATTTGTATGCCTATTTCTGTTTATTTTCTATTTCAGTTCAGCTCCTTATTTCTACTAAAGCTGCGTTATTTCAATTTTTTATCATGGTGAAAGCTATTTGAATTAACTTAATGAATTCAACTGTAGATTAAAATTATAAGTGAAAGTATGTTTCTAGTTTTTACGTCTGTTACATAATCTGAAAATACAAATGTATTTTATTTACACAAAGATACGTTTAGTATTTATATTCATATTATGAAATTACTATTGGTCATATTGAATCTACTCGACTTGATGCATTTTGACTGAAAGCACATACATTGGTATTTTTTAAATCTTATTTTGATGTTTTATATGATATGCTTGACCTACACGTATATTTTTTTAGTCGTTTTTTAAAATTTTACCGTATAATTAACTAATTATCAACTTTATTATTAACAACTATTATTATTATCAACTTTAGCTTACTACTTTAGCTTAATTAAACATAGCGTAATAATTGAGGATCAATAACCAAGGTTTCGCATTGGTCAGCTTAATTCCAATAACCCCGTAACATTTTTTCTATTCACAGTCATTGGCTGGAAAAACTGTCCTCCTTATAAGAAATTTCTGGGGAAAAATCAGAAATATCCCACTGCGCTACGTTGTTCCCCGAAGAAAAATTCATAGAACGCCTAATGATGGTTATAGATTTGTACATCTATATATGGGCAGGTGGGCCTTAACGTGTTTATAACTCAACTCGGATAACTTCATAGCGTGCTTTAATATTTTTTCGGGGTATCGTCAGTCATCTTCGGATACAGTCATAACTAAACTGTGTTAAGGAAAGGAAGTACGTTGTAAAATATATCGTTACTTCGATTTCCTAAAAATTGGACGTGCATTGAAAAGCTTGCGGTGTTTGAAGCTTCCGTGATTTAATGTATTTTCGTCTGTTTCGAAGCTACATTTACGTTGGAAATCGAATACTCCACCTTGAAACTCGTGAAACGATCAAACGGTTCGTCAGCGTGAGAAAGTACGTTGAGCGAATTACCTCAATCACTCAGCTTTGACTTCCGCATGCAGCGTCCCATAAAGCCGGCAACCAATACAGAAAGCGATCGTTCGAAATGAGAGATTTTGTATTCCTTCCGCCGAAACCATGGTGAACGCCACCACCTTGCCGTTCGGCAGGATCGCCCGTACCTAAGAATGCACTGTCGCACTCGATAATAGCCGATCGTCGCAAAAGTGGTTGTTTCTTATCTGGTAGGTATCTGCGTGGCTGGCAAAATTGATGCAAGATCGGAAGGTGCCGCTGCCCATCGGAGCTGTCCAAGCGTCCGCTGCGTTGCCTGCTAACAGATCGGCTGTAGAGCTCGGCCCTTGGATTCCGGCTCCAAAACGACTCGCCTGTTTCGCTGTCGCGAGCCCTTCTTTCGAGCGAGCAAGGCACGAACAGCTGCCACGTCTCGGAGACGTCGCGATAAACGCTCCGAGCGTCCGATGCCCGGCTCTCGCTGCAGTGCTCGACGAAGGCTCATCGCGCGTCAGCATTTTGCTGAGCTTTTCTTTGATGCATTTTCTATAGATCGTCCATGTTCGTTCGGAGGCGAATCTTGAAGACGAGCGACCTCGACGACAGGCTTTGCTGACTGAACGCTGATAAACACTGACAGACTGGCGAAAGAAGACTTGCGCTTTCAATATATATCAAATATGTATCATGTGAATATTGGCACGTTTCGCGCACGTCGCGTTCGTGTGAACTCACGGGCTCAGCTGTTGGAGAAGGTCACGTGGTCAAGAAACGAACGATTTTATTTATAACTTATCGCCATCCACTCTGCACACGTTCGCATGCTCGCAGTCGATGCTTGGACCTTGTAATTTTCATGTGGTTAATAACGATAACATTGATAGCGCAATGATTTTCATAGTCATTAGTAAATGAAAACGTATGTTTCCAACTCCTACTTTTTGTTAGTTCATCTTTTAAAGTTAAAAATTGCAAATTGAATAATATAGTTTGTTTAAATTTCAGGAATACACGTAGAAAAAATTTTCAAATAATATGAAAAAATAAAAAAATCTAATTTAATAAGACGAATGTTATATTTTTCAATTTATACAATTTGATAAATCATTGTACATATGTACCACCACCCCTCAAGGGTTTAAGAAAAATAATGGCATAAATCGTGGAATAAATACATAAAAATATATCATGCAGAAACATAATTAATTGTGAAAATTAATTAGAAAATTAAACATTGTTCTATTGCATGTGTTCTTTTATAGTCAAAATCGTTCCGTCAAAAAGTCAAGCATCTCGATATACAAATGATTTCTTTAATCAAATGCTTGATAAAGATTTTCATTTAAAATACAATAACGCGAGGTTTGCAGGAAAATCTCAATTTGGAAAGCAGTAGATAGCTTTGATTGTACTGTCTAGGCTTGATCATCTTGCGTAGCATTGTCTTGTTGCTGACGGGCAGCGATCCGCGCATAATATTCATTTACAAATTTGACAGTCGTTGACACGCACTTGCAATCTCTGCCGAACCTCCTGTAAAATGATCCACGCGAATGTCGGTTGAAGCGCAACGAACATTGCCCAGCTAAAATTACTTACGCGTTCGAGGTGAAATTGCCAGTTTCGTCGCATTCGCAAGAGGATCCAGAACAGCACTTATTCGGAGAGGTGTATCTGGTCGCAGTTCTGTCGAAATCCCAACACGCCCACTGCAGCTCTCGATCGATATCCTCGGTTCGCACGCAAGCCAGCGACGCATCGATCAAGACCGATAACAGGATAGCGGTCGCTGCCAGACGCCTCATTCTCGAAAATGCACGAGCTACGAACGACTTCCGAGCCTCGCGGCAATGCGCTGTTCCGCTTTCTTGCTGCCGCCTTAGAACGCAACGATGCCCGAATCTTGTTCCAAACTGAGAAAATTCCGTGCGAACTCGGCGAATATACTTCACGAAAGAGAAAAACAAGAAACGATGTGTCAAGGAATAACCCTGAGTCACTTGACGCGCGTGAACGCCACAAACCGGAGAAACTGTTATTTCCCACCCACATGTAGCAGATACGTATGGAGAATGTACGCTCGAATATCAAGAAATTTTATTGACCCTGGTATGTTGATACTCGTTCGAGAATGCAGCAGCCATCCTCGTGAGGCTCGTCTGTTGCCATTGTCATGTTTTTTTTATCTGTGTTGAGCTGAATACCAATTGTGCGTCGTAGCTTTCACTGAAATACATGTACGTGATAGTCACGCCGAAAAACACGAAAGCCTGGAGCGAATAAAGAGAATAAAACTATTCGCAAGGTCTCTCGTATCCGCAATTGTCTGGTAGCAAGTTCAAGCGTGGATAAATTTGATTGAAAGCTCGATCGTGAGAAAGAGAAAGGCGACGTTGTTTTGATGCATGCCTATCGATCCCAAAGTACTTTTTCCTGTCGCTTTGAACATGTCGGAGGAATTTCTTGCCGGTTAATAATTAAAAACAGCGTTGGAGACAAAGAGTAATCCGGAGAATGCGACGAAGAAGGGATACAATGGACGTACATTGAAGAATTGTTCACGAAACCTTGAAGTGCACAGAAAATGAAATACCAATATGAACAATGAACAACGGTTGACGGCTTATGGGGAATGGGAGGAAAGAAAACGAGAAACGAGCCAAATGAGCTACGGTTTCGTTACATTTCTTTTACTTATCGCTACTTCGCATTGTTTTCCTCGACGCCTCTACAATATTTATCAGAACAATAATTGTGATTACGCTTACTTGATGTCTTTTATTACATCATTTCAATAATCCGAAGTAAAATATGCAGAAAAATATAACCGCGTCCATAAAAGTTCCAATAAAAAAACCACCGATACTTTTGATTATATATGTTAATTAGTATTTTGATTGTGGAAAAAAAAGAAGAAAAAACTTATTAATTTTTGAAAATTTAACTAATAAACTTATTATTCTCAGGCAGCTGAACAATTGTATGACATAATTCTGAAATATGAATGTATGAATACAGCAGCAACTGTAGTTTAGACCTCACGCGAGCAAAAAATAATTCACAGCTGTAATCGATAAGAGATTGCGTCTTGCGTAGCTTATTCGCTTCCCGTGGCGGGGGGAATATTTAATGAGTAAATAAAGAATAATATACTGTGATCCGCGACGTGACAGCTATAAATTCACACTCAAGTAAGCCACGTTCAATTCCCTGTTTCCGCGATGTCGCGCGTCCTAACAACTCTTGCTACTTGTCTAACTCCGCTGTAATGGAGTGGTTGCATTGGCGTTATTTCGAACGAACTCGCGACATGGTCGACGTGCTTGCGCGACGTCGAGCTTACGCCGAGCTGACAATGAGCGATCGACAATTATTATCGATTGCTCGTTGCCGTAATTAGGTCGAGCGACGCCAGCGCGTTCGCATTCCTCGGAGGAACCAGTCGAGCAGATCGAGCCTTCGCGATAACGCCGGCCGTGTTTGCGTCGTCGACTTGGGAAAAGAGAGAACGATGACGTCAGTCTGGCGCGCGAAATATCCCGAGATCGGTTGGCTCTACACGAATGCCGGCGCCTCGCGCTTTATGCCAACGCGGCCAGAAAAGTCACGACGCTCGCGGGGAAAAAACGGATCGCCGGGGCCACAGGAGTACTCGCAAGCAAAATTCGTAAACAACTGGATGTGAAATGGACCACTTTATTGGATTGGTTTTTTGTTTCTTTCGCCGTTGATTGATATTCGACTTTGACGAAAGTTCATTTACATTATACGCAGATGAAAACGAAAATTACCTTGGCAAAAATACTCGGACGATGTGGAATGGTGGTGACAAGGCGCACAGAGCGGGACCGCTTTCGAGCGAAGTACGAGATCGCTGGATGTCCGATTCAACTGCGTCAGCCGTTCAAGCTCTTCATATAATCGCCCCATAAGTTTTCGGTCGAGAGGCATTCGCAGTCTTTCCCGTAGCGACTGTGCGCGAGAAATGCAAAGTCGTATTGAAAAACGGCTGATCGGTACGAGGCCCATGCTCGCACGTCCAGACACTTACGCGTTCGTCGCGGGGCTGCCCGCGACATTGCAGTCGCAAGTGAATCCTCGCTTGCAAAGGCTCTTGGGTGCGTACGAGGGATAGGTGCCCGGTTGCTTCATGCACGCCCACTGCTTGTCCTTGTCGAATTCCGCCGCCAATGAGTCCAGCAGCGAGACGAGCAGCACTACCGTGAGCAGCGCCGTGTGAACTGCACAAACGCGAGGCTTATTGCGACCTGCAACTCTCGCCCGAGAAAAAGAAAATGTTATTGAGAATTACCTCGTGCCATGGTTGATATTCAGCTCGTTCGTCTTCGCTTAAGCTTCGTTCAATTTAGTCGAGAGGCAGTGGATGGCGACAGTATCTCTTTGGCTTTTATACCTTTGTCGACACCAACTTTCTGACATTGACGCAATGAACGCGAAACAATAACACCGAGCACTACATTGTCAATTTATAAAGCAATCATTCAGTCGCAAGTTAATACCGTCAATCAGATGATTCATAAGCCCAGTGCGCGATTGAAAAGCTTATTACGCATTGACTATTTACAAAAGTAATCGATCGCTTTCCAAGAAGCCAGCAAGCCTCTTCCGCTCTGGTCGCCCTCCTTACAGGGAGCCTAAAACAGGGAGATGCCAATACGCAATCGTGATTTTTCTAACTATACGCTGTCGGGAAGAAGGGTACCTCTCGAGAAGCATTCGGACCATCTAAACGTAGACATTTAATCGTTTCTACGTAAAGAGTGGCAGGAGCCCCACGTGCCGGAATATCGCAAGCTTAAGGTGGATTTCGAACCACCTGAGCCCCACGGCGTTGATCCTGGCGCGTGCACTTGTTGACAGAAAGCCAGTGGTATCCGCCAGGAATCCCAGACGCCCGCCTGGGATAACGCGGCTCCGTGTCGCCTGCTTAGGACGCCTTTACGGGGTTGTGCGGAAAAATCGTACACGCAAACGCGCACTGTACTCTCTGGTAGCGCAATAATGTTTACTTACTTGTACCAGGCCCAACATCTGTTCCTCAAAGTCCGTTTCGTCACGGTTTGCTTCGTAGAACGGAAAAATTATTAGAATAAAATAAAAACTACGTGTATTACGGTCCAAGCTACTAATTTCTTTATGCGATATTTCGAGATGTGCCTGCAGCTCGTTTTCCATACGAATATCAAACTAACTATCTATTTCTGCGTACACAGACGATCGGATTTAACGGTGATTGATTTAACGTTGAGTGACATTATTTTAGATTCAACAAACTAAACCAATGAAACTTGAACTATCATCGTTCGAGTATAATTATAGTAGAATTAAATTGAGACTTTCGCTTTGGACATTTTAAGACAGCCGATGAACATTGCATTACATGATCCTCAAGATTGATATTTTCACGTAGAGAACGTACAATACGATTGGCAGCAGAGTGCTGCGTTAAGAAGGCAGCGGTGAGATTTACCGTCGTCTACATTTTGCATTCGTCTTGTAACGGTCCAGTCTGATCTGTTCTTTTTTTCTTTTATTACTACGCAAATGCTGTCTAAACGAAGACGTTACCTTATCTATAGGCTTGATTGTGTTAGGGCAACCGATCAAATGCATTACTTTATATGGAGCGTGACGTCACGTCTAGACGAAAACTGTTGTTTATTGAGCGAAATCTATAACTTTAGGCTTTTTAAGGAACAAAAGTACTTTTTAAGATAATTTTGATACGTAGATTCCGAATATAAAAGGATATATATACGTATTAATAAGTTATTAACTGTCGTCACTTAACTTAGAAATACAATACAAGTAAAATGTAGCCAAGGGTAGATACCGACTTAAGGACTATGAGTAACAATTTGACATGTCTATAAGCAATTATTGAACAAAGTTATCAATAAATAAAAAATTAATAATTTATTTAAACAATCAAAGTTGCGTCGTGAGATAACGATTGGATTGTAGATACTTGTAAAATTAGTAAAAGTGATTGCTTTGCTCCACTGCAAAAGATCAATTTGCGAATTTCTTAAATTGGTTGTTATTCAAATTCTGTTGAATTGATAAAATCTATCTTGGAAATACTTGTACGAATCATAAGCTATATTTTGGCATAAAAAAATTATATAATTTAATTGCACATTTTCTCTTTGTCAATTGCTTAATTTTGTAGTGCGATTTTTCTATGTTAAGCAATTCACATCATAAAATCCTGCATCTTAATTTTGATTTTTTACTTCGCATACGCGATTTCACGTGAAAGCTTGCTCAAAGTTTGTAAAAGGGTATACCCCAACCACAGGTATAAATTCGCTCGTCGTTACGGCAGTCTAGGACTTCAATTCCAGCCTTACCTTGCAACGCCGAGCACTGTACACAAGGGAAACCCTCTACCTGAAATATGTTTTGCTTATTCAGTGGTTAGCCTTGCAAATTTCCCCTCCTAAGCGGTTGCTTAGTAGCTCAACTCATAAGACGCTTACTCTTATGAGAAAAGGTGGCCTGAGTCAATCTCCTCTCTCAAAGTATACATTATAAGCCCAGTGAAATTTCTAAATCTCTGGCACAGGGCTGTCTGACCTTTTCCATTTAGTGGAATTTGGCACGGCTCTTTGAGTGAGAATTGTCCCTTCTTAGATTAAGTTCTCAAACTTACTAATGAAACTATGAAAGTTACTACTAAAATTCGTATCACGCGGCTGTCGAGAAATGTTGTCCTCGTGGCAGCGACCTGGAGTTGCCAATTTCTAAGTATTTCGATCCGATATCATTGCTGTTCGTATGGGAACATTTTCTGCAAATTCAGTGTTGAAATTTTAGTTTCAATTTTTAACTTAATTTTTGTTTGCTTTCAAATTAAAACGCACGTCAAATTCTTACTCAATCTTGGAAAGAAACATTGCAATTTATTCAGAGAGTTCGAATCTTTATATTGTGATACGTTACAAATTTTTATTGTAATACGTTACAGTTCACATTGCTTAATCTTGAAACGCGATCGCTAAACTGAAAACAAGTTTTTTTTCTTCCGAGTAATAAGTTAATATTTACCCTGCACTTTCGTCGCTTCGATAAATTACCCGTATTGTATGCAACGAGCGAACGTGGCAATTGGCTTCTGTAACTTGTTGTTCAGCCCAAGTGCGAGTCGCGGTGCTGTTATTTCGGTATACATAACCAGGCGAAAATCAATATTTCCTGAACTGCGTTGAAAAGTCGAGACAGTTTTACGTAATTTACGAAACTCAAAATTAACGTGTAATCATTCCGAACAGACAAAAGCACTCGCACAATAATAAAAGCAGAATAAGCTTGTGAAATTACGACGCGCACCAGTTTGGATGTATCGAGTAAGCGAAAGTCCTCGTTGCAATGACACTTGGCAAAGTGATACCAAAATTTACCGGTGAATTGAACGCATTTCCAAATATTCTAATGTAAATAGGCGATAAATTTTTGAACAGAACTTCGCGTAAAATACTCTTTCCCACGTGTTTGTCAAGTCTACTTCTTTGGTGGACAACGCGTGGTTGTAAATCTGTCGGCGAAGCGAAAAAAATAGCTGTTCCATTCATTATTTGCCCGCATCGATCAAGAGAGTAGCGTCAACGACAAGGAAGAAAAAAAAATTCGAATTTCTTTCCACATAATTAGGTTCGAGTGCGTTCGTCGTTTATCGACGTGCAGACCTGAAATACCGTAGCATTTGAAAAATTGGAGCGAGTGTAACATCGAGGCAGTTCATTTTTCCAATTCGGTCAAGTTTCAGGGAAAGGAAGGGCCAGCTCGAAAAAAAAAGAAATTGTAAGAATATTTTTCTTCATATAAATAATCGTCGTACCAAATTTTAAGAAAATCGATCACCTATATAGGTGATTAATTTTCTCGCTTTAATTTTCAGCTATAAATTGTCTGTAATGAAAATAATTTATTCCGCGTGAATCGAAAAAAATACATAAATTATTTGTAAATTTTAAGCGAATCATGATCAGGTGCACTTGCTGACAAGGTGAATTACCGGAGCCAAATCTGGTAGTTGGCTGTCGAGGCTTAATATTAATGTTTTTATCATTATAGATTACTCAATTTGCTACGTACTTGATAGAAGATAACGTTTAATTTGCCGTTTCCGACTTATTTTCTTGAATAAATCATTTCTGCTTACGGTATGCACTACAAACTACAGCAAAATAGTTTAATATAGAACAATGATTCAAAACCTTTCTCATTTTGATGCTGACTATCTATTTGATCATAATAATACAGTTTCAAGCAAATAAAATTGTAAGATGCTCTCAGCATTTTCATAATATAAATAATTGACAAAAAAAAAGTTTATTTACAATTAACTTGCGTGTCGATAATTTAAGAGGAAAGTATTATAAAACTTATCATTCATTTGTAGGAAATAAATAAATAAAGCGTGTGTTTGATAAATTATTCCTGTGGCTATAGATAAATAAAACTTTCGAAATAAATGGCATTTGGTAAGGAATGTAATTTGTATTGACATGTAATTTTATACTAATACGCCTTAATAATAATAGACGTGGTTATAACTGATGTGACCGTGCACAGGCTATAAAGTTATCAATTGAACCACATTACAAATTCTAATTGATACCCTCACGTGCACCTATGTAATAACAAAAAAATGACACACAGCTGTCTCTAAACTATAGAGCATGTATTGCAATAATTTAAGTGCTATTTTGTCTATAGAGTTTAATATCAAACATCGAAATTATTATTTTTATTATAAAGCTTATTTAACTGGTCTTAGTAGAATGTCTTGTCCTTCGCCATTGTAATCTACGCAGAAAGAACATTGAAGACTGAGTAAGACGTTTTAACAATCTGTAAAAGCGGAAGATTAGCGACATCGAATTGCGCCATGGGACTATTTATTGATGTGAAAATACACCAACACTTGTGAATGCGACGTTCGATAGTGTAATGACGTATCCACTGCTCAATAGAATCGGTTTCTTCGTTCTTTCATATATAAACATCAAGTCTTTTATTCCTCTGCAGCTCAATGACCTCCAGTCGCAAAGAAGTATGTTGCTTCCTAAGTCGACGCTCTGAAAATAATAGATCACTTCAAAATCTAATTCGACAGTTTTGCTTTCTGTCATTTTCACTGTATGCCGCGTAAATAAAAGCTGAAACCGAAGATTGTACCCGCAAAGTGATCTCATTGCCGTACCAGGTGTACAAGAAAATCTGCAGTAACATACACGATAAAAATAGCAGTACTGTTATAAAGGCGCTGTTGACTGTTTTCAAAACGGCGAGGGTGTATGTGCATACGCACAAAACGAATATGCTCGAAACGAATTGAAAGAAAATAACAAAAACGTAAATGTCGTTCAATGTTTTTGCCATCCTGAAACAATCAAGATTATGACATTAAAAATTATAAGGGACAAAGGCGAGAAATGGTAAGGTGCTGAGACAAGAACAACCGAGATAATAAGAAGAAAGATCAATAGAAGAATTTGCTAAAAGACGTTTCATTCGGAATCAAAATTTTGACAAAACTTATTCGGTTGTACTTTTTACGTAGTAATTTCCTCAAAACATTGTTTATTTTATAAATTTAATGCTCATAAAATGCTCAATTATAGCTTGACTTTCGATTCATTTCAATCATAGAAAAAATCTTTCCGATCATAGAAAACTAGAACTGAAAGTGTACGCTGTTATTACAAATTGATCGGTAGTCAAATATTTGTAAAAATTCTTTAGTATTTTTACAATGATGTAATCGACTGCTGTGAACAAAAATATTCAGCTTACTCGAAAATGCGTAAGTGGTGCTTAATTAATCTTATCATCAATATTTTCTCAGCTGACAAAATTATACTCTCCGACTCGTGGTTTTCTTTCATTTTATTCAGAGTTTGCGGTAATTGTCTGAATCGCTCTTCAAGTATCTCAAATTGTGCACAAATTTGTATCATGAATCCGCTGACTAAAACTTCCGTTGCACCATTACCAAGTGCGGCTATTGTCACCGCAACGGCTTGATGGAGATACGTCCCATAGTAATAATTAACGTTATCAAGTGAATATGGTAACCAGCTATCGGTAACAAGTACTCTGTTTTCGATATCCGATATGAAAAATGGCATGTATACGTAAGTTATCACCGATATCGAGTAAATTACACCTAACTTCCACGTATTGTTTCTGCAAATAATGAATGTATGTAAGCAGCTGAATTATTACTATTTCTGAAGTGGTAATAATAAGTAATGACTTCAGGACTACACTATTAACTGCGATCGACAAATTTTAAGATTGTTTTTTATAATGATTTTTATTAACAAAATATAGCAAATATATTTGTTCAAGTTGGCGTTCAAAATTATCACGTTTATGTTTAACTTTCATTGCTTATTTATAGTTCATTGCAGCTAACAAGGCCTTTTTCCATGTCAGACAGGTTCCTTACGAATGTGTTACAACAATATTTCCAATTAAAAAAAATTTCATTTATTTAAAACATGAGAAGCGAATAACAACAGTTTCATCAGAATAACTTATTTTATCTATATGTTAAAGAAAATTGCGCAAACCTGGATTCACTGTCAAATTTCTGCTGTATATTTTCTTCCTGAGGGGTTTGAGGTAAAGTTAGGCCATCGAAAAATAAATTCATGAAGCGTATTACTTTCTTTCGCTTTAATTTAAATGTGAAATTCTTCCACGAAACGTTGATTTCGTTGAGTAGTTGAATCATTAATTCTATAGCTAGTTGACTATTTTCCGCAACTATAACGCCAATTACCAAAGTTGCCACAAATGTGTAAAATATAGTATAGGCAATTATTGTGTAAAAATCGTAGAGTCGAATTAAAACTTTAGAGTTCCATTTGTTTGGCCTCCACGATCCATTTAGGATCAACAGTAGAAATGGACCTGTGAACATTTCGAAAGCTTAATATTGTATTTTAGACAGAATGGTCAATTTGAAGTAACGCTGAACTGTTCCGTTCTTTGAAAAATAAGCGGCTTTTAATGTATCTCATTATAAAACTGTTCGAGCACGTACATTAGCGTAATAATAGATTATGAACTGTGTCACGCTACCTTTACATTGACAATCGAAAATGCTCATTAACTTCTACGTTTTTCTATCCATTTATAAGTTAGCCTATAATTTGTTCTATGTTTCCGATAAAAAATTACGAATGCCATGGATATTTGGTGGAGTGGCGTAGATAGAACGTGCAGTTTTACAGCGTTGGTACCTACTTGTTTTCAAATTTTCATCGTAGCAGATGAGTATTTTAAAGTCTACATTTATCAATATAAAAATTAATCTTATTCTTTGCCATAACACTACTAATGTTTATTTTTCATTCTAACGTGAATGAAGTGTGTGATTCTATTTTTTAACTATTTTTTCAATGCGTCAAAATAAATTTTGGCAAGCTTTCAGGAAGCTCCAGATTAGCAAACAACAAGTTATAATTCAATATTATGTATTGATAAGGTCAGACACAAGTATTTCCAAATTTTCTATTAGAGTTAAAAATAATTACAATTTCCAACGACATCTAGATAAAGTTTGCCAAATGTTAGCTGAATAAAAATAAAGAAGGATTATTTTCAAATATTCTCAACTAAAATTCGGAAAAAGTTTACCTAAACTTTAAGCAAATAAAATTGTTTTTGAAAACAGTTTGTCATCGCATACTTTTTTAAGTTTACCTAAATTTTAGCTATTGTAAGTTTGGCAAAACTTAAAGTGTTTTTACACGGGATACGTAACACAGGAGTGCAAGTATAGGTAACCACGTTGAAATGAATTGACAGTGAAATGCCGACCGGGCGAAGTCAGGACATCGTGCAGTAAGAATATTGCCCACTGTACTCTCTATTGGCATAACGTGCTATACCATACGCCAATTCATAAGGACAGTTTAGAATGCAACCCTATATTATATTGAATTTGAGAATATAAAACAATTTTTATTTCTATAGATGGATAGAGTATGTTATATTATTTGTTTCCCAACTCAGTATTACAATTACCATACGATTCCATATACATCACAAAAAATAGAGCATAGAAATAATTTACAAATCACTGATGGATGTAGTAAAAAACGTAGATGTATTTTTCATATAGATGTTCTAAATCTAAGTACTACATATACTTGGGGAGAAAAAAAAATTAGATCTTAATATTACTTGATTAATTTTCAAGTACAGTATAATAAGATACGCCAACTTCGAGCATCTAAAATAAGAAAAAGAACGATATTGCAAAGTGATGGGTAAATCAGCTGTTGAAGTGATGACCTTGCTATAGATTTCGAAACATAGAATGAAACATTTGCCACCAGTTATCTAACAAGGTTTCAAACTGCGTCTTATTATAATTAACCAGATAGTGCATATCTTTCTTGGCATATTATTGGAGAATCAACTATCGAAGTAAAACTGAGTTATAACGTAATCAACTATTATTACCCGATCTCAAAAATTTGAGCAAATTAAATTGTAAACAATTTTGTATGAAAAAGGATTTTCATAAATACTAAATATTTATCTATGATATTTTTTATGCAAGATATTCTGCGTTTTCAAGTGTGAAGGTTCGATAACATAAAAATAGAAAAACGAAATACATTATTTATTGTTTATAACAGACGGTCGGCGTCAAATGTTCTTCTATAATAAATTACATGAGCAATTTAAAATAGGCACTATATGTTCGTGACTCGCAGCAGTAGTCGATTGCCGTTTGAATCTGGCAAACGTAGAAGCCATTTTAATTTGCGCGTTAGAACCCGAGAATTCGACAAGATTCGTTATTGTCGAGATGGTTCACTTCCACAATTTTCCGTGGCAGCTTGCTGTATTTCTGGATAAGTGCGCCGGTTACTGGCCTTTCCACAGCTGGCTCAGGAAACTTACACTGCTGGTTTTTCACTCATTGATTGCTATAAGCATCGGACTTCCTCAGGTTATATTGAAATATATTTCAGAGTACGATTTAATATTCAACGAACGGATTGATATGTTGACATTGGTTGTAGGTGAATTACTGGATAAGATACACTGGCGACGATAACTTGGTAGGGTTACGGTGCTCTTTATTCTTTATGTTTATCACCTCTGAATTCGTGAAGTTGTTAGCATCAACCAAATATCAAAATATAGTCTGTATTATTTGTAATTATATCGCTTATTTTTATATTGAATTTATACACCCCTACCTAATGGTATTGTAAGATCTAATCGTTGATCATCAGATCTTTTGTTTATAAATATAATTAATTGTATTATATCGAATTAACTGATTTTTAAGATTATATAGAGACTTCTATACACCGCTTGTCTTGATTAAGATCGATGAGGCGATGTTCTATGTGTTTTTTGCGGTAATATTGGAGAAATTTAAAGTAGTAGGTTGATTTTCAAGGGCAGATCAATTTATAGCTACGGTTCAAATTAAATTCGATCAATTGTGAATCGAAGTCCGAAACCCATGGTATAGGTAATATATTCTTTCTTCATCGGTGCAGGAATCAATTTATTCTGTAGAACCTGCTCTTCACTATTTAAAAAATATATGTGAGCATCGTATGCATCGTAGACCAAACATATTTAAGATTCCATTGATTTTCTATAACGAATTAATCAGATCTTATACCAACATTATAGGTACGGGGTGCACTGATATTTATAGTACTTAATATTGCAAACGTATATTTTGTATTTCTAATACCGTAGAGACGTCGCATCTACCGAAGGGTTGTTAAAAATTACTGCGAGACTGTAGACGCGGAAGAAGCAAAGATACTTCGAAATTCGGCTAATCAAGCTTTTAGATTGACTGTGACGTATTTAGGTAAGTACGAGCACGCATGTCACTAAACTAACGAATTTTCGTGCTAGTGGATTTATTGACACTAACTTTAGTATTAATATATAGTTGTTTGTGTCATATTCAGTAATGTATTCATTACTATGCCATTGATACGGTGTTGCGCTAATTATTTTTTTGGTGATGGCCAATGGAACGTCGCTTTCCCATTTGATGTGGATTACGGGGTCGAGGCAAACGACTATTGGCTTCTTGTGTATCTTCACTATATTGTATTTGCAGTGAGCATTGTATTCACTGCCGCCGCTTTTGATTTATCATTTATATTAAAAATTCATCATGTGTGCGCTCTGATAAAAATTGTCACGTAAGTTGAAATGGCTACGCGTTCCGTAGCATAATTTTCGTAAAACTATGTTCCGAGAGTTGCAGGCTGCGGCTGGAAAAGGCTTCTCAAATATCTATAGAGCTCCAATGTGAAAATGACGAATTGGCGAGAGCTGAAGTTAATTCACTCCTGAAAGATGCAATCAAATTGCACGTGAAATCATTCGAGTAAGAATAGACCAACTAAAAGTAAATTTGCCACTTCGCTGTTTGATCACTGTGAATCACTACTTTTAGATTTATTTCATTTATCGAAGATGAATATAGCCTTTGCCTTTTCTTTTTACTTTTGATGAATGCAGCCAGTTTCGGTGGACTTATACACGTTGTAAATAATGCATTTCTATTGATTAAAATTTTTCAAGCAATATTTAAATTGTAAAGTTTCATCGATATTTCAGATTTTCTCTAACACTTCCGATCTGTTAGAGTCCTTTAGATATTTATTAGTGCTCATAGTTGTAACACTGCATTTTTATGTGATGTTTTCGCAAGGTCAAAAGATCATTGATTGCACCTCCGAAATATTTGATGCTTGGTAAGCAGGTCCCGATCAACATTGAAAGGTATACAAGTTAATTTTGTCGTGAAGTTACAATTGCAGATGGTACTATATGTCGAGGAAGATGCGCACTATGTGGTTAATAATATTGATGCGCAGCTCGAAACCCTGTAAGTTAACCGGTGCCAAATGTTTCATTCTGTGTCTCGAAACCTACAGCAAGGTCAACATCATACACATACACACGATAAACTAATTTTTTTATTGATCATAATATTGTCTATTTTTTTTATTTTAGATGCTCAAAGCTGGTGTATCCTATTATACTGTATTCGAAAATTATTAGAATATCGATACGAAAATCAAATCTACGTTTTCTATATTCACTGGTGATTTGTAAATTATTTTTATGGTCTATTTTGTGTGACGTATATGCGATTGTGTATTGTATAGTTGTAATATTGCTTTGGTAAACCAATAAAGAAACATGTCCTATCCACGTTAAAAATAAAAATGGTATTATAGTGTGATGAGAGTGAGGTTCAAATAACGAAATACAGAATTATACCAATAATAAAAAGTAATGTAAAGAACAATGAGTAACACATATACTTCCACAACAGTAACGATCTCATACACTCACTGTCATTCACTATTATGCTGACCTGTAAAGCCTGAAAGTCCTGTGTTGCATATCTATAAATAAACTCATAATCACTCTACACTAGAATTTTCCTCTTTTAATTTGGAATATTTACCAATATTTATTTTATGACTTTAAAAATTAAATTTCAAATTTTTTTTTTAATTTCTAGTTTTAATACGCTGAGAGCTTCTCAGTACTATTACATTTTCTCACATCTCGCGTTATGAGCTTAATTATTGAGGTTGTTCTTAAAAAATGTAAAACTAATTAAAAAAAAAAGAAGTTTACGAATGAACAAGCAGTACATTCACATATCAACGTCACAGTTCAATAAATTAGATAATATATTATAAACGAAACTGACTAAATAATCCAATTGACGACCGCTAAAAGCAATTATGAAATTAGCCGCATCAGTTATGCAGGGATATAATTATTTTATTATCTTTTATCAATGATATTACATATACAGTTATCAAATGAAGCTTTCCTTCTTAAAAATAAGATTAGTTTAAGAATCAAATAATTATCCGAAATTTTTTAGCGCATGAAGGAACTCTAAAAGTAAATCTAAAACTCAGCATATCGGGATTACCACTATAATATAGAGTATTTGAGGAAGTCCGCTAAGCTATCTTGTAAATGCCAACTGTGTAAATGCCAACCGAGCGAAACAAGGAAATCATGCAGTGTGTACATTGCCTATAGTACTCTCTAATAGTGTAATGTACTGTACCGTAACACCTGTACGCAAATACTTGACGACTGTTTGAAGTGCAATCCTATATTATATTAAACATGAGTTTAAAAAGCCACTTGATAATACTATTTTTATTTTTAATGTAGATAGGATATATTTCTCTATTTATTATCCAACTCAGTATTACAATTATCATACAATGACATATATCACAAAAATTAAAGCAATGAAATAACTGACAAATCACCGGTGAATATAGAAAACGTAGATTTGGTTTTTTTATGGATAATCTAACAGTAAGTACTACATATACTCGAAGAAAAGAAAAATTAGATTATAATACTACTTGATTAACGTTCAAATACAGTATAATAAGATACGCCAGCTTTGAGCATCTAAAATAAAAAATAGACGATATCATGAATCAATAGAAAAATTAGTTTATCGTGTACATGATATTGAGACTGACCCTGCTGTAGGTTTCGAGACACAAAGTGAAACACTTGGCACCGGTTATCCCACAGGGTTTCAAGCTTCGTATCATCATTATTAACCGTATAGTGCGCATCTTCCTTGACATACAGTACCATCTGGAATTGTAACTTCACGACAAAATTAACTTGTATACCTTTCGATGTTGATCGGGACCTGCTTACCAAGCATCAAATATTTCGGAGGTGCAATCAATGATCTTTTGACCTTGCGAAAACATCACATAAAAATGCAGTGTTACAACTATGAGCACTAATAAATATCTAAAGGACTCCAACAGATCGGAAGTATTAGAGAAAATCTGAAATATCGATGAAACTTTACAATTTAAATATTGCTTGAAAAATTTTCATCAACAGAAATGCATTATTTACAATGTGTATAAGTCCACCGAAACTGGCTGCATTCATCAAAAGTAAAAAGAAAAAGTAAAGGCTATATTCATCTTCGATAAATGAAATAAATCTAAAAGTAGTGATTCACGGTGATCAAACAGCGAAGTGGCAAATTTACTTTTAGTTGGTCTATTCTTACTCGAATGATTTCACGTGCAATTTGATTGCATCTTTCAGGAGTGAATTAACTTCAGCACTCGCCAATTCGTCATTTTCACATTGGAGCTCTATAGATATTTGAGCATTGTTTTACGAAAATCATGCTACGGAACGCGTAGCCATTTCAACTTACGTGATAATTTTTATCAGAGCGCACACATGATGAATTTTTAATATAAATGATAAATCAAAAGCGACGATAGTGGTTAGAACACTAATTGCGAATACAAGATAATGGATACATATAGGAAGCCAATATTCGTTTTTGTCGAATCCGTAATCCATATCTAACGGCAATGCCATGTCAAACTGACCCTCGCCAAAAAAATAATTAACGCAATTCCTCATCAATGGTATAGTACTAAATAGTATGGTGAGGAAAAATCCAACAACTATATATTAATATTAATGTTAGTGTCATCCAATCCACCAGCAAGAAAATTCGTCAGTTTGGTGATACATGCTCAATGCTCATACTTACTCACGTAAGTCATTGTATATCTCAAAGCTTGGTAAGCGGAATCTCGAAGCATCTTAGCTTCCTCCGCATTTACAGTCTCGCGGTAATTGTTAACAACCCTTCGGTAGATGCGACGTCTCTACGGCATTAGAAATACAAAACATACGTTTACAATGTTGAATACTATAAATATCAGTACACCCCGTACGTATAATGTTGCTATAAGATCTGATTAATTTGTTATAGAAAATCAATGGTATCTTAAATATGTTTGGTCTACGATGCATACGATGCTCGCATATATTTTTTAAATACTGAAGAACAGGTTCTACAGAATAAATTGGTTCCTTCACCGATGAAGAAAGAATATATTACCTATACCATGGGTTTTAGACTTCGATTCACAATTGATCGAACTTAATTTGAACCGTAGCTATAAATTGATCTGCCCTTGAAAATCAACCTACTACCTTAAATTTCTCCAATATTACCGCAAAAAATACATGGAACATCGTCTCATTGGTCGAAATCAAGACTAACGTCGTATAGAAGTCTCTATATAATCTTAAGAATCGATTAAGCCGATATAATATAATTATATATATTTGTACACAAAAGATCTCACGATCAGCGATTGGATCTTATAATACCATTAGGTAGGGGTATATGAATTCAATATAAAAATATGCGAATTAATTATAAATGACACGGACTACGTTTTGATAACTGGCTGATGCCAGCAACTTCACCAGATCAGCCGTGATATACAGAAGGGTAAAATAGCACTTTAACCCTACCAAGTAATCGTTGTCATTGCATGTTATCCAGTAATTCACCTACAATCAAGGTATTAATTTTAATTTGTTTATTGAATATTGAATCGCGCTCTAACATATATGTGAATATAACCAGAGGAAGTGCGAAGCTTATGATAATCAATGAGTGAAAAGCCAGTAGTGTAAAATTCCTGAGCCAGCTGTGGAAAGGCCAGTAACCGGCGCACTTATCCAGAAATACAGCAATCCGCCATGGATATATGTGGAAATGAACCATTTTAATAATAACGAATCTTGACAATTTTTTGGGTTCTAATGCAAAATCGTTTCTGTTTGCTAGATTCAAACGGCTATCGACTACTGCTAGTCACGAGCGTATAGTGTCCATTTCATATTGCTCATGTAATTTATTATAGATGAATCTTTAACGTCGGCCGTCGTTTATAACAAAATATATAATTCATTTTATTTTTCTATTCTTACGTTATCGAACAGCGTAGCATTTGACAATGAAGAATATCTTGCATAAAAAAATATAAATACGTTTCCATTATTTATCAAGGTCTTTACATACACAAAACTATTAATTTCCTGGCTTTTTGTTAAATTATAAAGAAAGAATAAGCATTATCAGCATTATTTCATATTTTTGTTTACTGTTTAATTTGCTTACACTTTTGATATGTATTATTAATAGTGGATTAGATATCCAGGCCAGGAAAGTATTGGTAATTCCTTCGGACGTAAGAGATGGCAATTCCAGGCTGCGTCGGAATATGTTTATCACGTGCCTCACTACCACACAATCATTATACAATTTTAGCAGTTAAATGGAAAGTCTTGGCTACCATCTGTCATCTGAAAAAAGTTTTACGTTGATCCATGAAACTTTGAAAAAATTATTGGAGAAAAATAATTTTTTTGAAAATATTACTTTTATTTGTTCCTCCAGACAAGAAATTCGTCTCATGCACGTATTATACATTGCAAGTAGCAAAATACCTTAGTTAATGCCATTATCCATTAGTCGTATACTCATAGCCGGATGACGATAGTATAGATATATACTCAACCTACAAATATGCGTATCAAAGATCTATCGATTAATAATTATTGATGTAATTTTTAAATTTATCAGAGACAATTATCGACGATTTACTAATTGCTCAATTCTAAGCAGTCGTGTCTATAGATTTCATTGTATATGATCCTGGTACAGTTAATGAAATTGATTCCCCATGTGGCCCCTGCTCACCACACATTTCGCTCAAAACGTAAAACTTACATGCGAGTAGACTGCCGTTAATACCTAGAAACTAATTTATACCCTACACTCTTATACTCCGCTTTCCTCGCCGCTTTCTTAACCCCTGTGCTTGGAACTCTGCTACCTTGAAACCCTAGATCTGTAAAAATCAATTTACTTAATCTTCTAGATCGGAAACCTGCAACTATATAATAAACGTGTATATCTGAATTATCTTAACACTCAAGCCCGAATAAAAAACTTTTTATTCTCTTCCATTCTCCAGCATTCCTTTCTGTTAATATTGCTTTTCAAGATAGTTGAATATCAATTCAGTACGATTTTTTCAGTAGTCCTTTTTAAGATACATAAAGCACTGACGAGTAAAATATTGTGCAAGAGCTAAAGCTTCAACGCTATGTAAGTTCCAGTTTTGAACGATTTTTCTCACAAGAATATAGGCTCCGTAAATGAGATGTCTGTCTTTTTTAACCAACAGTAATCAATTGTAATCTACTCGCATGCCAATTTGACCTATTTTGAAAGATATTGTTGTTACAATAACTTCGTTATTGTCAATGTTTAGATACGACGCGACGTCTATGTGGAATTACAAAAAGAAAAAGTACGTTAACTAAAAATAATTTAACTCTAATTAGGATACATACGATTCTTGCAGATATTTTAAAGTCTTTAAAAATGGATCTAAAATATTAATGAACTAATTTGCCAACAGATTGGTAAAGAAAGATAGCACATACGCACTTAGATTGAGCTTCAGCCATACACACTCAGTCAAGAATGACTGATCCCACCCTTTTAGCTCTCAGGTGTGAATATATGCTCTATTATATTTATCCAAAAACAGCATACATATAAAGCAAAATCTCTGTCGAAATAAATGCGAGCGTTTTATGGAAATCGCTGTATATCTAACCTTTATATAAAAGTCATAACCGGATATTGTGAAGCCAAGATAAACGCTATCTGATTGGCTCATGCAGTGTGCATGTTTCTATTTGAATCTAACCTAAGCCAACCTAATCTAATTAAAAAATATTTCATCAAAATTATGCTCATTTCTGTTTTCGTTTAAATATAAATATATAAAATCATTTTAATGTTTTTAAATTCAAATTGCTTACACATACATAAATTATATTTTATTTTTAAAATTAATTGTTTCATTAATAAGTTTTGAAAAAAATGCTTTTTCCTCCATTCTGATTATTGTTAGAAAGCCAGAGGCGTTGTTTGCTTTTAAAAAGTGGAGTTGACAGAAAAAAGTTCAAACTGGAATTCATCGGTGAATGCTCGTTCGAGTACAGGCATAGCATTGTCGACCTTCAAGTCAGTGAAAAATTCCTTACTTATACTGGCCATACTTTTGTATTTGATTTCAAAACGAACGATATACGTTCGAAATCTGTCCCTACGTGAAACTATTGTCATATACAAAATGTATTGTATATTATATTCAGCGCACGAATTTCAATCTACACACTCCTACGAGAGCTCATGATTTTATTTAAAAGCGTTGGAATACGATGAAGCTATAGGCAAAAGCTGTTGTATACTTCATATTTTAATACACGAAAAATTGAGAAAACTTCAGAGAAGTTTTTCAAACACTTATTCATATCAGTAGTATTATAAATCCATCGTGCGATGCTTATGACAACCAATAAGTGAAAAATCAGCAGTGGAAGTTTCCTGAACCAGCTGTAAAAAGGCCAGTAACCGGCGCACTTATCTAGAAATCCAGTAAACTGCCATGGAAATTTGTAGAACTGAATCATCTCAACATTAATGAATATTGTCAAATTTTTGGGTTGTAACGCACAAATCCAAATTGTTTGTACGTTTGCCAGATTCAAACGACTATCGACTACTGCGTATTGAGTCGCGAGCATATAGTATCTATTTCAAATTGCTCATGCAATTTATTATAGATGAACATTTGACGGCGGCCGTCGGTTATAAACAATACATAATGTATTCAGTTTTTCTATTCTTATGTTATCGAACCTTCTTATGTATAACGTCTCTATTATATTTATTAGCTGTAAGAGACGTTATACACAACACATTTGATTTACTGACTATTTTAATCATCTTTTTTTATCATGGTCTCATGCACTACATTCAGTCTATTTGAAATTATGTAAGCATTTCTTTTTGATATGGGTATTTGCTTTTCAGTCATAACCAAAAAGTTAATGTTTAAGGTAAAGATAAAAAACAACAAAAATAGTTAGGAAATCGATAGTTTCATATACAGGGTGTTCCAAAAGTCCCGAGACACCTGTATAATAACTCGCGAAATATATTATTTTTTGAAGGTTAAGCTAGAAATGTTCAGCGAAAAATTCCATGGACCTTTATTTTGTAACCCCTTTATTTATATAACCCCTAGAGCTCAAATGAAGGTCATTATAAAGTCAGACCGCGGTAATATCGATAACCGTATCGTGTAGAGGGTCAGAGCTACTTGTGCTAAAAAATCACTGAAAATACTGCCTAGAGAGTTTGCACAGCGTGTACAGATACACGAGACAAGAATCTCTTTCCCGAACATGCTGATGGCCGTATAGGAAACGCTTTCTTCTTAAGTCATCGAAACCACCAATTGTGTGTGTATATATATATATGTGTATACACACACACACACACACACACACACACACACACACATATATATATATATATATATATATATATATATATATATATATATATATATAAAATAGAATAGAATAGAAGTATTTACTAACCGGTGGATAAGACACTGAGGTGTAATTAATTGAATGGCCAGCTGATCATGCAGACTTTAACGTGTCCTCTGAACTACTTTCTTCGGGGTTATATCGAAGAATTGCTACAAAGAATAATTAACAAATGTCCTGTAATTCCAAATAAAATTATTCAAAATACTCTTACAGCTTTCTATATTCGGTTAAGTCATTATTGAGCAGTAAGTGGAGAACATTTTGAACATTTATTATGAAAATCTTGCACATTCTATTAGCTACGACGTCCAAAGGTACAATATTTTCTACATTCACAACGTTGTTTTTCGATAATGTTAAAAGTAAATACCAAAACATCACGAGTTTATTTCGCCGATCTCGTAGTAGATATATTTTATTAAGAATGAAATTGGTAATTAGCGATGACGTAAACTCTCTACGCTGTATTTCCAAAAAAATTTTTTAGAATAGACCGAAGCTTCATTTTCCACCTTTGAATCTGAATTTATCATACGATCTACCAAGACGTACTTAACAAATGTGAAAATTTTTTCCTAGATATTTACGTGGATACTTGCAGGTTGAAATTTTCTACTTTTCTCTGATTGTAATAATCAGTTTCAAAAAATTAAGCAGTGCTTTTTGAAGTAAAAGATTTTCTCTTTCCGATGCCGTTTCCAAATTTTAAATTGAAAAAAAATTCGCGATGTGAAATAAGTCCAAAAAATGCAAAAAACTGTTTTTTACACATTTAGATTAGGATATCTCAAAAACCTAGGATAATGGAGCAATTTATACCACGAATTTGAATTCAACACAGCAAATTCTTTTAGTGACATTACGTCTAATCTCTGATGCGAACTTTTTCAGAATGTTGTAGGTCTATGTAATTATTCTAATATTCGATAAAAAAGTTTATGATGACTGCTATTCTATTTTCACGCTGTGAAGCTTGTTTATCATGCTTGAAATATGCAAGATCATATTTATTAGAAAAATATCTGGTCAATTATCAAATTTCATTGCTTTTTAACATCAATGAATAAGACATGTTAATGTACAATATGACTGAAGATATTTATTTAGTTAAACTCGTATATTTTAACCCAATTATACAATGCTAAATTTCATTAGTTCGAACTGTAATTTTACATGTACATCTAATTCAAAAAATCATTTGATATAATTTACATGACATAACTTGTAATTAAGAATTACTGCAAGATACACGACTGCGACACTCGTAGTCTTCGAAAGAAATAATGAAGAAATTAATCGCGATTGCAATAAACAAGCTTTTCTCAGCTCGCTGCTAAAACAGCGGCGACCTTAGCCGCCTCTCTGCATTCCTTCATCGCCTCGGAAGTTTCCTCAGTAGACATGTCGACGACTTCACACTGGAATTCATCGGCGAAAGCTCGTTTGAGTACAGGTATAGCGTCTTCTACCCTTAAATCAGCGAAAAGTTCCTTGCTTAAACTGGTTACACTTTTGTCTTCGATTCCACAAGGAACAATGTGCTCGAACCATCTGAGGTCAACGTTGCAATTAAGTGCCAGCCCATGACTCGTGACATATTTGCTGGCATGAATGCCAATAGCGCAGACTTTACGATCATCGATCCACACACCAGTGTCCGGAGAAGTCCCACCCTTAAGTCCGAATTCGGCGCACAGACGGATTATCATTTTCTCGATCGACGAGACGTAACAGCGCACGTTCGTCTTGAATTCTTTGAGATCAATTATGGGATAGGCGACTAGTTGACCTGGGCCATGGAAAGTTACCAAACCACCACGGTTCGTACGATAAAAGTCAGCGCCGAACGAGCGTAGACGGTTTTCATCTTCGTCAGTGTATCCTTTGTTACGTATGCCAACGGTGTAAACGGGTTTATGCTCCAACAGAATCAAGCTGTTAGGTGTGTCGTAGAGGTTTCGTTCGCGATGACGCTGCACCAAAGTCTTTTGTAATTGAAGTCCGGCTCCATAACTGAGGCGGCCTGCCCACAACATCTTTACCATTCTTGAGGGCATTTCGTAAAATTGTTCTTTTTTATACAATTTGATGAAGAATTAACGCTTGAACTTTAATGAGATTTTACGATTCGCATAGTAAAGTTTTATTGTATTTTGTAGTTTGTTCGTTCGTTGCTTAAATTTAAGAGATTTTGGTCTTAAGATTACTATTTCAGTTCCTCTGCATCAGCTAGAGCTTCCTGCTGTTCAATTGTTAAATGAAGTAGGAAAGAAACCTTAAAAATTAATTATAAATTACTTGTTTAATATGTGAAAAATTACGTTAAAAATTACGTTAAAAATTAACGTGTAAAAATGTCTTACGTATGCATCAGTGGCAGCATAAAGTTTTTGAGCATCAGTTAGCGGATGAATATGCCATTTACTTCTTCTTACTGATGGATCTTTGTTAATTCTTCTTTTCAACTGGAATTATTGAAGATATATAATATCATCAAATTTGATAGCAATATAACTACCTACCAAATATGCTGTTAGTCGTTCTAAACTCCAACGAACAGAACGATTAAGGACTTTATTTGCATATGGTCCACAATCTAAACAATTATTATCTACAACTTTTTGTCCAGGAAATTCATTAAAGTCCCTTGATAACTTCCAAACATCACTAAGCAAAGAGTAAGTTTTAAGTACATTATTATGCAAGTGTAATTACACCAAAATATTGAATTTATTACTTACTTTTTAATATTCACACCAACAAGCTTAACTTTAGGATGACTTAGTAAAGCAATAAAACTGGCTGGCAACTTTTTGATTTTATATAAATATAGTAAGTGGCAAATTTTTTCTGATAAGCAAATTTGTGCTAATGCAGTTTTGCCGCTACCAGTTTGAAAACTAAATGGCCATTCTAAGTCAAATCCTACAGGTACTATAGAATCATTATTGCTTTCTACTTCAGTCCTGCAAAGAAATAAGCAGAATTCAAGAACATATTTTCACAGGTACTTTTTGTGTGGTGTAATATTTTCTTGTGACATTTACAATAGTACATCACAAATCCTTGCACAGTCGTAAAAGTTATGGACATAATTTATTTGTCCTTGAAATACAATCGGTGGTAGGTCATCAATCTCTGGTTCTTTTTTACTTATCTCTTTTTCTGACTGTAGCCAAAAATTTTAATCAGTTATTAGTGTAACATATTGATTAATTTTCTGATGATTTTGCTGACCTTTTCATTAGTTTGAAAGTTTCTAGCTGATCTTCTATTTCCTTGTGATTGTTCTACAGGACTTTTTTTTCTGGATTCCCTGTTTTTTTCACTTGTAAAGTTCTGTAAGTGAAAAATTAAATAAGTCTTTTATTTAATAGTAACTTCCAAAAAATGTTAACAATTCTACTATTACATGCTCTTTTTAAATCTGTTCTTACCGATTGTTTGTTCGAATTTAATTGGTCTATAATATTTTTGTCAAGTGGTGTCAAACAAACTCGTATACTTTTTGTGGTCTGTTTCAATATTTTAGCCTTGATTTCATTCTTATCAATCTCTACTGTCTGCACATTCTAAAAAGTGAAATGAAAGATGATCACTTACGCAGTCAATACTTCTATCTAACAACTATCTTGCTTAATACAAATGCGAATGATATAGTACATAAACGACAGTCATAATTATTGCTATCCATTTGTTACACTGATAATCAAGTGGACGATTGTTTACGCAACTCCGCCAATAATAGCTTGTTGAAAGTTATGTGTGACATGTTGTCGTAAATGAAGGCAGTTTGCATCATCGCATATATATATGAAAACGTAGTAAAAAGTCTTATCAGAGAAAAGCTCCGAAACAATACAGTAAACGAAATCAACGTTCACCTCATAGGTTAGAGGAAAGCGCAGAAACCGATGAACTTAACAATCAACACTCGCGGAATATTAAAAGAACAAACAAGATCACGTATTTGGCGCTATAAACGTACGTTTCATTAAACTCGCGTCTCGTCTAAAGTTCTAACCTCTTTCTTGAGCCAGGCGGTTATCGGCCGAAGTCGCTTGGTTGCCGTCTCTTTCGACATAGTTGATAGACAGCCGGCGTCAATATTCCTTTGACTCCGTATACGTGTTATCAACTCTTTCTTTTTTCGAGCGATGCTGATAAGCAATGATTTTCGCAGCTAACTGGTTTGTTGTTGCGGCTGCAAAGAAAACTGGAGTTTCGCGCCAAGATGTGCTACTATACGAGAAGTAGAGACCTCTGCGTGGCTCTCCTTTTTCTCCTATATACCAATACCACTGCACACACCTGGAACAAACCGCTTGCGTTTGTAAAAATTGGCACTGTGATGGGTTTAACATTAAACTGAATACGCTCATGAATGGGAGTGAGGAAATGAGTGCGTGTAAACTGCACGGCAAGAATTCCAGAGGTTAATTAAGTTTTTTTTCCTGGACTGTTTTGAATAGAAGGTATACTTCATTTGACGAGTTATTAGCATAGCGAAGATGAAAAATCTTTTCAACAATTGTACGTTTTATTACTTATTTTATGATTATTGCCATATTGATGGAATACATAATGAGTTTGACATTTTTTACAAACTCGAATCAATGAAAAGAATTTTAGTTACTTCAATAACATTAATTGAAATCGTCTCGACCAAACATTTTTTATAATATATTGGAATATAAAATCATGAATTTATACATCTTCAAACTAATTGAAGAAAAATATAATATTTTATACTATTTTTCAATATTTATAATCCTATACGTTACATTTATTTGGCAATTTCAACATTAAAAAATTTTCCGTCATAAAACAACGAACGCAATGAAGTTTGAATCATTTAATCTAGGTAAAAAAAATTTTAAAACTGTAAGCACGTTGAATGCTTATCCCTGTATGCGAAACTTTATCTTGAAATCAGGTTTGAAATGCAAAACGAAGACAGAAAATTGAAATGCCAAGTCGTTACCTCGTCGGGATAGCGAATAAATCTGAATAATCGTCAACGAGGTTCGGCAGACATCTCGGCAGAAGGAGCGCGCGTATATATCTGCGACGTAGATCAGCAGGAAAAGTCAAGCGAGCGCGCATACGTGCAGTGACAAGAGGACACGAAGAAAAGAAGGCGGCAAGGTGAACAGTCGCGAATGAATGGCTTTTCCCTGAAGGAAAGTGAACGTATCAGATTCGTGCGCGTGATAACCCACTTCGGCGAGTCGGCTTTCGCAGCCGCGCGCCCGTAGCGAAAGTGCATCCTTTGAATTTCATAATTTTGCAAAAAGACGTAACACGAGAGCGCGAAAGTCGCCGCCGCCGCCACGTGCCGCGATAATCGATTTCGCTGCTTTTCCCTTTCGATGCCCATGCGCGATCTGCCGCGGAAAAATCACACGCGGGCGAACTTATCCGTCGCTTTCTCGGATTTCTGCGCGTCTCTTGTCCTCCCTCTCTGTCTCGCGCGACGATCGGCTTTGCTCCTGCTTTATAGCTCTTTTCTCGAGACTCGACTTTTTATGAGCTACAGCTGCTCGCTCGTCCGCGAAAAAAACGTCAACTTAATCAATTTCAGTGAAATCATTTTTCGCACTCGAGCGGCACGGCGCTTTTAGAAAACCGGGGCAAATCACATTTTTTTCGATGGGAATGTACTTAGCGTCACTCAAGATTTACAGATCACTTCGACGCCTTTTTCCTCGGTTTCCTTTTACTTCGATCCATGAACGCGCTTAGTGAAATTTCCGATGTGGTATTTAATAAGACTTGCGGAATAATTGATCGCCTTGCAACTTGTCCTTCGTCCAATCCTCGGTCGCAATGATCGACGGAGCAGCGCAAAATGCTCAAACACCACGCAAGCAGGATAGCCAAGAAACGAAAGCAAACGAAATAATGGAAGCTTTCGATCGAACTCTGACGTGGGTAGTGACTTGACGGTTGGAGAACTGAAAGCACTGTTACGCATGTCACTTGTGCATCCGGCAACGCGATTCAATTTGGAAACGAAGCTTGAAATTTCTTGGCAGTCGGCGACAAAGCCGCACAATAAACCGAGCCGATCGGCAAATACATCGCAACAAGAGCGAAAAGTCAAGTGAAAAGATCGTAAAGCCGTGCGGCGGACGGCGCGCGAGTTCACTGGATCGACTCGATTTTAACCGACGATCCGTGCCGTTAACAATTTCATTTTCACTGTTGTCCCATTCGTCAATGCCCGTGAGAGCGTAACAAGGCCGAAGCGCCTCTTCTTCGATATTTCTTTTTTATCCGGTGCCAAGCCCCAATTGTGTCTCATCCCGAGGAGATCTCGCGTGGATTATTGATGATCGCCTCGACGGGTCTAGCGGTTCTCGCGCACCTCGGCTGTTTTCAACGGAAAATCATTTCGTGAAGCTTGACCTTTTCACTGCGCGTGTATTTTTCTTCGGTCGCGGTGAAAGTTGGCCTTCGGGAAAAAACAAAATTAATAAAGCGCGTCGATCAACGTTGTCAAAACAGCAGCTTCCAGCATCGCAAGTAGAACGAGCGAGTTTAAATTCCTAATATGCGCACCCACTGTATTTCGTTGACTATTTACGTTAGTTCGCCAATGCTGGCAAGAGAGTTTAATTGTCATTTTAGTGTGCGTGCGATGACATTTCTATCAAAATGTCAAAAAATCCTGCCCCTGGTACGCACCTCTCGAATGCTATCCGTCATATTTCGACGTCTAAAATGCCGAATACGAACGACAATGATTTTTGAAATAATCGTGGGATTATCTTTTGAAAGATGTTAATCTTAGACTCGAGGGCATTTGACACAGAAACACGCATGCACGCTCGAAATTTACGATATTCTCGCGAAAATTGCGTCGAGAGAAACCCAGGCAACGAATTTACGAGCTCTCTTCAAGCTACGGCACTATAACATAAAAATAAAAAAAAAAAAGGAACGAAGAGAAGCAAACAGTTCATCGTTTAACAACCCTTTCACCGCGGAAAACTATACACAGAGAAATCTTAGCGCGAGGGCTCGTAAAAACCACTTAAACTGCAACAACGCGCGGCAGCTCCGCCGAGAGTAAGAGTATACACACACGCAAACCGTGAAAGAAAAAACGAACAGAAAACAAAAAAATTCTAATCGATACAATCGTCGAAAAGCGCGCGCGCAAGCGAAAGCTACAAAAGTAAAAGTCGCAGTCGGCAGCGGTGCCGGCAGTGCAGACGCATAAATATCATCGAAGAGAGACACGTACGTCGTTCGATTTATCATAGAGAAAGGTGCGAGTTTGTTTATCGATGTGTATTGCGGGAGGCAATGAAGAGGAACGAAAAAAAAAAAAAAACAAATATAATTGCCCGCCGCGCGTCGATTACTTTTTTCTTTGACTTTCCCTCCTTAAGTGCTCGGCGACAATACGCCGCTGCTTGAACATCTTCGAAAGTGTTGATGATCTGAAAGTGATTAGGAAATTATATTTTTTTTTACACAGGATAGATCGTCGTCGAGCTCGACCTCTTTCATCTTGAAATTATAAACTCCATCAGCTTATACAAACTGCTCGCTCGAGATATGCGATTAATTGAATTGAAAAAAAAGAGGGACTTTGAGGTATTAGTGACGTAGCAGCGATAATTCACCTAGTCATTGCGCTGATTATCATTGGACGATCTATTTTCATTGACACACTATACAGGTCAAGATAAAAAAAAGTTTAATTCGGATAGGGATAGTAGGAATTGAAAATCTCTTGCGAAGAGTTGGACTTGTAATAACAAACGAATCGATGACAAGACCAAACATCGAATACATGATGCGTAGATAGTAAGGATAGCTCAGCGCTCGCGAAGGGAGCTGGTATCAAGATGGTATAGGTATAGGTAAGGATACACATCAGCATCGTCAATTTAGAAAGTGAATAAGATAGCGTAGGCCGCGTTGCAGAGCGCAAAGAGATAGTCAGGGAGGGGGTCCCTCACTTTCCTTGGCCCCCCCAGAACAACGCGGCGCGATACTTGGACACAGCCACCTCGGCATAGACAGATCAGTTGACCGCTGCGACTGTCACGCGAGCGAAGCGCGGTCCTCACCGTCGTCGACTCGTTTCTGCCTTCGGCCTCTCGGCCACTGGATTGACAGCTGACGATGACGCAGTCGAGGCACACCCGAAAGAAACGAGAATGCAGGACCGGTCGCGCGTAACGGCCTGCGAAAAGTCCGCGCGCCTAACGGGCTTGCGCCGACCAAGCGCGCCCGGAAGCTCCACAGGCTCCTTGGCTGCTGCTGCGATGTCGCTTTTAGCGGCCTGGTATTCTCGCCTCTCTTGCTCCGTACACGCTGACAATATGATTCTACGGCTCGCGCTTCACCTTCTCTGCGCTCAACTCCTCCTTCGTCCTTGCCAATCCATGATGAGATCGTCCAAAGACGATCACAGCAGTAAGTACCATCTAGTTCTCTTCCTCTCTTTTGCTTGGTATGCTTTTGGACGACTTGTTATTCCGTCGGGTACGAGCATTCAGTTCGCGCACGTTTGACGGATTGGTATTTTCGCGGGATCGCGCGCGTCAAAGAGCATTTTAGCAATTCCAGAAATCCCTAAGTAAGTATATCAGAAGCGTAATCGAAAATTATTATAGGTTATTTGGTGTTTTCTTTTGCTCCAATTCGATCCTTTGTACTCAAAAAGTCAAGCTTTCGAGAAGCATGACTTATATTACAATGAAGCCATAGCGAATAATGTACACATTCTTTATGAAGTTATCTTAAACTATATTTCGTTAAAGGAAGAAGTATAAGGTGTGAGTGCAGAATTTATAATCATTCGATGAAATGAAATTATCGGAAGGATACCGATTCATCTGCGGATGTAACGTATTAGACTTACAAAAAATGTGCAATGCGCTCCCAAAAAAGACCGCATTGCTAAAACACTTTCTTCCAATAAAAATGTAACTATTGTTTTTAACAATGGTTGCAAGCCTTCGCTTTCCTTTCGAGCTCTTAATCAATTCAGATTTAGCACCTTCTCTGAAAAAAACAGAAAAATCGTGTTTCGAAAAAAAAAATCAAACGAACAATATGCCGAGAATTAGAACGCGTTCGCGTATTTCCTCCCCAAAATAACGTAAAATACCTTCGACTTCGTGAATGGAGCGAGAAGCGCTGAGAAAAAGAGAAAAATTGGTGTGCGCTGTTGAACGGCAGAATGTGGATGTCCAGCAGTCTGGCAGAGGCAGCCGCGCGAGTTGCTGTTGACGTCGCCAACGCGGCCGACAGGAAGAATTTTCAATGGAAAGCCAAGTCGACGTGGTTCATGGCCATGGCAAGTTTCATTGCAACTGCTGCATCCAAAGCTGGGTTTTATTGGGCACTGGTGTGGTGGTGTACTCATCGACGAGAGCTGGGTACTCACTGCTGCTCATTGCGTGCACAAGTACGTACCACAAGATTGGTTTTGGTTACACAATTCTATTTAGATGACTTCTCTAAAGTGTAAGAAAATCATGTGTATTAAGCTTGTTTTTTCACTAAAAAAATGTTAATTAATACAGTTCCAATAACAGTTTTTAATTTTTGAGAAATGAATAACTAAGTTTAGAATACAATAAACATAAATAAATATCATTTCAAGTAATCTCTTTATATGATGATTTGATTACAACTCATTACTAAAATCTCGACGAAATTAATGTGAATATTATCTAATACAAAAACATAACTTAAATTCTGTAACTAAAAATTACTTATAAAACATTTTTAGAAGTATTGAAATAATAATTATTTCCAGCGACCTATTCAATCTGCCCATCGGTGCATTATGGACAGCAGTAGTAGGCGAGTGGGAACTCGATTCGGGTGGACGCGGCTCAGCTCGTCTGCCCGTTGAACGAGTCATTCTCCACGAACGCTTCGAGAATTACGTTCATGATATTGGTAAGTAAGCCAGATGGTTTTAACTTTTCAATAAACAAAAGATTTAGTTTCTTAGCAGGCATTATAAATTTCTTACATTACGATTCAATACGCTTACTTATTTATATTCATAATAAAAAAAAGACGCAAAATACAAAAGCTATCCATCAAGAACTTTTCGTAAATAAGTAAAAAAGAAAAACTAGTTATCATAATTTTAAAATAATGATAATGATCAGCTTGCAAGTGGCAGCAAGCAAGCTTACGTACATTAACGCTATTTAAACTTACAGTTTTAAAAGTACGTAATGAGCAATAAAAATAATAATAAACATAATAATACAAAACATTTAACATGAAACAATAATACAAGCAAAACCAACTTAATTAAAATTAGTTTTTGGTATGAATATAACTACCAAGTTAACTATTGAGTAATATTCAAAACGACACTTTTAACAATTTCACGGCCAATAGCCTGTGCTAGTAGTGGTGAAGTCGAGAGGCCAATTTGTTGGTACATTTTATGAACAGGGAAGTTTTCCGCTAAGATGTAGCTATCTGGAAAGCCTTGAGCACGAGCACACTCTCGTACGCTCAATACGCGATTTCTCGATGGATGAATCACTGGAGCCTATTAAAAAATAAATAAATAACATCACTTATATTGGAGTTTAAATTTAAAAAAAAATGTTAAAGCAATGAAATCTAAAATTACGTCTCGACACATTTATTTCATTAGTGCATGTTGTGATTTAATTACATCAGAAAAGAAACTAAAGTTACAAAATCCTACAAATTTAATGTTAAAAAATTACCAACCTTCTTAGCTAACGGCTCAGGATTCGTCGAAGTACCAGTAAAAATACTGTCCCATTGTAACTTGCCATATAACCCAGCCCAGTGCCCATGTCGTTTACCAGAGTGAACAAGATGCCAAGGGATGAGAGTATTTTCTTGCACATCCTTAGTTTTGCATCGTTGGCCCACTGAACAACTGCAAACACCTCTCGGTTGACCTTGTTCGCCTTTACCCAATTCAGGATCATTGTAGGAATATACTCTGCAAACAAAAACATTAGTGAACAAATCATAAAAATTAAAAACAAAAAGAACAGTTAGACAATTACAATTTGTTGGTGAAGGTTTTATCACGTAGTTGATACTCGATGTTGGGTAGATCGCGCCAATCAGAACCAAGTTCTGTTGGAATTAGCGATATTCTAGCTTGAACCAGAGGTCCTACATCTTTGCAGACGTGATTGAAAACAGTCATTTTGTCTGCTTTCTTTAAATCGTGTCTCATCTAAAATAATATTATTGGTAAATAATAATTTTGGTAAATATTATTAGTATTTCAAATAAAATAAAATAAATAAAAATAAATATTTATTACCATTCTCTGATAAAAAGAAATAGATTGCGTTGAATACTTTGTAACTTCTTTGTTTTGAGTGACTTCAAGAGCTGCAAGATCCAATATTGCATCTCTTACAGTGACAGCTTTGAAAGGGGCTGATTCAATCCAATTTCTTCTTTGATACTGCAAAAGTTAATATTTTATTGTATGGTAGTTTATTTCCATTTCAAGGACCTTTATTTCAAGGAAAATATTTATACCATAGTTTTATCAATTACAACCCATCCACGACAAAACGATTTTGAAAAAACATGTTGATTTTTAGGGCAGTTTGGCAATATACGTCCACAAGAAGCCCCAATTATCACGGTTCTGAATAACAAATTCATTGTTACGAAGAAATTTAATAAAACAAAGATATTGCTTTATACAATTTATTTTGTTACCTGTATCGATTTTGAGGAGCACCAAAATTTCCAACTTGCATAAGATCAAAGGCCACCTGATATCCGAGTCGAATAAAAGAAGCGAGGGCAAGTTTGAGAATAATACTCCTCTTCAGAAGTACGTCATCAGTCTCCAAAACGAAAAATGGAGGTTGGTAATATTCAAGATATACCAAGAATGTTGTGATATTGGAGCTTTTGAAAGTATTCACGCTGTTGATGCTTCGCCAATTTTCTGATGGCAAAGTTGCGCAAAGAAGATCGACATTTCCCTTTTTTGGAAGACGTTGATTATTTACCTTAAAATCTTTCTACAAAAAATAAACGTTTTAGAGTCATCGTTATTCGATCTTTAGGTTAACAATGTATTCGTATAAATTACCTTAGTGATTTTCTCCATCATCTCAACACAAGTACCAACAAACACAGCAGACTTAGAATTATTAAGCTTGAATGTGGCAGCAGCTGCTTCGTCCGGTTCAATCGCCCACTTGCACTCTGATGCTCCAGCCTGCTGGAGACCCAAAACCAAGCCTGAAAAAATTATTACAATACCTTTCACTAGTCGTTTTCAAGATATGTAACTCAATTGACGAAACTAAGTCTTACCGCCACAACCAGCAAATATATTCAACGTTTTCAACTTTGCTTCTATGTAAAGCGGAGCATCACACGTCTCAATTGGGCAGCCGTATTCTCCCTTGTTAATATTAACAATATCGTTGTTATTCTTGTAGATTTGCGAAAAGTAAAATCTATCAGGACCTTGCTTAGACCATTTGTCTACGTCGGCAATTGAACGTAGGTGTGTTAAGTAACACTTGCCGATCACACAGATAAATGGCACAATTTTATCTGTGAATTCAAATAACCTATCAATAAAGTGACCAATTTAAAAAAGATGATAATAAATCATTCAATAAATACCTTGATCACTCCAAAATAGTACGTTAATGTCGGCGTTTTTGCTTAGATAAGTACCTTTATGTGTATTTTCGGGCCTGTAAAGCTTGGTTACTTTCAAATAGAGCTTATCGCCGCTCATAAAAATTTGTGTAATGTAACCAATGTCAAAGGGCGCAGGCACGTCATGATTTGGTTTCGAATCTTCATCTTTAGCTTTCCTATACACCTCTGAATACTTCTCGTCCAATGGTTTCGAATACATATGACCGTGGCCTGAAAAGAGTATAGCCATGCGTTTTGCAAATTTGCAATAACTGCACTATTTAAGTTTAATTATTTTTATTCACCAATTTCGTAAACTTGGCTGAATTTCGAAAAATTTTTAGTTTATATTTCTGATATTTTATATTCTTATAATATTTTAGCAATTTTTTCAAAGTTAAGCCATCTTTTTACTTGGACAATTTAAAATATCAATAGAAAAAAAAGAATTGAAAAATAATATTATTCGAACAAAGATTACCTGCGTTGTTGAGCATTGGATACGTGAAGTACAAGGACTTGGGCTTTAAGTAAACTGATGTACCAACACGATACTCCTCATTCTTGTATCGCACTGATTCGTAAGTTATTTTGTCCTTACTTTGACTAATTTTATTGAGCGCCACAGGTGTATCTTTCATTCTTTCCATGTTGTTATGATCGCAAACCCAACAATATCGGTATGGAGCTCCATATTTGTCACAAGCCTCTTTATCGTTGGGCTGTAAATCATAGAATGTGCCAGACAATGGGTCATATGATCGCTGGCAAACGTATGAATATTCAGACTGGTCTTCAGCCACTAAAAACAATATGTGAAAACTGATCAAAATTATCTTAAATAAAATAAAAAACATGTTAATATTTACTGGAATTATCCAAGTCGGCTGTTGTGCGTTCGAGTACGCGTACTTTCTTCACAATGCACTTCACATCAATGTCGATGCATCTTTTGATGAAGAACAGCTCTTGGCGATCAGAAATGTCACCAAGCACCGTGTATTTTCCAGACCACAAAAAGCATGCATGGATCCTACCACAGCCAGTGTCATTGTCTTCATACATGTAGATAACTTTCATTATTTGTGGAGGCACTCCGGCATTATCTGATCGCACATCGATAAAATCTCCTGATGATATCATTTGACAATCCACGTATACAGATCCATAATAAGTCTTTTTCAGATCGCGCGACAGAGCTTGCGTCCCCCACGCGATGTCATAAGCGTGACGAGACAGGGGTTTTACGGACATACGGTACAAGGTAAAACTATCGTCGGCTGTCATCTCGGCAAAATTCATCTCATCCTGTACGTCTTCTTCGTTTTCTTCCTGAAATTTTTTAATTCTTTTTAATTGCGGATAAAAATGTAATTTAATTATTTCATTATCGTGTTTTAATTAGTTATAAGAAGAGAATAGATAAAAATAAACGATCATCACACCATAATTTCATGGTTGAAACACCGTCGCTGATAACATGCATCATAGTTCCTAACACTGCAAGCTTTGCACTCTCGACAGCGACTTCTTGCGCATCTCTTGCAAACTCCGCATCTCCCCGGCTTAGGGATCTTTGAGGTCAAAAACTTCTCGTGGGTGGGCAAGAGCATGTCGATCAACTCGCTAGCACCGGAATTTTCTCTCTTATCTTCGGCCATCTGGCGCAGCAGCTTCTCGCGGTAATCGATTTTGTGTTCAAACTGTCGTTCTCGGGAGATCTGCGCGACCTATCAATCAATATGAAAAGTGAATAGTTGTGTGTATGTATTTATATATATAAATGAATAAAAAAGATAAATGTACTTTTCGTGGAGTTTCTGATGATTCTATTTCAAATCTAATGCCAGCAAGATCTATCAACCGTCGAATACAAGGAGCTGTGACTATTAAATGCTCTTTGGGTTTTGCTGTATCATCAAAAGTGATCACTTGATCACATATAAAGGAAGCATAGTGCAAGAGAGTGTCTTCTGTGAAGTTTTTCATTAGATCGTTTGGCACTGGTGTAGTCTGTAAAATATAATTTATTCTGTTAATAACTTATTTGCAGTAGGATGCATCAATAAACATGCTTTATAAGGATTTCACTTACTTGGAGTTTGCTCAATAAATCTTCATAAGAAGCATTAGGTTCATATATGAGAAACTCAATTACAATTTTACTAATGTAAATTTTCGTCATGACACTTTTCATGAAGGGAGCATACTCTACTGATGGCTTCATGCAGATGTAATCTCCAAGTTCTGTACTCAAACCAACAGTTGGTTGTTCTCCAATATCAAAGCCTGTCATCCACCACCAAACCATAGGACCAAATTTCTTGCCTGGAATACCATCTTTAGTAGCTGGATCATCACTGTGAATAGGCTTGATATAACCAGAAAAATAGATTTCAACATCTTTCTCTATCAAACCAGAATCAAAACAGCATAAATGACCATTCTTGCAGTATACACTGAAACAAAAATAATTGAAATATAGAACTTTGAAGGATACAATTTGATAAATACATGATTATTCTTTACCTGTATGAGGTAATCTTATTGTAAGATCTTGTATCTTCAGTTGAAACATTGGCTTCATCTCCATCAAACAGCAATAATTTAGAATCTAGAATAACTGCACCTTCTTCAAATCCCCCTATTGGGTCTCCATTATAATATTTCAAATCACCATCAATTTGTTGTTCACACATTTTACAAATCTGCGTACCATCTTTGTTTACATATTGATTCAAAGGGAACAGAGGTACTTGAGTAATTGCTGATTTTTTAATTTGATGTTTACTTTTTCCTATATTTCTTAATGTTTTAGTTTTTGTAATAACTTTAATTTTTTTTGCTTTTTTGGACTTCAACTTTTTAGCTACTCTCATCAAAATATTATTTGTAATTATTTTTGGAGAAGAATCATCCTTGCTTTTATTTTGTTCATTGTGATTGATTTTGTTGATATCTATTATTATATTTTGTAAGTTTTGATTTTCTTCATTTTCAGTATCATGATGATTCTCAGATTCAATATCTTGATTCTGAGGAGAATTAAGTTCCTCAATTTCAATAGTATTACTCTCAATACTTTCTAAATTTTTATTTTCCATATCTAAATTTTCTATATTTTGGACTACAATGCTTTCTACTGTTGGAATCTCTACTTGCTGAATGATATTGTTCATGTTTTCTAAATCTGAATCTTTAGCACTTAGTTCTGTGGGCAAAACTACATAATCTTCTGTACCATCAAAAAATGAAATGATATCATTACTAGGTACCATTATTGGTGTATTCCCTTCTAATTCTACCAGGAGCATATCTAAATTCTCTTCCTTTTCATTAATTAATACAAGGTGCTCGCTAGAAGATTGATTACCATTGATGCTTAATTTCATCACATTAGACTCAGTGTCGATTGATGACTCATCAGTTACTTTGTTTATTAAAGTCACTGACTTGATATTGTTATTTGTTGTACTTGCAGTTGATGATGTACTATCTGATTCAGTTGAACTGACATGATCTCCAGTCTCCACACCACCTTTAAACTGTGCACTGTTAGTTTGCTTTCCAACATCTTTAGTCTTTTTTGACTTTCTTTGTAATTTTAGATTCCTGGTAGAATTGATTTTTATTTTCAATTTTTCCTTCAACATTTTAGACCTGACATCCACATGGGCACTTGTCTGAGGATGACTTTGTAACTCTTGGTTTTCTTCACCATTATTTACATTTTGATTGGACACATTTTTCATTAGTCTCATTTTCTTTTCAGGACTTTCAGTGCCCTCCTTCGCGTGCTTTGTAGCCCTGTCTCTTTTCTTTGTCATTTTGATCCACCTGTGAAACAAATAATTTTACTAATGGACTTGTTGAATTCTTTCATATATCTATAATTCAAGTCATTCCTGTGATACACATGCGCAACGATAATAAATCGGCTAATCGATCAAAACAAAGGAAGTTACAGTTACGACTGAAATAACGTTTGTTTACTATTCGTACACCAAAGGAATTTCACTTTTGATATACGCATAAAGAGAAATGTTGTATTACTTCACTACACAGGAAAACCGAAGATTATTTAATGATACCACGAGCGATATTTTACATGTCTTGTTGAGCAGAAATACAGCCTAATTTCTCGTGTGTGAGATTTACATGAACAAAACTGTCTACTTATCGCACCAGATAGGATTCCAAGAACCGCGTAACAAAGAGAACAGTAGTGATTTCTTTTACCGGAGACTGCCTGCGCAAAAGCTGACGAGTTACTGAGCACTGTAGAAATAGCCCGCTAAGCGTTAAACTAGCAGCGACTTACGATGCTTACTTGCGGGCAGTCCATGAATATATTTAGGTATTTTTAACTGAAAATGACGAAATAAGCAATTTATTTAATATATTGATTGTAATTTGAATTTCTAAACTCAAAACAAAATTTATTTTCCTTTGAAGTTAATTATTTAATTATTAAAAATTCGAAAGTCAGTAATTCAAATTTAGTGCCTTGCTGTAAATTATTTTTGACAAGAAGTTAATAGTAACACATATTAATTATTTTTTCCATAATATTCTGGATCATTTCAATTAAATTTTATGTCGATTCGTGATGTCGACAAAGACGAGACATTTAATTACGCTGTTTTCGGTTTGCACTCTCGTGCAATAAAACCGGGACCAGCGGGTTGTGGAATCTAACTTTCCCTAGCAGACATCTCTATCTCAAACAATTGCAGAGACCCGAATTTAGCTAATCATAAGGCTAGTATTGATCCAAACACTTGCACGACCAATATAGCGTGAAATTAGAAAATTGATGTGATAGTTTGTCCGTTCACAAACTAGCAAACAGAAAAGTTGAAAATTAAAATTTTAATAAGAAACTTACTTATATCAATATAGTTATTGCTGATTCTTCTATAATACAGCTTTGCACGAATTCAAAAAAATATTGAAAATTGAGAGTCTCCTGCAACAGCTGTATAAGATGAAATTGAAACTGTCTTAAACGAAAATCGAAATTACAAAATACGAAAAGTGATGTTCTGTGAACTACAGGTCGAACAGTGCTTGGCCCAAATACGCGAGGCCTTTTATCAGTTGAAGAGGTGACATCCCTCCTCTTGCTCCCATAATGTCTTCTAGAAGTTGATGAGATCATGTTACTGTGATTGGTTCAAAAGTCGATTTATAAGTAGCCGGAAGTGTGATCGGCTTTAAGATACATGAGCGGGCACATTTGAATTTAATTCTTTTCTTCAGACCTGTCTACAATACAATGTTCATTACAATTGATAATTTAATAAACACTATTGATATTTAATACTTTTATTAAATTAAATTTATTGAATTAAAGTTTATTGAACAAATTATTTATAAAAGAAGAAATTTTTTAAATTTTTATTTATATATACTAACTGTGAATTTCATTAAGAAATATAATTTTATGATGTTTAATAATACATTCATCAGTTTATATGATTAATAATGTTAGAACGCTTATTATCTGTTAGTAACTTACGGAGAGCGAGAGTAAGAGAGAGAGAGAGAGCTTAAGGTCTGTAAACGACATAATTTTTGTTAGAAAATATTAAGTTTTATAATCATATTTGAAAATAATTTTGTAAGCTTTTCATAACTCTTTCAATTTCTTATCATGCGCATTCGTGCCTAAAATATAAATATATTGATTTACTCTAATCTCTCATCTCGCTTAGTCATAGATTTTAACGATTTTTAAGATTTAGATTTCTATGAAAGAAAAGGTTTTTACCGTATATATTTAAAAGAAGGAACATAAAAGTTTATTGGAATATTTAGCCATCGTCACATATAATTTATTATAAAAAACCGTAAATTTAAAAATTAACAATGTTTAATAGAAAAAAAATTCATCATCAAATAAAAAATATAATGAATCGTAAGCCAAAATTAACAATTCTTCAAGACTCTTGAAATAACATACTAAGAAATTGAATTCAATCTATATACAAGCAAAACAGCTAAACGAAAAATAAAACGCAAGACATAGTTTAATTTCAATGTCCTCATGATAAAAATTCAAAGGATGATAATCGGAATGATTGTAGTAATGTTATCGTCGTTGTTTGCCGCAGCGTTAAAGTACAAAAACTGAATTCAAACTGATTTCGCACGCGCGAACAAAAATTATTGCCGTCTCTCTTGAAAATAATAACAAATCATTGAATTTCCATTGTGGTACAGCACTGATGAAGCTCGCTCGTCCAGCACCGTTGTCCAAGGTAGTCCGCACGATTTGTTTGCCGAGCGAGGCGAGCGACGACGATGGAATCCAGCCACGAGGACGTCAACATTGCGTCACTTCAGGCTGGGGCAGATCGGGACCGTCGCCCTCCTTGTCGAACGCACTGCTCGAGGCGAGCGTGCCCCTGCTCGAGCTTGCCGAGTGCGTCAAAGCCTATGGCAAATCCGTGCCCATTCGCGAGGGACACCTGTGCGCTGGCAACACCGACGGCTCGTCTGGCAGTTGTGTTGTGAGTACGCCAAGCTGCTTCTTGAGATTTTTCGGATTCTCGCTTGTTTTTCCTAGCAATATTTTCGGTGAATTATTTTTAGAACAAGAATATTGTCGAATTGTTTGACTTCGCTTTGAATTCCATTTCAGGGGTGAGACAGGAAAGCCACATTAGTTACAGTTGCAATCAGAGGGCTTGAACTTTTTAAAAACAATTTATGAATTTATGATTGGGAAAATAACTAAAAACTCGTGTAATTATTTGCATTGCTTGGATATATTTTTCAAAATAGACGCACGCGAACGCTAAAAATAATCGGCATTATTGACAATCGGCAAATATTTCGAAAAGTATTTTTTTTTTCTCAAAAGCAAACCTTGCCTCTCTCTCTCTCTCTCTCTCTCTCTCTCTCTCTCTCTCGGTGCTTACAGCGCGTATTTGCTTTACGTTCTATTATTTGGCTCACTCAACTTTGAATTTCACGGCTTGCTTGGGATTAAACGCGCGTACAGACAGATGTTCCCACGCGAGGTGAAATATCGCATCGCGGAGTCGAGCCTTTTTTGCGCGCGCACACGCGCTGTCCATTACGAACTGCGAGCAGTGACACGAAACAAATGCATTTGCAGGGCGACTCCGGTGGGCCGTTGCAGTGCCGCCGTGCCGACGGCGTTTGGCAGCTCGTCGGAGTGACGTCATTTGGCTCGGGTTGCGCTCGGCCCGGATATCCCGACGTCTACACCAAGATCCAGTATTACATCACGTGGATCCGTGACACCATCGCCAACGACATCGATGGATAATAACTCGGTGGACCACCAAAGCCACGACAGTCGTCGCTGCGCCGTTCACGTCGCCATAACGACGGACGATCCCTCGGAAAATGGGCGATTCGATCGGCCGGACCGAGGATACTCTGGGCATCGCGTGCACGCGGTCGGCGCGACGCTCCGAGCGGAAGCTGCGAGAAGTGTAAATAAAATTGTAACATAGACGCGCGCAGAAGCGAGGAGGACAGGCAGCGAGAGCCGAGGTGGCGCGTCCGATGTAGAATCGATACTGCGCGCGCGGGGCCCTTGCGTCAGCTCGGCTCGGCCGGCGCCCACGGCTTTCGTTATTTATCGCTCGCGGCGCGGGCGCGCGGGGCCGATCGATTTGGCCCGGCGCCGCGCGGCCAGCGGACGAGCCCTCGACTTCTTGCGTGTACCCGGCGTGCCTGCCTCGTCGCGCGCGCGCCTGTCGAATCCTATCGTCATTGTAATCATGTGTAATCGTCGTTGTCAACCAATGGAGAACGGCACTTTCAATAAAAGAAATTGGAGAAGTGTAGCACATAATATCGCACCGAAGATCGATGCTGCGTGCACGACAATTCCCGCGGGCCGCGCGCGTGCGCGCGCATGCACACGCCGGCTTCGTTAATCTAATGCGCGCTAATGCAATTATGTGCATGCGTCTTGGCGGCACGCGCTCGGCACGTATGTACCCTACAGCAAGCCTTTCCCATCTCTCACCGACGTCTGCGACTTTTCTCCACTTTGTCATTGCCTGCTTCGGATAAATTTTGTACTGCGTTATAATTCAATCCGGCTTGCTCTGTGTGCGTGTGCGCGTGTGTGAGCTTTTGAATTATGCAGCGATGTGACGGATGACGTGAAGGCATACGTTGTATTTGATTTTCAATTCCGGCTCGTCGGTTAAATTTGACAATTTTCCTTTTATCGTCGTGATATTTTTCCAAAGTTGGCGAGAAAGAGTAGCCGCTCATTACACGGGCGAAACGAACCCACCGATAATAAAAGCTTGCGCTCTTTCGCGTCGACCTCCTCGCCAGTCATCGGATCCGACGACGCTCGTGTCACAGTTTTCATTGGCGAAGACACGTCCAGCATTGAGCCCACTGCTCCGCTCGCGTCGCGGATACATAAAAAGCAGGCGGGGCGGGGAATTCAATAGGCTCGTACGGGCACTCGAGCGGCGCGAAATTACACGCCCACGCGACGCCAGCGGCCCATAAAGAAGCGCCGAGCGAATTCGAAAGAACGGCGCGGCGCGCACGCAACGCGCGCCGGAGCTAATTAGAAATTGCAGGGTCGCGCGACAGGCTAATTAAATCCGGCCGACAGTGTGTCACTGGCGCAGGCGGCGGGACCGAAGAGCCAGCAGCGCGCGCCTGTCCGCCGAGTAGCGTCCGATTTGCCGTGCACGCAGCGCGCACCCGTGGGATCGCGATCGAGCGAGTCGATCGACCGTCGGCTAATGCGCCCACAGTCGAAGCTCATCAGCCTGAGGCGCCGACGGGGGCCACTCGATAATGCAATCACGCCTGGAATACGACGGCGCGGGGCGCACGTGCGGCGGCGCGTCGATGGCCACGCTGTCGCGCGGCCCGATTCGCGCGCGTACACTCGGAATATTGGTCGATCCGCGCCCGTGCGCGACCGCAAAAGTGTCGGGGCGACGCGCGAACGAAGCGCGCGCGTCGCTTATTTCGCGTGAATCGGGCTGAGCCACAGGTGCACGCGCGCCCACATCTTCGTTATTAAACACGACCGAAGCTAACGAGCAGTTTGAGCGCGGCTAAACGGCCATTAGCTGATTAACGCCGATTCCGGCAACGACTGCTGTATACGTGCATGTAATGAGATTTTCCCTCTCTCTCTCTCTCTCTCTCTCACTCCCTGGAGATAAAATTGCACGACTCTTCTGTTGTGCGCGTGCCCTTTTGTCGTTCTCCTGCTGTCCGCGTGCTGCGTCTAGTGGGCAAAGTACCGTTATCACTTTTCGTAAAAATCAGTTTGACAAGCCCAAGTTCATAACGTTCAATTTCCTTATGATGATAATATACAGCAATTTCCGAGTAAATAGATACATTATATGCTAATGGGCGCGCAAGAGTCGCGCGTGATATTTGGGCTCGGTATTACCCGCGGGGGGATAATAGCGGCTCCAGGTATGTATCTATTCTCTGTCTCTCTTACGCACACACACAGAATATCGTGACACGTGTCTGCATTGGACCAACGATCATCACTGTAGTTTGCCTATACACCTGTTTCGAATTTTCCGTTGAATCGACTCGCTCATGAGGAACCCCCGTGCATTCGTCATCGATAAAACTTTCGTCGGAAATTCTTTACAGTTGCGAATTCGGCTGCGTTGTTTTTATTATTGAACAACAGTGATGTCTGTACGCTCGTACTGACGATAAGAAGAAGAAGGGACAGAACATTTTCCATATCTGTAAAAATCATCGTCTGCCCTGATAAGAAGGGGCTACGTTATCGGCAGTACGTCCCTGGCAACAATCCACTCATCCCCGTCTGCCCGTAAGCGCGAGAGAGAAAGAAAAAGAGCCAGCAGCCGCAGACTAGCAGCAACACAGTTACCGCGCGCTCAACTCGACGTCACACACACACATAGGTATAGTTATACACACAGATAGAACAGTACGTAGTATATAGAATAGGCAGAGTGGTGGTCGTCTTTGGTGGTCGTCGTGTAGCAGTCACTGGCAGTCGCATCGTCCCTTCGTGGTGTGGTGCCTTCGCGCTGCCCCCGGAAAAAGGGCTGGTGGCTGGCGCGTCTCCTCCGGAAAGAGACAGACTTGGCGAGCGCAGTGTTTCTATGTGTGCGTAATACGCATGCAATGTACATATAATACATACGCGCGTTTGGCAAAGATAGTGTGTGAATACGCCTAGCAGTTGCAATCTTTCGGTCTGGACGACTGCGAACTGCGAGGCGCCAAAGCGTCGCGGGCATAACCGCATAACCTAAACCTCGTAAGAGGCGTCCAGTCCAGTTTTAATTATTGTAGATTACTCAATATGAGTGACTTCGAGGACTACCCGCGGACTAGATACCTGTGCAGCTCTTAGTGCAACAAGTTCGATTATGCGTTGAATAAAGCCGCAAAAGAAAAGTGTGCATTTTCTCTCTCACACATATTCTCCTTGTGTGCGCTCGTGTGTGTGTATCTCGCTACTACTTAGTGCCTGTGTAGGAGAACAGTTTGTTTTGTTTGTTTACCCTTTCGCCGAAAAAAAAGTGCGGAGACGCCGTCTCTTTTTTTCTTTCTCGTGACTCACGACGCGACGACGACATCGACGACAAAATCCTGGCCCGAGTACGTGTGAAAGTCTCAAAAAAAAAATCAGCAGAGTGAAAGTGCGTGCGTGTCTAAGTGTATGCGAGCACTCGCGAGAGCAACGTATATCTACTTTTTTCTCGGAAGGGCCACTCGCTCGTACACATACTCGTGCAGCCGATCGACAACACTTCTTTCAATTTTCCTTTTTACCTGCTTGAAGCTTATCCAGAGTCGTGGACTCGCCGTGGTGTAGCTACCGAAGGGCTGCAGTTGCTGCTGCTTCCAAGATGAAGGAGGAGAAAGGTTAGTTTTTATGTTCACATTGGCTTCTTTGCTTGCCTTTGTTAAACTAAAAAGTATGTGTATGCGTACATTAATAATCAATTTAGATATCGTGATTGCAAGTTTGCAAAAAAATTTCTATTAATTATTCGATAGATCTTTGAATCTGAGTCTTAATGTTCCCTATATTTTCACATGTTAAACGATTGTTCTGTAAGTTATGAAGCTTTCTAATAACTATTAAATTATTTGGAAAAATTTAATGATCATAATTTGATTTTTGTTTTAAAATCACCCATTACTCCAGTTATGATATAACAATGTTTCCTCTGCTAAATGATTGATTCATCTAGATTATCAAATGTCAAATTGAACTATTTGATTTGCATAACAGCTTAAACCATCAATTATCCATTTCAGTTGATTACGATCCAGATGCACTAAGTACAACACAAACCAGTGCGCTATCGCTAACCAATCCACCTGCACTTCATCTTGGTCCACTGTTAACACCTGGAGCTAATGATACTATCTCCATAGTTATACCACTGTCTGCACAACTAGCGTCACTTTCAAGAAACGCTGCCTTTCAACAACAGATGATGGTTAACTGCAAACAAGAAAACGTAGATATCACAGAGAAAAAGCCTGATATACCCAAGAAACCGAAACCTACTCCAGTTAGAATAAAAGAAGATAAAACTAAAGGTTAATTTAATTATTTTTGTTTAGATGCTTAGTTTGGAAAATAAATTTTCTTTTGATTCAGCTTCTACTATTTAAGAGCAAGTCTTACATGTAATGCATGACTATTAACTTTTGAAATTCATATAGGTATCTAGGCCTCCATATATTGGTATTACTGGTTGAGCATTTATAAATTTTTTATATCAGAAAAAAGAACATTTTCAGTAACATTGAAAAAAGTACTGTCTGTAAAAGTTAGATGTTTAAAACATTGCAATTGTTTTTTTTATTAAAATGCATTACAAATCCGCAGGTTGTCCTTATCCGAACTGCAGTAGATACGGTCGAGCGTTTTCACGGGCACATGATCTAAAACGACACATAGCACGACACGAGGCTCGTGAGAATAAAACGCCTGAAGTTCAACCGCCGACACAACAGCATCATCACCATCATCATCATCATCATCATCAGCCCCCGCCACAACAACATCATCATCATCAACAGCTGGTGTGGCCATGTCTCGTGTGCAGTGCACATTTTTTCAGTGAGGCCATGCTACAGAAACACAGGCTCATCCATGAGAATGCCGACACTTCGATATCGTCCACCAGTGGACCGCCCTATACTTGCAATTTTTGCAAGAGAACTTTCCCTGAGGAGGGATTACTCAATGCACACTTGCCATCCCATATTAAGGTAACCTTTGTATATTATAATACTTTCCCTCTTGAAACTTTTTCTTTGATACATCTGTCAATTAGCTTGTATTATATTCATATTGAGTAGTTTTTTTTTATAAAGTCAATTCGTCGGTATTTATTTAAAACTATAACGGAATCAAATCCGGTAGACATTCTTTGTTATTTTTTTTTCGATTGTTATTGTTCTTACAGCAAAATAATCTCTTTGTTTTGTTAAAACAGTCTGAGCCACTATTGGCAGCATTTCAACAACCCCCAACGTCAGCCGCAGCAGCAGCAGCGACGGCACAGCGGCTTTTATTACCCAATGGGCCACCGCCTCCACTAGCAACACCGTCAATGGTCTCAGCATCGTCTATTGCCACCGGAGATGACGATTATCGCCTTGAAGACATGTTGCTTATTCGTAAAGGACCAGGCAAAAGTTTGGCCTCGACATCATCAGCATCGAATTCATCGTCGTCGCCCGGTAAAATCAGATGCGAATACTGCAGCAAAACATTTAAGACTAAATGGACTCTGAGTTCACATGTTGCTGCTCATGAAGGACGTTTTCAGTATCAATGCTGCATCTGCAGCAAACGCTTCGTTAGAAAAAGTCATTACGAAAGCCATGTCAGGTCGCATGATGCGGCTAGACCCTACGTCTGTGAACATTGTGGTAAGATTTGTATTTTTATTTCTTTTCTATGTTATTAAGTTTCAATTTTAGAGATTTATTTTTTTTTATAATGTCCTACTCGATTGCTGATATGATGTATTAATATAATTTCTTAGTAACGAATTCAATGTGTATAAAGTATAACGGAATATTGTTTGTTAGTATTTTGCATTAGTAAAGGGATGTACAAAAGAACTTGACGCGAAATAGTGTAATGTATATAAAAATATTAGTAAAGACGGTTATAACGTATTTTCAAGTTCAAATTCTACAGTATACAAGAAAAACAGGGATCGCACTTTACTCTTCCTGCAAATTACTATATTAGAAATGTACTTTAAATATGTCAATGTTTTTGTATTCAATAGGTAAAACTTTTAAAGAAAGTAAGCACAGAAGAGAGCATTTGAAGAGGAAGCATCCGACGAATCGAACCGCTATACAGTCATTGTTGGATAGCATAAGTGCTTGTGTCAATGAGGATGCCGCCGCCGCTGCAGCTGAACAGGCTAAACTCACTATACTTATGCCTATGAACTTCAGCACTTAAACACAAGGTAAGAAAAAGTTTGTTTTAATAGATTAAATTTCATAGCAAATTATTACACATGCAAAACTAATTTGATGAATGTTCGTTTTATAGGTTCTTAAATTTAAGAGTTTTTTTACTGCAAAAGAGGTATTTACGTAACCAAAGCGCCAAAGATCATGATGGGAGCCATCGCCAAGAGCTTCAACAGAATTGAGAATAGTTTGGAAACGAATGCCTCAACGTAACACTGAATAATGTATTGTTAAGCATAAGAGAAATCTCATTCTATCACGAACCATGTTGGAAAATGAATGTACTTAAGACGAAAAGGAATTACTTTTCGTACAGCAAATTGAGGGTGATCAGAAGAAAGCGATCACGTACAAATGTAATACATCACGTACAAACAAATTATTTTGCGTACAGTGAACTTCATTGTTTGATAAATGTATATGTCATTTGAAACGAACTATAAGAACATGTCAATAAAAGATGTTTACTCTTTACAAATTATTCACTTGATTTACATTAATCACGAATTGTCCTTCCCATATAAATGAAAAATATTACGTGTCAAAATTATTTTAACAAAAATTCTTAAAATTAATGAAACTAATTTGTATAAATAATCTACTTGTAATTTTTAATATTCCACACCAATGGAAAGAGAATACAAACTATTTTTTTGCAGCTAAATAATTAAGAAACAGGAAGTCAATAGATATAATATTTATTCAGCATCTCTTTCCTCTCCCATTGTTTTTCATTGCTTGGTGTCGTTCACCGTTCGTTTGACTTCCCGCTTCGGATTCGGACGTGCTTGGCTTGGCAGCACCTGCCATTGTAGTTGTTTACATCCTCGAAGTTTACATCAAGCTGGATTGACTAAAGTTTTTTACATTTATTGTTTTTACTATTAACAAGTATAGTAAGAATGTCTGAATACGAGGTAGTGCGTACTAAAAAATTAGTATTGAAAGGAGAAAAACAAAAGTAAATACAATTTAGATTATAAATTATACGTAACTGCAAAATATAATTAATTATTTTTATTTTAAATTAACGTAGATCTAAGAAAAGGAAGCACAAGAAACAAGGACGAAATGAAGAATCTAATAATTCTAGAGACGAAGATACTCTGCATCATGGTAATCTATTAAAAATTTGTAATTTTTATGTGTGGCAACATAACCTCATATTTTCTATACATTGTCAAGTTTTCAAAAACGCATTTTTCTTATTCTAACAAGTTTTTGATTGTTTAATAATTTTGATGTTTTATAGGCGGTTGGAGAAAAGCATCAAGCGTACCAGAAATTACAGGCACAATAGCTATTGAAATAGGAAATCTCACTTATATGAAAGCTCTTGATAACGGTTTGTTTACCCTGGGAGCACCACATGATGAAGGCGACCCTCCTCATCCAGAAGAGATCTTTACAGCATTTTCAATCAACGAAACAAAAATTTCACTAAAGTCTGGTTATGGAAAGTATATTGGAGTTGAAAAGAAAGGAATTGTTGTGGGTCGAAGCGATGCTGTTGGGCAAAATGAACAGTGGGAGCCCATATTCCAGGTAATTTTTTATTATTAAAAATAAATTTAAAATGATAAGATATTGTGTTTTTGTAACACAGGATGGAAAAATGGCAATTTTAGGAAACAATAATTGTTTCCTCTCTGTTGCTGAAGATGATGATATAGTTTGTAATAAAAGCACAGCAGGACCCAGTGAGTATGTATGGGTAAGAACCATGGCTCAGCAAATTGAAGATCCAACCAAAGATGGTCCTAAAGAAGAACAGGGTTCTTTAGAAGAAGTTGAAGTAAATTATGTGTGAGTATTTACTCTTTTCAATTATAAACTTGTAGTATTATTAACTAACCTGTTTAATTAATTCAATTTATAGGAGAAAATTCCAAAAATTTCAAGATAAAAAATTAAGGATCAACAAGGATAATATGGTAGAATTGAAGAAAGCGAAAGAAACTGGTAGTTTGCATGAAACTCTACTTGATAGACGTAGTAAAATGAAAGCTGATCGATATTGTAAATAGTTTTTACTATAACATGCATAATTGTATATAGGAATGATAACAACTAAGGTATTTTATTGAAAAATTTTATTGAACGATATTGCCTTTCACATACATACAAGTCGATCTTTCAATCAGTTTCCACTTTAAAGTCATTCAAATGACTGTAATGTAAAATAAACAATTGATAAGCTAATTTAGTAAAAAAAGCAGCAGAAAAGTTTTATTTCACTTCAATTATCATACAATTTGTCCAAGATCAAATTTATACAAATGAATTAGCTTTACGCATCCAATAAATTTAGATATTTAGAAAAGTATTTAAGGTCCTTTAAAATGAAATTTAATACAAAAAGACCAAAAGCTATATTAAAAGTTCCTCGATTGTGCTTTGACAGCTGAATATTATAACATTGAAAAACTATACTTGCTTTGTCTCGTCATTAACGAATCTTCACGTAACATACTTTCAAAATAAAAAGAAAGAAAAATAAATGTTACTTTTTGATTCTCAATAAGATTAGACTTCAACAAATCTTATACCGTGTGGATTGTATAAAATAATGAACCTTAATAACTAATAGGTGCTCCGAAAGCGAGAAATTAGTTCGGTAGAAAACATCTTTCTCAAACTCTCGAACGAAAACTTCATTCTTTCTATCGAACGCTTTGACGGTTGCTTTAATAGTCACAGCTTTTGAACTCAGTTCATGGAGCATCGTTTATAAGAACCTTTGACTCCGCGCTCGGACTTTTCTTTTTTTGTTACATTTTTGCTTAATGACTTGATTATTTTTTTCTTTGCGACAAAACAAAAGTCAGTTGAAGCTAAATGATCATGTCGCTTGCAGAAAAAAAAGAACTATGAATTAATGAACAGCTACGTTGGAATTCGTAGAAATTTAATCAGGGTAGAATTATTTATAGTCTATCTATACCTTACTTATGCTCTAAAAGTGATAAATCTTACTTAAAAAAAATAAAGACATTAAATATACACAAAGATACGTGGCAAAATATAATTTGTTTGGTCTTATCATTGACAGAGACGTTGTTGTAAAGCTAGCGGTTTTTTGTTTTCGAAAATGTCGATGAATTATTTTTTTTTTTTTTGAATGGAGACAATTGCTCGCAGTAATTTACACGCATAAATTAAACACAATTATTCGAGAACACGCAACAGTCACGACCGGTCGTCGGTTAAATTTCCATCACACAATACGCACGTGAGATTTCTTGATAACTAAATTGTCGATCCACATAACGACGTAATGTTTTATAACTGAACAGGTAGAAAAAAAAATAATAAGCTACAGGAGAAAATTTTATTCTGCTTTTACGAGAAAGGTCGTTATCGCATCGGCGGCCGCGCGTGGTTAAACACATTGTTTCCGAAGGACGACTTTCTTTCTTTCCGAGAGTTTCAGCTATTTCTCGTCTCCGTCTGCTTCTCATCGCACTGTTGCGTTTTCAGCCATTCGACAAACTCGTCAAGCATTACTGGCCCTACAAAAACATGAATAATCAGTACTAGATATTCACCATTGCACTTGCTCAATCAAAGACTTACAGGCCCCGTCGAGGTCGTAATTGGAGAGATCATTGCTGATCGTTCTAGAGAACTCAAGGATATTAAACCATTGATCTTTGTTAATAACTTTGTACTTGGACTGGTCTAAGAATTTGGCGAACTGCGAGAACAGTGGCCAATGCCTACCCAAAAGCAGCTGCAACATCGCCCGTGCTGTCTCTACGTCCATACTTCGCTGATCCTTATCCTGCGTAAACAACAAAACATTCTTTCATTAATGCATTTCCTCGTCAGACGACTATTGTTTTTGCATGGATCAATGACTCGGCAAAGTTACAAATACTTTTAAAATAGGAATTTTCAAAAACGTAGTTTAAAACCACGTCGAGGTTCTAATTTTATATTCTAATTTTTTCTTTGAGATGCAAGGTTCGATTTCATCTGTCTGCAGCCAGCCGATTGTCTAACGACGCTCGAAAAAAAAAGAAAAATTTATCAATTTTTTTGCGCGAAATTTCTAAACTCTACGCATTTTCCTGCTGCTGCAGCCCTTTTCGACTTTCATCTCGCAAACTTCTAAAGGACAGAAAAATTCGAGCGATGCCTCTTCTCGCCGTCGAGACAAAAACTGCCCGTCGAAGGGGAGGAGACGAGGAGCTGCATCCTCGCTCCAAAAGTCGTACACTCACCCTTGCAAAGTCGTAGGCGTATCTGTAGATGCCTTTGAAAGCGTAAGGGTCGTTGAGCTGATTCCTAAGATAGTCTAGCCTCTGCTTGACCTTGGCAGCCGAGTCGCACTGCATCTCGGTAAGGCCCTTGAACCACTCGTCCTGGCTGAAGAATCCCATCTGGCGGGCGTTCATCTTGTAGGCGAGCACGAGCATGACGACGTTCTCGGGCTCGACGCCGATGTCCTCGCAGAACTTCTCCATGCCGTCGGGCCCGAGCATCTCCGGCTCGTTGGCCGTGGTGTACTCGCGGAACCAGTTGAGGCAGCGTTTCTGCGAGAAGCCGCGCTCGTGCGCCCCGTCGTCCGTCCTCGTGTGGCGCCTCGAGCTGCAATCATCGTCGGTCGGCTCGGGGTTAGTGCTCGATTCGACGCGCGGTGGCGGTCGAGCGAGTCGCGCGCGGCTCTCTTCGTCGTCACCCATGCGCGTGCGGGGCCAGAGCACCGACGGCGGCCAGAGGGGGTGGGGAGGGGAGGGGGCACTCAAAAATACGCAGGCCGAGAGCCGAGCGCGCCGTCCGCTGCGACTACGAGCTGCTACTGCCGCGGGCCGCGACCGCGAGCCTCGGATTTATTTTCGAGTGTCACGTGCGAGTGGGCGAGGGACACGCGTAGCTTGGCTTGCTCCGAATTGCGCGCTCTCTCTTTTTTTTAGCTTTGGCTTGCATCGCGGCTTCGTTCATCCCCCAAGCAACGATGGAAAAGCTTCGGCGAGTCCGCGCGGCGTCGCCATCCCAACTCCAAGTAGTCCGACTGCGCTATCGAGAAATTCAAGTGACAAGTCGGATTCCGCGCCACGGACAGATGAAAAATAATCAGAAGCCGCTGCGGAATGGCGAGTGTGGGAGAGAGCGCGTTGTGAGGTAGCCTCGCTTGACATTCAGATTCGGATGATACTGCGTTGAGCAATGCAAACGGTGCACGTTTCGTATGCGGAAACGCAGAAAAATTGTGTTCGACCGACGTTTAATTAGCTTGCTTCATTGACAACATTAGAAAAATCGAATGCCAGCAAAAATGTTATTTGCTGTTGAAAGTCAAAGCGAGACTTGCTCGGGGGGCTTTCTTCCCAAGGAGGCCTCGGACGTCGGACAACTGACACCGATCGAGTTGAAAAAACTGATTGATAATCATTTTTGGTTCTCGACTTTTGGAGTCAATTGGCGTCGGTTAACTCTTCGTTGGAAAAAACTGACTGTTCGCTTGACATTCGGGTGTTCCGTGATCGTGCAGATAAAACACATAAATCCGCTATATTCTCATTATTAGTACAATGATAAATCACTCGATTATCTTCTGTTGCTGTGGCACGCGTCTGACGGACGATGTCCATTTACATAAAAAGACTCAAAGTCTTCTATGTCTAGTTAGGGCATAAAAGCAATGAAATTTTCAAAATTTTGTCCCGATATGGGGTTGAGCATCGAAAGACTCAGCGACACCACGGCGTTGTTCAGTTACGGATAAATGATACCACTCTATAATATTACAAAATAAAACGTTGAAACGACCGTTGTACGTACTCAACTACTAGATATACACTTTTCTCAAATCTGATAACACTAGTCAATAATGAAGATACGGAAATTCAAAATTCACAGTCAAAATCACAAACGCATTGAACGTCCTTTATTTCGATAATTTTTATTAAAAATGACATAACGATCTATTTGCTTTTCAATAACACGATAAATGTTTGACTATATAAAAGCACATTTCAGTGTATTATTTAGTATTTATTAGTATTATTCAGATATTTATTCGAACTACGGTGTTTCATAGCATATTTATAGTATGATTACTTGACTATTATATTAACTACTAGTTGCAACAGCATTTCTGACCCTTCATGCATGCAAGCTATTTCTCACAAGTGTGTATTTAATTAATAGCAACATGCTGACCAATCAACATTGATTTCATCACTCCTTGTCATGATATTTGACTACGTAAAGTAAGATCAAATTCCTTACATCAACAAAATTTCTTTCAATTCGAAAAAGTAAAATAGCTTATTTTATGGAAAAGTTTGATAGCAATTTTCAATGCAACAGATTTCAAAGGTTGGTTTACTGTGAATGTTGATGCAGCATGAATAATAAATAGTTTACAGTGCATACAATGACCATTGTATGTTTTCTGACTTAAAATCAATATTTTATTTCATTTTAGACAGTTTCCTTCGCTAAATATTAATCTTTGATCCAAGAATGCATTTTTTGGAGAACAACATCAATAAACAATAGAATCTATAACTTTCAATCTGTTGTCCAAATGAAATGTAAAAAATAAATGCGATTGTGATAATCACCTGGATGTGTGGCGAAATCTTTTAGCCTGATACCTCTGTGCATCATCTGGTGAGTTAGGCGCATTCTCAGCAGGATGGTTTGTAGTAGCTCTTCTCTTTGCACGAGGCATGCCTCGTCCTCCTGAACTTGCTGCTACTTGCTCGCCTGAAACTGGCTGTGGAGTATTATTGGCAGCGTACCTCCTGCTGCTAAAGTGATTTTGAGATTCTCTGCGGGACTCCTCCTCCCACACTGCCTGCAATTACAAAATTACTGTTATTGATCATTTGCATATTTGAGTGGGTTCAATTCTATAGCATCCTGACCAAGAATGGAATTGAAAACCAATCTGGAAATACTGGATAAAATACATTTCTTTTGAAATTTTGTCTCAAACCTTCTTTATGTCTGTAATTCATAATTGGATCAAGAGTTACTTGTTTCTTTTACCCGAGTCAAAATGCCAAGATAAAGGTTCGAAATGTGTCATAAGAATTTAGAGGTTCTAACACTTACAAATTAGTTTGATATTAACTTGACAGTTCATTACAACTTTTAAACAATTAACTATCATTGCTAGGCAACAATTTCATCTATGGTATTTTCTTCTGATAAAAATATATTGAATTTCAGATCATGCATACTTAAAAGTGTAAGAACTTATCAGTATTGATTTTTAGATAACGTGTATATAAGGGATTTTTAGTATCACTCACTAAAAATTGTTTCAAGCAGTAAAATTGTGTACTATTATATAAATAAGATCTTCATAATGAATGAGTTTAGAAATAGAAACTCGAATAGTCTTGAGGAGAGAGCAACTTTGATGGAAATTATAGGTAGTAATTAGTTAAACATAATTTTTATTTAGATGTGATATACTATTTCTTTATCTGTAATACAATAAAAGTCAACACCAAGATATTGTTGTTCAGATTAATATTTAAGAGGAATACTATAAACTGGTTACAAAATCAATAAATAGTAAATTAAATGGCAACCTAACCTAGACAAAGTATGGTACTTGGGAATGAAAACTTGAAATATTTTTCAAAGTATTGAAACGTCATGAGTTCAAGAGATGATTTATGCTGCAAATTGTAAAAAATTTCAAATAAAAAGAAAGAGTATATTACCTAAGCTAGAGAAGACTTGCTGAAAGTAATTTCAGAATATGATTGACGGTGTCTAGAAAAGTTGCAATATGCAATCAAGATGATTGGTATTTAGGAAGTAAAATATAAAATAGAGCATTGACTTTATCAGTACAATGGAAGCAGAGAGGCTGTGAAAAATATAGTCACATGCAAAATGGCACCCTGTCAATACTCAAAATTATTACATGACAAAAAAAGGTGTCTAATGGATGCTCCCCGAAATTTGCCAATAAATTGTAGAGCAGTAACAACGATAACAGAGAAAAACAAAGAGAAATACTTTTGGAAGTTGCAAATTCAACTTATATATGGTCGCGAGAGTAGATAAACTTACCAAGGAATCGAGGTGACCGCTAGACAAGTTGAAACTGCTGAGCCTGTCGGTGATGTACCCGGTGGCCCCCTGGTCCCGCTCGTTGCCTGGTCGTAGTGAAGTCAGATTCATCAATACATTATATGTGCAAGCGCCCTGGAGAGAGAATAGAGCCGCGACCAATGATTCCAACAACTCCTGCGTGCCGAACGCACAAACACACACAATGATTCGTTTGCTGTTAAGGCCTGTCTATGTAGGTATATCGATTCAGCGACGACTGACTTTCCACTTGGAGGAAAGTGTAAACTTAATCTTACCTCTCGGCGACGAGGCAAATTGCGAGGGTGTGGCACTCTCGTTCGGGCCACGTATAATGTGTCAGTCGGCGCGTCCTCGCCTGGCTCTTACTGTGTGTGCTCGCGCCTCACGCTTCCAAGGACGTGTGGTGCTAGCGACTTTTTACATAGCTATAAGAGGTTAGATTCAGTATGCTTCTGCGCGCGCGCGACTTTTTTAAAAATCAGTATATGTTTTGATACAGAAGCGCAGTAGAGACGATGATGTATTTTTTATAAATTTACTTTGAAACTCGTTTTGATATTAATTATTAATATATTTGTTTTTTTTATCAAAATCATTCAGTATTAACATTTGAGCTTCGTAGAAACGACAATGCAGAGATTTTTTTCGTTTAAATAAGTTTTTCACTTTGTAGTGATTTACAAATCACATGAATATCTGGTGATAACGATTTTTCCTTTTTCTCTTCTCTTAAATATTGATGACGCGCGATAACTTTTGTACTCGATTGAGCAAAAGATCACCTTGCTTGACCATCGCCTGATATTGCCAGTTCTTGCTATCAGGTCGATTAGTCTCCACAACTCCTCCCACTTGGTCGACTTTGCAGTGCAAACGACCTGCAGCGATGAAACGCGAGAGTTCCCTAAAAAAAAAATAATTGTCTTATTAGTTGATTATTTAAAAAGATTACACAGAAAGTGGTCTGCAAAATGCTTACTGATCAATGTAGTCGACAGTTACTCCAAACGCTTCTGCCATATACTGCAAAGTTAGTGATCTGTAAGACTCCAATAATTGAGTGTATGCGAGAATGCGCATTTCTCTGACATAGTAACGGTAATGTGGGTGAACTAAGAAATCTATACGCAAAAGACCTTCGACGTGTGCTGTAAACATAATACAGTTGTGTGACTGACCATCAAATGATGCTTAAATAGATTTTCAATTAACAAGCTTACCAAGATTTTTGAAGAAATCAGCATAGTGGCAGTTGTATAAAGAGAACAAATACTCTTTGATATCTGGATTACTATGCAATACTTCCAGAATTTCTGAACCTTTAATAATTTTGTCTCTGAGTTCATTGCGAGGTAAACTAATCATGCTTAAGTATACTGTATATCTAACAAATGTATTGTAATCCATAAGCTCATAACTCGTAAAGGTACTGATTGTGTCTAGGAAGAAAACAGCAGCTTCTTTAAAATCACGCACTGCTATGCAGTAAGTGCCTTGATATACTTTCAGCCGATTCCTTCTGTCCCAATCCCCTCCCTCCTCTATCAGTCTGGATTTATTTAACATTTAAATCTTACTTCATTGTATTGAAAAGAAAAATATATTTATAACAAAACATGAATACTTACGCTTCAGCTTTCTCAATATTTTTTGTAATCAGATCATGATCCAAGTAAAACAGGCCGATTCTGATATTGTGAAAAACAATATCAAGCTTGTGGCCAAGAGAAACTGTCTTTTCATAAGTTTTCTTGAAAGCGGCCAATGCACCTTCTTTGTCGCCAATCCTACACAGATGCTCTGATTTCTTCAAATTTGCTTCTCTCACCTCACCTTCTCCCAAGTTCTTCTCTGCATCTTCAATTATTCCATCTAATTCTTTTAGTTGCTCCTCATTTTTTGCTTTCATTTTAGTTAAAAGTCCTTCATCAACAGGCCAATTCAAGTCTCTACAGACTTCTTCATAAAATGGAGCCATGTCTGTAATATCATTAAATTAGGAATTAATGTTTTAGTTATCTTAGTTCATTGATTTTGTAATCATTATCAAAACATTATCAAATTAAGCTCTGCAGAATCATTGTCTGTTGAATTATTTAAAAGTAGGATATAAGCTCATTGTTTACTAATGATTAATTAATCAATCTAGTAAATAAAATAAAATTGTTTAATTTTTTTCTATCACTATAAGAAAATTTCAGCAAGATAATGGTTAGAGAACATCAAAAAAGGAGGTTAGATAGCGATGGTTTATTTAGTTTCCAAATTTGTAATTAGCAGCCCCTTAGAAAAAATTTAGATTGCCCACTAAGTACAAACACTGAATGAATTTTGAGATGTAAAATTGATGATGAATGCTAATAATAAATCTATACAAAGCGAAGCAAGAACAAAAAATGCAATCTCACTTTCAGCTTGGATGACATCCATGAGTTTGTTCTTGAGAGCGGCATCGTTCTTGTGCTCAGCCAAACTCAACAGGAACTTGGTCTGCGCTAACTCAAGATTTGGATTTTTTTCCAGACCCTCTTCTTCTAGATTTTCCAACGGCATTTTCGAACAAACCACGGAAGCTTTCTTTATAAAAAAACTCAAAGACAAAATGTCTCACGACACAAACTGAGTAGCAGCCGAGCCACCAGATAACTAACTGAAGTTAGCTTTCGACCGGTCGACTCAAATTCTTTAATACATATCGAATGAATCGTAGTAATGTTCAGGTCATTTTTTTCCGCAGAATTTTGCATAAATTTTGAAGTTTTTATTCAACATTATTGGAGTACTGATTCTTAACGATATAAGACCTTCGATATTCATATATTCTTTTTATTTAGCAAAAATAATTTCTCGTAAAATATAAAATATTACATTTACAAGATAATAATTGCTAAATCAACGCGTTGTTCGATCTTTATAATATCAATAACATTTATTCGTTAATTTTATGGGAATTGATAGGGACAAAAGGAAAGGATATAGACGTGATGCAACAAATAAAAAACATTGTTAAAATATGTATTAAAAAATAAAATCTTTATTCAATCTTATAGAAAATATATTTACATCCATATACTGCTTCTCCTAATAAACTTTTTATACTTCAAAGTGCTAAGGTCATTTATTCAATTTCATGTGTTTATTGAAATAAATGAAAGTTGGTAAATATTGCTCAAAACAAGCACGTTTCAATCAAACCATGCAAACGTACAAACCATACAATAATTTAAAAAAACTGAGTTTTTTTTTTATTGCACAGAATGCTTCTCTTACTGTTCATGCATAGAAACTTTAGGAATAGGGTTTACCCGATTATAACAGACAAGTACATTACGATACAAGTGTGGGAATTCGATAGGGAAGTAGATTTTTGTATCTTCCCGAATATGTGAAGTACGTTATTTCTGGACACTCCGGCCGCGGGGACTCGCTTGGCGTACGCTTGAGGCATCGAGCTTGCTTAAAATCCCATGCACGTTGTATCGAAAAATAAAATTAGATACGCGTGTGAAAACCCTCGCGTGATTTCAGCTTCGCTCAGATACAAACGTCCACACGAGACTGAAATTATCTTTTCGCACGTGTATCTATTTTTCTTTTTTAATACGTGTGTGAACGCGAGATTTTAAGCACGCTCGTTTCTTCAGTTTGCCTGATGCTGAGCCTCGTGCAGTGTTAAAAAAAGGATTATTTACAGTGAGTAATGTAAAAGATATCTGCTAATTAATACAAATGATTTATAACAAATCACAGCCTTCTGAAGGAAACAATGATTACGTTTATCACGGCAAAACCTTAAAATCCTATGTGTTTAAATTAAAAAGTTTTAAGTGTGTAATTGTGACGTCACCCATAAGAAATACATTGTCACTGAATTTAAACGTTTAGAAGTGTTTAAAATTGAGGACAATGTATTTCTTATGGGTGACGTCATATTAAACGTTTAAATTTAAACACATGGGTTTACCGTGTATAGCACTCTGCCATTGCTTTGTCACTTTACTATTTTTTTCCACAATGAAGATAAAAAATAAAATTACCACTAATTGAAAATCAAGCGGAAATTTGGCATTTTCTATCAACAATATAAAAATAATAGTGTATAAAAACAGATAATAAGAAGAAACGATTTACACCGACTTACCTCCAGCGAAGTTGTAGCCGATGTTAAATGGCACAAGAGCGTGAGGACGCTGATTATCTCAGGCTGGATGGTTAACCAGAAATTAATGAAAACGAAATACAAAAATTTCATTAGAATAATGAAAAATGGGTAATAAGTTTGATTGAATTTGAAAGGCAACCGAACAAAAACTAGGAATTTAGTGTCGTAATAAAACGTGTATGACAGTTTAGTTCATTTTTTCTGGCCTTGAGAATGTTTGTTTCTTTATTGAGCTGAATCGTATATAAACGTAAGCTTATATACAACTATGAAGCTGGAGTAAACTAAATAAAACATCTTAATGAAAGGTCTAACATTCAAGCTCATACTGCTCCTACATAATAATATATCTTGAAACCTCCTACCTGCATCGAACAGAAGCTAGCTAGAGACCCTCATCTCTGCTACCTGCCTGTCATTTTTCTTTATCTACAAAAATGGCGGTCCTGCTCTTGATTTCGAAAAATCTAAATTGATGATAGAAATGAACTGAACTTCAGCATTTTATATGTTTTAACATTTTTTTCCAACTTTTTCAAAGTATGTGCAAATACTGAGGTTACAGATAAATATATATCCTAAATTGACTCAAACAATTACTTACAGTCATTTTTTACATATATAATATTATGATAAACATTTAACTGATTATTTATGTTTCTTTATTTTAACATTGTATTCAATATTATTCCTAGAAATCCTGACATATATAGAAATAAAAGAGAATTATTCTGACGACTAGTGATCTTTTGTGGGTGCTTTGTATGTGAGTAAGATAAGAAAAATCAAGAAACATGGAAAAAGGTCGTGGTCAAGTTTATTCAACTAACTTTCTTAAGACAATTACAACTTAAAAATTAAACTATTTCATGCTGTCATATATGTTCATATATAGTAGTCTAAAGGTAACCTACCAGTGCTTAGTATGTGTTGAATTACCTAAGCTAAAATTCCGATTTCGCATTTCCCCGTTGATCTGATACAATTTGTATTTTGTGTCCCATGACTACCGCGAGAACTCTTATTAAATCAGGGAAAAAAAATCAGGAAATTGATTAGGCGCGTAACCCGTATAAACTTCTACCTTTGTACATATTGTTATTCATTAGCGCATGGGGAAGAAAAACAAGAATTTTTCGCTTGCAAACCTTATTCGGCGTTGTTTAGTTGTAAAATTTTATACATATTTACCTTTCAATAAATGATTGGTACATTTTCCGACTAACATAATCGAGAGAACATTCGATTTCTGAAAATTAGAAAACGAAACGCGTTTCTTTTTCTCGTTTGCTTTGCTCTTATAAAACTGCTCGGAGTTACGTTATAAAAACAAAGAAAAGCGCCATACAAGAATTTCCGTGACAAATACAGAGTATTTCAATGATACTTTCGGCGATTGAAGAATCTAAATGTCATCCTAATATGCGCAAAATTACAGAAACCTATTTCATTAATTATACATGAATTTGTAGATAAGAAAAATATGATTATTCGTCATAAAATCGCGTACCTAATACATCAGCATGGTTTATAGCGCAAAGTCGAAATGAGGATGAAAATCTTTAATCTGTAGTGACTGTAAAAAAATAATAAAGCGGAAACTATATATGAAAGTGATTTTTAAAAATAAGTCAAAATTTCATTGGATATTTTCAACTCGAAAATACGTATTTCTTTCTTTCTTTATGGACAAGAGCATTCCCTTCTTTTACTCATGTGAACTACAATAATTCTCTTCCTGTCCCTTTCTGCAAATCCTGATTGTCCTGCCTGTGAGGAGATTTTCTTTTTCTGTTTCTTAAAAATTTCCTGTCATCTTTCTCTCTCTTTCTCCCTTTCTATGACTTTTCTCATTGTTCTGCTAGCCTGTCTTTGTTCGCTGCCTAGCTTGCTTTATGCCTGCCTGCTCCAGTACTAACACAGTACCAAGCTACTGCTATGCGATTAGAAGACAAGAAGTAGAATGGGGTTCACCTAAGGTTCAAAAGTCAAAACTAGTTAGTTCCAGAATTACATTATCACACAAGTAACGTCTATTGAGTACACACTAATTAGCATATATGTTTATAGTTACATCAAAGGCAAAATTTACTCATAACTCATTTTAGATTTCACAACTTTGGAAATCTAATGAGTTATTGATAAATTTATACTTTTATTGTTTACTGAAAACATGTATACATCCTTACGAAACCTGATTCACCAATACTAATTTTTTATATTAATAATATAGCATGTGCAAAGTTCACCAAACATTGACTGCAAATGATTTACAGATGGTTTATGAACTTGACAGATTTGCTTTTAATAATGATATTCACATGTACAACAGTGAAAGCACATTAATTCCCGATTTTATCGACTTTTTGTGCTACAGTAATGTTCTACTACAACATACATACAGATCTATGGCATAGCCATAAAGCTAAATGAGTTGTGTAAGCATATAAGATATAGGATTTAGGACAAATTTGGAAAAAGCGAAAGAGCAACTTTTCATACTTTTCTCAAAACACAATAAACTTGTTATAGTTAAAATCGTACTTGATTTCAAATCTTTCAGTAACAATTGAAAATCTGTAACCTAATAATTGAACAAAATAAAAAACAAAATAGTTTGAGTTTCAATCAATTATGAAAATCATTATTTAAAAACAATGCAAAGCATATCAAGAGATATCAGATTCAAAACAAAAAATTGCATTATCAGTTTCTTTAAAAAATTACGAATTACAAAACTGTGAAGGTAATCTGTCAGTTGGCTTCTTTCTGAACTGGATAATACAGTAATTTATGTAAAAGACAGAGAAAAGAAATAGTACAACAAATAAAACACTTAGGACTTGAAAATAAACAGGCTAATTATAGTAACGACAAGAGAATATATACTGCAAATTATCTAGTGAATAATTAATATTCCCGTGTCGTTACCGAAAAAGAAAGCCTGTACAGACTCTTCCTTTCAAAATGCTTACCGATTGAGTAAAAGAAGGGAAGTGAAGCTGTACGGGTAATTTAGTATCTTCTGCCGCTTCCGCCTCCCATACCGCCTCCACCCATAGAGCCACCTCCATAACCTCCACTGCCGCCGCCTCCGTATCCACCACCGCCGCCACCGCCGCCACCTGCTGTAGCAGATTCACGGCCTAAAGAGGCTTGTTTTTACTGAGTTCTTTTGCTCCCGCGATCCCACTCGTTGGAGCACAGATCACACACGTTATAACAATTAGTATAAGATACGTACCGTATGGCGAGGGTCGACCTCCTGAATTGTAGTTATTTCTGACTGGACCGCCGCCGTATCCTTGTTGGTAGCCTCCACCGAAATTGTCATTACCCCAGTTGCCTCCGCCTCCGCCGCCGCCGCCACCGCCGTAACCGCCACCACCACCTCCTTGGCTACCTCCCCAGGCACCACTGCCCTGGTTTGAGTTCTCCCAAGGTCCATTGTTACCCCAGCCACCACCTTGGTTACTGCCTCCATAACCACCTTGATTGCCGCTTTGGTTCCAGTCATTACCGCCGCCACCACCGCCACCGCGGCCACCCCAATTGCCGCCGCCTTGGCTGCCGCTTCGTGGACCACGACCACCTCCCATCGATTGACTTCCGCGACCACCGCCACCACCGCCGCCGCCACCACCGCCACTACCGGCGCTAGCCATCTCGGCGCGGCTTAAGGCTTTCTTAACGTCTACGTGTTTGCCGCGGATTTGGTGGTTGCGCTGTAGGCAGATCTTATCCACGGGATCGTAGTCGTTGAACTCGACGAAGCCGAAGCCTCGTTTCTTGCCCGTCTCCTTGTCTGTGACGATGCTCACTGAATTGATGCTACCGTACGTTTGGAAGTACATGCGAAGATCATCCTCTTCGTGGTCATCCTTCAAACCACCCACGAACAGTTTTTTCACGGTGGCTCCGGCTTCTGGTCGGCCGATCTCTTGGCGGGGAACAGCACGCTTTGGCTCGACTACTCGACCGTCCACTCGGTGGGGCCTGAATAAATCAAATTCCAATATTTTTTGAGTCTGTTTTGAAATTTTGAGTTATGCATAAAAATCACTGTACCAGTGTCATTGTTCATAAATTGGAAATTAAACAATAATAAGCAAATACATGGAAAGCTACATCCAATAACGTTAATAACTTTTACCTGGCGGCTTGAGCATCATCGACCATGTGAGCTCTTGAGTAAGTGATGAAACCAAAACCCCTAGAACGTTTGGTCTTAGGATCCTTCATGACCACAACGTCGACGATATCACCCCATTGCTCAAAGTGCTTCTTCAAGGAGTCATCAGTGGTACGGTAATCCAAGCCACCAATGAACAGTTTCCTAACGTGCTCAGGTTCGTTTTTTCCATCCTAGATAGAAACATCACCGGTCAGAACAGTTAGTATTATGCAATTTAGTAACTGTATTGCATAATGAATGATAAAAAGAAATACGACGGTCTTCTATAGCACACGCCACCACTTTAGCAAATCATTTCGCCGAATGTATTCAAGTGGCATTATCAATATGAGCACGACCGCGTGTGATTGATAAAAAAACTCGACTGATAGAGCAGCAAGTTGGGTGAAAGTCGTGGCGTAGATTGCTCTTGCCGGTAGTATTGGAAACAAAAAATGGCGCGGCGTGGCCACGCCACGCCGCAGTCAATTGCTATCGTCATGCTGATGTATTACAAATCAACAGCATTTGCTAATCATCAAAATAAATTATCAATGTTTAACCGTAAAAAGATTGCACCGTCGGATAATTGTGATGTGAACATCAACAATTTGTTGAGCGATTTTATAGGATGAGCTCGTGTAAGCAGAACGACGCGTCGACGCCATCTTGCCGAGAAAATTGATTCATTCATTGTAACGTGTTAATCTAAAAATAATTTTCATCTTGGTGTAATAGAATGATGTAAGCATATAAATGAAGACAGTAAGATTAACATTTTCTAGAGATGTAAGTGCATTTTGAGTTGCAAATAACACGGATTTTAAAAATATAATGTTAACTTACATCATGATCCATTTTCACCATCTTCGATGATGATGCTCCACGACTACTCGATGAACGCCGCGTTGCGAAAGTTACTTGGCACACGGATTAGGACGAAAAAAGCTGGCGTCCTAAGGCGCTGCTGCACAATTTAGGAATACGAAGTCGAAACGATGCTATCCGGAGGAAACTCGGAGTTCGACTGCGTCGTTTGCGCGTAGTGTGACCGATCGAACGATTTTGGCTGCCGTAGCTGTCGGAGAGGTGGCTAACGCGTGCACACTACCGCACCGGAAGCTCACACTACGCTAGTCAAAAATAAGAGTCGTTTTTGTTGCGCGGCAGGAAAATTCAAATAAGAAATTCCATGATACTTGTTTAAAGTCGAATTTGTCCCTGCGAAATTTTGTAATATAAGCAGATCGAACTTTTATTGCAAAATTTTGCGAGATTTGGAATAAAAATCAAATAACTGGACAGGAAAATACTTAACTGATTATAATGCTTTGTTATTAGGACGCGTGCGCGATGCAAGTATCTTTTCAGTTGAGGTCAACATTGCTATGACATTGAAAATAAATCGAGGTTTCGTTTAGTTGAGATAGCAGCGGAATGCAATCAAAATGCCACGCTGCTGCGTTCCTGGATGCGACACTGGCACTAGTGCCGAAATCGTGAGGATGAGGAAAGCCAAGGCCAGGAATAAATCTACTTTTCTTCTGCCAGCGGTATGTCGCTTAATATTCAATTAAAATTTAGGATTTGCAGTATTTATTACTTGATTTTTAGATGAGAGCACGTCTTCTTATTATTAATCATTTAGATACATTTTTTTGCAATTTATTTATAGTAATAAAAATTTTTAAAAGTTAAAATCAATTATCTATTATTTATAAACAGGATTATAGATTATTTAAAAAATGGGAGAAGGTATTAGGTTTGAAATATGATACTATTGACGGCAGATCTGGACGAGTTTGCGAACTCCATTTTGACGAGGCTGATATTATTAGATACTATTATAAACAAATGGAAAATGGTACTATTCAGCAATTTACATTTTCTAGACCGACATTAAAAAAGGGAATCATCCCTTTATCAACACCGCGAAAAGAAGATTTATTACCTCAGAATCATAAATATAAGAAGAATAAGGTATTTACGGTTAATTGTTTAATTGCAGTATTTTTTTATTTATATCAAGTTTTAGGATTTGATCGATGAAAACTTTCAGAAAAAATCATCTAAAGCACAAAACAATAAAAATGATGTATCTATACAATCGCGTGGTACCAAAAGAAAAAATTCTTCAGAAAACGATGATGTACCAATTAAAAGGCATACAAAAAGTAGCAATGCTGATAAAGCAGGAAAAGCATCTAAAAATTATAAAAAAAGAAAATATAAGGTCGGTATACTTTACATATTTTAAGATCAATCCTAGCCATGTATTATTATTTATTATTTATTATTTATTTATTATTTATTTATTATTTATTATTATTTTTTATTATTTATTATTATTTATATTTTATTATTTATTATTATTTATTATTCTAGAGGCAAATCAAAACATGCCGAAATAAATTGATTTCCAAATCTGTCAAAAAAAGGGATTCATTGATCTATAATTTTGATAAATTAAAGCATAATTTACACAGAAAAAATTGCAAAGTGCCAACAGGTTGGGAGTTCTCCATACTGGATGATAATACTGTTCAATTTGTTTATAAAGTAGAGTCTTCAAACAATTTTTTGACTTGCACACTCAAACGTGAAACATTTTTAGAGGTCAATAGTATTCTAAATAAAACATGACGTTATTTACAATTTTATTGCATGAAGTAATTTCTTGTGGAATAATTTCAGATTAGAGCTTTTAATATAAATGTGGCAATAAATTTAGAATTTAAATTTTTATCTCAAGCTCATTTACTTGAAAGTTTAATTGAATTACAAAAGGTTCGATGCTGCAAAGGAATCACATATAAAAGGTGATGTCAACTATGCACCGTTTTTAATTTCATGATAGATTATCTTACAATTTGAATTTCCAGATTCACTAAGCAATGCATGGGTTTTATTCCATTCAGAGAAAAATATCAAAGGCTGAAGAATTTTGATAGATGCAGTATGTGTCAGAAAGTATGGAAAAATATTACAAGAAGGCATTCACATCATCACATACAGAAAGTAAAATTTTTGCACTTGAGGACATCGAAATTGAAATTTAATGCCAATATTAATAAATATTCAAAGAAAAAGAAAAACTTGAAAAAAATTATAAAGTCAAGCAAAAAGTCGGAGACAAAATATTTAAAAAAAAGCATTGACAAATAATTCTAAAAGCATATAATAGATACATATAATATATGCCTATAATATAACCATTTTCGAATTAACTTTCTAAAAATTATATCGTTTGTTTTAGTTATTAAAAAAGTTGAAACTTTTTTTATGGACAAATGTAATAAGTTCATGAATACACAGCCAGTTACTCGTAATTTCATTTTAATAATTTGTTCTTTTGTTATACAAAACTGAAATTTCCTAAACATGTAAAATACATACCTAAGATTTACAAGATTACAAATAGCCTGATGAAAATTTGACAACTGGCGTCAAAAATTTCATAAGAACGAAGCTTATTTAACTTTCAATAATATTTTATATACACTTATAAATTTTTGATGATGCCGTGCAAAACAGTTTATACACGCGTGTCATTTGGATACAAAAAATTTTTTTTTCTTATCTTGACAATGCTATATAACATTTCAAGTGTGAAAAAGTTTTAAATGTAAAAAATAAGTTACTTAAAATAGTAAGCTTAAAAGTAAATGAGTAGAATATATGAATTCAAGTAGCAGAAATGACATAGAAATCTGTAGAAATATGAAATCGATCATAGTTATATGTGAATTACAATAAAAATTATAATATTGATTCGTAATACCGTTATTTAAAAGTTACCAATTCAAACTCAACTTTTAGTTAACTAGATTAAAGAATTATTTTGATTAAATTTTTTGCGTAATTAATTGAAACACTAGAAATATAAGTGAAAACTACTTATTTTGATCTATTTTAGACTTTAATGTTTCTGCAGTTCTTCGTCTCCAATGCACGTGAATGTCTTTTGTTGCGGAGGTTATCTCATTATCATCCTGCTGTTCAGTATTCTGTTCTTGGTTTATAGTTAGGAAACTTGTACCATCATTAGAATTTGAGTTACTCTCAGAGCTATTTCTCCTTCTGTGAAAATCAGTCTCAATTAATATGTTGCAACTTAAAGTTTTAGCTATTGCCTTTTATATAGTTTCAATGACATCAATTGTTTAGTATCCATATACCTAATTTTATTTGGAACTGAATATTTAAAGGATAAAACGAACTCTAAGTACGCAGATTGTAATATTACCCGACTGCTATATATCTTTTTTAACGTTTGATAAATATAATTTAAAAAACTTACACAGAAGTAAAACTCTGTTTATGATTAGCTACTGTGATCCTGCGAGTCAATCCAGGAAATTCACAAAACGAACTCTGTGAGTAGATTTTCTCTTCGATTTGTCTATTCAATACAAAGGCTTGTTCCAATGGAATGGGATCTGTCAAGCTCAAAGGCGGATGCGTATTTATTGGAGCATTAATGACAGGCACCGCGTTGTTCAAGTCAGGCAATGTCTCGTGAATCACCGAAGCGAGTTCATAGTTCTGCGACATAGAGTGTGGATTTGGTACCGATGGCGGAGTTAATCGCTGGATAAAGTTCTGCGGAAAAAATTGGCATTTATTATTGGTATTTCAGGTTGCGCATTCATCATGAACTTACGATAGGCATCGGCACAGGATTCGATGGAGTTCTAGAAATTTTCTTTGGTTTCACTGCCAAGTTATCTTTTGTCTTCTCTATTTTTTCTTCTTTACTGGGCGTAATTTCGTTATTTTTCGGTGTACCACTATTGCTGCGTTCAGGTACCATGTGCTCGTGTGGCTTAATCGGGTGGTGATGCAGCATGTGACGAGTGTAGTTATCAATTCGTCCAAATTGCTGCTGGCAGTAACAGCAAGTATATTTCTTTTCTCCTAAACATAAAACAAAACATTGTACTTGAATTGATAAATGACACAACAACCAATACATACGAAGTGGCGACTACTTTTAAATGTAGTATCGAGAATCGCATACTCGATGACACACTTGAAACAAGCATCAATTAGCGAAAGCTTTTACCGACAACGATAAACAATTAATGTTCGTTTATCTTTGTACGTTTAACTACAAGCATATCGCACGCATTATAATGAAGATAATATCACGTCAATAAAAAGCAAGTTTGTTCACTCTTAATAACAAAAATTAATGATTTTGTACCAGAGTGAGTGACGGAATGGCGCTTCACTTCGAATTTAGTAAGGAAAGCTTTGCCGCACTGGTCGCATGCGAAAGGCCGTATTTTTTGGTGTATCTTAATGTGTTTGGCCACCTCATATTTGGTTTTGAAGCTTTTTGGGCAGTGTAGACATTTGAATAGTGCAACAGCTGCATGTTTTGCAAACAATTCATGAATAAGTTTGTTTGTGACACTTTGCCAGTGTGTCCATACTTACGCGAGTGTGAAAGTTCGTGTCGTCGCCTGTTCGCGTCCATTGTAAAGGATTTCGGGCACTGATTACACCTGAATACAAATGAACTTTCCACGTGACTTAGCAAGTGGCTTTTAAGATATTCCTTCGAGACGAATTTCTTGCCGCATTCATTGCATTCCAAATCTTGCGTATCTGCAAACAAAAAATTCCGTTGATTACTTACTAAAGCCTTTGCGGAACTTGGAACAGTTTTCTTAAGTCACGTGTACTTACATTTGTGGATGAGTAAGTGCCGGTTAAGTTTGCCCTTTATCAAGAATTTTTTGCCACAGAGCTCACAGCAAAAAGGTTTCTCACCTTTATGCGACCTCTCATGGTAGTCTAGGTGAGTTTTGTGATAGAACTTTCTCGAGCAAAACTCACACTTGTACGATTTTAACGTTGATTTAACGCAAGCCAAGTGCGGAGTTTTGTTCACATAATGCTTAAATGATCGTAGGCAAATCGTACACTGAAAAGTGTTTTGTTTGCCTGGTAATGGTATTATGTGGCTGTAGTCTTTGCTAGGCCGTCCAGGACGTTTCTTTTCTTTATTCGACTATAAAAAAATTCATGGTTGTATTGCAAGGTCTTAGACAGTTTAATAAGTATTCTGACGTACCTTTATGTTTTTGCATTTGGAACTTAAAACTTTGGTTCTTTTACATCCAGTTTTGGGAGCTGTAGGCCCATTCAATAGCTTGGGTCTACCTCTTGGTCTCTTAACGCCTAATGTCGATTTTGGCCTTTTTACATGGATTCTTTCTTGTTCATGTGTTATGCGTAAGTTATTATCTGGACTGTATTTCTTGATAATACTCCAGTCTATGTTTCTTTCAAGAACAACAATAGGCTCCAGTTTGATTTCAAACTTCTTCATGATCATCAAATCCTTCTTTTCAATTTTAAACTTGATATCTTTCTCCTTCAGGGGCATAAATCTTAATCTCTTATTATCATACGTCCAAGCTTTAGACTTTCTAAGTAATTCGCGTTTCTTAACACTCATTGTTAATTCACATTCATTAGCGACAACTTCCGAGTTATTGTCTTCTGTTACTCTGTCGTCTTCTTCAAAATTACATGAATCTATCGAGTCTTTGCTTTCAGGCAACAAAAATTCAACCCTTTTCTTTTTGATAACTTTTGATACGATCTTCAAATCTTCATTTTCATACAATAAGGTTTTGGGTCGTCGATTTCTTTTCATTTCTTTCGTATCTTCATCTTTTGGCGATGAATCCGTAAATAAAAAGTTACTTTCGTAATTCATTTCGATGTCCATTGAATTTGGGTTTACATTTAGAAAACTCGTATTCTGATCAAGTTCCACATTATCGAGACTTGTCGATTTATTTTCTTTTAATTGATGTTTTATATTTACTTTCTCCATCATTATTTCAGTACTTTCTATATTTTGTTTTGTATTCATTGCACATTTGTTAACGTGGGTGGAACTATAAACTTGAGTTTTCTTCATGAACGTATTATCAATCGTTTCACATTTATTTTTATGCGATGATTTATTTAGTTCTTTCTTTTTCTTTCTTACCGGTGAAATTTCTAAGTCCTCGTTTTCATAAAGCAATACTTTAGGTTTTCTTTTTCTTTTGCTGCTCTCCACGATTACTTGCGTGTTTATTTTATCGAACTTCTTGTACTTTCTGCCTGGTGTACTATTCTGCACAGCTTCATCGTTTATTTTATTTAATTTTTCTAAATCTTGTTCTTCTGCTACTGGAGTGATATTTTCTATCTTTGCATCATCTTTCTCGGAAAATTTTTCCTTATTTTCTTTATTTTCGTCGTCATGTGATTTCACATCTTGACTATCTTTTTCTTCTACTTCTTTGTCAGAGTCTTTTGGTATAACGGTATTTTCTCCTTCGTTAAAAACTTCATTATAGTTCTGTTGTTTTGACTGGTCTTTATCATTTTCTATACTTTGAGTTGAAATTTTTTCCATTTTATCACTCACACTACCATTTAAAAGGAAATCGTTTGTTTGTTTTTGACTATCAATTTTATCTTCCTCAAATTCATCCAGTGAGCATCTGTTTTCATCGTTAGATATTGTTACCTGACTTGATTCTTCACGAATGCTGTTTTCGTTATCTAAAACTTTATTTTCCTCTTCTATAGCATTTCCGTCTAAACCTTGACGTCCATTTTTTTTATCATTGTTATCGGCACAATAACTTGATAATTTTATTACTGTTTGGTATTCTTTATTTTGTGAGACATTACTTTCATTTTGTTGTTCATGATTTTCCTTTTTTGGTCGACCTCTTATCTTTTTTATGATGGCTTCTTGGGATTTCTCTTTTTTTGGTCTGCCTCTTGCTTTTTTAATTACTATTACTTGCTTGCTTTGATGGGCGATTTCGAGCTTATCCTCTATAGAATTTTGATTAAAGGGTGTGTTTATTTCAGTTTCTAAGATCGAATTTTCATCAGCTTCGGTACACGAACTTGTAGTCAAGCTTTGGATTTCATCACCATGACTGTCAACTTTCCAGTCTAGGGGTTGTTGTTCTTTATCAATTGCTCTATATAAGCATTGAGCTTGATCTTTCTTGATATCATTCTTTTCACCTAATTCTAAATTCGTCAGTACGTTTGATTGTTCAAGTTTTGATAAAGATATCTTGGGCCTATCTCCCAATTTTTTAACAACTCGTGTGTCTGCATCAGATAGCGTAGGTTCCTTTTGTTTCTCGATGTTACTCAATGGTTCTATGGGTCTACCTAATGGCTTTTTAATAAACATTCCCTGCTCGTTTTCATAAACAACATTCAACGTTTTGTTATCTGAATTATTCTTATCTTTGGAAGTTGAGCTTGTGATGATGTCCGATTGCAAATTCTCATTCATAATTACGCTTGAATGTTGACTTAATTCGAGGTTTTGTCTGTTCAGATTTTGATTTCCTTCAGCTTCGTAATGCTCATTGCTGTCTACATTATTGATTATCTCATGAAGATTTGAAATTTCAGTCATATCGGTTTCTTGTGTTATATTGAAATTATTATGTTTTTTTAAAAGCGATAAAATTTTTCTAGGTCTACCTCTTGACTTCTTGACAATAGTTGGTTCTACGGGAGCGTCAGATGCATCGGACTGACTTTGTTGATTGCAGTTAATTAATGACTTTTTCGGTCTACCCTTTGGTTTTGAAGTAACTAGCAATGGTGTGTTACTATTCGCAGTAATTGATTTTTCAGTCTCTGATTTATTCTCATCACTGAAACTTAAACTTGGGATATCATTTGAATAAGGATTTTCTGGTTCTCCATCCTCCATATTCATGTTTGAAACTGGTAGTGTTTCATTACTAAAATTATCTTGGTCCAAATCTTGACTTTCTTCAGATTCGTGTTGCTCTTTACTTTCTTCTTTGTTAACTGATTCACGAAGATTTGAAATTTTGGCCGTGTATGAATTTTTGGATTTTTTTGATGTATTAAAATTGTTTTGTGTTATATTGAAATTATTATGCTTTTTTAAGAGCGATAAAGATTTTTTCGGTCTACCTCTTGACTTCTTGACAATAGTTGGTTCTACGGGAGTGTCAGATACGTCGGACTGACTTTGTTGATTACAACTAATTAATGACTTTTTCGGTCTACCCCTTGGTTTTGAAGTAACTAGCAACGGTGCGTTACTATTAACAATAATTAATTTTTCAGTCTCCAATTTATTCTTATCATTAGAAGTTGGGATTCCAATATAATTTGAATGAAGAGTTTCTGGTTCCCCATCCTCCATATTCATACTTGAAACTGGTAGTGTTTCATTACTGAAATGATCTCGGTCTAAATCTTGACTTCCTTCAGATTCGTGTTGCTCTTTAATTTCTTCTCTATTGATTGATTTAGGAAGATTTGAAATTCTAGTTTCTTGTAATGCTATAAAATCGTTTGGTCGTTCAAACATCGATAAAGATTTTTTTGGTCTACCTCTCGACTTCTTGACAATCGTTGGTTCTACGTGAGCGTTAGATGCATCGAACTGACTTTGTTGATGATAGATAGTTAATGACTTTTTCGGTCTGCCTCTTGATTTTGGAGTAACTAGCAACGGTTTGATACTATTCACAGAAAATGATTTTTCGGCTTTTGATTTATCCTCATCATTGAATGTGGAACTTGCGATATAATTTGAATAACGATTTTCTAGTTCTCTATCCTCCATATTCATATTTGAAACTAGGAGTGTTTCATTACTAAAATTATCTCGGTCCAAATTTTGATTTCCTTCAGATATGTGTTGCTCTTTATTTTCTTCTTTGTTGACTGACTTACGAAGATTAAAAATTTCGGTTTCTTCTGATGTATTGAAATTGTTTTGTATTTCGAACATGGATAAAGATTTTTTCGGCCTACCTCTCGACTTCTTAACAATAGTTGGTTTTACCTGAATCTCAGATGCATCGGACTGATTTTGTTGATTGCAGGTAGTTAATGACTTTTTCGGTCTACCCCTTGGTTTGGGAGTAACCAACAACGTTTCGTTGCTATTCAAAGTAATTGATTTTTCAGCCTCTGATTTATTCTTATCACTGAAAGTTGGATTTATTATATTATTTGAGTAGGGGTTTTCTGATTCTGTATTTTCAATATCTATACTTGAAACTTGTAGTGTTTCATCTTTACTAAAGTTATTTCTGCTCAAATCTTTATTTCCTTCAGCTTCGTATTGCTCGTTTCTGTCTATATTATTGATTGGCTCATAAAGATTTGAAATTTTAGTCGTGTTTGAAATGTCGGTTTTTTGTGATATATTGATATCGTTTTGCTGTTTAAAGAGTGATGAAAATTTCCTAGGCCTACCTCTCGACTTCTTGACAATGGTTTGTTCCACATTCACGCCAGATACATCGAGCTGACTTTGTTTCTCAAGGTTAGTTGATGACTTTTTCGGTCTACCTCTTGGTTTTTGAGACACAATTGATAGCTTGTTATCGTTTACAATAATTGACTTTCTAGCATCTAAATTACTCTTATGACTGCAAGTTACATTAGTGATAACGTCCAAATGTAAATTTTCTTTTCCTTTATCATCCATATCCACCCGTAAACCCTGCATTATTTCATGTTGACTAAAGTTTTCTCTATCCAAAACTCGACTTGCTTTACCTTCATTGCGTTCGTGCTGCTCTTTGTTTTCCTCGTTATTGATTGTGTTACATGGAATTAAATTTTTGGTATTACTTGAAAATGATACTTCTTTTGCTATATTACTTTTATTCAGCTGTTCAGAGTTTGCATCAGCTTTTCTAGGTCTACCTCTTAACTTCTTAATTATTGGTTCTACATTGACGCCAGATAGATTGGACTGATTTTGTTGCTCGGAAATACTTGTTGATTTTTTCTGCCTATCTCTGAACATTTTAATAACCGTTAAGTGATTATTTTCATTCACAGTATCTAACTTTTGATCATCTGATTCATCTTTTTCAACAAAAGGACTGATTGCATCAATGTCTAATTGTAGGGTGTCTTTTTTACTGTTATGAAGTATTTCGGCCTTACTATGTTGATTAAAATTAAGCAATACGTTTCTACATTTAGGCCCCCGTGGTTTCTTAGTATCATACGTTAACATTGACTTATCATTTGAATCCATACTTTTATCTTGATCATGGTTGTCTAGTGTTACATTGTTATCTACTTCTTGATTGTGTATCTGAACATTGACTTCCAGTACTTGTCTTTCTGATATATCAAGTTTTCCTTCGATTTCATTAGATTTATTGAGTTGTTCAGTGTTTAATAAAGATTTTTTAGGTCGACCTCTTGGTGTTTTATCAAGTATCTGTTTATTTTTGTCTGATGATTCGAGCTTGCCATTAATTTCATAATCACTAAATACTTTTTTCTTTCTTTCTCTTCGTTCGTTGATACCAATATATTGAGTATCTTCAGCTACAGTATTTAGATTTTCATCTTCTGATTTTTCCATCTCAGTAAGTGACAAGTTCGAATGGACATTCTCAAGCGTTATCTCCTCTTTATCGGTATGTACTTCAAATGCTAAATTGTCATTTTCTTCATTTCTATCACCTTCAATATTCAAAATATGACTGTCTTTTTCAAGCGATTGCTCCTTTTTATGTAAGATTTCGGGCTTATATGTTTGTTCGAGTTTACTATTACAAAAGTCATTTGCTTCGGAAGCCGGTAAATCTTTGTTAATATATAAAGTCGCACTTATATTTTCTTTTTCATGTGTTTCTATCAAACTTTGGTTTCTTTCATCATCTTGTTCAACAGTTTCTCTGTTTAAAATTATACTTTCTTCTTCTACGGTTTTTTTATTTAAGTGTTCATTGTCATCTTTTTCATCATTATTTTCTACATTTGGAATTTTAAGTTCTTGATTTTCACTAGGCGATTCTCCACTGCCTGTTTCATCATCACTTATGTCTTCATAATGTATGTGATTAGTTTTTTCTTCGTCATCAATCTTTTCATTCATGTATTGATCATTATCTTTTTCATTATTTATTCTATTTTGTATATAATTATCATCTTCTTCTGACATAATTTCCTCGTCAGAATGCTTATTATTTTCTTCTTTAGGGGAAACATCTTCATTTTCTTGATTTCCGCTTTTATTTTCAAGACCAACAATAATCTTCTTATTTAAACTCTGAATTTCATCCTGACTGTCAACTTCGTCATTTATAAGTGTACCATCCAGAATATTACCAAAAAATTTATTTTCTTCTTTGTGATCTTTTATGTTTGTATTAAAAATAAGATGCTTTTCTTCTTTACAACCAGTTTTTCCATCTAAAAGTTCTGTTACTCTATTTTGAATGGGAAGTTCTTCAATCAAATTCTGTTCTTGATCATAGGTAATTTCATACAAATTTCTACTTTCTTCTTTATTACAAACAATTTCTTCATTCAAATTTTCAATTTTTTTATTTTGGTTATCTATGTCCCCATTCAAATATTGATCTTCATTTTGTTCATCGGCAATTCCATTATTCAAAATTTGATCTTTTCCTGGTTCCATATTGGCTTCCTGATTCAACATATTATCGTCATCCTTTCCATTGTCCACTTCATTATGTAATTTCTGATTTGCTTCATAATCAAAGCCTTCACCAAAATCTGATTTATCTTCTTTATCAAACATTGCACCATTTAATTTTTTACTCTCTTTTTCTATAATGTCAAATAATACATCTAAATTTTGATATTCCTCTTTGTTACTTGCTTCTCCATTAGGAATATTAATTTTTTCTTTTTCATTGTCAATTGTTTCATCCACTGTCTGTTTGTTTTCATCTCTAATGTTAAATATAACACTCAAATCTTGATGTTCTTTGCATTCATCAGTTTCTATACTAATATCTGTAGTATTCTTTTCATTATATGTCTTATTATTTGAAACTTTGTTTTCTTGTTCAGATTCATCAACTTTGTTTTCTGTAGAGTTTTCATCTAATACAGTACAGTTAAATTGATCACTAACAATGGAATTTTCATTTATCACAGATTCTGATGGCTTGTTGATTGATTGAGTATCATTAACTTTTTCCGTTTGAATTTCTGAATTTCTTGCATTACTTGCTTTGTGTGGCTTATTATTAAATAGTATATAATCCTCTAATTTAAAATCCGGACTCGTGCAACCAATAACTTGAGGACTTTTAATTGGAGAACTTTTTTTATTATTCTTTTGTTCGTTTAACTTACTTGAAATTAAATAAACTGGTAGTTCCTTACGTCGTTTTTTACCTCTTCCAAGTTGCACTGGGTTCTTATCTATTTGACTATTTACTGTATCACTTTGGTTTGTTGCTGACTTTTGCACTATATTTACATTTTTTACATTTTTAATTCTAGGAAGGCCCCTGGTTCTTGTTTGTTTTCGCGCTGTATTAGCCTTTTCTTCAATTGGAGCAGATTGTTCCTCTATTTCTCTGGGAACAGTTTGTGTCACTTGACAAGACTGATACCCAACTACTTTATGAACTACATTTTGACTTCCTGTTGTAGGGAAAGATTGACTTTTGGTTGAAGATTGCAAAGAATTGATACTTGTTAGTGGAGGCAAAGGTTGATTTCCTATAAGATTCTTAACTGTATTTAAATTTGCCACTATAGATAATGGTTGATTTGCTGGTAAATTTTGCATAGTATTTAAGTTTCCCATGACGGGCACTGATTGATTTGCCACAAGATTTTGCACAATGTTTGGATTTCTGATTATAAACTGATTTCCATTTTGCAATGCATTGATATTTCCTAGCACAGGAATACATTGATTCACACCTGGTCGTTGTACTGCAGCCACATTTGCTAATGCAGGAAGACACTGATTGAGCAGTGGAGTGACTACCTGCTGATTTTTATTTGGTGAATTGTTGGCAATGAAAGCTATTGTAATAAATTGCCTGCCATCTGCTCTCTGGGTCACTGGTATGAAATTAGTGTTTTGTACAACAGGTGTTTCTTGATGTGGCTGATTATTATTATTAATTGTATTTGCAAATACTTCCGGTACTTTTGTAACTGGTTCCATGGGAGTTTGTATTACTTGTGAGAGAGATGAATGAGCTGTTGAAACAAAATTCAATTAATGTAATGTTATTTCAATGAGTTGAAAAATTGTGAGATTAAAGAGCATACTATTTTCTTGAATAGTTTGTGATTGTATGTCTTTTTCTGTGAGAATGCTTTCAGTCTCTGTACCAATGTCAACTTTTTCAGGTCCCAGAATATTGGCTGCAACGTTTCCTAAGTTCTGATTAATGCTATTATCTATTGGCAATTTTCCTACATCAAGTGAGCAGTCTATGAAATCATCTGGAATTTTGTTGAAATCAAGTTTACGAGGTGTTGAATGGAGTTCCTTATAATTTGATATTGTTGTGGCAGGAAGGCGATAATCTGAAAAAGAAAATAATTTACAATATTCTATTGTTAAATAATATTTAGATAAGTTTAAGAAATAGAGATCTTGCCAAAATTGCCTATAGATTCAATCGTGCATGAGATATCTCCATTACTGCCCTCGCAAATACTGCAGCCATTATCTTCATTAATCAAACATAATCTGCATTTTGAATGACCACAGGACTCCTGTATCAGTCTTGTATTTGATTTGTTTGTAGATTCACCACATAAAGGACATTCTCCCATTTTATTTAAGATTTTTCTGCTTTTCTTTCAAATTTAGGCAAGCATATTATCTGCAACATTGAAGACGTTTTTGGTATTGTTTTAATTTCACAATTAAGTGAAAGAGACTATTGAATGACCGAAAAATGTGCGCCGGAATTGATTTTCCACATGTAATATTGCTTTGTTTCAGAAATAATCGATGTAGCTCAAGACAGTAAAGCAATTGTAATGTTTTTTTAATTGGAAAAGAGATAACGTCAAAATAATTTTAAATATTTTGCAGTTGAAAACTCTTTTTGCTAAAGGTAACGGCAACATGCATAACCTCTTACCAGTCTCTTTGAAAGGATACAAACTATTAAAGTGTTTCTGAATAAAACTGCGAATTCCAAGAATATCACATTACTGTTATAAACAATAAACACGTTTATTCACGATTGAAGTATAAAAGAAAAACATTAAACATAGAGTGTAAAACGCAATGGAAACTAAAAAGATAAGTACGCTGAGATGCGTCGAGTCGGTCTAGTAGACCATAAACAAAGAAGGTTGTGTTTGCTTATATATATATATACATACATATCTACATACATGTGTATGCTGCACGTAACTATAATGATTAGAGGTTATAGTCCGTTGTTATAGATGAGTTTGGGTCCATGGTTAGGTTCTGTCTATGGAGACTATTCACATGGTAAATATATATATACAGTCTCCATCGTTTTACCTTCTACCTACGAGCAGAAAATATAGAAAATATAAGTATTTCTATAGATTCTCTGGTACAAGCAAAAAACAACTTTGGCGAGCAATGAGTTGTCAAGCATGTATAATTTTTTTGTCGTTTTCATCGTTAATTGATTTTCTTTCTTTTTAGATAAAAAACATGCCAGGAAATCTTCGAAGAGAGGTAGGTTAATCAATTGACTCTATTTTTTTTCAGCGAATTCATATTCTGTCAATTGTTTTGATGCAATAATAAGGACTGCAAATATTGCTTTTTTAATTTGTTAATTGTTGTTAAAGGCATTAAGAGCTTTTAAAAAGTTGCACAAAACTCGCTTAAGGACTTTTCAAGGAGATGAATATGCCTTGCAAGGTAATTTTCTATTTGTTTCTCAACTTTTGCCATAAAATTCCAATAACCTAAGTAAATTAATTTATACTACTACTGTTACCTTTTAGTCACAAGACAACGAATCAATGATGAATTTAGGAAAAATAAGAATGTTGCTGATGAATCTGCTGTTCAAGAGGTATATCTTTGTATAGTCGTATTAATTATTTAAATTATTACTTAAATTACTCAATCTTAAACTGTTATTATGTTATCTACTTAAACTGTTATTTCCTCTCAGCTAATCAAGTTGGCAATTGATGTAGAGCATGAAATTAAAACAACAGTTGTTCAGGCAGTTGAAATAGAACCAGGAAAATTTGGTAAAATCAATTTTGATTGTTGTAAATTAAATTTTTTTATTCTATAATTCTATGTAACATTTTGATATTATATACAGAGGTTCGGATTACTCCAGATACTGTTAAACTAAACAACATCCCCTTTGGTCAACCTGTTGATAAATCTCAATTCAGGCCAGTACCAAAATGCTCAGATCCTTCAGTAAAGTAACCAAGGATAAAAAATGTATTTAATCGTGTAAATAACCAAATGTAATATTCACAACAAGCTGTAGATAAAAGGAAAAAAAACGAAATTCGTACAAAACAAGGTAATAAAATAAAATAAGTAGGAAGAGTTAGTGCACTTTATTTACAAGAATCATCAAATAGCTGTGCACTAAGGCAGAGATATATAGATACAATATACATATATTTACAATATGTAGGTTTAGGTGCAAAGGTGATTGTTAACGAAGAGACGTAGTACAATCATGCACAATCAGCTGTATATAAATAATTTATACATATCACATGACGAGCGCGCTCAATCGCCTCTCATTGCAGCGTGAATGTGTGTGTGAGAGTGTTTTTTTGAAGGCGTGCGGGATATAGATGATAATCGTCCGAGACACACTCTCGTCGGTCAGTCGAGTCGGCTTACGCTCTGAAAGAATTGTTCGGCAAGACGTGAGTATAATATGATTCTCAATCTCTTTTGATAACAACAGCAACAAAAAAGGCAGTGAATAATACTGTTCCACGTAGTCTCAATATGCAGATAATTCAAGCTTGCGTTTGTCTATATATCAGAGAAGGATATGATTAGAAATGAGGGGAATGTTCACGCTCAAATCTAACGATGATTTACAATAATGGAAAGAAAGTGACGATGATACAACTAAGTCTATGAAAGGACTGGAAGAAAAAGAATTTCAGGCTAGAGCCTCGCTGTGAAAAGGTCGATTAAGATTGAAGCAGATGACAAGGCTCAGCTTGATACGATCGGGTATATAATAGCCACACGAGGAATTAAACTGATCATCATTGGAAGGAGTTACGCACTGGTGAACTGGGTGGTTGCGAATCTGGTCGATCAAATCCTGGGGCTTGAGTTGCTTCGTACAGATCAAATGAACAGCCGTGAATAGAGGGAATTTGTCGGTGGCGTTGGCTCCCTTCAGCATACCGTTCACCTCCTCGGCTGTTGCCGGACCTTGCAGTTTCTGACCGTTCAACATTTCTTTCTCCAATTCTTCGATTGACTGCAACGGCATTTCGATTAATATTAGTTTAGAGCGACAAGTTATACTAGATTCGCGCATGTTTCAAATTATGATTGAACAGCGCGCACAAAAAGCAATGGCAATGGCTATTTCTAACGGTAAGAGCTTGTAAAAGAATTTCTGAGCGCGTGGCATTTGTGCCAAAAAGCTTAGAAGATATTTTGGTACCACGTACCTTGCCGGTCTTGACGAAGGCCTCGGAGACCTTGCGATTTCTACCACCGTAGCAGGTGGTAATCAGATCGGCAACGCCGCAGCTCTCGAAGAAAGTGGATATTTTGGAACCACCGTGGAACATATCCACGTATCTTACCATCTCCATCAATCCCAGCCTGATAACTGCGGCTTTCGTGTTGTCACCCAATGCCAGACCATCCACGAAACCTGCTGCGCAAGCGACGATGTTCTGTTGAAGGGAATATTGTTTTATTTATTTTTTATTTTAGCGATAGTTTAATGTGATGAAACTTGTGGACGTTGATTATTACATATTTATATCCGAAGTATATTTTATTGTAAATTTTATTGTAAGATAAAAGTCAAGAAAGAATTTTCACTGTTTTGTTAATTATTCTACGATTACATTTTGCTGGATCAAAAAAAGCATGCTATATTTTTTATAAAGTTACAATCAACAAATCAATTCCCTGTCCAATTATTTTTTTAATTATGGAAGCAATATAAACATTCGTGAAGTATATTTAAAAATATACTTACTTTAAGAGCTCCACAAACTTCAACGGCCTCGGTGTCCTCGACGACCGTCACCCGGAAGTTGGGCGTCTGCATGCAGTCCTTCATTATCGGTCCCATCGCTTTGTCCTTGCAGCCTGCGTATCAGTTATACATTACGCAAATAGATCATACAAGTCATATTGATTTTCGCGAGCTGGCGAATTCGTAAAACCGCCGCGCTCGCGAAGGATATAAGCCATGTTTGCGTTACTCAATATCGCAATCTTATACGCTTCTTTCTATTTTTTGTTCTCTTTATTTTCAATTGAACGCCGTATAGATACGTACTTAATGACGATAAATTCGAATAATCGTAGGAGAATCGTTATGTGTCGTTGGTAATAAATTCGAATATTTTTTTTTATTGCGAGAGTGCGTTATGCAAATTTTCGCAATCAATCACAAATTTATGAACTTTTACATTTGCATAATATGTCAGCGGAGAATAGAAAAAAAAAGCAGTCTTGTAAATGAGCGTAAGCACACCGAGCTAAAACTCGATTACGTAACTTGCGGGGATATGTGATTCATCCGGCGTGAATAATTAGGAATTCTCTCGAGCGCGCGATCGTTTAGTAGTTAACTAAACGATCGAAGAAAGAAAAATCTACGTATACTGACCAATGGTAGTCTCGCAGAAGTGTTCCTCGGCGACTTCGTTGGCAAGATTAGCACCCATGAGAACGGAGCACGGGATCTTGAGCTTCTCCTCGATGATTTTGGAGATCAATTGAATCTTCGTACCCTCAGCTGGCGCGAAACCCTTCAATGACAAAATCAATGATAGACTTGAGAGACAGAAGCGAGCTTTTCTTTTACCAAATTACTCGTACCTTAATGAGTGATAGGCCGACAGCGGTTGGTTTGATTTTACCAAGCATAGCGGCACACAGTCCAGGGATGAACTGATGCGGTACCACGAAGATCAGGATGTCGGCTTCTTTGGCCGCTTCAACGGCATCTGGCACGGCGACCTATGCGCATATTACATTCCAGTTGATTACACGAGTTAAGATGTTTCTCTAGTTTACACGGACGTTATGGATATATATAAAAGCCAACGATGAATTTCTAACGACCGTTGGATGATTTTAGTTTGAAAATAGGATTTCGTCGAATCGACAAAATCATGCGTCGAGGGATATTGTTTGTCACAATAAAAATGTACGCGCTCGCTTCCACCGCATAGTTATTACAATAAGGTAAGGCACATTTCAACGAAAATGAGGAAAACAGCCAGCTATAAAGCGATCGATTGAGAAGAAGAAAAATCGCAGAAGCTATTGTGATCTCCGGTCAGCGAGGATGAAATTGAATAACGAAGCTGTTAGCTTAGAACTAATTTATACACGATGCTAGCTACCTCAAGCGGTTTTTATTTTTCAAAGGGTTTACCCTCGCCGTTGGTATAAATCGACATTTTTTTTTTCTCCTCGACGGGCGATAGATCAGCAAACTCGAAATTGAGTGCTTACAATAATGCCAAGACAGCGCGATCATGATTACATCCAGCTGAGGACGCTTGCTTTTTACCCCCCCCCCCCCCCCCCCCGGTCCGGTGACTTATACTAGCCGACGAGCAGCGATAACGAATTGTGAAAGCGTGCGCTGGAGAAACTATTGTCCCAGATCGATTTGCCCGAGCGCGCACACGTCGGCATTGAAAAAAAAAAGACATCTGAATATATGTTGACGTTGTTGCAAGCGCGACAAGCGTCGTCCGCGACGAATAGGAACGCACGGCATCGGAATGCAAACACCAAGCCGTAATCAGCGAGATCGAACGCATTGTGTACATCCTCGGTCGCATATCGATTGGTTTTTCACCCCCCCCCCCCGTTTTGCGGAGTGAATGCCTTCGATGAAAATTCGATGCTTCGATGCCCAGTGGCAAATAAGTGCCCAAACAACGTAGCCAATATTTTTCCGCGGCGAGCTTGCGTAACGTGGCTCATTTGAATCGATGGCAAATAAAAGAGCGAGAGACGACATCCTCTTGACAAAAGCTAAGTTGACGTACGCCGAGTAAGATTGAAAGGACGCCCGTTGCGCAAGCTTCCCTCGGTGCAAAGTAGCTTTCGCGCGCTAGCGAAATGCTTTGCGCTCGGGGCAGTCGATTGCGACGATCGGTATTTTCGCGAGATCACCGTCGTCGCAGCGAAAATCAACGATTATTAGGCTCGTCGAGACGCGCGTGTGGGAGTATTGCCATGGGGGGGGGGGGGGCGACATCGAGGGAAGAAGCCCAAGCGAGGCGGAGGCTTGGCTGGCGCGCGCCGCGACGCGTTTGAGGTAGCGCGAGCAATAAACATTCCCCCCGCTACTCGATCCGACGCGCGCGGCATTTGTTGCAGCGAGCCGCGAGCTAATAAAAGTCGCGCCCAGCGCGCCATGGTTGTTCTGTGCGCTGGAAAACGCCAACGGGCTTGCAATTGTTCGCGATGAGGCTGAATTCCGTCGTTCCGAATTTCCAGGCAGACAGTACGTTCGGGCCCATTGATTTTTACGACTGGCAGGCTAAATCGTGAGTGTTTTTCTTGTCGTTCGAGGAATTGTTGTTAACTATCGAGTGTTAAGTAAGTGGAAAAAAACGGCTGTTCTTTAGTTGGTTCATTAGAGCCTTGTGCTTTATTCAGCATTCGCGTGCTTTGTACCTGGATACCGATGTCGATTGTTGTTTAGGACTTACTGTTTCTCAAAGATTGAGAAACGTAAAACTTTTTAAAAACGTTTTTTAGAAAACTTTGAAATTTTTATCGATTTGGTTGAATGAAAAAAAGAGCACTTTTGTTAAACAACAACACTGTTGTTAAACACGTCTTTAAAATTATATCAACGTTCACTCGTTTTTTAAGTCTCCAGAGTAAGCTGACGTTTTGAAAACATTTGTTCAATGAAATTTAGAATAGCATTAAATGTTTGTAAATGTTTGAACAATATTTTAAAAACAGGAAAATCATTCTCGGAGAAATAACACAATGAAAAGTCCAAAAGTCTGCAAGGTTCTAAGACAAGATTTCAAAAAGGGCATTTCGTTAGATTGAACTTAGTACGGATCTGACGGCCTAATATTATTTTTGAATTTTGTACACCCGCGAATTTTTAGACAAATTGCAGTACAATTTCATTATATTATTTTTTTTAGCTCCTAGTATCGAGAATGAAACTCCTATTTTAAAAACATTTTGATACTGTTTTAAAAACAATTTTCAAACGTTTGGATGTTCCAGACGATACAAATTTTTATTGAACGAATGTTTTCATTTTTAAGTCATTTTAAAAACGTTTTTTCACCAAAAATTCGCAAGCACTTAAAAAAAATTTCCGTACATTTTAAGTTATTTAGGATATTATGATTTTTTGTATGCCTTTAAAAACGAAAATCAATTTTATTTTGTTATGCTGTGAATAACAAAGAGGAAGCGACAATTTTTGGTTTTATCGTCCATCACAAATGAATTATTTTCAAATTCTCTAAGGATAAGAGTATATTAAACTAGTTAAAAGTGGATATAATTCATAAATTAACCGATTAATTCAATACAAAATTATATAACGTAGAAGTACCTGCTAGAGAAATAAATCGAAATAAAAAGAATTTTTTACAATTAAATTTTTCTTTTATTTGCGACGTATTCCACAACAACTGAACCTTAGTTTTCAAATATCGTTGAAGAAACGTCATCTCGAAAAATTCGTTTATCGTAAACTATAGTATGTACGTTTGTAAAAAATGAACAATCCTAACTATTCTCAATCAAACAATACGTATCAGTGCAAGTTATCTGGTCAGCGATCGTAAAAAATTTTTTTTCTCTCCAAATGTAAATGCACAGTAGAGTCGTTCAGCGAATAATCATAGAAATTATGTTCTATCCTCACGTTCACAGTAAAAAAATAGGTCAATTGGAAAACTCATCTTCGCTTTTACGCAATCGCGCGATGAAAAGTCAACAAATTTCTCAAGACTAATTCAATACTTTCCACCTATTATCTGCATAGTTACTGCATTTGCATTTGGTTGGCCGATCAAACAAAAGTCTTCTATCAAACAAGCATTCCGTCTAACCGAAACCGGCGATAAGATAACGTTAGCCGCGCGCGCACGCGAAGAATATCAAAAGAAGTGTAACGAACGTGCCATGCATGTCGCGCCACTGCATACCTAGATACGTACTCGAAGAAATTCGCATTTACTAATTGCATAACGAGCCGCGGCATTGATCTTGGCACGCAACCTTGATTTGCCGTTTTTGGATCGCACGACGCCGCTGCTGATGCGTTATTATTATTACTTCTTTGAGTCGCGACGATCAAATTAATTTTAAGCGTCGCGCGGAATTTGAATTTATAGCGAAGCAAATATATTTACGCAGGACGCCGAGGAGACAGCGCAGTCGTTATCGTTACACTCGCGACGATGTGACAATTATAAATATGCTTTATCGCGATCGCGTCGTGGATTAATCCACGTAATCGAGCTAATCACGTGGAACTATGCGAGCTGCAGATGGGTGGTGCTGTTCTCGCACCCAGCGGATTTCACGCCGGTGTGCACCACGGAGTTGGGCAGAATGGCCGTGCACTCGGCCCACTTCGAGAAGCGCAACACCAAGGTCCTCGCGCTGTCCGTCGACCAGCTCAACGACCACGTCGACTGGGTCAACGTACGCACTCTCCTCGCTACAGCCATGCCTGACCCACGGCCCTCACGCGTTCGCCTGTCTGTTCCTGTCGCAGGACATCAGGTCGTACTGCCCGGACATCCACGGCGAGTTCCCCTACCCGATCATCGCCGACCCCGACAGGAGCCTGGCGGTGCAGCTGGGCATGATCGACGAGGAGGGCAAGGACGACCCGATGAACGCCGTGACCGTGAGAGCGCTCTACGTGATTAGTCCCGATCACAGGCTCAGACTGGCGATGCACTACCCGACGTCGACTGGTCGCAACGTCGAGTGAGTACTTCAGAGTCCATCGATCGACTCTCGATTTGGCAACGAGGGGATATTACATCTTAGTCGCTGCCGCGTGACTGTTGCAGCGAAATCCTGCGAGTGATCGATTCGCTGCAGCTCGTCGACAGGAGACCCGAAATCGTCACGCCGGCCAACTGGACGGTAAGAGAGACAGAGAGAGAGAGAGAGAGAGAGAGAGAGCGTTCGCTGACGACTTGACCGTTCTTTTTGTGTTCCCGCAGCCCGGTGACAAAGTGATGATCGTGCCGACGGTGAAGGAGGAGGACATCCCGAAACTGTTCCCCGAGGGTGTCGACCGCGTGAGCATGCCGTCCGGCAAGGTCTACGTGCGCACCACTACCAACTACTGATCGTCCACCCGACTGGCTTTTTCTATTATCTCTTTAATCAACTGTTGCGTTGTTATGCTCAATAAACTGAACCCGCTCCTCTCGGCGTCCGAGCGTTTTTGCAGTACACACACACTCACGCATACTCACGATATTAGGCGGAAGCTTGTGTCCCGGCAGGTACTTGACGTTCTCGTGAGTGGTGTTGATGATCTCGGTCAGCTTCTTGCCGTCGATCATCTCCTCGTACACGTACATCGTCACCTTCTCCTCGAACTTGTCGCTGAACTTGGTCACGTTCGCTCCCACGATCTTGGCGATCGCCGAGCCCCTAATTTTTATCACCGTCGTTTGATATTATTTTTATTATCGCATTTGCATTGATTTTATGGTTCTGCCGTTGGCAAGTCATGGCCAATGGTGTATTATATGAATGTGTCGGTAATAAGTGTCGTGTTAAGATCGACGTCACAGCTTAGCATTGTTATCTGGTAGACTAACGGTTGGTCGCATAATTCTTGCGGACGCGTTGCCAAAAAGAAAACGAAAAATGAAGCACGCGGAAATAAATCTTATAGTCCCGGTAATTGGCCAGAGCTTTTGCTACTGAACAACGCGCTCAATCGCTGAATCTACCGAATCGAATTTTGGCACAATCGCAGATTTGCGTTCGTGAAAATTTGATTTGCGTTCTGATTCACGTACACCGCTTTCTTTCGTAAGCAGTCAAGCTGTATACTCAAGATGTAAATGTATAAATGGTTAATCCACTTATATACGTAATTAAGTTTCTACAATATCGAAAGAGTCCGAACTAAAGAGCGTTTTGCACATGAACGGTCCAGTCGGGCGGCAAACAGCGTATTATCTCTCGAAAAATAAAGTCGTATCTCAATAGCTGCAATAGTCGATGGCGAGAGCAAAATGCGTTATCGGCATGCAGTCTCGTCGTGGCATGTATACGAAGCGTGCGAGGACAACGTCAACGAAGCTAAGCGATTTATGCAATGGGCCGAGCGTCACCGCGCGTCGAAATAATCCGCGGCCTTCGAGCGCTATTACGCCAACTGCCTCGCGACTTGTCTTCTCGTCGCTCGCGCCTTTGTAAAGCTTCCGTCTGCGAGGCTGTGAGACGGGGGGACTTTTTTTGTTTTTTTTTGTTTTTGTTTCGATGGCTCGTGTCGCTTCCGAGCGTTGATTTGTCGATCACTCACCAATTGCCACTCCCTACGATGCAGATCCTGGTCTTCGACATGTTGCCAAAAAATACAACAAACGCACGCCGGATGAAACTTATCTGCTCGAATACAGAATTGGCGTTAAAGTGCGGTACTGGTGGATCCGCGATAGGGGATTTTCGGAGGAAAGGCAACTAAGCTATCGGATAGCGATCTCGCACTTGGCAAGTTCTTACACGAAACGTCACAGAGAAACAAAACCGAGCACTCGTATGAACGTCGACGGGGAACGAGGCTGCGTGCGTACTTTGATATTCGTATGATGCGCAAGCTTGGCGGGTTGAGAGCGGAGTGACTGCCAGTTGAGCGCTCGCGACGCCCGATATTCGTTGCTCTGCGCTCCACCTGACCTTAACGCCACCGCTGGCCGCACATCAAGGATCGTCAGCGTCGACACTTCCACGTTTATTATTAGTCAATCTTCGAAGCTTCGCACCTGTTATCGAACTCAGCTTTTTTCCGTTTGTTCTTCCTCTTTTGTCGCGACGCTCTTCCCCCTCGATCAACACAGTCACGGAGCTTTCGCGTGATCGTCGATGCCGCACAAGTTTACGCCGCTGGCTGTGTCTCATATGCGGTGGATCTCATTTTTCAAGTTCAGCTTGCAACATTGCCCTTCACTGCAGGCTAACTGGCGGAACCCTTAGTCTGTCAATCGTCGCTTTATTTTTACTTCCTTCCTAACTTTATTTATTTAGCTTCCGCTATCAGTTTGATCAACGCTGTTGTGTAGCTTGACAGGTTCAAAATAAATCATCTTTAAAAATTAGAAAGTTGTTGATAAAAATGTAATGAATGATTGCAAATCGGTTAGTATTTTGGCTATGAATGAATTAGTCAGTTTAGCTATTTGTTACAATTGATCGATGCTCTAAGTCACCGTATTCATATCAGTATAATTTTTTAAAATAAATGATAAGTTTCTTAGCTTGTTTATGATTGAAGGTATATGAAACGGCTATAATACTCATCAAATGGTTTTGGTATTTCAACAATTACATTGTGTTCATTCGAACGCATACAAATACATTAATAAAAATTTATTTAAAAATGAAAACATGTGTCATATGGAAAATCTCTATTTTTTTTATTCCTATAATACAATTTATCTCGTGTATATTTCATCTAACCGGTATTTATGAAATAGAAATTAAAAAGTATAAGAAAGTATTTGTGAGTAACAACAGCTTCTTTTGCACCGAAACCATTATAGAAAAACAGTTATAAAACTATAATTTAAGGAAAAAAAAAACATCCACACCTCATCAAGCTCGTCAAAAACGTAACAAACTTAAAAAAGAATAGTGTAAAACTAAACAAAGTACCCTGATGCTATACATTGACTGGATGCCATGTGTGTAAGTTGGAAACAGCTAAGCTCTAGGGATGATGATAGTGATGATTAGATAGTATTATGGCTTGTATTGGTGAGCTTTGGCTTTGATTCAATGACACTTTCCCATGCTATGCATATGCTATGGCGATGATGACGATTATTTTCGAATGGAACACATTTTTCAATTTTTTCTTTAGAGTCTACTCCACAGTCCTCAGAGGTGACTTTTTGGTGAATTGGTTTGCTGGGGTTGCTGTTGCTCAAAGTCCAAGTCATCCCTAAAATTTTGATGATCAATAAAAAAATTCAAAAAGTATTGATGAAATTAAAGGCAGATTGTTTAAAAGAAGTTTTCAGATTGGAGTAGATAAGATGTTAGTAAATTATGAGAACAGTTGTAATAACTAATAGTAATAATGTATTTTCATAATGTTAATCAAGTACATTTCAGTTACTTACAACAATGCCTCGCATTTCTTTAACAAATGTGAAATACATTTGATATTTCTTGCTGTCTAACAATATCAGATATCCAATTTTCAATTAACCAACAAGAGTAATCCAATTAAATCAATAAAAATAGTTAAAAGTAATTTATACGTGGTGCATTTTTAAGAATCTTACTTTCTAAGTCGTGTAAATTTATTTCGAGGCAAGAAACTTTATTAAGCGCATCATGATTTAAACACTAAATGTAAGTCTACACAGTTAAAAGTAACCTGGCCGAAATCTTAAAAAGAATTTCTGGTTTGTGATACTGTTTTACTCAGTTTTTTAAGTGTGCTAATGCACTTAAAATCTATTTTATTTATCAAATTTAAACTTTCGTAATTTTCTACGTACTTCTACGAGAGGTATTCAACGTGAAAAATAAAAATCCTCGCGTCATAACGATCGTAATACATTTGTGTGCAATTAGCCCGCTGGTATTCTAAAAATATAAAGTAATAAATGCACCATTAACAACCGCATATACATACGTCTGATATTTTGAGTAAAATCATTCCAGAGGGAGAGAGAGAGATAGAGAGAGGAGAGAGATATATAGAGAGTGAGAGAGAGAACGATAAAGAGTTCCTCTACAGCACCATTAGTACAAATGAATACATAACTTTAGGTGCAAAAACAAATATATACACGCTTATGTACACAACATTCCTTGACGCCATTTACGTCGATTGTTAACAAAAGTCATCAAACTGACTCTACAATTTGGACAACAATAATCCCCGTATAGTAAAACGAAAGAGAAATACGCGAGGGGTGCATGATGTAAAACTGCCCTTTTGGTCGCTTACATGTGCTCTGGATGGCTGCGAATACAGTCGATTAAATCCTGCGCCTTTAATTCGTTTACACAAATTCGATGGATCGCCGTGAAAAGTGGAAAACGGTTTTCCATGTTTCTGGCCTTCAGCATGTAATTCACCTCCTCGGCGGTAAAGGGTCCTTGCAATTTTTGACCGTTCAACATTTCTTTTTCCAGCTCCTCGATGCTCTATACAGAAACGTAAAGTTGGTTGAAATCTTCCAATAGTGGAGAAAAGACAAAAGATTTAAAATAAAAATAATTTTAGAGACTTTAAACATTTTTCATAAACGGATTTTACATGGAAATATAAAAAAATTCTTTTTTCTGCATTTAAATCGATACATCAACGATAAAAACAATAGAACACAACTACTTTTATACTTGGATAATGAATACACTAAGGCTTAAAAAATATCATTTGTTGAACGACAATATATCATAATAAATATACTAAGACTTAAAAATATCATTTGCCGAACGTCAAATGTATTTAAGAAATAATAATGAAACTTGTTTAAAAAATGATTGGCCAAGTGACATACAAATTAAAAACATTTCGTTATCGCCAAAATAGATGCAACTCATGTTCCACGATGAGACTGCATTATATTAATTTAATATGTAGCGATTGAACGCGCTCATAATTAATATCGCTACTGCAACTTAAACTAAGCAAACCTATCAATAGAACTTGAATATCGTCCAAGCATCACTAGACTATCGACATACCTTGCCGGTTTTGACGAAAGCTTCTGAGACTTTACGGTTTCTACCACCGTAGCAAGTTGTAATTAGATCGGCAACACCGCAACTCTCGAAGAAGGTTGCAAGTTTACCGCCAGGAAAAAAGACATCCACAAACTTAATCATCTCCATCAGACCCAACCTGATAACTGCCGCTTTTGTATTGTCACCCAGGCCGAGACCATCTACAAAACCAGCTCCACATGCTACGATGTTCTGTAAGATCATGGATTATTAAGGCTACCATTCTGAAGGGAACAGTTACATTAGAATTAGATGTGGTTTGACAGAATTTTGTTCAATTTGTTAAGATTAACGTGTTGCGTGATTTACAGGCAATACCTTATGTAACGTATATTTATTTATACAGTAAAAATCATAATAGCGGACTCATTAAATTTTATAGCAATTGTAGTTTTGATGTTGTTTTATAGTATCAACAATACGAATCGGTACAGTGTTTGATGATATCAATAGTAGTGTCTCAACCGACGTACTAAATCGTCAATAAAAATCACAATTAAACAGTAATTTGATTATTTAAAAAATTGTCTGTCAATTTGAATAAATAAAACTATCGATCCCGTTATAACCGAATACAGTGCCGTCGATGCAATTCTCGCATCGTTCAATACACAAATTTCTGAGCATCAATAATTTCGATTTAAAGCACGTCAGGCGTCGGGTCATTCACCCGTGCGGTGCATTGTATGCAAGAAAACGAGCAAATACCTTGAGAGCACCGCAACACTCGACTGAGTCGACATCAGCAACCACCACTACTCGGAAGTAAGATGTCTGAATGATATCCCTCAGCACTAGAGCTTTCGCCTTGTCCTTACAGCCTAAAATTGTGAAAGAAAAGTAGCGTTAAAAATTGGCTAAGCCATACGTAGATTCACGAAAATGCAAAATAGAGACGGACGACTAAATGCGTCATCGGCATGAAAACGTACATTATTGTGGGCGCAAACTTATGCGGCTTCGCGACACACAGAGATATTGTGTAATTCAGTGTCGACTGTTATTTTTTTCTTCTATTCGTGTAGTACAATTTTTTTTCTTTTTTACTGCAGTGCTTATACATTCGGTTTGTTTGCTGACGAAAACCGACGTTGTTTTGACGCTTTCTTTTGTGCAAGTTTTGCGTAATTAAATACATAAGAGCGTTTCAAAAATGTTCGTTGTTACAGCTTACATTACCTGCTGAGCAGTTAAGCTTGTTTCTCAGTCGACTACATTCCGGACTTCTAGCGTTATGCAAATATTATTCGTAACAGGCAAATGAATAAACGTACTTTTTTTATGATCAATCTAAGAATCAACTGAGCTAATTAAAACAAGAAAAAACGTAAAAATCCAATGTCACGAGGGTAATTAAGGTATAGTACTATCGCAACAAATGGAATAGTCCATAGTACGATTCATAAATCATTTTCTATTGACTTTTTATCAGAGCCAATAAACCGATACTCAAGATAATTCACTGAATTTTACAATTCGATCGAAAGAATCTATACAAATAAGTATACACGCTCTAACTACTAAGCAAACGACAATCAGATTGACTAAATCGTTGGTTCAAAATTAAACGAGCGTGATTGGCTTTACCAATGGTGGTCTCACAGAACATCTCGTCGGCGACTTCGGACGCAAGATTGGCTCCCATAAGGACGGCCATTGGAATGTTAAGCTCTCTGGCGATGATGTGAGAGATGAGCTCTATACCACCACCCTCTTTCTTGTCGAAACCCTGTCAAAGGAAGGTTCACGATTTATCAACAAAGTTGAAATATTCATTGAATTCGCTCACAGTAACTTCATTCATTAAATTTTATCGCTAGGCCTTGCTGTTTTTTTTTCTCCAAAGAACGCTCTCAATGCGTAACTACTTCTACGGCCGAAAGTGGTTTTTATTTGCTGTATCTATATAAAAAACCTTTTATTTGAATTTTTTATTCTAATGCTATAGATATTGGAAAGAAAATAAATTACTTTGAGAATTTGTATAAATTTCTTAGAAATTATATAATACTCTTAAGATAAGATATTGGAAAGAAAATAAATTATTTTTAGAATTTGTATACATTTCTTAGAAATTATATAATACTCTTAAGGTAACAACTGAAATATCGATAAATCACTCTATTTTGGTTGCATACATAAAATATAAAAAAAACGCTTGCATGAGTTGCATAGGCAAACATTCGCGACTTTTCATGTCAATTCAAGTAAAAACAGGCATTTAAAAAAGGAAGTAAAGATTTTTCTTGACAATCAATATCAATTATCGCAAACGAGTGCGATAAGAAAAAAAAAAAAGAAATGAGCCGTCGAAGTTCAAAAATAGTGGCGGACGCGTCACTTGCAAAGCAAAAATAAATTGACATAGAGAGCTTAGGAAAACGAGTCGCGCGCGTCGGTGTTTATTTACGGCGAGCGGTATACCTTGATGAGCGAGAGTCCAATGGCATCTGGTTTGATTTTGCCCAGCAGAGTGCTGCATATCCTGCGGATGAACTGATGAGGAACCACGAAAATCAGAATGTCGGCGTCCTTTGCTGCTTCCACCACGTCTGGCACTGCCTCCTGTAATCGAAATCCACCCAATAAATATTATTCCTGGATAGTCGTGAAAGATTTATACTAAATTATAATTGTCGATCGAAGCACACGGAAAGAAAAAATTCGTTCTCTTGTTGAAGGGTAAAACATTGCCGATTCATCGGATGAGTGTGATCGTCTGAAAAGTTGCTGAAAATTTAATAAAAGCCTTTAGTAAACTTTAGCAAAATATCCCTCCTCGAAGATGCTAAATAAGTTCGCGAGAGAGATTTTTCCTTTTGCGATGATTATGCCCTCCCTCAACGAACAGTAAACGCGCATTAATTCATTCGAAAAGCTTCTCTCTGTCGCAGGCATGTGAATATTCAACACTCATTAATTGTTTTTACAGCAAAGTCCAATTGTGACTCGTCGCTATGAATGATAGGGAAAGCGTGTGTGCATCGAGAGGCGCGACCTTGGCTATATATAAAATTACACGCGATCGCGACTGACGTAATCAGATTCCACGTAGAGCTGTCGGTTCAATGGTCAGTATACTGCAATTTTTTTCTCCCTCTCACGAGAATGCCAATTCGATTGGCAGGCATGACTCCGCAATTGTGAGTTGCCGGTGAATCGGAGATGCAGGCGAGGACGAAAATCGGAATCGATGGGAAACAGAACGCGAGGTGTGATCACCGAACGACATCGGTGCGAGTCTCAAGACGCGCGACGCGATTGCGTGATAATACGCCAGAGAAAGCCTGCGCGTAATCGATATCAATGCGGGTCACGGCCAAGTGCACTCTGCGCAGGTGTGACTTGTTTTTCTTTTTTTTTTTCTTTTTCGGAAAAAAATTCAACGACGAATTCGAGTAACTTGATGTAGGTCGCGGCTTACGGCTGGACTTTGGATCACGCTTTCGCCATCGCACTTTTTTTTCTTCGTTTTTTATTTCGCACAGTCACTGTCGCGTTTATCTACCACCGTCGAGATTCACACAAACGTTATTTCGTTAACGTGGCTTGCAGACGGCCTCGTCGGATTTAATTACAAATAGACGTAAAAGTAAAATTACTCACGACGTTCTCGGGTATTTTGTGTCCTGGCAGATACTTGATGTTCTCGTGGCTCTCGTTGATGATTTCCGTCAGCTTCCTGCCATTGATGATCTCCTCGTACACGTACATGGTGACGCGATCCTCGAAGTGATCGTGCGCTGCTGCATTTTTACCGACAATTTTGGCGATCGCCGAGCCCCTGCAAACCGCAAACGTAAATCATAGCGGTTTCCATATTCTATTATTCGATTGTTCATTTCAGAACAAAAAAGTTAATACTGCTTTGTCATTCAAGAAAAGAAAAATCAACTTGCAACTTTTACACTCCGTGCTTTATGAGTACGTTTTCATAAATCACTTTGAAAGTCATATAATGGATAGTGATCATTTTGAATCAATGACTACAATGAAAATTAAATACATACTCTGCTAGAAAATCTCGTGAATTACATTCATGCTTTAGTCACGAAATTGTGGTTTTTTCCTTTGCGCAGAAGAAGAATAACGAGCTAAAACCAAAGTCCAAACGAGTAAAAAAAAAATGCGATAGCGCCGACGATTTAATTAGCAGCGCCTGACGCATACTGTAACTGGTTATCTTGAGAAAGTCGAATTCATCGAAATCTATCATCGTTAAATTCGGCGCGGAACACACAAACGAAAATCGAGAAGTTTTACACGCGCGAAAGCTTGCAAGTGGAAGGTCAAGGCCACGCAGCAGCCTTCGCCGCTAAAAATGTTTCCTTGCCCCTCCCCCCACCCCCGCCCTTACCTGCGCCTGCGCGATTAGTTTTCTTCCGAAATCGCGGACGGTAAAAGGAAAACCGATAAAGGATCCGTGAATAACTTCCCAAAGTCAATGCTTGCTTGCATGATCGATGCCGCAGCTGCAACCGTATGACCAGGGAAAAGATCGATTGATGCATTACACAACACGTGACGTACGCGTGTCTTGAAAAAAAAAAAAAAAAAAAAGAAGAAAGCAGACGAAAGTGGTTTTTAATAAAGCGCGCTAGGGGCGGCCGTTGCATAACACCTTATTGGCCAGGTGCATCCAAACTATGCCGGGCACTCAAGTCAAGCTGCGTAGGTGTGCGTTGGCGAGCAGGGAAAAATTGTAGAGCGCGTGATAACGCGTGTGATTGCACGTTAATTCGCGCCTGTGTGCCTCGCCCAGGATATAATCTCGTACGGCGCGTGACTGTAACAACTTTGGACTTGAACGATAATGATCGTCATAAATTTCAACGAGACCAGATACTTTTATTATCGCGCCAGCCCCGTCTATTTCACGACTGGAACGTTGTCATTTGGTCAGGAAACGTATGCAGAATTAATTCTTTTTTTACTTCTCGAGATATAAACTTCCGCTTAAAAACTGCAGGCTATCCTGTCTCGTGACATGTTACAATAATACATCGAATACATTTATCACTGCTACAGATAACAATGTCGGTATAAGGTGCATATAGTCTAACAACTATTTATAAGAATACGTCTATACGCGAGACAGTCTGGCGGGATGTAACCTTGCAGCTTCGGAAAGCTCCTAGAATATATCCTAACAGAAGATCATTCTTTCGTTGCTCGGAAATCAAACTCGATAAACTCCTATTGCACAATCGGCTGTTAATTTCTCGTGAAAACGTATGGAGATATCGATAAAACGAAAGCTTGGAACCAAAACAACCGCATTAACCTCAAATCTACGTGTGAAATCCATAGTGTGAAATATTAGAAGTAATGTACTTACCAGTTGCCGGAGCCGATGATGCAAACTCTGAATTTCTCAGCCATCTTTCACAAGTTAATCTCGAGTGGCGAGCTTATTCGACGCGTTATTTGTTCGTACGCGGACGGTCGATTATTATATATATATCTCAATGGAACGACACGAGGCGTGCGACTGGTGCTGGAGGCTGGAGGTGAGCGGAGCGCTAAGCACAAGCAGACTATAACTGATGCGCGCGCAGACTGGAGGGAATTTCTCGTCTGGACATGAGCGCGGGAGATTTTTGAATGGAAATACAGTGATGTTTCTGAATAAACCGTAGAAAAGCTTTATTAAACAATAACAAACGCGCATACATCTCATTTTCTCCGCTCTCTATTTTTTTTTATCTTCAAATACGAAACTAGTAAGCGTCAATAAGATCCTGGAGGTCCGCATCGCTAAGATGATCGAAAATAATCTTGATGGAAGTATCGGGCAGTTCGCAGTCACTTAGAGCTTTTAGAGATGTCTGCGCCGGCTCCATCAGTTTACTCCTCTTCAATCCTCGCTGATATTGCAGCTGCAACAAGTAGCCGTAGATTTTGAAGTCAATCTTGTAACGTTTGGTCCTCATGATTTTAGCAAACTCGTCGTTCTTTATGTGCCTCGTCATGTCGTTAGCACTCTTCAACAGAATATCGTACATGGTTGTGTAATTGTCGAGTTTAAGATCTTTCATTTTGGCAATTTCCTTGGCACACAGACCGAGAAATTCCTCGATCTTTGGAATTTTAAATCGATGCGCGTAAAACTTTTCCAGCTCCTGCAGGCATTGTTCATTCTTGCCGCTCACGTGGCAGCCGATGAATTTCAACTTGTGCACGTGATGTCTGATGGTGTAAAAAAACGAGGGATTGGATTCCTGCTGAATCCGATAGCCAGCGTAGTCGAGGGGAGTGTGACTGAAATCGTCCTCGATATTGATATCTGCACCGTAGTCTAGAAGCACAATGGTACCCTTATTGTAACGATTCAGACATGCCCTGTGAAGTGGAGTTTGTCGGTGTTTATCCAACGCGTCGACATTTGCTCCGTAGTCCAGCAATGCCGTAGCCATTTCATCCCTATCGTCAAGGATATTGCCCTCCAGGCCATGATAGTCTATTGCTATGTGCAGAGCTGTGGCGTTATCAGTTTCCGAAGCATTAACGTCGGCTCCGTGTTCCAGTAGCTGTCTCAGCAAATAATTGCTCTCGTAGTTGTACTCGTTGTAATATGGAAGAGCATGCAGTGGTGTAAACTTATTGAAGTACGAGCAAGCGCAATTGACATCTGCATTCGAGTTAATATACAATTTGGCTAGGTCGGTGAACTTGTTGCGTATGGACAAGAACAGTGGTGTTACATTTCTACGTGTCTTGGCGTTAACATCTGCACCCATCGATAACAATTGCTGAGCTAACTTTATCTTATCATGCTCGTAAAATATCAAGTCTCTGTCGGACAAGTGATGTAATAAAGTCATACCATCTTTATCAGCTATATCTATTCTGGCTTTGTAATCTACAAGTATTTTGAATAGTTGTAAACGAATACGAATTAAATTTGATCTTGTTATTTGACTTATTCCATTTGGGTCTATGCACTTGAATGTTTCCAGTACGTAGAACAACGGCGTTCTGTCAAAATCATCTTTTGCATTGACATTACTTCCATTTGCTAGAAGCATTTCAACTATTTCAACTATATTTGCTGGTTTGCTCTTTTTAATTTTTTTGGGCTCGTAGTAGCGAGATTCGACTTGCGTTGAAACTTCGCGAGATGTTTTAAAACTACATTGGCAGGCTAAATGTAATGGTGTAAGCCCACTTTTGTCCGCTACATTTACTAGATTATTATCAGAAAATTCTAGTAAAAATTTAACTAATTGTGTCTTTTGTCTAATTATTGCAAAGTGCAGCCATGTCCAGCTAGTCCACAAAACACCTCTAGCATATTTGAGGCAGAAAGACAAATCTCTTATCATCAACTCTTTATATAACAAAGCAAATGCTTCATCTTCAATGCATTTGATATTTTTTTGGCTGTATACTTTTATGAATAAGTCTATAATTGGTTCGATTCTCTTCTCACATGCCAAACAAAATGGAGATTGATCTATTAAATTTTTTACCATAATATTACTACAAACTTGCAAAAGTAATTCAACTGTTTGCGGGCATCTGCTTTCAACTGCAAAATGCAGAGCGGAGTAGCCAGCAAAAGAGTTTGCATAAACATGTATACAACAGTCTGGATCACAATCAAAACTAAGAAATTGTTTTACCAAATTGATATCTCCAATGTAGCAAGCTAAATGAAAGGGTGTGAATCCATCATGATCTGGAAGATTAATATTTTGATCGATGTAGGCTTCGAGAATTAATTTAATTTTTTCATGACTAATCTTTGTTATAGATTCAAATATACTTTCACTTTCATAATCAATACTTGTGAGCGATACTTGCTTCAATAATAATTTTAAAATATCTTCATCTTGTTTGAAGATTGCACAATATAAAGGTGAATCTTTAAAATGATTCTTAGATACATGTTGTACTCTGCAACCATTATTCAGGAGTAATTTTATTACATCCTTGTTTTCTTGATTCAGTGATGCTATTAAAAGTTTATAGTCAGTCCAATCATCATCAATGATTTTATGAAAAGCAATACTTTTCCGTAGTTGGTTCAGATCTCCGTTACCAACAGCCTCCAAAATACTGGATACCATTGTCATGATAAAAGTGTGAGAAGTATACAAATTTATATCCTTCTGAAAAATCATTGGTGACAATCATTATTGTGGTAAAAAAATACTTTTTACAATGAATTTTTCAAAATTGGCATACCTTCTACAAAGAAATGTAGTTATGAAAGGTTATCGCACATTAAGCCATTATTTTCTGAAATAACATGGTATTGTTGGAAATTAATTCATATGTTACATTTTAAGACGTAAAACTTATACTATTAAATTTGTCTCATTACCGAAATAAACGATATACGAACAATAAACAATCATCAAACCTAACCTGTTTCATTGTAAAGGACGAATGAGATGATTATATCAACGTAATTCATGAGAATAGTAATGTTCTTAATGTTTTAATACTGAATGGTATAATTTAGAGATGAAATAACGATTGATCATATTCTTCATCGTAGCAATCAATCACTTCTTAAAATCAAAACATTGACACTATTATTGACAGTGAGACATTATCATTACAGATATGATCAATATCACCGTTTGTTGCGGCGTGCGCTTGCTGCGTGTGACGTGTGGGTGTGTGCGTGTGTGGTATCAAGAAATGCGCAGATGGTGGCGCCGCTCTATGATCCATAAATAAATAAAGTGGTAAGAAATTAAATTTCAATATATCTCAATAAAAATAGAAGATAAAGTACCGAAAACAATTGTCAGTAAATCGGTAAGTGTTGGGTAAGTAAAATACTATCACACCTATACTGATTACGCGCACTAATTCTACGTATATATAACGTCCAAACAAAATGTATTGTCGTACGCATATAGACAAAAATGACGATAGGAAAGCGAGTGTACAACTTTTAAAACAATTGCTCCTCGGTTGGCCTCGCTGCATTACGCAGAGAATGAAACGAACCCACTTTCCTCTTTTATTAGCATTTTACCGCCAAAACAAATTTCCAATGAAAAATCTCTCGAATAAAATGTGGTATTCAATAATTTTCTGATTATCTACTGTTTCACTAACAAGGAAACTACACCAGGTGTGCCTCACCGATTTTCTTGATTTTTTTATATGTTGTAGTACGTCGAAAAATATTGGATCCGTGCCTTTTTGTTCGTGCTCATTCGGTGATTCCAAGGGGTGAAATTAATTTTAGGAGTAAAATACAATTTTTGAATCATTTCAACAGTTTTAAAAATAAATTGATTGCAAATAATCTTAAAGAGTATAAAACAATTAAATGGATCAGAGTAAACGGCACTTATTATAGTAGTGATAGATATATCAACATTGGAACATAAAATAAAATATTTAGAAAAACTATATATGTTGTTATAACTGGTCAAAAAGTTATTTTCGTATGTTTTGCCATCAGAAACGTTAAGTTGTGCAAAGAACTAATAGCTTATGAAATTGAAGAAACTACAGAGTATGACACAATCGAACACGAACAAATATATTTCTACTAAGTTTTAAACTAATAATATGCTTTTGATTTTGAAAGTGCTAGCTGGTACAGTTTTGATTTGCTCCAAGCGCACTTCCATACGTACTTTATATATATGGATATGATATGTCAATAAAATTGTTCATTGAATAATAAAGATAGTGTTTTTTATTTATTAATATCACATTCATTTTTAATTAATTAGCCAATACGTATGAAAAAATCATTATTTAACTTGCTATTATCTTTGATTTGAATTATTAAATATCTATTAGCTAATTCTGAATATTTATTGAAAATAACCGCATATCAATTACTATTTGTACTACACATTTTGGATTTAAAAATGCTTGGCATTGCTATAATTAAATATTTATTCATTTGAAGTAAATGTTTAGTAGTTCGGATTTAATGCTTATTTTAGCGATATGGCATTTTTGTATCTTATTCATTTCTCTCTTACATTCAATAATTCAAACATTTGAGCATTCTTAATAAATCTAATATCTCAATGAGTAAAAAATATATATAGAAAACACCATTAATGGTATCAAATAACTATTTTGTCTTCTTCAACGACGGCAATATTTAATTAATATAATATTTATTTATGCCTAATTTACATTTTTTCATTTCAATTCTATCTTCGACTAAATATATTAAATATTTATCGATTACTAGTAAATATTTGATTGAATTATATACTACTTTAATAAATATAAATTTTCGATTATTAGACTTGATAGAATTTTTGACCAATTCAATTTAATGTTTAATAAATTCAAAATTATATTTTGAATATATTAAACATTTTATCACGGGCAAGTAACGTTTATGCAAAAGTTTTCATTTTAATTAAACATATTTTGAATTTACTTAGTAATTTTTATTAATTTCAACTAAATAATTATAAAAGAGGATTGGACTAAATTATTTATTAGATTCTAATAATCTTTTTTGAAAATATCACATTTTTTCCTCAGTGTATGAATTTGTTAGAATGTCTTTTGGATTAAAGACTGCACCAGCAACTTTTCAGCGATTAGTAGATAATTTGTTAAAAGGTCTTCAAGGATCAGAATTATTCGTTTACTTAGATGACATAGTAATCTACGCAACACAATCAAGGAACATGATCGAAAATTCAAGCTGTTAGTTGAAAAGTTGAGAAAAGCTAACTTGAAATTACAAGTTAGCAAATGTAAATTCTTGATGCGGAAAGTGACTTATTTAGGTCATGTAATTCGTAAAAATGGCTAAGAAGTGGATCCAAAAAAGGTTGAAGCAGTTAAAGAATTTCCAAAACCAAGGACTGTTAAAAATATCCGACAATTCCTAGGGTTAGCAGGATATTACAGCCGATTTATAAGACTTTGCAAAAATCACTGAACCATTAATCAAACTATTACCGAAAGGTGTATAAGTCGAATGGAATGAAAAAAGCTGTAGGATGAACGAACGACATATAACGATAGAACTTGATGAATTACTCTGATTAAGATGAATGAAAATGTAATGGAAAAATAACAAATTACTAATGATGAAGGATATTTATTTTATGATACGTATTGTAATGAAGTGATAAGATGAATAACGAATATAAATATCTAGCATAATATAACAATGTTTTATTAAAGAAATACATAATATTATTATATGAGTATATCTATACCAAGAGTACAGAAGTTAAAGCAAAATCCAAGATAGATTTTTGCAAGAGCGAAGTTTCTTTTTGTTTTTCTTTGCGAAAAGAGAATGACAATTTGTAAAATGACAAGGTGTGCAAATATTGTTCTTTTATGAATTTTATTTCTACATTATCGTTTATTATTACACTGAATTTATTGCAGAAAAATAATTGCCATACCTAAGCAACGAACAGAGTGACTGGAGGAAGAAAATTACGTGACGAATATGTAGCATCTGACTTTCGCTAGAACAGCGTCCGCCGAGTATGCTTCGCTTTCAACTAGGAAATGTAAACCAGGTAGTACGGATAATGGTAATCCGACTATTTCCGTGCTCATCGCGTGACTTTCATAAGTTCCCTGAATGCAAATTTAAGCAAATGAGAGAAGCATCAACAAATGCAAAGGAAATTATTTGGAATTTTACCTTGTTTGGTGGGCATGTGTCAGACATACCTGCCTCAACCATAAACGGCTTAATAACGGCTTGCAATTTACCTTGACAAAGTTTCACATCCAAATTTATTCCGGTCGGAACCGTGTACTGACCAAATGCTCGGCCCCATACTTTCATTTTAAACTTTATGGTAAATATGATGTTATGTTATTACGTCTTTTTAAAATAGCAATGGGAGTTGGAATTAAATATGACCAATATTTATTTAAAAATCTACATGCATACCCCAATATCTTTTGGCAAGTCCTCGATAATATCTAGCCTCAAATTCATGACACTCTTCGTTTCAGTTTCATAATCAATGTCGATTGAAAAGGTTTCTTCATCGACATAAGTGTAATTAATAAAGTCGACGAATAAATCTTCTATTTTGAGCTTGAGCTCCTGTAAATAACAGATTATGCGCTGCATACTCATTCAAATATAAACACTTGCAATATTATTATTCAAATTTACATTGCATTCACAACTTTTCAATAAACTTAAAATCACAATGAAACTTTGAATTTTGAAAAACATTGGGGGTTTTCAAATATCGAGAACTTGAAGTATTAGCTCGCGAATTTCTACCAAATCTATCATGAAAACTGTGATGCAACTCTGTCCCTGTGGCGTACAAATATCTTTTTTTCGATCTTGATAAATGTGAGTATAATTGATCTATAAAAAGTTATATTCGTTTGATTACTAGTCCATTGTTTCGGTCAGATCTCCAGTCTGAAGATACGATAGTCAATATGTATTATTATACGGCATTGTCAGATTTGATACGTCATTTTTTCATGATCTCCTGCTGCGTATTATTCTTCAAAACAATCGCAGTAATTTCATTCAAGAAGAACGCAACAAGGTGGAAAAACAAGAGGATTAAAGTTTTAATGACGGGCAGCATGAAATCATGAAAATAAAGAAAATATTCATCGTATTATTATTTATTATCCAATGACCCAAAGCCAGTTGTGGGTGACCGAAAAATTTGCATTATACCGCATTAGAAAATTGTAATTGACAGTCCCTTGGCGCGAATTATCACAGACAGAGTGTACGACAGTTCACTTGCAAGAACTCTCTTGTCAATATTCATAATCTGCTACCCTGTACACGTATTCTCGTTAACGTAATTCAATGTTTTTTTCTTAAATGAAAATTACCGTTTGCATTGATCTCAGAAAGTCGTTTTGGTAAAAAATTTGAAGCTCTATGTTGACAATATTTAGGTAGAAACTGCTGCATTCCGCGTATCTGTATCCGACTTACTAATTCATTGTGATCCAGAATAAACAATGAAATTTATTCAAAGTATAGGCCAGCATCATTATATATTCATGAAGCCATGATACTGTTTAATATTTTTGTCAACGATTCATCTCGAACGAGGAGATCATAATGCAAAGAAATGGCTATTTTGAGAAAATTCCAAAATAATTTTTTTCTGATAGCTTAGAAAAACTTGAAGGACGCCTGGAAAAGTGTATCGAAAAGAAGGTTATGTTGAGAAATATAAAATAATTATTTTTCTATCTTTTTATAAGGACCCACCCTCGTACTTTTCAAACGTACAATAGTTTAGAGATTTTATCTACATGAAAATGCGCCTTTCATACAATACGCAGCTTGAATAAATGTTGGATGCTTCGTCAATTGTGAAAAAAATCGTTCGATGGTACTTGATTGAAATGCGTACAGAATCGATTTTATATACCCCATGCAAATATAGGCTTGAAAGAGTAAGTTTTTTCAATGCACTATATCTCGATAAAAAAATATCATGCTTTCATACATATCACGTGATAGGGCTTATATTTTTAACGAGCTTCGGTGAATTGGTACGTCCGATACGCGCAATGAGAAGGTGACAATCGTTGGAGTTAAAGCCACGCATTCAGCAATCGGCTACTACGACGTTTCATAAAGCATTTATGCCAGTGGAGACAGTTTTCATTCTGAGTATTCATGATCGACTAGCGTGGCATTGGAGGATCGAGGTGTACACTTTTTCCGGATTTTTCACTTTTTTCATGAGATAGAGCCTGTGTGCAGAAAGGCACGCTTGAAAGTAAGCATCGATAACACCAAGATACAATTATTTTCTGATGTTTACGAGCATTCATGCATTCTTTCTACAATAATGGATACTGGGGGATTGAAACTTAAGTCAGGAAAGAAAGTTCTCTAACACACTTAACAAACTAACTGGATATCTTATAATTTCCCATATTCAGGGCTAGTTCTTCGACTAGTAGGATGAAAATCCAGTGATTAAACGAGTGCAAACTTGAAGTGCAAGCTTGATATTCATAGAACGACAAAACGTTAACTGAAAGTGTTACAATTCTTGTATATATTTTCTTTTATTATATAGCACTAGTTCAAAATAAAGTAGCACATGATTCGCTTTTGCGCATATTGTTAAGTTGAAATTTTAATAGTACATAGCTATTTTCAAAAAATTAGACTTAAAAAAATCCAGTGATACGTTTTGGAATTCTGTATTACCAGTGATATCTAAATTTTCTACACCAACATTTATTTTAAATACGAAAAATACTATGTTCTTTCACGATATTAATCTGAAAAAAAAAATTTTATTTCCTTCAAATACATATAATAGCAATTTATTAAGAATCGATGATTATAAAAATTAGTTTTTTCTAAACTTTACGTATAATATATTTGCAAAAAAAAAAAGAAATGGACTTTGTTGCTTTGTTGCACGTAGCTTATACAATTGTTTACATATTTTACATAACTTATTTATAGTTACTAACTTCTCTGATACATTTTTTGTCTTAAATATACAATTACTTTTTTTGACCTTGGTACACTTAACTCATTCTTTATTTTATTTACAAATTATGAATCTAAACTTCTCAAGGTTCAAAGTTCGAAATGCGAAATTTAGATACTTATATTACTTTATTGATTAAATATGACCTAATAATAATGAATAATACAAATTTACACAAATGAAATATTTAAATCCTTAAAAACTAACCCATCACATTCAATGTTGACCACCCCTAAGCCATCGACAAATAATTTATTAATACGTGATCTGTAAGCATTTTCATTATATTTACATAATAAAAAAAAAAATATAAGCAATAATGAAATGATAATAAGCCAAAAATTATCAAAAATACTTTCATACCTTATAAATAATATTTTAAGGGTGTTTAAATGTTTACGATTTGACGCTAGTGGAATAGTTGTAGGACATTTTTATTACGATTTGTTTACAAACTCGATAAATATACGGTACAGATCTTACGGATAGGTATACTTTTTGATTATGACTTTTATTCATTCCAAATTGTTCTCTCAAACGGAACAGTTGATAGTATATCAATCAATGCTATCAAATATAAAAATGTTTTTCTAAAATTTAACTTTTTTACGACTTATTAATGTTTGATCTCCCTGACCTCGACGGCCAACAGTAAAAAAGTTGCACAGGTATGACTTATTACTCCTAAAGGGCACACGAATACTTATGCAAAGTGACCATAGTGTGGATTTGCCCATTAATTCATTTCAACAATTGTTGCTCGGAAACAAGTTTTCAACACTGTATTTATCTAATATTCTCGATCATTATACTACTTTTATGAAATAATATAAGATATTAAGCTCGATCATTACATTTTATTTACGAATCGCAAGACTAATCAATTTTTTATATAGTCCAATGCTGTAGAATTCATTTTGATCCTTCTCAGAATTTTAAAAGTAACGAACATCAAGTGTCGCTTTATCATTATCTCATTTATAATGATATTTAGGTCAGCCTATCGTAATGAAATCAACTGAGATAAATGTTTCGATAGCTGTCCTCCTGGGCTTTATGTAATTATTGATAAATAAATAGGCTGGTAAGATAAATGGACAGCATTTTAATTGTCGAGGCATAATCGAGTCAAGTAAACCGTAATATTCGCAGACAGAGAAATTTTGAGGAGAGTGACGGAGCAATTCTGAACTCAAGGAAAAAATTCAATAATTCGTAGTTAATAATAAAAGAAACATTTCAACAATACCGCTATTTTTCTGTGTTGTAAACTATTTGGAATGAGCTTCTACATTGCCAAGATCTACATTTTTAACAAAACTATAGTATTAGCAGAATTAAATATTTGGTAAATATTTTTTATAAATTTACAAACATCACCATTATAAAAATACCACTAAATATATACTATGCATATTTTTATGAAATAATGAATTATAGAATTCAGGTTTGGACAAGTACAGGAGTCAAAAGTATTGAGATTCCTAGAATTGACGAAACGATGTATAAAAATAATAATTATGTTATTGCTAATAAATTTTCAATATATTATCCAAAAACTGCAAATTCTTCATATAACAACGTAGCTGTTAAACTAAAAATAAATAAATAATAATAGTATACAATACATAGGGTGTACCAAAAGTATCTGTGCATTTGGAAAAACTTTCCAGGATCGCATTTTCCAAGAAAATTATTCAAAAAGTTGTAGGGTTTGATCCAAAGAAATAATTGATGATCTTAACTTTGACCCCAAGGTCATTGTTTATGGTCTTTTCAAGATCAACCTTTTTTTTAAATGGAAACCCCTATTTTTTCTTTCGGAAATGAATAGAGCGGGAAATTTTGTTTTCAGATATGTACTTAACTTTGAGTTAAAGTAGACATTTGATAGTGTGACGTCGTGGCAACGACACAGCTCAGGTGCGGCTGAGGCTTAGCGCAGTCTCAGAATTAACATATGCGAATATGTCTAAATTACTTAATGATAATTTCTTTGCTACAACAAAGGATGAGACTCCTCTAGTGGTTTCAAAAATGAATAATTTTGGGTGTTCGGTTTGAACAATTTCATAACCACAGATTTGTCTTTTCCCTTTTGCCATTAACGCGAAGGTAATATCTTCTGTTATCAAGGAGTATATGCGGTTTTGGTGCTCGTCTATTATTTTGTTGGCTATGCCTTCATATAATATCCCGTAATGATTGAATTTGCATATGTCTCGTGGTATTGTTTTCCAGAAGGTATTACCTCCTGTCGAAAATTTAGCTATAATGGCAATTTTAGCCATATCTGGATTCTTTCCCCTAATAATATACTGTTTAACGGTCTTACTAACGATAGATTTCCTTAAATTTCCATCCCTAAGACCCCTCGCAGCAGACAATGCAATGCATGCTGCAAAGCTACAATCTGAGTGGGCCAAGTACTGACCTCCACTTTGAGCACTATCGTTTATGGTGATAGTGCAGTCATCTACACTCATTCCTAGCTCTTCTGCCATATTGGCAATGTCATCTTTGCTGAAGCATGCTCCTGCTAGTGGTGTTAAGAATATTATTGGGTCTGCCATGGAATATGTCTTTTTAACAATTTTAGCGAAAACGTGCATAGATTTTGTGCAAGAAGCAACCCGGCTTGTTTAAGAGACATGTTCATTGCAAACTTAAAAAGCTCTTGTTTGAAGTCTGCATTCTCTCCCTTAAATGTGCTGACGTGCACAACATGTTTCTCTTCATTTTTACCATTTCTATGGACAAATATGAACTTCCATGTCTTGTCACCAGACCCTCTCTTAACCTTCCTTGATTCAGGACCTACTTTAAAAGTGATGAGTGAGCAGAATTGGAAAGCTTTTGATGGCTTATCCTCTATCATGTCGTCAAGATCAGGACAGTGTTTTTTGAAATTTGATTTGAGTTCTTCAAAATCAAATTCAGATCCACTATGTTGCTTACAGAAATCCTGTAATGTTATACCGGTCATCTCGTATGTTTGTGCTAATGAGTGACTCATTGAGCACCTAGGTATCCATCCCTCAACTGTGGTCCCATCTGGTAAGTTGGAATCTGCCATCTCTTATACTTGAATAGTTTTCAAGGCAGTAATATACAATATGTAATATTTCAAGTTCTTTAAATGGCAGGTTGTTCACCCAATGCTTTATTGTCCCTACTGGGATTTCCTCTGAAAACACTGTTGAACTATCAACTGCCTCGTAAATGTTCGATTCTATCAATGTTCTGTAGATAATGAAGTCAGAAGACTCTACAATCTCAGGCTGTGCAAACAAGAAATTGCACTGAGGACAAGGATGCCTATAGGTATTAAACCTAGCTTCGCTTGCCTTGTGGAGCCTTAAAGAGGTATATTTTTCTGATGTTCTGAACTTCAGAGTTAATTCAAAGAACATTTACGCTGCGTGCTGCTGCTTTGGGTATTTTGTTTCGCTATTTCAATATTTTTTAGAATTCTCTTTTCCGGCTTAAATAAGTCCCGGTGTAATTTCTTTATTTTTTTCTCACTATATTCTTTAATCTTCTTTTGATTTTTATTAGGGCGATCAATGCGCTCTATGTTGGTTTGATTTTCCTTTAAAACAGTCTTCTGGTTTTCTGACCTTTTTTTCGGAATCCGTCCGAGTTCTCGAAAACTTCTAATGCAATCTAGGCATTGCTGGGAATCCTTACCATGCTTGCAAGCTAGATTGATATTACTGGATAATAAAAGATTTATCCTATCATCTAAGCTCGGTCTTGCTTCGTGCCTTGGTTCGTTGTCTACTGTTTCCGTATTTTTCCTTTGTATTTCTAATATCTTGAATATGCGTTGCTCTTCAGGAGTGCGTGCTCCAGGTGTAATAGCGTAAATCCGTGCTATTTGCTTCCTTCGCTTTTTGGAGAAATTGCACCTTTTGCCTTGGATTTTCACTTTTTTTTGAAAAAGAAGAAAAACAGGGACATATATTATTTTTTGTGTAACGATTTTTCTAATCTAATCTATTTTTACTTATTTTCTATGCTAAACTTAATTTTTCGAGAGCCTTTGTTAATTTTTCAATTTTTGTTCTTAAAACGTTGGTGGAAATTTTTTGTTGTGCAATTAATTTTTTATTAATTTTCGCGTGCTTTATTACCGTTCTTATCTGTTTTTTATAAATCTTGTTAATTTTAATTAAATCCACGCAAAGATTTCCTAAACTAGCTATCTGCTCGATCCTATTTTTATTTTCTAATTCTAGTTTTGCGACGCGTGCACTTAAACTACGACCGTTATTATTAATTTTTGAAATGTCGGCACTATGATTATTTACCCTATCTATTACGGTTATTTGATTATCTCTTAACGATTGAATATTCTCGATTATTTCGTCTAGCGTATCAACCGTTTCGTGGGAAAAACTATTAAAATTTACGAACGGGGGCATAATGGAAAACAAATTTTTTTTAAAGTCATTCGCGACGCGGGGAGTGGAAATATTCCATTCGTTTAGTCCTACCGATATTGTGCTGCAAGTTTTTTATTTATCGATGTAAACCTTATTATCTATTCCTGAATTGAGTCAGTAATTTTTTTCTTTTTAGGACTTATAATCATTATTAATTTTTTTATTTTTATTTCTTTCTTATATTTTTATCATTTTTATGTATATTTTTTTCACTGACGCAAGTCACAAAAAGGAAAACCCTACTAATATCCTTTCCTTAAAAATTATTTTTATTTAAGGAAAGAATATTCCTATAATTTTTCTTGACAGTGATCCCTCCGGGGCCTCCAAAATTTTATGTGACGTCGTGGCAACGACACAGCTCAGGTGCGGCTGAGGCTTAGCGCAGTCTCAGGATTCGTTGTCGCCAGAACTGCGATTTCTCGCCTAAACTGGCGTGGATCACTCGTCAAGAAATTGTCTAAATCGAGGGGGAAAGTGCCACAGAGCCTATACTTCCGCTCTCAGATTCCGATCGAAAGTCGTAATCTTTGAGCTAGAAGCACCACGGGTCCTATCAATAGTAGTACCCGGGTTTTCCTAATAATATAAATACCTGGAGCCTATCAAAAGTAGTCTCCAGATAAAAAAAGAAAGGGAAGCACGAGCTATTTCTTAACTAGAAGAAAGAAAGATTGAAAAACAGGAAATAAAAATTGTTTCGTTTGCTTACTGTTTTTCTTTTTATTTTATAATACGCCTTTTCTTTGCCTATGCGTCCTTGTTTTAACTCGGTTGATTTTCCCCAGTTCTTCTCGTTCCACTTGGCTGTTTGGCTTCCTGCTCCTTACTGATAGTACTGCTTGATTTTCTTCTTCACTTGATTTTTTTTCACTCTCTGATTTTTTTCTCCACGACTGACGCTCGAAGCTCGTACATCTCTTTTTATACACTCGGGGTGGCTGGGTGGTAAGTCCCTCTCTTAGCGTCTTAGCTTTGGGAGGAGTGGAGTAAGCGATGATGCTTTCATTGGCCCATTTGTCTCTTCTCATTTTCTTCACTGATTTTTCGGGCCCTAATTGGAGCGGGGGCGTGGAGAAAATCGGAGGAGCGAACGCAGAGGTACAGGCCTTGGCTCGTGAGATGGCTCCTCGAGTATCATTCTCAACTAAGATTTATCCAATAAGCGGATTTACAATAACTTAAAAATTATTCTTTTTTGTAAACTCGATAACTTACAAGCTACTTAGTGCTAGGAACAATATTGTATTAAATTTTTCACTAATCATACAATTCTATTTCAGTTTTAATCGGAGTATTAATACAAAACTTATGTAACTTAACAAGGCGATTATCTCCTAATTTCTTACAATAAAAATCCGTTTAACAATATAGTGCGCGTATATAATAATTTTTTTCTTGGATTTTTCCTCTGTTTTTCTTATTTTCTAACTAATCCTAGCTTTGAAATGAGAACTCGATGAGAGGTTTGAGAAGTCATAATTATCCGGGATGTATTGCGATAACGAAACAATTGTATTTAGATAATTTTAATTTTATTTCATTTCAATGGTAAATTTTTGAGCATTCTAAAAGGAGGAAAAATCCGTTGGAAAAGTGGCTTACAGGATGTTAGTCGCAGTTTTATGACTCTCTCCTCTCATCGACATGTTGACACGTGTTAAACACATACAAGGGGCTACACGCTCTTTGCATGCGTTTGAGAACGCTGGCTCGGATGCAGTCGCGGTTTTATTGTTTTTCGGGGAAAAATTCTAATAACTTGTTTCGGTCCCCCTCGCTTTTGAGCGACTGTTCTCGTTTCTCCGCTTGTCTTAAATGCTATACAGAAATATTAAAATTTTAAGAAAAAAATGGTCCGCCGTCACAATAGTCATAAATAATTTTTGTACCAAAAGTAACTGTACACTCTCGAAAAACTTTTGATACACCCTTTATAACAGCTTCCAACGATGACTTATTTATTTATCATTATTACTGTGTTTATGTTACTGATTATCAAGTTTTCTTAAATTATCCTAGTTCGCCAAACTATATGGGATTCACCTGTAAAAAACGCAAAAAGCAATATGTTTATTAAAAAACTTAAAAAGTTTTCTCTCTTGAAATTGAAGGTGTCAATGTTTCTTTTAATGATTTGTCAAATAATTCTAATCAACCAAAGTCATCATAAATTTGTAAAATCTCATTAACACGCACCTATCTCCCTTTTTTCTCGCAGTTTCACTTATAAATTTGAATTCATTCCAGTCATAAATTTATCAGTTCGTTTAATTATTTCAAACACATATCAATCAAAATCATGACGAACTTTTTAATTCTCTCTTTATAAATTTGTCTTTTAGTTTAAATTTAATAAATGTTTAAATTTATAAGATATCAAATGAATGCGTTGAATTTTATAAATCATTAAAAAAATACACCAATTGGTTCAATGAAAACATATTTTCTATTTATCAGAAAATTTTTTATAATAATAATTACTTAGGTTTCATCGAGTCTCGCGACACTTATTTTCAATAAATTCATAGCACATGCAACAATTGTTCTTAGGTCACGTTCTCTTTACACTAGTAGCATAATGTATATATTTGGCGCTGCACAGGCTCTTACTGAAAATAAGCTTTTGGATGCTATGTGTTTTCATTTGCTTACTGATTTTTATGAATGAATAAGGCGTACATCATTCAATTAAAATAAGTTGCAGAATATAGGTATACCTCGACATTCGTATTTTGAATAGTGATCTGATATTAAATACTACCATAGTAAGAAGTTCAAATGTTGTAAATTCATACTTTTGAAATAAATATACCTAATTTGAGCAAATGCACCCATAATTTAAACAAAGTTATAAGATAAGATAATTGACATGTGTAAGTCATGCTGAGTCATAGGAGACCTGAAAGAGATTTTATCTTCCTATCTTCGCGGAGTGCATTCAACAATTTCACGCACCGATGCAGCAGACGACTACTTATTCTGTTCTGGTTGCTTGCGATTGCTGCGATTCGCAGTCGCGCGCAAGTCGGCGTAATAGCAAGTATATACCTCAAGTCGACAGATCGAACTTTGACATCACGTTGACACATAGCCAGTCGAATTGTACAAATCGAAAGTGGTATGTATACAAATGCACATTGCATACGCGCGTGAAATATTCCCTCACTTGATGTGAAATTTTTATCTAGGTGATTCCAATATATCTGAGTAATAAAAAAATTAGATGTACGAGCGAATATAGTAAAAGCTATGGTATTGAAATAAATATCATTAAACCACCCCCAAAAAATATCTTCACTAGTCAACAATACGTATTTTATTGTTTTTATTAATGATAGACGTAAATAAATACAAACCCGTTTTCATTCAAGAAATGTTCCATTAAATAATATTCATTTATTACTTTTAATACAAATATATCGAAAGCACTGCTCAAGTGCTTCAAGTTATAAAAGCACTTTGTGTATGTTTACCATGAGAATTGTTTACAAATATAAATACGTTTTCTCAATAATATACGTCGCATGAGCATCGCTCAAGAACTGTTGAATGACGTCAACGACGACCCAGATTTACTCAAAAGGGTTATAACTGGTGACGAATCATGGGTATATGGTTATGATATCGAAACCAAAGTCCAATCGTCCCAATGGAAGAGCCCAGATGAGCCAAGACCGATCAAATGTCGAAGTTTTGCTCACTGTTTTCTTCGATTACCATGGCGTGGTGCATCAGGAGATCTTAGCATATGGACGTACGGTCAATAAACAGTATTATCTTGAAGTTATGCGCCGTTTGCGAGAAGCAATACGAAGAAAACGCCCAGAATTGTGGAAAAACAATTCATGGCTTTTGCATCACGATAATGCCCCTGCTCACTCATCTTTGCTTGTGAGAGATTTTTTGGCCAAAAACAACACAACAATCATGCCTCAGTCACCATATTCACCGGATTTGGCCCCATGTGACTTTTTCTTGTTCCCAAAACTAAAGAGACCTATGAAAGGACGGAGATTTGCAACGATTGAAGAGATAAAGACTGCATCGCTGGAAGAGCTCAAGGCTATACCGAAAAGTGCTTATGAGAAGTGCTTTGAGGATTGGAAAAAGCGTTGGCATAAGTGTATTGTATCTGAGGGGGACTACTTTGAAGAGGACAACATAAATATTGATAAATAAATAAATATTTTTTCTTAAAAATACAAAGTCACCTTATTTTTTGAACACACCTCGTACATCCTACTATTCAGAATCAAAACGTATTCCCTATGACATTAGTAGAGAAGTAATGTATGTTTCAAGCCACTTCGTAGAGGGTTCAGGTAAGTTGAAACATACATAGGGGATTGCGCATGCGCACGCGTCGTGAGTTGTCAGGGAGTGGGTGGTGTCTATATAATAATAAATTTTTTTATATAGACTGTCAACGTAGATTTGTCCTATAGAGATTGTAAAGGCACGACGCTGTAGAAGTTGGTAGGGCGCTTGGTAAACTATATACATACTGGCTAGGTGTGGTTTGAGGTACGCTCGCTACGGAGAGCGGTAGTGTCTCTAGCTTGCTAAGCTATATACGAGGTGTGTTCAAAAAGTAAGGGGTGACTTTGTATTTTTAAGAAAAAATATTTATTTATTTATCAATATTTATGTTGTCCCCTTCAAAGTAATCCCCCTCAGATACAATACACTTATGCCAACGGTTTTTCCAATCCTCAAAGCACTTCTCATAAGCACTTTTCGGTATAGCCTTGAGCTCTTCCAGCGATGCAATCTTTATCTCTTCAATCGTTGCAAATCTCCGTCCTTTCATAGGTCTCTTTAGTTTTTATAGTAGAGGGAGTTTGCGTAGAACGTATAGCATGGTTGCTGTTCTCTATTTAAGCAAGTGCTACAATTGATTATTGCGGTATAAATTTCATTTATCATTCAACCCTATTATTAATTTGTTGTTCAATTATACATTAAATATAGAGCAGTCTCTTTTTTAGTAGTCGACATAGCTATTTCGAAATATTTAGATCAATTTTCAAATGTATTACTATTTACTTCATCGATACCTCCGAGTTTGGATTGCTTCTATCTATCTTTAATCCATGTAAACAATTTTTGTGCATTTGTAACGGCACGTACAAAGTTAGCTCGACAACCGTAATGATATATACACAACGTTTTTAATGGCAAAGGTAATTCTCTCAATGGTGGACATCTTATATCACTTTCAAGATCCAAAATTTTTCGATAAAAGGAAAAAAGTTTGTAATTAATAATGGTTTGAATATCTGACAACAAATCATTTTTATATTTACTTTTTAGGTAATATTTTTCGTAACTATTGCTCCCTTTGGAATCCTTTTACATAAATATTTTTAGAATTATATAAATGATTGTTCAATACACATGGTAAAATTTTATATGGTATAATACCAGATCTCTATAATATACCAAGATGAAACATTTCTAAAAATTTATTCACTTTACGACATGTGATAGGAAATTTAAGTCAATGATCGATGATTAAAAGAAAAGCACAGTTGGACAAGTATCACTATCTAAAGGTAAATAGGCCAGTTCTTTACATATAAAAGACTTGTCTGAACCTTGAAAGCCTTGAATATCTAGTACGTAATCCATTTGAAAAAATGAAGAAGTTAATGTGAACTCTACCAGATACCAAACCTGTTATGAGAGTACATGCATGTGTTTATTTTATATAAAGCCGATACCTTATCACCATTCGAAAGTAGAGGGAGTCATAGTCACCATAACCTGCCCCCTGAGTGATATAGTATGATTATAAGTATTTCATTTATCACATTAATAATGGATATATTTTATTTCTTTTTATTGAAAAGCAATGTGTACATTGGTTACAAAATGTCTTGTTAATTTTAAATAATTTTTGATATTACCACTAATAGAATTATGTTGTACAATACGATCGCGTAATATTAAGCAGTAGGCCGTAGTATCTTCAAGAAAATCGACTGGTGCGCTTTTTAATATTTCACTTTGTTTGGAGCAGTCTATAACTATTAGCGGTACTTCATTAATGAAATCTTTTTTATTGAGTAACGGCTCGTTTTCTTTACCATAGTAGGCATTTTGAAAATTAGTATACATATCGTAGAGAACAGCATACTGATTTTGATTGATGTTCAAATTGAGATTTCCATATGGATAGCATTGTGAATTGAGAAATAGCTTAACATTACTAATGTTATAGTGATCAAAATTACTAGAAATAACGCTCGCTAAACTTTTACGTTTAGTTTGAAAAACTAAAATAACAAAGCAAGGATTTTCCAATTGATTGGAAGTCTTAATACTCCAAACATGCTTTGATGTACGAGATAATTTTAGAAACTCATACATTTCCCAAGTACGATAACTTATTGAAATTGCACGATCTCATCCAATCTGATTGAGTAATTTGATTTTTTCTTTGACCGCAACGCAACCATCACATATGGCATCAACCATTCAATCTTAGTTAAAGTAATTTTTTATTTTTCTGAAGCAGTAAGATTCCCTATTGGAATGCTTGAAATGGCATTCAAATTATCTCTTGATCTTGTGGGAATAAGTTCATGCTTGACATTGACTACAATTTTAAAAAGCCCATTAACATACTAAGAGGAAAAGTCACGTCAAAATAACCTAGAGCATTACATATCAAAACTTCGTTGTTATTACCATTCCAATATGAATTACTCATTTTGCACTTGTCAGCTGACTATAATCGTGCTTTTTGTCAGTTCGTATTAGCTGACGTTACGAGTATATCGGACATCAAATGCAATTACTTATCAGTTTTCACTCAATTCAGTATTTTTTACTTATTGACATCATTGAGAACGATTAGCGGTCGTCCGCCGCATACTAGAGGATTCGTCAGGAAAAAGCATTCACCTAATTTCCACGTGTGTTGTCGTCGTTACCGTAACGTTTTACGACTGCGAATTGTAAATCGGACATGGTAAACAACAATAGACGAAACGATAAACTTTTTACACGATAGCGTTCAAAGTCGTAATCAAGTCGATCTGTGGTTGTTAAGAGGATGACGAGGTAAATTTGAGCTCCGGAAAAAAACCATTACGCTCTAATAATTTACAGCTCATATGAAATATCTGAGTTATCCTGCCTGTAGGAAGATTGTAACGGGTGGTTAAAGAAATAAACTATTTAACGTCTGGTATACTCGGTACTGATGCGCACACGTTTAGCGCAGCTGAAATAAGCGCGTATTCACGAAGCAAAAAGGAAGATGAAAAAATTCGAATTACAGGTTTACTACTGTGAGCGTGGATTAGTATAGGAAGTTAATTAGGCGAACATAAGCGTGACACGAAACAAAGTACCAACAGTCAGTTTATTTATTCAGTGCTGATGTTCGCTGCGTCTCTCGACGGACACGCTGTGCCGGTTGGTCACCATTCTTCACTTTCACGATCACGCGCGAGAATTGGCCGCAATAAACGCGTGACAAAGAGACTTGGGCGAGGAAAATAAGACCAGCAGAAGAACAAGAGAAGACTCGATTCTTTTTTTTTTCTATTTGTCGATGCTATGTGTATCAATAACTTTGCCTAGCCGGGTGCCACTCTTCATCTTCCATCGCGCGACCGCCTGCTTGACTCCTCCATGCGCTCCCGAATTTTCGTTCAGCCTCTTTCACGCTCGCGTTCGCTATTTTCGATTACGGTCGCTTCATAATCCATTAAGGCCCAGGCCAAAACTGACAGTGATAGCATCCAACTATCTACGCCATCCTTTGCATAATCGAAAAAAAAATACCCGTATTTTTTCTTTTGTCATTTGTAATCGTTTATAAAAAATTATTTAAATAATTTGTCATACAAGTCATTATTTTAAAAAGGCTGATTGCAGCAATCAGTTCTGCGGAAAAAATCACGAAGAAAACACAAATATCAAATTTTTGTTGTAAGATGGTGTAATTAGTTTTTAAAACTAATGAATTGTATAATTATTTACTTAAATACATTTTTATAAACAATTACAAAAAAAAAACACGGGTAATTTTTTTTTGTGATTATGCAAAGGATGGCATAATTAGTTGAATGCCATCTGGCTTAAATTTCGCTTGAAATTTGACACGATCTATTCTGACATTTATTGTTCACTACCGTTTCATACCAACAAATTGACCTTCGAGAAATAACGTAATAGAAGTTTTCCTCGTGATTTTTTTCTTAGAATCGATTGCTGCAATCAGTTTTTAAAAATAATGACTCACGACAATTTGTTTAAATAATTGTTTGTAAACGACTGCAAGTGACAAAAGAAAAATCACGGGTATTTTTTTTCAATTATGCAAAGGATGACGTAGTTAGTTAGATGCTATCACTGCCAGTTTTAGCCTGAGCCATTAAGGGTTCATATATGCGCGTACATTAACACATATTTATTTGTTGAGTGATATAATGTTAAATAATATTTTATTCTTTAAGAAAGTAGTATTTTATTTTTCATGTTCAAAAGAGAAGCATTATGTTAAAAAAATAAAATAAAAAAATTAGTGTAGAATGAAATCGTATAGAAACGATATCTGTACGGAATAAATCTGGCCACAATTTTGGAAAACTAATATCCATGTAGCGGTACACAAAAGCTATGATTTTGTCAATTTTGTTTCACTAATCTAGTGTAATTAATAATGTTTTAATAACTATATGTCGTCTGTAAAAATATTTAACGTAAACAATTAGCTTCCTAAGTTGACTCTTACAAAAGAACATCTTTAAAGTCTTTTTTCAAGTGAAGAAGTCTTAACAGTACTTAATTACTTTGTCAAAGTTGATTCTGTTTATCTAGATATATATGTCAAAAATAACGTTATTCATCCTTAACTTAGTCACATCAATAGCTTGCGTCAGTAGCATTCACCCATTGACGCCGAAACTTGAAAAATTTTACGTTAACTTTGTTGTTACATTTACAGTGAAAAAGGGTTATGTAAATGTTTGCAATAACGTTTCTATATATTTTTGAAGTTGTTCTATAAAATTCCGTGGTCAAAACATTTTTTTGCTTACAAAGAATTTCAATGTTAAAAAAAATACTATTGAAAATTTAATGAAAAAAATATTTATAAACCAAATTTTATTTTAAAATCATTAATTTTTACTCAAAAAGTGTTACATTTTACAACAAACTCCTGAAACTTTCTATTCTAAATATGATCTTTAAAAAAATTCAACATGAAAGTGTAAAAATAGCGGTTTTTCGTAGTAAATTTTTGTTTGTTTAATATCTTAGCCAATATAAGTTACTGCTTCACTATGCAAGGGTGCACATGGTGATTTTTTAGTTTTTAAGATTGCTGATTATGAATCTAAAGTTAGATTTGCAAAATTGACTTTTTAAACATAATTTTTTTAAACAAATTATTGCAAAATTTAAAATATTTGCAAGTACACGTTCTTACAACGGTTTTTGTAGTTGCTGATTATGAATCTAGCGATAAATTTTGAAATATGTAAATTACATTTTTTTTCAGTTATGTTTAAAATTTACTCTCAGTAACCAAAAAAACTATTTTAAATATGTGCGTCTTACAAAAACATTTAATTTTGCAAAAATTTATTTAAACAAAGTATTTAAAAAAGTCAATTTTGCAAATCTGACGTCAGATTCGTAATTAGGGACATAAAAAACTAAAAAATCACCATGTAACATCCTTGTAAAGTGAGGCAGCGACTTAAATAATATATCAAACAAATAAAAATTAATTACCAAAAACCGCCATTTTTATAATTTCATGTTGAATTGTTTTTTCAACATATATCTCGAAAGCTTCGGAAGTTTGTGCTAAAATGTGAGACTTTTTGAGTCAAACTAAAGGATTTTAATATGAAATCTAGTCTTAAAAATTTTTTTCTTTAAATTTGTACTTTTTTATAACGCAATGTTGTATTTTTCTGTAAAAAAAAATTATTTTATCACAGAATCTTATAGAGCGATCTCAAAAATATGTGGAAATGTTGTTGCAAACGTCTACAGAACCCTTTTCCAATGTAAATGTAATAACAAATTTAACGTAACATTTTCGAGTTTTCGGTGTTAATGGATTAATAAATAACATTCTAGTAAAAATATTGAGTAACTCAACTAATTTTCTCATTCTCTTGAAGTACATATAAATTGGTTTAAAAAACAACATCATCATAACAATATTATTAAGGATATATTGTTTATTCTTTTGACGTAAAAAGGTGAAAAATCACATTCAAATATGCCCTTTAATGGTTCAAAAAGTAAATTAACGAAGACTGTTCCGTCCCATCTACCACATATACCATAAAACATTGCCTTTGTCAAATGTTTACTCTTTTCAAACAGAAACAATAGCTCGTTGTCGAATATTTATAAAACATTTTTTTAATCCCGATTCTTCAATGTTTCTACAATTTCCAGATAAGTTTTGCAAGTTAAAACTCGAGACGTCACGCTAATAAGTAACTTCAAAATTTCAGCACATCTATCCAAGCTTCCTTCTAATATCACCAATTTGTCAAGGTAGCTAAAGGATTCAAGATGTTTGAGATAAAATTAACGTATTGTCAGCACATTACACGTGTACGTACAATACGCGAATTTAAGGAAGTTATTATTATGAGTTATGAAAGTTATATAAAAAGGAAATTATTTTATTTTTATCAAGACAAAGCTTTCATTACGAGGAAGCAATATTGAGCTCCGAATATCGAAATCTATAAAACGTCTTCATTTGATAATTGTTGATGTCGCTTTGTAATCATTGATGCTTATTTATTGTTGACTTTGGGTAAATGGCCAGTGATAATTTGAAGAATAATGAAAAAATATAATATTATATGAAAGCTTGAAATTAATCAAGTATAATCAAATTCACGAATTTTATCCATGGAAAGTAAATTCATATATGAATATACTTAATACACAACTATAATTTCAGGTGAAAACGAAGTTGTAACAAAGAAGAATTTGCCAATAAAAATTGTTCTTTATAGTTTTGAAAATGTTACTATCTGCAAAATCAACTACCTTGGGATTGATAATGATATGGCTATGTTGCACTGTTCAAACGAGCAATGTATTGCGAATTTTGGGCATCTTCCCATTCCAAATGAAAAGTCAATTTGTAATGGGCGAGGAGTTGTTAAAGGCTTTAGCAGCAAAGGGTCATCAAGTGGATGTTTATAGTCACTTTCCCTTGAAAAATCCAATACCGAATTATAATGATATCAGTTTAGAAGGCACATTACCAGCTCTAACCAACAATGTTACCATCGAAGCAGTGACATCAATACCAGATACTGTTCAGTTAATGGACTCTTGGTATCGTGACCTTTGTCATCCTATATGTGATTTATTGAGGATGCCACAATTTCAAAAACTTATCCGTGACCCACCAAAGGATCCACCATACGATATTATCATTATGGAGGTACGGTCTACGTAACTTTTCTCAAATTGCTTTGTTAATTAATATTATCTATACTCAAATGTTTTTGCAGTTTTCTATGACTCATTGTTTCATTCCATTCGGCCGCCATCTGAACGTCCCAGTTATAGGAGTCCAGGCATTGCCACTCTATCCATGGCAATATGATGCCTTTAGAAATCCAGTAAATCTAGCCTCCGAGCCGAATTTCGTAACGTCCTATTTTAATCCTATGTCGTTTCCAGAAAGAATCGGCAATTTTATCACACACAATCGTTTAATACGATTAGCACACAAGTACTCTGACATACAAAACAACTACATCTTGAAATACTTTGGGGAAGGATTTCCGCACGCGGCAGATCTGCTCAAGGACGTTGCTTTGATGTTTGTCGTCGAAGATTTCTCTCTGTTCGGGGCAAAAGCCTTTATGCCCAAGATTGTGCCCGTTGCTGGACTGCACATTGCGAACCAAAGTGAAACTTTAGCAAAGGTAATATTTTTATTTCATTATCCCACGAGACGCTGCATTCGATCTGTATGCCTCGCGGCTTGTACATTGATTGCAGCAAGTGCAGGAATGGCTCGACGAAAGTACGAACGGCTGCGTTGTATTCACTTTTGGATCGATGATCAAAATTGAGACTCTTCCCAGACACATAATCGAAGCGTTCTACAAGTCTTTCGAAAATATCGCACCGGTCCGTGTGCTTATGAAAATTGCAAAACCAGAACTGTTACCGGCTGGTCTCCCTTCCAACGTTCTTACGCAAACCTGGCTCCAGCAAGGAGCTGTGCTGAGTAAATATACGTTCTTATTGGTGTTTGCTTTCGATGCGCCCCTTTGATTTTTACGCAATTTTTCAAGAACACGAAAACACAAGAGCCTTCGTGACGCACGGCGGTCTCATGGGTACCCAAGAATCAATTTACTACGAGGTGCCAATGATTGGTATCCCAATTTTTTTCGATCAGCACTACACTCTCAACACGTATGCCAGTAAGAAAATAGCTATTAAATTGCCGTTGTACGAAGTGACCGAAGCAACCTTCACGCACGCTCTGCGGCAGATTTTGCAAAATCCTAAGTACAGGTAAGCGTTCTAAAAAGTAGTTTGGGATTCGCGCAATAATGCATCGATTGTTTGCCAGGGAAAACGTGCAGAAAGTTAGTAGACAGATGAAAGATCGACCAGTAAGTGTCATGGACACCGCGTTATTTTGGGTACAGTACGTACATCGACATGGGAAAGATGCACTAAAATCGGCATCCGAAGATATGCCATGGTGGCAAGTTTCGCTCTTGGACGTTTATGCTAGCCTGGTAACTTTATCGCTTCTAGCTGTATTTATTTGTATACAACTACTTAAATTGATTTTTAAAATTCTTATTTCTTCTACGAGAAAATCTAAAACAAGTGAAATCAAGAAACGCAATTAGAAACAAATCGGGTAAAGGTGTTAGTTCATAAGAATTAAATGTGTTGGCAAACTGCGATTTTTCATTTGCTGTTTAGATAACCATTTTCAATGTCAGCTAGTGACACTACAGGAAAAAGTTCATAAATTTGATGCATACTTGAATGAATTATTTCTTATTTCAAGAGCAATTATTCTCATTTTGTTGTACATTACAACATTTCAAACTTAAAATGGAAACAATATTTTCAAAGTTGTTCTCTATAAATAAATATATTCTTTTTGATCATAGAAGAAAATAAATTTTATTTTTAGGATGACGAATAATAAACAAACATAGTAAAATACAATTTAAAGCAATTGAAACTTAAACGAATAATAACTAAATTGGACAATAGTGACGTTTAAAATATTTATTAGTATTTTGTGTTTACTTTTTTGTGTTAAGCGTCCAAATGACGAACAAATAATTGTTAAAAAGAACAAATCAATTTATAATCTATTTCCAAATTCTTTTACTTATTTTTCACCTCAACAGCCTGTCGTTCAACTGTTTTAAATACTCCGTGAAATATACCTACTATATACATAAACAAACGTAAACACTCTAAGATAACATTTGAAATATTCTGAATTACTAGGACGTTTCTAACGCGCCTTTGCAATGTTAAAACGTGATCCTATTCTTACAAGGATAGCTGTGAGCCCGAAAGATATTGTCTTTCGTGCACACGGTCACAATAATCGGACGGTTATTGTTTAGGAACGCTTATTTTTTCTAATTTCAATAAATTTTATTAAATCGAATAATAAAACAACTCAACAAGAAATAATGATTTGAGCGAAACAAACACACTTACAATTTATTTTCGTAGCAAAAGTTAAAACATTTCAATCGTAATTTAAATAATACTATTGTTAAACAATATCTATTGTATACACAATAGATTGTGTATAAAATATTTATATCGTTTCTTTTACCGATTATTATTTTTATTCAAATTTCATCTGCAGTTGTTATAGGAAAAGTGTAATTGTGAGATATTTTAACAAGAGAGAGATAATCTACGCTACGTATTGTATTAGCTACCAATATAAATTCATTAAATATTATTATTAAGGCTCATGATGTTTTTTAGCCTCGGAATTCATATTTAAAAGCATATATTTTGAACTGATATTTATTATCTTGTAACGAATGTAATTGTAATAAATATACCTTGTAATAAATATTCATCTGAGCCAATTTATAGTATTTTAATTTATTACGTATTATTTAAATCCTTATTAAATTAGATGCTTAAGCATTCGATATATCCATATATCAACAATTTTTGAGTCAAGCGTGCAGAGCAAGAATTTAGTTACGAGGCGCATAAATTGAATAATTTGAAGGAATAATCTTTGCATTTTTTAGATAAAATTAATAACACCCGAAAAAACGTACTTACCTTGGTACAAATTGTTTACGAGAGATTGTGTATAGATTTGATATATTATATCAAACCTGATACTCATAAAAACCATCCGTCCATGCTAGATTGTAAATAAAAATTATAAAATTGAATATAGAATTCATTTACCACCGTGTAGCTGAAAGTAGTGACTGACTGAATACTCCTTTTATCTTTAGTTTCAATTGATGCAAGTTTTCCGCAAATTCGCACAAACAAATTTATTTCTTGATAACTGCACATTTTCAATGTTCAAATAAAAGCAGTAGCATGATGCCGCCCAAATTTATTATCCAATTTATTTATTATTTATTATTTATTTATAATTATTTATTATTATTTATTTATTATTTATTATTTATTTATAATTATTTATTATTATTTATTTATTATTTATTTATTATTTATAATTATTTATTATTATTTACTTATTATTTATTTATTATTTATTTATTTTTTATTCACCATAGCTAAGTATTTATTTATAAATCATAAAAAAATTTGTTTCATACATATCGAAAGGGAACAAGCGAGTTAGAAGTTTTATACTAAATAGATTACATGATTTTGGAAGTGTTTTATTTTTAAAAGCTAAACAGGTAGCAACAAAACAAATTCTGAAAATGATGTAAAACAATCGTCACAAATAGTTGTCGTCGGTTCGAATATTCGAAAAATTTATCAGTTTTTGATAAAGTGAAATTTTCGGATAATGGATTTGTGCTTTGTCTAGTGGTATTAATTTTAGACGCGTTCTCATGGTGTCATGGCATCTGCGTTGTCGCTGCCGGCTGTTGTGTTGTGCGTGAGGTCAATCGATAAGTCGCTTATTATTTTCGTGTTTTATAATAAACAAAACACACTTAACAAAATGACTAATTCAGCTATTTCGGATCAATCACTCATGGATAAGTCTATGCGAAGTGTTTTCGGTAAGAAATTTTTGCGTGTTACGTGATATTTCAATGTTTGCCTACTGACATTTCGTGGCTGTTGATTGTTAAAATGCATTTTTTATTTGTTTATAGTCGGGAACATCCCGTACGAGGCCACAGAAGAGAATTTAAAAGACATATTTAGCGAGGTTGGACCAGTTTTATCATTCAAGTAAGTCGTTTGCTTATTTCTTTCATTAACTTTGAAGCTAACCTATAAATTATCTTTGTAAATTGGGAAAGATTTTCATAATAATACTGAATGACACAAATGTTTTAGAAGATTGAGGTTTAATTTATGATCCCAACAAGTTAATTTTCAAAAATATTTATATTCTAAAATGAACATTTTCATAAAAAAAGTAATTATTTTAAAACAGACTTGTGTTTGATCGTGAAACTGGTAAACCAAAAGGTTATGGATTCTGCGAGTACAAAGATCAGGAAACAGCACTTAGTGCCATGAGAAATTTAAATGGTTATGAAATAGGAGGTAGAACACTAAGAGTAGACAATGCTTGTACAGAGAAGAGCAGAATGGAGATGCAAAGTCTGCTGCAAGGTCAAAACACAGAGAATCCATATGGAGAAGTCGTGCAAGCAGACAAAGCACCAGAAGCAATTAGCAAGGCAGTTGCTTCTTTACCACCGGAACAAATGTTCGAGCTCATGAAACAGATGAAACTATGTGTTCAAAATAATCCTAATGAAGCAAGGCAAATGCTGCTTCAAAATCCTCAGTTAGCTTATGCTCTTCTTCAAGCACAAGTCGTCATGAGAATTGTTGACCCTCACACAGCTGTCAGTATGCTACATAAGGCTAATCCAATCCCAGGAGTCTTGGTGCCACAGGAGAAACCTCCAGTTATCAACGTACCTCCTCCACGTATCGAAGAACCTTGGGCCACATCAAGACCACCACCCATGGCCAATAACCCACCACCTACTATTTTTGCTGGTTTGTATTTGCTTATAAACTAGTATACCAAGTTACTTACATTAGAGATAATCAAATGCCTTCATATTTCAGGACAAGACATTGATTTAAGGACTTTAGATAGACAAGTAGACCCCAGAATGGCTAGGATGGACCAAGATTTGAGGGGACCACCACCGACTACCACAGCATTGCCTCCACCTCCCATTCCAGCTATCGTAGCTGCTTCATCTGATCCAAGAACTGTTAATGCATTCAATATGTCTGAATCGTGAGTATACATTCATCTGGAATAATATTCCGCACACGTAACTAACACAATCATCATCTATTACAACATTAACATCTCTTATTTTTTTGCTCATGTTTATAAAGTGTTCTACCAATGGAAGGGATTGACAGGTTCCATTTCATTTTTATATCAATGTGCATTTGTGTATGATTTCCTATAAGTAAAAAATTCGACATATTTTTTCAATTGTACAGCTTTGGCAGAGATCCACGAACTGATCGATTTCCACGTGATCCAAGGGACCCACGAGATCCTAGGAATGTACCATCCGTCGACCCGAGAATGGCGGCCAAACCAAATGGTATGTTATTGTTTACGTTTGTTTTAAACTTATAAAGGGATGTTTTTAATTTTTTAATAATTAATAGTATGAAATCCAACGATGATTAATACGAAATAATTCACTAATTTTGTAGCACCGACGATTATACCTACAGCAGCAGCTATTAACACAACTGCAGGCGCTGGAATTACAAATAGTAGCGCAAGGTTGATGGCTGGAATGTCGTCAGCCGGAAACATACCCAGTGGTGCCACAGACCAAGAGAAGGTATTTTCAATAATTTACAACTTTTATTTAATAAAATTTAGTTAAGTGTCTAACACTATAATTATAATTTTTTCAGGCTGCTCTCATAATGCAAGTGCTTCAACTATCAGACGAGCAAATTGCAATGTTACCTCCAGAACAGAGACAAAGTATTTTAGTTTTAAAAGAACAAATAGCTAAAAGTACACAGCGCTAACTTTCAATATATATATATACTTATACGTATCCTAACGATAATTTTTAATTACTGTTCGTGAAGCTATAAACCACAAGTGTAATTAAAATACTTTTGAAGATTTAGCTTGAAATTTTGTAATGGCTCAACAATTTGAAAGCCAAATAGAGAGAGAGTGAAAGAGAGAGGGAGAGAGAGAGAAAATAAGAAAGAAAGTTATTGTGGAAACGTGATTATTTTATTAATGACGTGTATTATTTTATTAATAATTGTAAGTTATAGTTGAGTTATACACTCAGAAGATCGCTATAAAAATTGCGCACTGGTTCTTAAATTTGGATGCTCATAATTCAAAAAGTAGTATATTATAACTATTTTAAAAATTTTCTTTTGTAAAGACACTTAGATTGACGTACAAATTTTTTTACTACTCGGATAACTAAACTCTGTATAATTTAATTGAGACTGAATTGAAAAACATTATATCCAACTAATGATTTTTCACAACTGATTATTGTTAAATAAATTTTCATGAAAAATATATTTGAAGCAAAAAATTTATTTTGTATCTTTCATTATAAAAATAAAATTATATATTTTGATTCGTACATTTTACTTGTAACGAGTTTGTTTTTACATCAACATATTATTTGATGTATGAAAAATAATGTAATTGACAATATAATTTATTAAGCAAAACAGGACAAAATTGTTATTGCGATATGAAAATATGAATTGCTTACATTATTACATGACACAGTCTGCATACAAAATTGATTGTTGCTTAAAACCAAAAAATAAAACTTTAAAGAACTTTTTTTCAATAGTATAGTTTAAATGACAGATATTTTAACTTCGTAGAATAAAAACTTATATCATAGCTCCTATTGTGATTCTTCATATATATATATAACGAATATTTTTTAAACTATGTAATACATTAAACTAATACAGCTAATATTTTAAAATAAGCCTAAAAATACAAGCAAATAATAGCATTTATCGTGAAAAGTAAAGAAATTCAAAATTTTTTAAAGCTTTGAAGTGGAACTCAAACAGTTTTCTTTTGCTATGATTTAGATTCAAATAAAACAATGATATAAAATCTAAATAAAAGTAATACTTTAAAAACTCGCAAATAATTTAATCAATCAACTTCCGGGTCAATAACTTCTAATAAACCATCTTTTATCAATGAAGAATAGGCCAACTCCTTGCAGGCTTCATCTAAGTATAATTCTATACCAAGAACCGGCTCATACACCTAAAAAAAGAAATAGTGCATTTTTAAAGGTTGTAAGTTTTCAGCGACCGTATCGAAAAAATTCGTTATACTTTTATAGAAGCTGTCAGTACTGAATATTCGTTCAATATTTCAGCCATTGCATCAAATGCTTGCTCCTCTCGTCCAAGTGGAATTTTGACATTATAGAATTTGTAGTTGAAACTTAATCTCGGTGCTTCTAGCCACTCTTTTTTAGCTGTACGTATTCTGAAATCGCAAATAACATGAGTACAATTATTGAAGATAACGTAACGTAAATTTGTGTAATAATTCAATGTACTTGTTTTCATCGCTGATCACCGAAGAGTTTCCGAAATCAATAAACTCGGCTATAACACCATCTTTTAACATTTTGACGATTTGAACCCTGTACCATTGTTTATCGGTATATTTTGCAATTCCAATTGCGCCTATCAAAGGAAATAACGGAATAAAGGTCAGTCTAGAACAATGAAAAATCATTACGTCATAAATACCTTTACTCAAGGCCAGCAGAGGCTGTTCTTTTGCAGCCGATTGTATCTCTTTATGCATTATTTTGTTTCTTTCAATCCAAGTATTCAAATCCTGTAATGGAATGCATTGATTACCATCTACTATTGAAGTTCACAAAGGTTCACAAATATATACCTTATTAGAGCAACCAACGATATATCCAGACATTCTTATCGCCGATTTTGCTTGTCCAATACTCATTTGAAAATCGCGTAATTTGTAAGAGAAAAAGTCAATGTCTTTAGGACCGAACTCAATATCGTCTGTACTCAAGGAAGTATTCAAAGGCGTTGAAGCTACTATTGGACCGTTCATTTCCAAATTGAACGCTTCGCTTTTGACGCTTTGAACGTCAAAATTGATATCCAAATCATTGGCTAGGTAAATTGAGTTGCCAGAGAGCCACTGCTCTTCGTTGGCGTTGACAATCTCCTCTTTTTTGTTTTCATAGAGAAATTCGCTTGAGATGTTTGGCGAAATAATTGTATCTGATGAGTCAATTGACGCTGAACTGCGTCTTCTGTCTGAGAAGCTAGAGCTATAATCAGAATGATTTTTATCCCGATGCATTGAAGACGATTCACAAAATTTAAAACAACGTTACCTAGACGAACTGCCGTTTTCATTTAATACTTTGGACCGTCTTATTTTGATAGTATTTTCCGATTCACCTGTACTCTTGATCGTATCCGATTTATTACTATCACTGTCGTTTTCATCATTGTTAGACTTTCTACTCTGAATTGACTCGTATTCACTAGAGTCATCAGAGTCATTGTCATTGATTGGAATCGTAAATCCCGCATTTGATTCGTCGACTACTGCTTGAATGGAAAAATCTTCAATAACCATTGACTCATTGAGAAAATTTTCTTCATCCTCAGCATCAGGTTGTACGATCACATTCTCTATCAAGCACTTTACTTGAGTCTTGTTCTTTATGTACCATGGTACTGCTACAAGACTATTTCCTTCAAATATCCAGAATAATGCCTATAATATTTTAATAGTTTTTCAATATTTATTTGAAATCTAACGCAGGGCAAATACATAATGAATTTTCAAATGTGAGTAAATCTAAATTCTTAATTAAAATTTATAAACTATTTTCTGTACACAAGTTGAGGAAGAAACGAATACTTTTGTATCGATAAATATACATTAAATTTCCATGAAACGTTTCATGTATGATAATATAACTTGATGATCTTCAAATTATTGTAATTATCGCGATTATCATCATGATTATTATTCTCAATTATAAACTTACGATAAATAATAAATATGTTTTACTTACCCTCCAGGGTTTTGGTGGCTTGTCCAAAATCTTAATTTTGACTTTCTTCTCAACGAGAGCTGAATGGATAATATCCAAATCAGCTTCCTCCCATTGCATAGTTACCTGCAACGAATAATAATTGTGAGATATGTTAGCAATACTATAAATCTAGAATAAGCTCACAGGTTTCAATCCAGCGATGGCAGCACTAGTAACTTGAATAGGTATCTCAGTCAAAGTAATGCGTTTCTTTAAAGCTCCAATTTGACAATCTTCGATATTTCCATAGTCGACAAACATTACCTGCAAATTATTGTTGAATTGAAACTGATGCGAATATTCAATTGTTAAAGAATCTGGTATATATACTTACTGTAACAATTTTATGTACGCTTTTAACGTGTATTACTTTTGCTCTGTACCACATGCCATCAACGTGATAATTTGCAATGCATAAATCTCCTACTTCCCAAGTAGTGTCGTACTTTCTTATTGGTGTGTTATTATACTTTTTGTATAAAGTTTTCTTGATGTATTCTTGAATATCATAGTCTAAAAAGTACACTTATAATTATATTAATACTATTAATAATATTAAATGAATAAGTTATGATAGATAAATCAGGTTAGAATAGAACGATTAGTGATGTGCCTAAAAAGTAAAAGAATAATTTCGACAAAAGAAATATAATTTTTTTACGTTTTCGAATAGCATGATAAATTTCGAAATCTGTTGAACGGTATTCAAATTGTTTCATGTTTATAAGCAATTGACTATGTTTACAATAGAGGTAACGGACATGTGTAAAGTTTGAACACATAAGTTTGGACACACACTTGGACTTTTAAGGATAGATGTTCACAATCCAAGAATAGGTATCCACACAAATGATTAACTAACCAAAAAGGTTGTTAATCTTCACAATGCGTATATTCAAAATAAGTTCCAATATAGTTATTGCATTATAAATAATTATTATTACAGTGCATTTGAACGTGATGAACGAATGAATTGTGGATGTAATATGTGCAGTTAAACTCTAAATATACGCACACTCTTTGGTATCTGGATAGAAATAAACTTGGCCTTTGTCATCGACGTAAGTAACCTTGGCAATTAATTCGTCCTGAACAAGATGAGCGGCAGGTATCCAGTCTTGCACTTTAAGTGGCAATGGACTCAAATCATCTGATGTATCTTTAATCGAGTTTGTTTCCGAGTCATCTCTATCATTTTCTGTATCAGAATTCCTTTCTTCTTGTTCCTCTTTTTCATCCTCATCTTCTTCTTCATTATCCCTGTCGTTGTCACAAGTTCGCTCATCACCTCTATTGTCCGACTTCCCGTCACACAGATCATCGTAAACCATGCCCTCTTCTTCGATCGGGGTCAGGTTTGGGTTATTCTTTGAAGTATCAGCGAAGAAAATGTCCGTACCAATCAATGGGCTATCTAGCTTTAACTTCTTCTTCAGTTCTACTGCCAATTCCTTTTCTTTGTCATCGTCGTAACTACGAATAAAATAAATTTTGAATTTTTGTTTAACGATAACGAAGATTCATCTTACTTACCCTCTAATAGGGAATGCATGACCATCTTCGATGAGACGTCGTCTGACCGAGATACTTTCTCGACGACTCGGCTCTGTTGGTCCTACTAATACGTTTCGCCGAATATGCAAGTCGACAGGGATAGCTTCATCTGCTTCAGCAGAACCCTAAGAAAAAGTCGCAAAATTAAAATTCTTTAAGTTTTTAAAGAGTTAACATTGAAAAAATTTACGTACAGCCAAAGTGATGTAATATTTGGTATCACCGCCACTATCTTCGATAATCTCCTTAAGCTTTCTACACGAAGACCACGGCCAAGTCTTGCTACCTCCACAAGGAGTAACCCCAGCCAATTTGATCCTAAACATATGTTTAGAAACGTCAAGGAATCGCGTATTCAACGGTTGAATCTCATCAAGTTCAATCTCGGTGCACTCAGCATGATCAATCAACGCCATTTTCGCTTTGGTAGGATGTTTCTCTGACATTCCGAGGAACATCGCTCGACAATACTGATTATCCTTGCGCGAGAAAATGCAATAGTAAAGACTCGAATCCAACTCGTCTTTGCTGCACTCCGCGCGATTTTCCGCGTAAAACTTTTGTAGTTGCTGGTTCATGTTCTCAAATATAGTGGTGTTGGTTTTATCCGATACGTACATCTCATCCGGAGATATAACTTTGTGCAATAATATACGCACACGGAACGGATCGACTTCTTCGGATCTTTTGCTTGGCAGTTTGCATTTTTGAGACTTGGCTTTCAATTGCTCGTCATTGAATGACGACCTTTCCAGCGACGACTCTGTATCGTCCTTGTTTATGTAATTATGTTGTGTTTGGCGTGGTTTAACTGGAGCTCTTATGTCGTTGTTCAAAGTTGCGTGCTTTGAGCTATAAAACATTCGCACATAATTGTTGCTTGCTTGCAAATTATAACTTCCAGACTTCGGAAATGAAATCGATAGATAATGCTCGGAATACTTCAACACAAAGATAAAAATGAGCTACTTACTACTGTCCAGTGCTTACAGCATAGTTAATCGATACGAGATTCGCGTTGACATTGGTTTCATTCATGGTCAGCATAGTAACGCCATATGCATTTCCAAACTTCAAGATTGGAAGTATTTTTACTATTTGATTGGTCAGATGTTTTTGCAAGTAACTTATGGCTTTTTCAGAATACGTGCTACCCTGTACAGGTTCGATGTCAATTAGCGAAACTTTGATAGCCTGAAATGTCATTTTTATCATTAGTAGATATTTATGCATTTATAATTGATTGGATAATGTTACGTACTCGAGCAGTCCATTCACAAAAGCGATGGGGCAAACGAGTTATTTTTGAGTTTTTTACAATTTTCGTTTCTCCTGTATCAACAAGAAAAATTTCGACTTTGGATTTTTGATGGATAATGTTAGTAATGTATCCTCTGTAATACATCAACTCTTCTTCCAAAGCTACGGTGTCCCCTACAAAAATAGTGGAACAGTCGTCGAGTGATTCCTTAATTCGTCGTCAAGATACTTACCGAACTCCAGAGTTTTAATAGATAAATTTTCAGTTTTCAAAGCCTGACTGTACTCGCGTTGGAATTGGTAAATCTTTTTGTTAAATCCTTTAGAATGATTGTTATTAGCCTAAAAAAAAATTTAGATATACTTTGTTTCTATTAAAAAAGTTTTTATTATCTATTAAAATATATTTTACAATTCTAAGTTTACCATTGCTTCACAAAACTTTACTTAAAGTAAGACCAAGAATGATAATTCGATCTACGAAGACTTACATTTTTGACGTAAATACAATTTGGAGATACTACGTTCAGAACTGTCACTTTGATATATTTTTCGTTGATCGGCAAATCCTCGTAATAAAACTGGTGTGCTGACAGAGGATTGATTCTCTGGAAAAGATTCAACAAATCAAGTTGAACTACTTTGATTGATATTTTATCACGTAGTCATAACAAAATTTATTTTTACCTTAAGCTTTTGGAAAGTATTCTGTTTTCCTTTTTTTGATAGCAAAAGAATCTCACGCAAACAGGTCTCTTCAGTGTCATTCACAAGTTTCAACTGAACGGTATTTTTGCCGCCAGGTTCAGCATGTAAAATTGTCATGTTGAGTATTTGCCTGTGGAGTTATAATTTTCAATAGGCAGAAAATCAATGAAAAGATATAATTATCAATTAAGTTGGTAATCAATAGTAACATTATTTGAAATTGTACTTGAAAATTACTAATTTTCATAATCAGAAAAATTACGATTGATTAAATTGTTAGAACTATATTTTATAAATTACATATAATTACACGTTAATAACCGCATATTCTTTAAAATAAAAAGCGTAGTTAAAGATACAAACCCAGCAACAATATCCGTAAAAGTCCTTAAAACCTCTTCGTCCCAATCTCCGCCATCGACAGGTACAATCTCTTCGAGAGTACAGTGTATGGCCATACCTGGCGCGATGTTCATACCGGTGATCATTTTGCGTATTCGTTCAATGTTTACGCCATAATCACATGTGCCCAGGTCAATGTAAACAACAGTGTATAGCAACTGGTCGTTGGATGTTATTTTGCGAGTCACACGACCGCGATACCATTTCTGATCCATGTGGTTTTGTACCAGGTAGAGACTGTCTATTTGACGCGCAATTGACATGAGTATTCGGCTGATTGAGCTTAGATAAATAGAATAACATTTGTCAGACTTACTGAGAATGACGACCGAGGGTGGTTCTGTGTGACCCTCCAAGTGATTTTCGATGAGCGTCTGCATTTCGTCGTAGAACTTCTCGTCGGACTTTTTCATAACGTAAAAGTCCGTGGGATCGTTGAAACACGTCATTTTCACGCGCTCCGGCTTGCCTGCAACGAAAAGAAAACAAAGCACGCTCGTCGCTCTTTCGGATTAGCTGGTGGGCTCGGCCGCGAGAGGCGAGCTGCAAGCTTCGCTGACCTACTGCCAAGCTCGAGGGCTCGAGCGGCACGACAGCCATGGAGTCTTCGGACGATTGATTGGCGGGGCTGCTGCTGCACGACGGCAGCGACGGCAACGGGGACGGGCTGTCCCTTCGGAAGCTACTTGGTATGTTCGCACCTGAAAGCAGAGGCAACCCAAATGAACAAGGAGGCATATCCGAAAACAGCTATTGACGTTCGCTCTCGAATTCTCTCGACGAACGAGCTTTCAACCGACGTATTTTATTTATTTATTTTTTTTTTTTCAATATGCGCGCGCTCGCATTTGCTTGCGGAATTATTTGGAGGGGTGCCGTATAAGTGAATGTTATTGATATTGAAAGCGCTTTGCTCCGGCCTCTCGCGCCGCTTCGCTTTGACATTTTCCGACGGTATATATTGGCGTCACCGGGCCGGCTTCTGCCATGCAAATTTCGGTTTCGTTACGCGCGCGAACTCGCCAGTCGCGAAAAGAAATAAAAACGTATAAACAAACAAAGCGAAAATGGTCCTTCGAGCGAGCCTGTCCGTGTGCGCGTGGCGCTCTTCGAATAACCCCCGAAAAACTTTGAAAACCAATCAGAATTACTCAGATTTTCGTCGCAGTCGATGGACTCCGGCTCGTAGTCGTCGGGCAGCTCGTTGCTCTTCAGCAGAACGAACTTCGGATTTTCGGGCACGTGCAGCCGTATGTGATTGTCCTTCATAGTGTCGATCCAGTCGTAGTTTATGCTCAACCTGCAACCGTACGACAGTTCGTTAATTCACGGATACGTTCGAAACGGAGTCGATCGCTTGTTTACTGTAGTCTGTCCGCCTGGTTGTCGTTCGTCCACAGGTGGCAAGGACTATCGGCGAGCTCCATCAGCTTCTCCGTCAGTTTCTTAATATTGATCGAGCAGTCGGTCTTGTTGCTGGCGGTCAGGGCCATCTGAAACAACCGGACAGCACGGGCGTGTATTGCAACGCGCGCAGCGCCTATTTCCGCGTGGCCGAGTCAAAGTCCCGTCGCGTTCGTTCTCACCGTGTAAGCCAGAGCCAGTTGATTTTCCTGCTCGGTGAGCATCTCGTGGAAAGCGTCGATGTCGGCTTTGAGGGCGTCTCGTTGTTCGCGTAGGCGCCGCTTCATCTGCGTCTCGAGATTCTGCAATACGCCGTGAACGTAGACGAAGTGCTGAGTGAGCGACGACTCCGTTTGCTCGTACTTGATCTGATCCGCCGACGAGACCAGCTTGCGAGTGAGATTCTGCAAAGGTCAAAATTCGATTGTTTTCTTTTGACGGCAGTTGTGATGCAAATAAAACCGCAAGCGCAATTATCTGTGCTTATTTTCTTGTTTTTACGTAACGCACAAGTGAATTATCGAGGAGCTATAAGATGCCTTTCGCAAGTGGAAACGACGCTCTCATCGGCGGCCTTTTTAGGGCATTCGAGCAGCAGCAATGTGCCTTTTTCTACGCGATGATTTCGATCAGCTGTGTTTTGTCGTTGTTGCGCGCACACCGCAACGGTTTTTGGGAAATGATTTCTTTTTTTTTACTTTTAGAAGCTCGATTAGTTCTGCTCGCGACATTGCGATGGGCCGATTGCATTGGTTAACTCCTGGCGTAGCAAATTGTACAAGTCACGAGATGACGCGGCGTAGCAACGAAATATATAAACGAAACGGACCGAGTACGAACGAGCAAAAGACCTCTAGTAATATTATTAAAGTTTTTTGATTCGACGTAGTCCTTAAAATCTAGAAGCTTGCGTATCATGCGTCAATAGTCTTCTAATTTCAGTAGAGCATGAGCACTACGACGATTAAGAAGCGCATCACAAGTCATAAATGATTTGCGTTGCAGATCAGCGGAGTAGCGCGAAAAACAAAGGAAGAAAACGCTGACGCTCGTTTCGCGGCTTGATCGCACAAGAGAAAAGACAATGCTCAGGGAAAAAAGTGATCAGCGCTTAGCTGCTCGTTGCACACAGGAAAAGCGCGCGGCAAACGGTAAAATGCATCGAGCGGCGCAGAGATCTGCGGCAGCAGTCTGCAGATAGTCACACTGACCCAATAACCCCACGCTCACTCGACTGGTATAATATAAGAGTGGGGCCTTAAAAAATACGTCTCCCCCACCATATTACGCCTGAAAAGCCTCTCACTCTGGCCGTTTGCTCGCTGACGACGGGGCCTCAGTCGGCGTTGGGCCTTGGTTTCTTCCAATCGTCGGCGCGCAGTAACAAGTAGTGCGTGTAAAGGGCAGCGCGGCGAAAATGTCTGTCCCGTCGCTGCTCGTCAGCGCGCGCGCGTGACTGTGCTTACTTCGGCCTCGTACAGCAATCGAAGCGAGCGACACCCCCCGTCATGAGGCTGTTATTTGGTGCTTTGGCTCTGCTGCTGGTGGCTGCTGCCGGTGAGTCTGTGGCTTCTCTCTGTCAAAAGTTACGGCAAAGTTCCGGCCGGTAGGCGACAAATAATGCGGACTCGATCAGCGTCTCTCAGAATACGACGACGACACGAGGAGAAAATACGAAACACGCCAAGGTTTTTAATTAACCTCCAGAGGGAGATTTGAATTTTCCCATGGCGAGGTGTTGCGCAAGTGCTCGTAACGAACGGCGGCAACGCGTGGGAAAAAAAAATGAAAGACGCTTCGTCGGTGTTCTAGGGACGAGATTCGCAGAATTTGATCGTAAGTTTTTACGAAAACAGAGGTTTCGCAAGACACAAGTGAAATTGACGATTCTCAAGGACTGTCGCGAAAAGCCGACGAGCGTGAAAGCAGCTGACAATGAGTAAACAATGGAAGCGCCGCAGTGGCTTCGGAGAAGCATGTCTAAAAGACGTTTAAGAGTTACCGCAGAAGTAATGGGGCAATGGGGTATGAGTCGCTTAAAATATGCGCGGCGCCGTCGCGCGGATGCCAAGGAGCATAATGTCGATGCACTCGAGCGTGAAATATCTTTTTTTTCCTTCTCTGCGCGCTCTCAAGGAGACTCTCCTGCACTTACTCAATTACTCTCGACGACGACCGCAACTCCCTTTTCCCATTTCTCGGGGCATTCGCACCGCCAATGTTTATTAATCGGCGCCGTCGAGTTTACGCGGGCATTTCTTTGACAATTTCCAGGCAAACATGATACTCGAGTTTTTGCAACGAGAAAAATTCCTGAGAGCTTGCGTGGTAGCGTTGCAATTTATTTCCAGCTGAACTACTCCGAGTTCGCGCGTTGAATATTATAGTAATGGAAAATCTATAAAACCGCGTTACCGTAATGCGCGTCAAGTAGTGCGCGTTTCCATTGGAGATGAGAAATGCGATTGAAGTGTGAAGAATTGCTGCTTTTTAAATCATTCAAATTCTTGAATCACCAACAATGCCAATCCGCTTTGCGAAACAAAATATTATTCAACTTGGCAGTTACCTTATACCGCTTAACGTGATTATTTTTAGAAATTGATGTAATTATTTAAATAGCGAAATTCTCGATGGTTGACGTTTATCATTCCCTCGTCACAGAATCGATTTGCCATTAGAGAACTCGACGAGCAAACGAAACGAGACACGAATGTTGAAATAAATAAATGTTCGTTCGTCAGAAGTGGCGATGAAGCCATCCGACATAATTTTTCGTCAAATCGATTGCACTCTGAACACCCGTAAGGCTCCCGAGGTAGATGCAACATTCGCGTTGAAAGCGTCACGACATCAAAGCAAATAACTGGAAAGGAAACTGATTCGGACTTTACCCCGCAGCAACTCGAAAACAAGGGACAAACGACCACGAATATATCCGAAAATAATTGAGTAAACGTAATGTCTCTTTTGAACCCATCGATGGATCGTCTTCGCGATCATCAATATCCTTATCGAAATACAAAAATCGGCGTAATCGTCGAGAATAAAAATTCCAGACTCCAACAACCGCTTCTTTACTTTATCGAATCTAGGGACATAAGAAGAAGTTTGTAAAAAAGGCCTGCTCCATAAACGGTAACTAAGGACTCTTTTACGACGCTCAAATCGGCTATTTTTAATTTCCTGCATACGCTATAACGACAAGTTTACCCAAGTGAGCGTTGACCTGTCAAGCAGTTGTATTTTTGTCATTGTAGATGAGCTTCCAACTGCATATTTCCAGCCTCTCTATTTTCGCGATTGACAGCAACTGACGGATCAGTACTGCTGTTCAGCACTATCCGCTGAATACTGACGCGCATCATGGCGTTGCGCACTCTGAAGATTGTCGTCGAACAGGTTCGATTTTCACGGGAGCTCTGCGACACCGTAGCTGTCGCCGAATGGATTGTTACGATGTCAATGAACGTCTATAATGATCGCGACAATCGCATCTAAGAATTGGTGGAGCCGGAAAAAAATACCGATTGAGTGGCTTTCGGAGTATCCGCGTCGTCAACATAGCGAGTGGCTTCGTTCGCGCTGCATTCGGTATCGACGCGATCAGAAAGCCAATCACTGCTGTCGAATTAAATTCGTTTTCGAATGGAATAGTATTTTCAGCGTGTCTTTCTCTGATCGTTCCATCAATCGATTTTTATAGCCGACGTTTCTCCGCGCGATCGTCGACGACAATTTACTCGCGATGCTCGTTATCAAGAACGAGCAACTGGCTCGGCAGTGATTCGCTTCGTAAATTGATGACCAGAGTAGCACTGGAACAAGCCTGTTTCTCCACGTGACTGTCGATCAGCTTGGTCAAAATAGTCGTGACGTGGGAACATCAACACGCCGACAAATGGCAATGAAACAAACGAACGTTACTTTGGATGACATCTCGCTTCTAACTAAAACGACTGTAGCGCCCGCCAATGCATCAAAGCCGTGGTCGACCGTAACTCGCTCCTGCTATAACCGAACGAAATAGCTGACAAAGGCGTCGCGAATTATTAACAAGTGAACGAATCGGTGTAAGTCCACGATCGATTTTCTAATTCGCAGCCGTCAATAAAAAAAAGAAAAAAGAAAAAAAAAAAGAAAAACGTTTTCTACGGTCTGCCCGTCGCTTGTCTCGCATTGCACACGCACATTTCGCGCTCGACCGGCTTACATACACTACACAGCGGTGACTTCGAGTTGGACTGTACGCGCGACGATTTGTCGGTTCGCTTGTTCTACCGGGCCGAGCTCATTGGCGGCGGAGAATAGCGAGAGACATCGCGAAGAATCAAGCGAGCGTGACCGATCGGCGGCGGCTCTGAACTTCGACGCGAACTTTCACCGTCACGCGAAAACACGACGAGGTCGGCCGCGTTGCCGGCTGCCGCTGCCGCGTTAGACGGTCGGTTTGCTCGGCGGCTGTCAATTAGCTTATGAGCGCGATGCGCGCCAGGAGCGAGGCTGCCTCGTGCGTTTGACGGACCCGTAGGCGAGGAGCATTTGGTTGCGCCGATACCTTTGATATCGACAGCCGTCGCCCAACGCGCACGATGCGCGAGTTTTAAATCCGATTTGGAGGTGCCTTTCGTCGCGAGAGTGGCGGGATTTCGCGATGGTATTTCCGTTGGACAACTCACTCGTCGCCTGGCGAATGCGATCGCGTGTTAATTGGTCGATACTAGTTTTTTCTTTCTCTCTCTCTCTCTTTTGATCAACCATTCACACACGTGTTGATAAAAATAGACGTTAATTAGCAGGATAAGATAACATTGACAGGTCCGAATAGACCGAACGTATCCGCATGAACAATCGATAACAAGCACGTTCTAAATTTTACTATCAGTTCTTTTTTATATTTACGATTTCTCGGTCGGCGTACAAGGAGAAATCAGTCGACTATACTACACCGCCGATTTTTTTGATACTCGAAGAAACGATCTCCAGTAACTCATGACGTACGAAAAAAGTGTCAAATCTGTCTCCTATCTCCGGTTATATGGATATTGATGCAAGACGAGTCGTTAAATTCAAGGCTTTTACTCGTAGCTGAATCATTTGATTAGTAAGCATCAAGGACCTCAAATTGATAGCTTGCGCGAGCGAAATCAACGATTTTCGATTCGAGTAACATCGATCAAAGATCACAGCAAAAATAGTATATTTGAGGGAATTTTTAAAGGATGTTAATTTTCCTGTCTTTTTTTATTGACTTTTTTGAATCAACGAAAAGCGCAAATTGATCTTCTCGATTTCTACTACATGGCAAGTTTGCTCAACTATTATCAAGAGATCGCAGCTCAATTATTTACGCGCACAAGAAGTTGATCTTGATGCTAGTGACTTTTCACACGAATGCCCATAT